AAAGGTATTAGAGGAACCCTGAATGACATGGCCCAGGCGATTTTGTACCGGTGCTTTATTATGGTTCGGTAGATCAACACACCACAATACCTTTAATATTACTCCATGGTACGGATACATACCTGAGTAGACGTCACTAGGACGAAGGGGGAAGGATATAATTACTTAGATAAGAGACAAACCCGACATGAATAATATGTTGTACATATACATGAGATGCCTCAGAAGGGTTTAATTACCATACGGCACATAATTTTCTGCAGATCACATCTAGACCTTCTAGACCCTTGCGAGAGCACCTGTCAGGACTTCCCCATTTTAGCTTCGTATGCCAAGGACTTCCCTTCTTATAATGCTGCCGGCAACGAGACTGATGGGAACGCTACTGCAAGGTACGCCACTGCAGGTAATGGACTTCTCTATAATTTGAGCAAACTCGTAAAGAAATCTCTTCTTGAAGATCCAATTGCCATTTTACAGTGGAAGCCTATTAAAATACCCATTACGATGACACATAATCCCTACCAGGCACTAGTACTGCTGTCTTGGCCGATGTAACCCTACAAGAAGGTTAGCAGCCTAACCCACAAATGTTATACATGATGGAATTACTAACAAGGTATTGTCAAATTGTATAATACATTCTTACCTGCTTAGAGGTACCTAGCACCTACTAAACATGTAGCGAGGACTTGTTAAAAACTGGTACCTACAAGAAATCAGATGTCGATATCACATGATCTCTGATAATACCAGTTAAGGGACTAAACCACGATCAAGGGTCCCCGCCTTTTTTCACTTGTACCTTAGCTAATATAAGGTAAGACTTGTCACCTTTGAAGCTCAAAATGGCTACCATGCCCTTGTTGATTGGATATCCAAGACGGCGTAAAGTCCGCCACTTTAGGATTCAAGGGTACGGGTTGTCCCACAAACCCCTCCAAGCCCTCGACGCCGTAGGGTATTAATGCTCAAACCATTCGCAATCGGTGATAATGCCCAATGAGCTCATCGTTCTCCTATCCACGTTTCCGTATCTGTTTCCAACAGGATTTCACCTATCCGAGTCGCAAACTCGGCACCAACTCGAGTGGACTTTCTCCTCGGAAGAAAAGTCAATGCAAGGGGGGCGTCCGGATAATGGCAGATCTTCAAGGCAGTAAGCTGACAAAATAGGTAAGAGACAAAAGAACATGGCCATTATTCATCCTGATCAACATAGGAGGCGCCAGCCTCACGGACAAACATGCATCGATGATAGGTGGGGGATTGTCTTAGAAAGCATTCTCGGCTTCATTTAGGTACATTCTCTCTTATCTACCATGCTGAGGTAGAACCCTTGATTGATAGATCAGCCTCTAGCTACGAGGTGTGCCTAATGGAGATTCTTACCAATAAGCCCAGCCTTGTCATAAGTCTTCAACCTTGCCAAGAGCTCCTTCAGAACATCTTAACTACACCAATACTTCGCATCTCCAAGTTAACGTCGAGTTTGGGTTGGTGACTGTAACAAGACGGGAAGGGAACCGACCCCCCACGGGTTTGCCGGAAATGGCATCCTTTTCGTCCAGTCACCGCTGTGCGTTGACACCTTCATTTCGCCGGTTGAAATTGATGCACGTTGGATAGACGATCCTTTGGTTGATAACTACTTCGTTAAGTATGCCTCTAAAGCTACAATTATTGCACTTATACCAACCATCTTAACTTGGTGTTGCGACTGTCAGGCACGTTTCCAATCAGCCAATACCACTGAAGTTGCGTACAATACGCTAGAACTCATTCCTAAAATGAGTGAATTATAAGAAACGCAGATAGCGTCTCAATTTCACATTCTTGGCTTTCCACTTCAAGTCATTCTGGCAATGCAATGTAATGCAATGCAGCCTCCAACTCGCTTCTTTACCACTTCAATTGTGATATATCATTACCAATAACCAGGTAAATTGCACCATGATCCTCCAACTGTCGCTGCCCGTCGCTGTATGGTTGAGCATGAACAGCATTAGCCATTGCCGTGCATCATTGCCGGCCTCGTATATATGGCCCGTCAGCAGCATAATATACCACAGTACATATATCGTACGAAAAAAAATTAGGTACAATTGTCCGCCATTTCTCAGAAGTACGAATGCATTGTATTATCGGTTAATATATTATATCGCAACTATTAAGGTCTCTATTATTCGATGATACCTCTCGCTTAAGGATCTTAACAATCCCACTTTACCCCACGATGCACCGTCACCTGGAGTTAAGTCTTACATGCTTATCTCACTCATCCGTTCATCCATAGAGGGAAGATGGACGCCACGGTACGGTGCCACGGCCCTCTACCTACATCGGGTCATCTTTTTAGCATAACACTTCGCTTACCAAGCTTTGTCAAGTGGTTCAAAGGTGAGAGCTTTATCCAAGCTTACACCTACCTCGCCTTTAATTTCCTCGATTTCGAACATATCGTATTTTCCCCATATGGGAACCCGTTGGATTGACTTAAACCCCTTTCTACTATCAGACGTCCGTATCGAGGTAATGAGAACTAAGATACATATTGCGTAAGATTTATATGGTGTACAATTAGGGCTGAGGGTCATGTGTATGTCCGATCATGAAACGACCTCCACGATTTAGATCTACCATCCAAAATTGATCTTGCAGATATATTATCACCTTCCTTTCATTCGCGTATACCACATTACCACGTAACGATTACCGCCCTTACATGCCGGCTTCGGATCTCGTAGAGGGTTACTCCCTTGCTCGCATAGTAGTAGGTAGTATGAAAACATAGATCAACAAGAGAATAAAATAAGAAAAAATTAAAAAGATTAGCGACCCCTTCGTACGTAACCCCTACATGATCCAATACACCTCCGGCAAGTTCGGAGACAGCGGAACCAGTTCTCTGGACCTGTTCGCGATCGCTGATTGCGTCGGCATCAACCGACCAGCAAGATTTCGGTCCCGATCTACCCTTAAAAAGTTACCGAATATCGCCAGAACGTATTCCACTCTAGGCAAGTTTTGCTATGACTTATGGGCTATTCGAAATTAGCTCATCGACAAGAATGATGCCTGCCCAGAGTCTCACTTGCTACCCAAATCCATAGCACTGGAACGTTACCTTGTCATTTGATGAGGGAAGATTTGCGGCACTCGATGAGAGGAGAAAATAACTAAACTGAAAAAAGAAAAGCTGCGCCCACATGGTCCCCTACCAAATCAACCTATTTCACCACCTAAAGTACCTAAACTACAGCGTATGTAGCCGTAGTGTAGGCGATTATGTACCTATCGCCTATCGCACAAATCCATGCTTTAAATGCTTAGGTCTGGCACAATACGGCACAAAATACCACATTAATGATGGCTAGAAATGGCAAAATTAAGCCGATACATGCCTAGGTACATGTAAGAACCCGCGGAAACCTACATATGCAGTGAGTAGGAAGGAATGAAAAGAGAAAAAGAGGATGATTTGTACAAGATTAGTACATGCGCGCATCCGTTCGATTGTGCTGCTAGAAATCATAGAAAATTTGTTAAAAAGAGAGGAGGCGCGGAAATATACATGACCATTTACATATTCCTACATAATACCTACATAATACAGTCCAATTTATTGGATATCAGCTCCATCTTCTTAAAGCCTCAGACCTCCTTCGCCTCTTTTCGTTTCCTCCAACCTGGTCCTCGGCTCTAATCATGTGCATACAGAAATTGAGTATGGTGGTACATAACAAAGTACCACAAGATATTCAGATGGAAGCGAGCTGGTTGTGACGAATCATTTCCGCTACAAAGTCACATGAAGGGGGTGAGAATGGGGGAAGAAAGGAACGAACGAAAGAGAATTGAGGATGTAGATTATTGCGGTGTGGTTCCCAAGGCACTAGGTATTAGGTATTTTGTCTCCGCTCCTCTCATCTGTCATAACTCGGTAATAGGATTGTGGCATGATTTGATTCCAATCCCAGGGTTCGAACATTTTTAGACCCAGCCCGAGCTCGCATTCCCCAAGTGGAGGATGAGACGTCGGAGGTGGTGAATTACATTACATGAATTTACATACATTTCGTTACCACCACATTGGCCGTCGAAAAGTGTCGAAGGTCCAAGCGATACCCAACCATTTCGCGACCTGCAGCTAGGTTCTAGGGAGCTGACTGGCCTGGGCTGGCTGGGCTGGTTGGCATCATAGCACCTGGGGGAAAGGGAGGGGGGGCATCTGCGCAGATCTGCAGTACTTTCCTGCTGAATTCGGAGACCGCGAGCCACGGCTCGACATTTCTGATCTATCTCTTTTTTTCCTCACCTCTGGTGCCTGCTGCCGCTTTGGAAGGACCACTCGCAAGTACGAGAATCCTCATTTTGACCCAACATATGGTTTCACGGGAAGGAAAAGACGGGATGGGCCTGCAATGATGCGGCCGCAGAAAGGGTCTTTTTACACTCATTTCGGCTTACACACGCATACCTAACGCATGCCTACATACACCACACACTAGCGTTCGAAAGTACACGTACATACATACCTACATACATCTTAGGAACAGGTACACTACAGCAAACGCATGATCAGCAGAAGAAAAAATATCTAATGAACAGATGGATCTACCGTTGGCCGTAAGAAGTTCTGAAAGTGAAATAGTTTGTCTTTTATTTTTCTGCGGCAGCCTTGCCAATCTCGCATCAAGTTCGAAAACGGCAATGAAGATCGTCCCAGCGATCTAGGATTGGCGATGCAGAAAAGGCTCATTCGCACACCCAAACCCTTTGACGCGCTTTTCTGGGTCAAACGGGGTCCCATAGGTTAACTAGCTGACTGGCTGGCTCTTGTTTTGGCTGCTGGACGTCTTTACCCCAATGGGATTTTTCAATTCATACGGCATTTGCCATGGCAAACCCCGATAGGCAAACTCCGAAAAATCTATCACTTTAGCCTCAAGTTGCCTAAAAATACGCATGGATCTCATACCCAAATCCTTCTCATGTTGCGAAGTGACTGAATGAACTTGGCATCGGGCAATTCCTATCAAACTCCGCGTCGCAAAGCTATACTGTGTGTATATACCTACCAAAAAACACCACTCGGGCCGAAGATTGGCTGGTAAGTAGGGCAGGCATTCAGAACTTATTACGCTCCTGTTAAGATTACGATTTCTCCTCGCCTCCTAGTCAAATCTACGCCATAGAATCCACATTTTCAGCTTCGTCCCCTGGTAATCCATCTCGTTCCATTTCCACACCCTCTGTGAAGACCAGGTCGCCTGTCTTGCCTAGGACCTCCCGACTTGCCTCTTCGACTAGGATTCCGAAAGCTAGGAGCGCAGTCTCGTCCATGCTGCGTTCGTTAATGTTTCGGCCGAGAGCTTCGCCCTGCTGTTGCCGCGTTGCGAGCGCCGCGTAGAAGTGGCTGGAATAGGCGTGGATGGCTTTAAGCATATCGCTATCGGGAAGTACATCTCTGCCACCATCGCGTAGTCCTTCGTGGGCTTGGTAGATGTCCTTTTCAGCGTAGCGAACGGGCGCACCGAGACGGCGGAACAAGACTTCTTCTGGAGCGAGAGTAGGGTCACGACGGTAATGACGCGGGGTCCGGATATGATGAGAGGGTAAGTCGGATCCGGAGCCCTCATCTAAAGGGTGAGTAGTGGTTACACGACCTACGAATCAATCTAGTTAGGTATTGTTGGCTTATTCGTGAATGCCGCGTCATGTAGTGGACTGCGGGCTGCTCAACATACCTGCCACCGCGTCATAGACATTCGCGTTTCTTTTGATGCGCTTTCGTCTTCCATCTTCTGGTATATCGGTTTCATTTCCGGTATCTGCGCCGTCGCCCGGTATTTCAGGGGCAGCTAAAAATCGTCTTTCTTTGACACTTTTAGACGCCATTGTTGATTTGAAATATTGAGATGAAGTGTGGGGTTTGACTATGCGCTCCCTATGACGGTATTTTCATTCTCATTTAATCTTCATACCCAGTGCAAAGAGATGATGATGCAACTTCGCACCCCGTATTTTCATTGATTTTCATTTTTAGTTTGCTCTAGTATCCCCAATTCGTTCAGATCCCAATTGAGTTGTTGTAAAGTTACAGCGAAAGTTAGATAGTTAAGAATTTTGATATGAAAATAAAATAAATTCAATGGACACTGGGACTGGTTCGTGTACGTACCGAGCGCCAGATTTAGTGGGGTTTATAAGGAGGGTAAGAGCTCCCCACATCCGAGACTGCTACCGGACATACGTAATTCTTCCGTCGTTGCCTCCCCGCCTGGGAATCTGGACATGCGGCTCTGAGCTCGAATACAACGACAACTTATATTTATTTATTTCATTTCATTTATATATACTACTACGCTGCTCGCGTAGATTAGGGCCCTAGCGGTCTTCCATTCTAATGAATGAATCATTTGCTTTTTGACCGGTCCTCTGGCCGTATTGGACCGAATGTGTTTGCAAGGCTACAGACTACACAACTTTTACACTCGTTCGGACCAGCGCCGGGATTCCGCTTTGATGGCGGCGAGAGAGGTACGGCTGTTCGGGATGATGAGGATGGTTCTGTAGCTGCCGATCCGGCTTCTACGCTGTGGGCCCACCAAGCTGGTGTGAATGCATTGGCTCTTGAACGCTTCGATGGTAGAATGTGAGTATACCATAAAGCCTCGCGCCCTTTGTTTCATTATACATAGCTCTTATGAACTAACAACTCTAGCCTGGTATCGGGAAGCTTGGATGCTTCGATAAAAATATGGGATCTCGAACAATGTGGCAATCCCTCCAAGTCTCATACCTACAAACCCGTCGCCCAAATTACCCGCTCAAATCGAGCCCATAAATTCGGCATAACACATCTATCATTCTACCCCTTCGACTCAGCAGCCTTTCTATCTACATCCTACGACCTGACGCTAAAAGTCTGGGCTACGGACCGAGCTAGTCTCTCAGCTTCCTTTAGCTTAGGCTCTAAAGTATACACCCATGCCATCTCCCCCATCGCCTCGCACCTACTAGTCGCCTGCGGGACGCAACACCCCGCCGTGCGTCTCATAGACTTGCGCTCGGGATCTAACGTGCAATCCCTCTCCAGCAATGCAGGCGCGATCCTTGCGACATCCTGGTCGCCGCGGCATGAGCACGTTCTGGCTACCGGCAGCGTGAATGGAGTCGTCAATATATGGGATATCCGACGGGCCAGCGGGGTCATCGGGATGCTAGACAAGGAAGACAACCTAGGACTCTACTACAACGGGCTTCTAGACCGCAATACGGGAAAAACTCGCTTCCGAGCGTCTGCGAAGGCGCACTCCGCTCCTGTTAATGGACTCACGTGGACCGATGATGGAGCGTATATAGTGTCGGCGGGACATGATAGAAGGATCCGCTGCTGGGACGCGGCGACGGGGAAGAATACACTGGCGAGTTATGGGCCGAGCATTAGGAACAGTCAACTTGCGAGCGTGCCTATGTTCACGTCGCCGGTGGGCTTAACGCACCCTGGGGAAGAACTCTTGTTTTGGCCGAATGAGACGGAGATATTGGTTCTAGATTTGCATGATGGACATGTTATTACGAAATTACGAGGTACAGGACCAACGATATCGGGAGTCAGGTCTACAAACGGTTCACAGCGCACGGTTCGGAATCGCATTACGAGTATTGTGTGGAGAGGGGCGGGAGGTGGTGGAGGCTCGAGTGGCGTATGTATGGGAGGGGGCAATATGGCGGGGGCGATTTACAGCGCGCATCTTGATGGCCAGATCAGGGCATGGACGCCCAGACTGGAGGGGGACGATGCAGAAGATGAAGATGAGGATACGGTAGATGGGATTGGTGAGGAGAGGGCAAGGAAGAGGAAGGCACTAGATGATATTTTTAGGGGTTTGATGGGGAGAAAAATTACTTTTACGTAAGGTATCTAGCCTCTGATCTTGAATTTGCATCTAAGGGCAATGCGCACGTGTGCACCTTCTAAAATTGGTGCTCCTGTGATAATTACGTTTAGATATTCTATACGTAGACCGACAGACTCTCACATATGCCTTTTATTCGTATAGTTCCTATATCCATACCGACCATACGTACGTATAAGTGCGCGTATGCAGGGCGACCCAAGTCTGCAGATGGGACCCGAGCCCCCTATACCGCCCCCAACACGTCTCTTCCTTACCTGCCTACCTAGTTAATATCCTAATGAGTGCGCCTATAGCCTTGGAGGCAAAGTAGTATACAAAAGCTAGCCGACCGACTCTTTCATTATCAAATAGATAATGGATACCCTACCAAGCTTATCTCACCGCCGCTCTGACAAGATCTACATACATAACCTCCTATAGTACTTACATATGTACGTACACTTGGACCACCCTCATCCTGCACGGGCGTCAGCTGTCAGATATGCTCACGTGGATCCACATACACATGTATGTTTCATGTATCTTTTATAGGTATGCGTGTATTCGTGTGTACGCATCCCGGGAATACCTAATGGAGATAGGCCGGAGAAAGAAGTGAGATTTGGTGGGTATAGCAGGTCACGAGGCGGTTTAGGGGGAGTGGGTTATAGAGTGAGGTATTGCGGGTTCGGCTGATTTTTACTTAATACCTTCCGTTAAGAGTGTTATGAGATATATACATTGTGTCTGCTTGGTTGGCAGGGACGTAGTCTGCTAGGGACATGTAAGGCTTGACGAAACTTCCTGCCGGGGGACTGAATATACCTGGGCGCCTACCTAGGGCAAATACTGATTCTGTGGAGCGTTGTAGGTGTAAAAAGTTCTTATTTTGGTGGGTTACTTGGGACCCGGCGGTAAGCCTTGTGCAATTGACTGTGAAAGTTGGTTGGTAGTCGGCCTCTTCCTTCCTGTGCTGACCCCTTTACTGTTACAGGATGCTTAAATCCTGTAGTAATTACAATCTTTCTTTGCTACTTAGGACCATGGATGAATTGGTTGCCCTATTCTCGTGAGAAACGGGCCTGTCTGTTAAGACGTGATGCTAATAGAGCAATTTTAACGGGATCTTTATTATTTTTCGGCTTATTTGACGTTTTCGATATTTGATACCTAGGTATTCTTACTAACCTAATAATGATCAACACAATATCCTCTCATAAGGATGTATGCTTCATAATGAACCTTTGACAACAAGATATACTATTGCAAGTTAGGAAAAGTAGTAATTTGGCTGCATGAACAATTTCATAGGCCGCTCCATATTTATAGAGTATGTGAAAGTCGTACGATCTTGATACAAAATATGTAGATGAGCCAGTGTAGCTGATCTAATTTCTGTATAGGCCTACAAATTTGGGGGCGTGCTTAGTATCCCGCTTTCATTGGTGTATTTCGGTATGGGCAGGATATATACCCAGGAGGTGGTATCAAATATGCGCCATCTAAATCCAATATTCCTATTATTATGTTTTAAGCCTTTTACTTTGTATGAGGCTAACTAGCTGATCGTTGTAATACTCCCGATGATCTGGATAGACTTCTTCCCAATTCTAGGCCGCCGCTCGTCCGGTCTGCGGTCTGGTCGCCCGTTTCCCGCGGCCCGTTAGATCCCTTCGGCATATGCAGCTGGAATCTAGTGCATACTATCTTGTGTGAGTCGTTTATGATTTCATCTATCGTGGGGACTTTATGCTTAGGTGGGTTGCCCTTATATTTAGCAGGGCTGTAGTTAAACTGCGGTTCCTTCTACGATAGTAAGCTAGCATTAGTTTCAACTATGATCTTATGTGAAATATGTGTTTTGTATGGTCTTCGTACGCTTGTATTGCTACAACCATATACAAAGAGTCTCGACTTCTATAGTTCTCACTGCTAAGCACTTCTATATGCCTCTATTTCTACGGAGTTCGTAGATTAGTGTTAGATAAACATAACATTATACTTAATCCAGAACGACTAACATTTAGTTGCCTAGGTAGGTATGGATTTTGATTCGAGACGGATACTCGGAAATCAAACAAATGGTGAGTAACAAACGCGGCAACTGCGCCTCCTTTGATATTTTAGATAGATATCTGTAAGCTATCTAGAATAGAGCCCTTTCTAAATTTTAGTCCCCGGGGAACCTGTGAAGGGGGTTGGATACGCGCTGCGGAGCATTTGGTCCCTGAATATTGCTAAGCTTCGTTCTTATACTAAATAGTCGGTAGATGATTCGGCATGACGCATCTATCCGTAGACCGCCTCGAAAGCCACCACGATCTAACATTCAAATCTTGTATTTTATAAAGTGAGGCTGTAGTTTGACAGGTCTTGGGGGAACTCAACTTCTGTAGATCCTTCGAAGAAGACCCTAAGATCAGCATAGGAAATCTACTGTCATTACGGAGTCCGGAGTGAGGAGTAGGCGTTGACGGCTAGACTAGCTCATAGCCTATATCCACTTAGCCGCTTCGGAGCGGTCCTAACGACGGGCTCTAGATGCTACCTAGATGTTACTGAATAGGCAGGTACTGTATTTACCAATCCTGCGTAGTAGACGCGCTCCAGTCATTGAGGGGTATAAACAGTTGCAGCCCTACTTTCTACACAGGGAACATGTAGCCGCATAAAAATGGGTGGAGTGAGATCGCCAGTTGAGACCCAGGTACCTGGTTTGAACATAGCCCTGTTTCCTTTGCTTCGCATAGTAGGGCTACCTAGGTACATATGCAGGAGCACTCTATAAACTTCGTTGGAACGCGTGATGAAACTTACGAGCTAATTACTCAAATGGGCGAATAGATAAACAAGACGGAATAGGCAGGTATCAAATGTGGTGATGATGCCTTGTCGGAATCGTCATGGGTGAATACGCGTATCAACTAACTCATTCGTAAATGTTCTGTTTACCACCAGGTAGAGCGGGTCGTATTGTCTAGGGTATTTTGTTCAGCTACAGTTAAGTATGTGGCCATTTAGGTATATACCGTTCTCTCCAGCAAGTCGAGATTGGAACGAATTACGATGTGTACATTTACAATTACACTATGTTTCATATCTGTTAAACGTGCTGGCCATACTTGTTTGGGTTTGATTTTGACAGTGATGGCTCTTAGTCTCGCGTCAACGAGCTTGGCGAGAAACACACTAATTTGAAGCCGCGTTAGTCTTGACGAGAATATGGAGCCGATTGGATAACCCCATAAGAAGTACCTACACTTTCATATTATGCGAAGAATGATGCATTGGACAATGCAAGGTCTAAGTTGTCAAACGCACGTTTAGCCCCTACTAGTGAACTCAGGGGTTCAGGGGTCAAGGGGATTAAGTTGGAGAACAGGAACAAGTACACGACTAGACGGGCTTAGGGTACTCAAGAGGAAGTTCGTACCGTTTACTGTCAAAATCCTGGCTTTTCGACACGTGCATTCCAGGTCTTTGAATGGGTCCCCGAAACGGAGTTCTGGCGTAGTTTATACAGGGTTAAGCGACTCGGCTATGCTCCTTTTTGACGGCGGGAACTCCATTATTATGTGTCGATGGGACTTGAATTTACCTAGGTACGCAGAGACCGAGAATTGGTTGAAATGCTCCGAAGGCTACAGAATAGCATGTCATACCTGCTTTTTCTCGCTTGTCTCTGTTATAATTATATATAGTCGAGACTAACTCACTGGCTTGGAGTACTAGCCGACAACTGTTCCCACGCGGCGGGCAATAAAGCACGGTAATAGAAAAGTTGGATGATATAATTAACTGCAAATGTTCAGAGTGAAAGTCTGGAGTGTTTTGATTGATCTGGACTATCGTTTCGGCGACCTGAGAATGAGGACGTAGGGTTCGATATGAAACTGTAAATAGGACTGGCGCGTTCCCCAGCCTGGGATTCAGCTGAAATTAGGATTCCAGTTAGTGACCTCCAGCCGGACCCCCGGATCAGCCGAAATGCATCTCAAATATTCTCGAATGCTCTGTAAACGTATGAAAAGGAGTTATAGATTAAGCCGATCCCGTCCTTATGTATCTCGTCTAGTTTGGATATTGTTGATGACGACGCTCCTAAGGTCTAGGCCTTAGGGAAGGGATTCAGATGATGGAGAAGCTGAGTACACTGTTACAATAGATGTAACTAAACAGTTATTGAGAAATGCCCCCCTGGTGTACTGGGATGGAAGCTTTGACCTTGGGCTGTCTTGTGTGTCGAGAATTACCCAGTAACAATGACACGCATACTCGCATGAAGGCTCGTTACCTAGGTACCTAGGTAGGTAATGATTATTTATTCGAGTATGAATCTTTCGGGGGGTTACCTAGTAAGAATCGCTGTAATCGCCTTACATACATCGCTAAAGTCTCATGAAGTACGTGGGTAAGTAAGAGGCATCTAAATATTTAGACGGTGATTAAAGAGAGTATGGTGATGTATTCAAAGTAAAGTGAGCTCGTAAATCCACCCATTCGTATTTTAAAAGGTAACACATCAAAAAGAAATCCCTTTTGTTTACATTTGATTCCTTTTTCGAAAGAAAAGAGTCCTTCGATACCGCAACAAGATTGAAAATTCGTAACCTCATACACATAAATCCATACATATCGTGGCATTACAGATAAGACAAATCATGATCCAGCGTAACAAGAACATCCCGTAGCAACTCACTCACCCATACATAAGAAACAGCAGCGTAACCTCGTTAGTATCACATAAGCCCCTTCGTCGTTGTTTTTATCCCGCTATGATGCTCATTCTGGCCGATAGTCGTTTATGAGTTTGATTTGTTCAACCCCAAGGTGAAAAACTTTTTGAAAGAGGCGCCGAGTTTCGACTTCTTCTTAGCTTCGGCTTCCGCTGCCTCTTCAGCCTCTCGAGCCTTCCGTCTTTCTTCTCGTCTTGGATGTTTGACTTCCTCCTTTGATGGCGAAGACCTAGGGCTAGAAGATCCGGCCTCCACACTATTCTTCGATTCTGTCTTTCGTTTCTTAGAGGAGTCATCATGGGAGCGGTGACTCTTGGTACGAGAAAGATCCACCGATTCTCTGTGAGACTTAGTAGTGCTAGATCGCTTTAGGGTTCCTGACTTCGGCGTGTCCTTGGAAATCGAAGTGCCATTTGTACTGTTGGTCCTGGTACGAGGAGCAACGTTTGGAGCTAGGATACTCTCGCCCTTCAAGTCAAAGAATTTCTTGTTCGAGGATGAAGTCTCTCCTTTTGACGAGACCCTCTCGGATTGGGTTCTTTGAGACATCCTGTCAGAAAAGGATTTTTCGGAAGGCCTCTCCGAGTATGACTTTTCAGTGCGTCTGTCAGTTTGAGACTTTTCGGATTGGGCGATGCTGTGCCGCCTTGAACTTCGGTGAGATTGTCTATCCCCGACCGGAGGTTCTGGATCCTTGCCTTTGCTCTCCTTCACTTTGTCGTGGATTTCGCGAGAGGCGCGTCTTTCTTCCTTGCGTTTGTCATGGGCAGCCTGCTCTTCGGGAGTACGGTGTCTTCGGCTCGAGGAACTGTGCGAGGTTTCAAATGAAACACCGCTATCTTGCTTCTTTGGCGTAGGTGGGGCTGAACGGTCGGAAGTAGACTTAATAGAGGGGTTGTTGTCTGGTCGACTGCTGCGGTGACGTATGTGCTCGCTGCTACTCTTGCTATCCCTCGATCGTGACGAATGATGATGATGATGGTGGTGATGATGCCGATGCCGGTGGTGTCGCTCGTCTGCGGACTTCTTTTCTTCGTCGTCTGTAACCAGGTCAGCAACGGGCAGTGAAAAATCATTCTGGCCAACGCTCTGATTCCCTGCTACATCCCCTAACGAAGAAACGTCATCCGATTTCTGAGCGACCCCCTGAGCTTGTTCCAGAACTTCTGCAACATCTTTCTCGACTTGGGCACTACCTAAGCGAGTATCGGGCGGAGGACTAAGCTCCCGAGCGGCGGCGTATATAATAACGGCCGCCGCGACTGTTTCCTCCGAGTTCCTAAGGGTTCGTCTACGTTGCTTCCTGACGCTTTTTGCACGACTTAAGGCCCTTGCCCTAGAATCTGTGAGGTCAGGAAGAACAATGCCTGGAGTTGTTGATCGAGGTATCAAGTCAGCAGGATTGAAGTAGCCGTATGGACTTGGAGCCTCGTTAGGGATAAATTCATAATCAGATTCAGTCTGTGTACCTGAATGCTTTAGAGACGGTCTAAGTGCCCGTTTGCTGCTTCTTTGAGGAATTGGTTCTTTCTCAATCATTGTAAAAGATTCCTCAAGAGGCGTGTTGGCCGCCACTATCTCGGGAGACTCAGATGTGGTGGCATGAGCTAGGTCCTGATCTTCTTGCTCATCTTGTGCTACGGAGTCGAAGTTCCTTGAATCCCTTGGAGCCTCATAGATAGTGACATTGACGGGGTCTACCGACCGAGAAACTTCGGAGACAATTGCGCATTGATCACCTGCTTCATGGATAATTGGTTTTTCTGATTGTTTGAGACCGGAAGTTTCTTTCTCGCGTAGTGATTCACCGTGCGTAATTTCAGGTTCGCCAGTGTGCACAGCTATTTGCTGAGGCTCATTTGGCTTTTCGGCAATGTGTTCAGCGGGTTGGTCAGATGTCTCCTTTCCAGATGTGTGCCCATGGGCAATTGTACCACCAGCAATTGCAGCAGTGGCTGCCCCAACAATTCCCGCTTCGACTAAGTTAGAGTGGCCATCCTCTTTGGCTTCTGGGATAACACCCTTCTCTTCTGCTGCGTGGGCTGGCAAGACACTTGTCGGCTCAACTGGTTCTTCTAATTTTTCGGGCTCTTGTTGGGATGTCGAGTCTTTCTCTTGCTCTGCTTCCTTGGGGATGGGCTCCGGCACACTCTTGGACTCTTGGTCAGGAGTCTCGACTAGACCAATATCACCAGGTACCTCCTCAGGTTCTTCACTGGCGATTTCTTTTGTGCTGACGAATGGGAGCGCATCTTCCTCTGGGACGTCTGGTTTGACTTCAGGTTCCTCCTGGATTGTCTTTTCGAGCGGCGCGATACCGGAATCATCAGCTAAAATATCGACTAGGGTATGAGTTGCAGTTGTATCAACTGACTGATCCTCTAGGGTGTCTTTCTCTGCGGCACCCTGACCACGATCTTGAGGGGTATCATCTTCTGTGGCTGGTCCCACAGGTGGTTCGGTATCAATAATGCCACTCTCAACGATGGACTCACCAGGTCGTCTTTCCTGGTCATCAGCTGCCTCTAAAGCCGAAAATAGTCGTTCTTCGGACGCATCTACCGTGGGAGCTTCAGGATTATCGGCGATAACTTCATCGCTAACCTTTTGAGATTCCTCGGCGCTCACATGTGTGGCTAGAATCTCGTCCGAAAGCTTGTCTTCGCTAACATCGGCCTGTTCTTGGGTTGGCGATTCATCTAAGGCTGCGACTTGATGCTCCACCGGCTCTTTGGGCGACGATTCGGGAGGTTCTTGTTGAGCAGAAACTTCTTCTGTGGTTGGCGCTTTGTCGCGTGGTGGTTCCTGCTCGAGGCCGATGTTATCCGTGGCTTCTTCAAACCCTCTCACGTCGGCTTTTTCAATGACAACGAACTCATCGTCGACGTCTGGTTCAGTGGCCAATGTGTCTTCTGGTGGTTGTAGTGCGAGACTTTTGGATTCGACGGCGTCCTGTTCTTCGGCTCTAATCGCCTGGTCGTCGTGTGGTTCGTCTTCAGATTCGACAATAGGAGCCTTTTCTTCGGCTGGCGGTTCGGGCTCGCGAAGCTCGTCTGCGGGTTCTTGCTCTATTGGTGAAGATGCGTCGGCGACAGGTACTTCCGTATCAGCGACAGTCAAGTCTTGTTCTGCCGTAGTTGGATCTTGTTCAGCAGTGGGAGCTTCAGCTTCGACAGCCTCTGGGATTCCAGCAGATGGTTCATCTGCTGGTCCCGTTGGTTGCGGTTCTAATGATCCACCCTCGCTTGCGATTGGGAGATCGGATGGTACCGTCTCTTCAGCTGCATCCTGAACGGATTCTTGTATGGCTTTTTCAGCGGGCTCTTCGGCGGATTCTTCGATAGACTCTTCAACAAGCTCACTGATAGTTTCCAATGCTGGTTCTTGCACCAATTGCTCGGTATCATCCGTAGCAAGTTGGATACTGACTTGGCCTTCGGAAACTTCCGGTGGCTCAACGAGTGCTTCCTCGGAACTTTCATTGACTGTTTCGTTGAGGGGCGGCTCTGAGTCCACGGCAATGGGGATTTCACCATTCGCGGCCTTCTCCAATGGGATTTCTGCCTCGTCTTGTGGTTGAGCCTGCGCTTGTTCCTGTGACTTCTCTGGAATGATTTGCTCTTCAATAACAGACTCCACTGGCACATCGCCGGGTTTCTCATCAGGACTCTCTTCAACTTGGGCCGGTCCCAACTCAACTGGGACATCCACCGGAATCGGCGATTCCTCTGCAAGGGTGGCTTCTTCTGCAGGGACGGAATCTTCTACGGTAGTAGATTCCTGTAAGACATCCTGTTGAGTAACGAGCTCCTCTTCAATAGCGACGGGCTCAGGCTCAGGCTCGGGCAATAATTCCACGGCCACGTCGTCGGCGGGAGTAGCTTCTATCGGAACGATCTCTGTTTCATCTGGAATAACAAGATCTTCCGTCGTCGTCAGCTCCTCCGGAATAATCTCTTCTCTGGGTATGGCGGGTAATTCCTCTTGTAGTTCGCCAGCAACTGTAGGCTCTTCCAGTATTGTAGCTAACTCCTCTTGGGACCCTGGCTCCTCCGTTGCCGCGGGCTCTTCTGGGATCGTGGAATCTTGCATAATATCCTCTAGAGCAATTGGGGTTTCAGCAACAAGGCCGGCTTCTTCTACAACACTGGAATCTTCTGCAGCGACTAGCTCCTCAGCGGTCTCAGCAGGTGGCTCGTCAACCAATTGTTCAGTTGCTTCCTTGGCTAGCTGCTCGATGGGTTCCTGAACTGGAACTGGCTCCGCGGCCTCCTCTTCGGCTACCTCCGGAAGTGCCTCTTCAACCATTAACTCGGTAATTGGTTCATCAGCTGGTGCCTGTTCGGCTTCTACTGTTTCTTGTGGTGCGATATCGTCGGGGTCAGCGTCTGCCGTGGGCTCGGGTTCGGCGATATCGATGGGGTGTGGTTCTAGTAGAGGTGCAGATGGTTCTGCTACGTCGGCCGGCTCAGCAGGAGGTTCAGGTTCAGGTTCAACCTCGGAGACTGCCTCGGGTGATTCTTCTGCAGGAGCTTCGGGAGCTATATCCGCTTGCGGCTCCTCGGAATTATCTGGCATCACTGGCTCTGGTTCGGGCTCCTGTTCGGGCTGCAATTCTTCTGTGGCAATTACCTTCCCAGGCGGGGATTCTGCGGGAGTCTTGACCTCTAAACTATCATCGGACTGCAATGTGTCACGAATAGTTACTTCGGGTTCATCGCTCTCCTCAGTTGGAAGTTCGGGCTCGGGAGCTAGCTCATCTACTTCCTGAGGTGACTCTTGTTTGACTATGAGCTCAGGCTCAACCTCGGCGACGGTCTCATCGTGGCTTGGCGCAGGCTCTTCAATTTGAGGGGCGTCGTCTTGAGATGCTGGGGTTTCTTCCTTGGCCACTGCTTCTTCTATAGTAGGTAGAGGTGCGTCTCCAGATTCCTCTATTGGTTTGAAAGTAGACTCTTCTGCGGGGGTAGGCTCTTCAATAGGCCGGGAGGCTGGAACTTCTTCTGGAACATTTTCTTTGACTAGGTCGTGAACGGGCTCCTCGCCGGCGATTGCCTCCTCAATTGGTTCAGCAATGGGTTCATCAGGAGCTGGCTCATCGGCTAATTCGGCAGGAGCTTCAACAACAGCGTCCTCAGAATCAGGCGCGACGATATCTAACTCATCAGAATAATTTACAGCTTCAACGGCAGGCTCTTCCGTGGTAGCTTGTTCGATGGTCTCGTCGGCCGGAATCTCTGTAGTGCTGACTTGCTCTTCGGATTCGTCGGGAGGCTGACTTGGTTGCGCATCATCGACCGGAGCTTCCGGAGCTACTTCGCCGGTATCTAAGGTTTGCTCAGGACTTGTAGTTTCTGCCGCAGATTCCTCGGCGATTTCTTTAATAGGCTCGGCAGCATCGGGCGCTCCACTATCAGGGTCTGGTAACGTCTGGGATTCGTACGCCTCATCGGATTTTTCGACGGCGGCTTCTTCGGGACCGGTGTCTTTTATGTCGTCCGGGACGGCTTCCGGTTCCTGTTCAGCTGCAGGTTGGTCTTTAATAGACTCTGAAGGAGCTTCAGCAGCAGCTTCCAGTGGGATATCGGAGGGCTGCTCAATCGAGTCTGATATGATCGGCTCTTCTGATTCAACGGCCTCTTTGATGCTATCACTTGGTTCTTCGGATATATCCGCCGCTTCAGCAACCTCATCAATTGACTGCACAGGAATCTCATTTGTCTCTTCGACTAGAGCTTCTTCTGGTAATGCAATTGCTTCTTCGATATGACTGGCCTCTTCGTCTTCAGATGTGGTCTTAACTATGGGCTGCTCAACCTCCTGATCCGATTCGACCTCTTGAAGGGCCTCGGGTTCGCCGGGGCCATTAAGTTGGTCTTCAGGTTCTGGTATTTCCTGTTCGACTGACTGAACAATCTCCGGTGCTTGTTCGTGAATCTCTTGTACGGCTTCGGGGTCTACTAGTGCTGTTTCTGCGACTGGTTCTTCACGCGACGCCTCTTCCAAGACACTGCTAGTTGCATCGGGAGACTTTTCTTCAGCCTCCTCGTATATCTCGGCGGGAGCCTCTTCATCCGCAGCCACTTTTTCATCGCCTTCAATTTTCTCGGGTTCCAATTCGACGGGTTCAGGTACAGCAGTAGGAGCTTCTAGTTCCTCTACGGGTTCCACTGGCGCTTCACTCACTGGCTGGGGCTCTTCCTCGGCAGCCGCAGTGGGTAAAGGCTCATCCTTTGCATCCTCTATAGCACTTGACTCTAGATCTTCAGCTTTGGGCCCTTGGCCTTGGGAATCATCTTCTTGCGGAGCGGATACCTCCGCTATGGGAGAGGTGCTGACTTCTTCTGTCGGCTCTGATTCCGGTGCTATCTCAGCACCCTCTTCGGGGCCGTCCTGGATGGCGACCGTCTCTTCTTGTGCTTCGACGCTTTCCGGAGTTTCTTCCGGTTGAAGACCGAGGTCATCTTGACCTGGTTCGGCTGGGGAATCTGTGTTACCCTCGGGAACTTTCTCGCTATCCGCCGTAGTGGGGCCGTCCTCAATTGACGGTTGATCAATATCCTTGTCGACTACTAAGTCGTCTGCCGGCTGGGCAGCTTCCTCCTCTTCGAGGACTTGAGGTACCTCTTTAGTTTCCAAACCTGCATCAAGCTGGTCTGGTTCGGTTGCCTCTATAGTACTTGGTTTCTCCTCTTTCAACTCGCCCCCTTGCTCATCAACTGATATCAAATGCTCTGAAACCAGCTCAGGGGTATCACCAAAATCATTCGCAAAAACACCAGGGGTATCTCCTCCAACTGAACTTAAAAATGACTGATCCTCACCTTTCGAGCTGCCCTTCCGGGCGGACCCAACCTCACCTGGGATGGGCCCAACCGTATCCTTACTCTCATCATCACTTTGGATCTTCTCGGCCTTGATGTCCTCTTCGACTGCCTTAGACTTTTCCTCCACAAGTGCTTCCTTAGGTTCTTCCGGCTTATCGTTAATTGCTGGCTCTTCCACAACCTCTTTTGCATCGACGGCATCTGTAGTCTCCTTAGCTTCATCCTCCTTCGGCTGATCAGCTGCAATGTTTTCAGCCGGTGTATCGTCTTTCGCATCCTCTCGTGTAGGCTGCTGTTCAAACTCCTTAGGAGCAGGTTCGGGCTCCGGTTCCTTAGGCTCCTCTGCCGGTTGGCCTTGCGCTTCTTCTTGTGCCTCTTCAGCAGGCTTCTCATTAGATTCTTCCTTTGGCGGTTCCGCTTTTGGTGTAGGTTGCTGTTCGACCTCGGCAACAATCTCTGGCTCTGGCTCCTTAGGTTCCTCCTTGGGCTCCTCAATCGATGCTTCTAGAGGTTCTTCATTTGGTACTTCTTTAGGCTCTGCGGGTGTTTGTTCGGGCTCTCCCTTTGCCTCCTCAGGTTTATCTTGAACTTCGTCTTTAGGCGCTTCTTGGCTTTCTCCACCCAGTACCTCTTTGGGTTCTTCGTGAACGTCTTCTTGAAGTTCTTCCGGTTTAGTTTCCTCCGTTGGTTCCTCCGTTAGTTCATCCTCAGGCTCCTCGACGGACGTCTCCGGAGCTTCTATTGGAGGAGTCTCGCCGGTTTCTTGGGCACCCTCTTTCGGTTGATCCTGAGCCTCTCCCTGAGGTTCCTCGGGAGCCTTTTGAGCTTCCTCTTGAACTTCCTCATGGGTCTCTTCAGGAGGGACTTCGGGCTCAGCGGTATCGGCAGCGGGTTCCTCGGCATGAGTTTCTTTTCCGTCAACAGCCGCGGGTGCGTCTTTAGCTATAGCCTCTTCCACCACGATTTCAGGGGCATCAGCAGCGGATTCAGAAGTACTTGGTTCACCAGCTGGCTCCGTCGTGTCCTTCGCAACCTCATCGTTGGGAGCCGATTTCTCGGAATCAGGCTCCGCAACAGCAGCCTGTCCTTCAACAGTTTCACCGGCTTCTTCTGCTGGGTGCTGGGCGGGTTCTTCTATAGACTCGTCTGAATCCTTAGAAGCCTCTCCATCGGCTGGCTTGTCAGTAGGTTCGTCGACAGGTTCCTGGGGAGCTTCCTGGGCCGCGACTTGATCAGGCTCCTGAGAAGGCTCCGAAGCAGCAGCGTTCTGTTCAGGCTCTTGTATGGGTTTCTGGGCGGGCTCTGGGGCCGATTCCTCTTCGGGCTCCGCGGGAGCTTCGCCAGCGGGTTCTACGGCAGGAGCTTCAGGTTCCTTGGGAGGTTCGGGGGTTGACTCGGTAGCCAGAGTCTCTTCGACAGTCCCTTCCTTTGCGCCTTCGGTCTGAGATTCTTGTGCGGTGGGCTCAACATTAGCTTCACCAGCAGCTTCGGCGATGTCCCCTTCGGGCGGAGATTCTCCAGCGGATTCGTCCTGCTTTTGCTCTTCCGATGGCTTTTCTTCGGTAGAAACCTCTTGCGCCGACTCTTCCGCAGGTGTCTCTGTTGCATTGGTAGGAGGCTCCTCAACGGCCTCAGGTTTCTCCTCCGGTTCTTTGGGGGTTTCAGCTGGAGAATCCTGGGCTTGAGGCTCTTGATCAGAGCTACCTTCTACGGCCTCCGCACTGGCTTTGGTCACCTCCGCCGACGCCTCAACGTGAAGTTCTTGTGCGGTGACTTCCGTAGCTGGTTCTTCGGTTGGCTCCTTAACATTGTCACCAGGTGTTTCTACGGGAGCTTCGTCGACGTGGACCTCTTCACCACCGGTCTGCTCGCCATCGGCGGCGGGAGTAGTATCTTCGGCTGCAGCAGGGGTTTCGGTTGGTTCCTGTGTCTCGGCTTCGGCCTGATCATCGGCCGTTCCTTCGGAGTCACCAGCAGGATCCTTGTCCGCTTCAGGAGCTTCAACAGGTTGGGATGGAGCTTCCTTAACTGCTTCGTCTGCTACTACTTCGCCTTCGGTTTCCTGTGAGGGGCTGTCGGCAGCTTCATCCGGAGCTGCCACACTAGCTATGGGCGCAAAATATTCCACAATAAGGTCTTGAGCAGGCTCTTTGGTCTCGGAGTCTTTTTCCTCCTTATCCTGAGCCTGAGTTTCTTCCGTGCTAACCTCTTTATCGGCCTCTGTGGTGTCAGGCTCAGTAAGTATAGTAGTATCTGCGTTGGCGCTCTCTTGTTCTTCGGCGGAGATTGCGTCGGAGGTTCCTTCTTGGGTTTCAGAAGCCGGGACTTCAGTAGCGCCGGCTTCTTCCGAAGGCTTTTCGGGCTCGGCTACCTCTTCCGCAGACTGGCTCGAAGCGTCATCTTTCTCCTTTTCACCTTCATCATCGGTAGGGGCCGAAGCAGTCTCTTTGGCAGCGACAGGCTCCTCCGGAGTCACGGGGTCTTCGGTAACCGTACTTTCTCCAGCATCTACCTTAGCTTCGGCGTCGGTGTGATCTTCGGTAACCTTGTCACCCTCACCAGACGCTTGCTCACCCTCTTGTGCTGATGGTTCAGTAGGCGCCGGTTGGCTATCCGTAGGGGTAGGCTCCGCAACCTCTTTGGCTGCCGGAGTAGGAGGAGTGTTCTCTACTACTGGTGCTGATGGGGCTGAGTCATTTTCACCTGTGGAAGTGTCTTGTTTCTGCTCTTCCGCGGGTGCCTCTTTGTCTGCATCGGCCGGTTCGCCTGCCGACGGAGCGTCTGTTATTGTAGCATCTTGAACAGGTGTTTCATCCTTGGGGGTTTCGTCTTCCGGTTTTGTGCTCTCTTCGGAAGCTTCCGGCTTACCTTCTTCTGTGGGTACAGGGGCCTCACCTTCAGCTGGCGGGGTGATTACGTCAGCCACTTGTTGTTCGGAATCTTGCCCGTCCACAGGATCTTGCTGGTCGGCGTTATCATCAGAACCTTTATCCTCATCGGGGTTTTTCTCCCCGGCAGGCTCTTGTTCCGATGAAGTTTCGACTTCCGCCGGCGTCTGCTCCGGAGGCTCAACAACAGTATCATTGGTGTGTGCCTGATCGGCACTCTCGCCCTCTTGGGAAGGGGCTTCGGGTGTCGCCTCAACATCTGCAGCCTTCTCGACGGTTTCTTCGGGGCTTGCGGGATTTTCAGTCTTTGCTTTAGATTCGGGCTGGGTTTCTGGAGCCTTGTCCTCTACTACCGAGGCGGTACCGGCTTCTTCCGATGGTTCAACCGCCGTTCCGACGTCAGTCTCCTTAGCCGGGTCATCAGTGGAAGCCTCCATGGGCTCAGTAGGAGTTGTTTCGGCGGCATTATTTTTCTCGTCGATAGTTTCACCAGCGTTAATGTCGGCAGCATCGCCCTCGGCTTCTGTGGGAGCTGGTGGGGTTGCTTCACTACCAGCCGCAGCGTCTTCTTTAGGCTTTTCCTCATATTTCGCAACAGCCTTTGTTTCATCCCCTTGAGGAGTATCAGATGCATCGCCATCAGCTGCCGGAGTCTGCTCTACAAGTGGCTCGGTAGGCTGAGAGGTGGGTTCCTCGGCTTCAGGCTCTTCCTTGGTGGGTTCGACGTTAGGTTCTTGGGCTTCAACTTTCTCAGCATCAACCTTAATTTCCCCATCGTCAACCTTATCATTAGCCTGGTCTTCGGTTTCTTTATCGTCGGTCGAACCCGTGTCCTCGTTATTAGCCGGTTCGGGCTGCTCCGAGACTGCCTGGGCTGGTGTGGGATCAGCGGTGGCCTTTTCTTCAGCTGTTGCATCGGCGACTTGGTCAGTATTCTCGTTATTTGCCTGTTCTGGAACAATTTCAACAGCTGTGGAATCATCTGCGGCCTTCTCTACGGACGTTTCGCCACCCTTTGGTACGACCGGCTCGCCAGCAGCTTGTGCGGCAGCTTCAGCCGTGGCGTCGGAGTTGATATCATCGGTATTCTCGGTAGCCTCGTCGTTTTCGCCGTCCTTGGCGGTTTCGTCGGCTTTGTCGCCATCACCCTTGTCGTCGCTTGGCTCCGCCTCAGGGGCCGATTTCTCCTCTGATATTTCGGTAGTCTTGCTTGCATCGTCCGCAGCTGTTTCGTCAGTCGGTGCCGGGTCAGCCCCCGCAGCAGGTATTAATTCAACTGCCTCACTACCCTCCGCGGGTTGGTCGGGTTTCGTCTCGCCTTCTTGTGTATCTTTGGTGTCTTCCTGCGCGTTTGTAGGAGTTTCGGTTTCCGCCGGCTTAACCGCTTCGCTGGTCTCATCGGACTTCTCCGCCTCCGCACTTTGATCCTGATCACCCGAAGGTTCAACCATCCCTGCGGCAGCATCGGTTTCCGGTTCGCCCGCAGGTGCCGTTTCTCGTTGTGTGTCTTGTGGGGCGGTATTTTCTTCAACATTCGGACTATCCTCCGCTCCATCTTTAAGAGCACTATCAGGCTGAGCTTCCTCGGAAGCAGGGGCGGGCTTTTCAGTAGCTGGAACGTTAACCTCATCGGCCTTATTGACCTCAGTGTCCACAACTACATCATCACTTGATTGCTCCGGATCCACAGTACCTTGGTCTTCGGTCGGTTCTGGTTCGGTGGCTTCAGTGGTGTGTTCTTCGGATTTCTCGTCAGCCTTGGCGGCTTCAGTAGACTCAACCGCTGGTTCCTCATTTGACTCATTTGATTCGGCTTTTGGTTCGTTATCCTTGGCCTCTTCCGTTTGGATCCCCGGTACGACCGCCGAATCATCAGCGGGGGCTGTCTCTTGACCGGCATTTTCTCCCTCCAGCCCCCCACCGTCCTTAGCAGCTTCACCTGTCGTCGGAGCAGATTCCGATTCTTTAACTTCGGCTTCGGGCTCCGGTTCGGCGGCTGTTTCGGTCGGATTTACTGCCTCTTGATCCGCGCTCTCCTCTTGAGGCTTATCTACAGTTTCATTCGTCGTCGGGGTAGCCTCTTGCTCATTTGAGACCTCCTTCTTATCATCTTCTGCTTCTGGTTGCTCAGCAGCAGAGTCTGTTCCGGTAGATGGCTCTTGTGGGGCATCGGGTGTAGTTTCGGCTAGTGACTGCCCCTCCTTGTTGTCGGTCTGATTTTCTTGCCCCTGAGGAACAGGGGTGCTTTTGGGCTCGACTTGGACGGGCGGCTCTTCGGCTTTATCCGACGAGGCTTCTACCGGGGGGTTTTCTCCGGCGGGGGCCGGTTTTTCATCAGCCTCAACCTCAGCCGTGTTCGGCTCATCGGGGCTTGGTGCGCTTTCGTCTGGGGTAGGTTCACTCGTATTTGTTTCCTCCGTAGTTGCTAGGTCTTGGGGTTGTTCGGCCAGTTCCGAAACATCACCTTCGGCCGGAGAAGCATCAGCGTCGGCTTTATTATCGGTATCTTCACCGGCTGCCTTGTCTGGAACAGCATCCGTATTTTTCGGTTCAGGTGCCAGGGCCTGCAATTAAGTGTTAATGATCACAAACATTATCGGAAGTTACCGAAGTACCTAGCCTTGGCACTTTGATGCGTCTTCAGAAGTAAGGCGATATTAGAAATATTCAAAGTACTTACGGATTCGGGTGTTGCTTCTGTCACTTCTTCTTGCTTAGGCTCTTCACTCAGAGGCACACTTCCCGTCTCTGCAGGCAGTGGATCTTCAGTCTTTTGCGCCGTTTCCTCCGTTACCTGACTTGCCACCTCAGGATCGGCCTGATCGCCGGGTGGCTCAGGAGGTGTATCGGTTTGGCGTTCAGGCGGTTTGGCGTCGCCATCTATAGTAGTGCCAGATTCCTCTGGAGCTTCCGGCGTGTCTTGGTTTGCCCCGTCCCCGTTCGTTTGCTCTGCCTCTGTCTTGGTTGGCGGCTCAACTGGATCCTTGGGAGGTACTGGATCAGGCTCAGTTGGTGCCTGTTCTGTGGGTGGCTCCACAGCTGGTGTGTCTGATGGATCGTTTGTTGGTGCGGAATTTGGTGGTGGAGAAGCCTCTTGTTCTAACCCTTTGCTTTCTCCAGTCTCAGTTGACTCTACCTGAGCTTCTGGCTGAGCATCGGTGTCGACTTCTTTACTCTGATTCGGGGCGGGATCTATGTCTGCTGACTGCGATGGTGACGATGTGTCCTCTCCTTCATTGGTCTTAGTTTGGGATGGTGGCTCCTTTTCGCCAGCCTCCGCTGCTGGAGGTGGAGGTTCAGATGGTTCGGTATTAGATTCCATGCCCTTCACGGCATCATCAGCCTTCTTCTTACGTTTTTCCTTTTCCTTTTCCTTCTTTTTAGCAGCCCTCTTCTGTTTCGCAGTAAGTTCCTTTACCAGTGTGGACGCAGGTGCGGTCTTGGGTTTTTCTGGTTCGGACTTTTCGGACTTTTCAACTTTTGCAGCCTTTTCTTTCTTGGTCTTATGTGATGATGATTTTATCACGGGTGTAGTAGGTGTAGTAGGTGTAATAGGTGAGGACTCTAATGGTGGCGATCTGTGAGGCGAAATTGGTTGGGATTGACCCTCATCTACATCATCTTCCGGGACACTATCACCAGCTACGAGGCGTATTAGCACAAACGGCTTCTCTATAGTTTAAAATTATGTACCTTTATCCTCAGTTCCTACTTCTGACTTTTCACCCGTGAAGTAATTTATGTGAGAGAAGTCAGCTACTTGAACATTTGTGAGTGGATCGACCCGAGCAGGACAAAACGTGATCTCTCCTGGTTCTGCCATGCTTCGTTTGGTCCCCAATGACGAGGACCCGCCGGCGATTTAAAATAACTTATTCCGATTATTTCCTATGCAAAGTGACGAGTGCAATATGGGTATTCGCAGAGGCCACACGATGCAATTGGACAGTGAACTGTCAAACCAAGCTGTTTGGGGGTATCTGTTTCGCGCGAAATAAAAAACAACTGGCTGAAAATAGAGCAACTGGATACAGGCTCTACCTATGAAAAAGATGATTACGACTCTGAAAATAGATGGATGGGAGAACAATGGATTGAGTGGATGAAGGATGGGTGTATAATTGAAAAAAAAAAAAAAGAATTCACTCATCAATTGCGAGCTCGGATCCATCAGGAAGTGTAGGTAAGACGTTTAATTGACTACATGATCGAAGAGAACTACCTACATGGATGGGACTTACAGTACCCCACGGGCCTGGACATGTTAAAGTGGAGTGAGATCTCAAGCTCTTGTGATCAATATCGTGCTCGAAAGCAATTGACGGACACGACAGCATTGGCGCCACGTCGGCAGGGAGGTTGGGCTAGGTATGAGACAAGATCTATCTGGATCTGGGGCCGGAGCCGTCAATCGCATAATACCAAGTGAGCGGCTTCGAATATGACTTGACAAGGAAGCTCGTAGCGGCCCAACAATCAATAGGAACACTGCAGTCAGACAGAATGGGTCAGGACCCACGCATGAAAAAGCTCCGGTAAATGGACGGATGGGGACAGGCTGGTTGAAGAAGCCGCGAAGTTTGACAACATGATGCACGACCACTTGGCCATCGATCAGGAGGGGGATAATCAGGATGGCAATGAGAGCGATGGTGAGAAAGATAACGGCCGATACACTCGGAATCAAGGCCATCAAGGCCATCGTAAGGGACGATTGGGCTTCAACACCCCTCCCTCTCCAACCGCCATCATTTTGCGGGTGAAACGGTGCGAATAGGTAAATGTCTGAATGGTCCCTGAATTGGCCGCAGTGGATAAACCCACCCAACCGACAGGTTCAATGCAGCAGGGTACATGACGCCGATGCTAGTGTCGTGTGCAACGTGGTCGTCCTCGTTGGCATCACTGATGAGTCGACCCATACAATCCGGCGACGGCAGCCAACCACTTTGCGGGGCGAGCGTGGCGGAAAGTGTTGGAGCGTAATTGGACTGACAACTGGACAATGATCTGTCTTATTTCTCAATTGTCCGGTTTAATTGAAGGGCACTCCCACCCGCCAGTATGGCGAGAGAGGGAATAAATGTAACATGAAGTGGTGGTGATAGGGAAATATAGGAAAATTAATAATGAGAAGGAGAAGCTCTTCTGTGAGTTGTAGAGAGTTGCGATAATTGACAAATAGTGGGGAGGAATTGAATTTGGGGAGAAGCTAAGAACTCTAAGGAAATGGTGGAAAACACCTATCGATAAGGGGTACATGTAAGACAAGCTCCAACCTATCACATCGATAGGTTTATAGATGCGTCGGATCACGTAAGGTTTGGGATCCACCCTTAATTTTCCTGATTTCGATTTCCCGATTTCATTCCTGCCTAAGGCAACCCCAATTTGATAACTTCCATTGTTAGCTACCTAGGTACATGGATGTATCATGTAACCCTAAAGAAGAGGCTCATCGAAGTCGCCTGAGATCTAACATTTGAAGGATGTAGGTACAGATGTACGTACGTGTTTGATTCTGTTTGTAATGCGTACATGTACCTAGGTACTTGTTATCAGATTAATATATGCAACGATCGTACCAATGACATAATTGTCTTGCTTTACTTCTCCACCAAAAGCAATATTTAGATGCTTCGAAGTATCCGATGAATTATATTCACACACGCTTGGGTGTGAGAAGATGAGGTATAATATTAATACCTCAAATGAAAACGACAATCCGCAAGGCTAACGAAGAGAACGATTGTTACGGTGTACCCATTCGACACATGCGGAAGAGAAATACCCCTCTTTCTCGTTCGTGTTCCCTATCAGACGTAGTCGTATAGCGACGCATATTAAATAGCTCAGAAACGCCGAGACGCGTACCTAGGTAGGGAGAATTATGAGATATTGTAACATATTAAAACTATAAGAATAAACAGATACACCCTCCTTCCAGCCCATTCCTGGCGTCACTAAGATGCACGCGCACGCCCCTGCAGTAGGAAAAGCACTATTAAATATGGGTATCCGGGCTCTCATGGACGTCTCTAAAGACATATCGTAGCCATAATGGTCAACATTGATAATAATAGGTATAGCAACGTCCCTTACTATTTGACACTAGAAGTCGTTATAAAAGGTTTTGTCCCACATTCTATTCTTAACATTCTTTGACAGGTAATGTATGTGTACAGGTCAATAAGTTAAAGTCCATTTCAGCTCCTGTATATCAGACATTTTCCATAATGCTGGAGATTCCCTTGAAGGATATTATAGGTAACCTAGTAATATTTCCTAAATTTGTGGCCTAAAACCTGATTTCCTATATGGCGTAGGGCTTCAATTGGTGAAGAATTACCCATGTAATAAAATTAGATCGCCAAGTCTCCACTTAGGCTTCTCGATAAAGAATATTTCACGCCTGTGGAGTTTTGACGAACCAACCCTAGCAAAGGCATTACCAGCTTGAAAAGAGAAACACAGTATCAACTCTCAAAACTCTCATCATACGTGGGTATTAGGCGTCTTCTTTGATCACTATACCCATTTAATCCAATTAATCAATTAACTTAAATACGCCTTCCGCTAGCTGGAAGGTTTAGAAGGTATTGGAGAAGATGCATATGCACCTGCATTCAATAAGGTTGAGTTAACTATATGTATGCACCCTATATGCAGCTGGGTTTAGGAGAAGGAGCAACTGGAAAGAGTCCGCCTCTAAACGAAGTCCCAAGTCCCAAAAAATTCAAACCCTACTCACTTTTCAAACAATTTCCTTATCACCCAGGTAATATCGCATAGGCCATACTTCAATCCAGCCCAATGTGTAAACCCAAAGAGGACTCAAGTTGAAAAGTCCCAAACCACAACTTCCTGTTGCTACCCCATGTCCCTTTCAGAATACCCTTTTCCGGATCTACTTGCCCGCGATAAAGCCACCCCAATTCCTTGTATAGCTTAACGAACCAAACAGTGCCTATCGAATCAACAAAGCCATGAAACTGAAATGGCCCGATGACGTCCGCGCCTTCGTCTGAGAAAGTACTCGGTTGCGCGCCTTGGGGTGGGGATGCTGGGATATTAATCGTAAAGGGATCTCTCCGGCCCTCTTGCCAGGAGAGATACTTATAATGACCAGTCCATGAGCCCGAGATGGCCTTTCTAGCACCCATGGCGGTAAGGTTCGTCGATGGGTTTGGAGTGACGGCTAAAAGCGATGGCCGTCGACTAATATTAAGCGTGAAGTCGTCCATATGATTTTGAATAAATTCAATGGCCTTTTGTCCTGACTGAATTGCCAGGTCAATCGGTGTCGAACCAATCATATCCTCAAGGGTAATGCTTGCACCATGTTCTACGAGGAGGTCCGCGACATCGAAATGGAGATGCTTGGCAGCATGGTGAAGTGCTATTCGCCCATTGATGTCTACGACGCTGGCACTCGTGCGGTTCTTTAGCAGAAACCCTACGATAGGTAGGTGTCCTTGGGCCGAGGCAGCGTGCAATGCCTCACCGAGGACCTGGATAGGTAGAGGGCTACTCGACTCAGATAGAAGCTTCCTTACGCCTGCAATATCACCATTATACGCCAGAATGACAAGGCTATTGTCTTCTCGAGCCTTCGTTGACATAACTCCATCTGAATGGTTGCCACGCGTCTGGATCTGAAAGCAGCCTCGGCGAACTAAAAGCCGCATGATTTCTGGCTGAGAATCCTGAGCTGCAATGTCAAAGAGAGATTGCTGGTTACTTTCGAATATACCTTGTATCGAGGCCCCCGCATCCAGCAGCCATTCCGCCATGTCCTTATACTGCCTACGTACAGCGAATATCAACGCTGTGAGGCCACCCTTTGTCTTTCGATTCAAATCAACACCATGTTCAACAAGAAACTTCGCGGCCAGCAGCTGGTTGTTGATGACGGCAACTTGTAGTGGGCAGTTTATCGAGGAGTTCAGATTGGGTTCACAATCCACGCTAGCTCCGGCATCAACTAGGACCTTAAGAACGTCGATATTTCCGTAAGCGACAGCCAGTGGTAATGGTGCCCACCCTCTCTTATCCGCCATATGCGGGTCGGCTCCATACTTGAGCAGCTTAACGACTAACTTCAACGACTGGATGGCGTGGGTGATTGCACATGATCCGTTTGGGAAGACTGTGTTAGCTGAGACCCCGTTGGTTAGTAGCACATCCACGAGGCCCTCATCACCTTCTTCAATGGCTGCTTGCAGAGGTGTTCCAGCATTGCGACCGTCACGCGTTAGGTCCGCTCCCTTTTGAGCCAAAACAGATAGCACATCTTTATGCCCGTACGAACAAGCTAAACTTACCGCCGTCGCGTTGTCAGCGGCCACTGCATTGACATCACCCCCATAGTCGAGGAGTAGTTTAACAATCTCGAGATTTCCACGTTTTACGGCGTGATGTAGCGCTGTATACCTGGACTCATCAACTGCTGTTACGTCGGCCCCAGCAGAGAGGATAATTTGAACAATGCGTGGGCTTGCCATGGCAGCGCCAGCAACAATGGACGCGCCGAATTGCCCACCCTTTTGTGATACGTCAACATTGCGATTCAACAGGTATTTTACCAGGTCTTCGTGGTTTCGCGTGACAGCCGCCTGCAATGGAAACCCAAAGCGACCGCCCGCGCTACCGAATTCAAGACCCTGGTCCTCAAGCCACTTTACAACATCTATAAGGCCAAGGAGCGCGGCATAGTATATCGGGTTCTGCACTTGGAGGAGAGACTTGTCGTGGCTCTCGCTATCTGTCTTTGAGTCGGTCTCACCATCGCTGGTAACGTTCTCCCATTCATCCATTTCTGGATCAGCTAATTCAGCTTCCATAAGCGGCGTCCAGACCCTCCAGCTAGTAGTAGTAGGGTCGAAAACCTTTTGTGTTCGATGCATGATGTCTTGAGATGGTGCCGGCTTTTCATGAAAGCTATGGAAATACCAAGCCCAGGCGGCATAAGAAAGGAACGGGTACACTTCGGTACTAGGAAGGATGTCCTCGAATGTGTTCAATGTGAGGTATCGCAAACAAATGTACGAGAGCCGTTTCTCTTCAGCTACCGGATCTGTAAGGCCCAATTCCACTGCCGCTCGGTTAGTAGCAACATGGTTCGCCAGATTAGAAAGATATTCCTTGACAGAGAAGTGGACGAAGTGAACCGTATGGTCGGCTAACGGTACGTCCGATGAGCTCGCTCTCAGCTGCAACAAGGATCCGCATCGGCCTAAGATCATCTCTTTCACATAATCTTCGTCGACAAAGCCATTGTTCCATGAGTCCGGCAAGTCATCTTCTGGGTACTCGTCAAGGTCTTCTTCTGAGACAACTAATGCTTCTGCGAGTTGTTTGACTTGGAGAGGTCGTATGGCAAACAGGGTCCATCTTAAAATCATGACGGCCTTTTCCTTCTCATCCGGAGGCATTCGGATAATCTTTTCCAGTTCACGAGAATAGGCGTCGCTTATGCCTGAGGGCATTTCAATGACCGTCCTTGTGAGCTGCTTAGCATTTTGCCCGGGGGATATTTCCTGCTCCAAAAGTTTAATCCATAGGAACATACCCTCGCTCCTTTCGGCAGCTTGGCTGGCGATCCGCTGTCGTAGCTCTTCTTTTTTCTTGGAAAGCTTCTTATTAACCATATACTCCGAAAAAGAGCGCACATCTCTAGTGGTATCTTTAGCCGTTATACCATACTCTAACTTCTTCACGGTATCACCTTCGCTAGGGACGTCTTGTCCTAGGTATTCTCTGATGTCAGGAACATCTCTACTAACTACCATGACTCGCGACTTCGTCTTCTGTAGGTTCTTAAGCAAATCGCAGAGGAAGAGATTCCTCGGGTCGTTGTGGTGGTAACGGGCGCCCGTATCAATGTCGATACATTCGTCAAAGCCGTCAATGACGAAAGTGCAGCCCTCAACAGCTTCACCTACGGACGTAAACAATTCCCACAATCCAAGGTGAGTAAGTGTTTGCTCCTGCTTCCGCACCTTATAAACAGAGTTCATGACCGACATGACCCTGTCACTCTGCTCGAGCATTTGCGTGAGCCAGGACCGAAGAATTGCGTATGGATCTCGGGTTAGCTGGTTATCAGCCACACAGAAGAAGTATGACAGAGGTGCCTGTTTAAGTTGCTCAAGATATCGAATCATCCACGCCGACAAGAAAGTCTTTCCAAATCCGGCTGGTCCATGGATCCATAGTAGCCGCGCTTCAGGATCATCGTTTGAAATCCAAGTACGAAACTCGGGTAACTCAATCGCCCACTCGCAAGTCCCACTATGATGGTATTGGAGCGCGGTTTCGTATGTGTTCTGGGTATTGATACCATTGATCCAGGCTGATAAACGCTTTAATCGCTCCTCGCTTGAGGCATGTGAGCTTTCCACACTCCGTTGAATGCGATTGATGATATCGTCCAGCCGAATCCCATTAACTTCGTCTTGCACAAGAGCAACTAATTTGAACACTTCGTCCTCTTGTTTTTCAATAGAAAGCATGGGCTCTTCAACTATAGACTTAGAGGTGTGGATAGTACTTTTGATGAGTCGTTCTATTAATCGCGTCAGACATATGAATGGCCATAGTCTAGAAGTATTTAAACGTACTGAAGGTACTCTGTCCGTAATACTGTATTGCTTGAGCGAGAAATTTCAAGGCAGAGCCATAAAGCTTGACCAGCGCAGCCGAAAGCTGTTTGGTGAGGTTTGAAGTCCGGAAAAGAACTTTGGCTTCAAGTTCGGTATACCTGGCCACGATACTCGACACAGCCTCAATGCTTTCTATCAGATTACCAAATGTCTGGCAATCATTGACTGACATCTAAACGAGATGAGAAAAATATCGCTATTTAGGCCGAATCACGCAATAGTTACCTGGAGGAGGATCCTCACAGCCGCCCAAGGCAGGGCGGCGTAGCCAGGGTCGAACTGGACTGCTGCATCGCCGATCTCCTTAAACTTATTAAGCCAGTCGCATACTTTGCCTAGTGTATCTCGGACTAGTATTCTCTCGCCTTCTTCAGTGGTGTAGAAGGCCCATTGTTTCTTCTCGCAGTCTTTCTTCTTCTCTTCAATGACCTGGACTATTTCGGACGGTTGGAGTCGTGTATGACTACCATTCGACTTGAACGATTTCTTGTCCTCGTCGGGCAAGGAATCGAAGGCCTTCTCCCACAGGCTAGCTGGTGCATCTTGCTGTACATGTTGTCAATATCAATCACTACTAAAGAAGCCGGGGAATTTGCGCGAACTTACTTTTCCCGGTGCAGAGTCCATGTATCGTAGTTTTATCGAAGATGAGGTATCCAGATATAATGAGTGACAAAGCAAGACTATGAAGGAACGTTGTAGAGAATGCGACTACTTGCCTCTTAAGCCACAAATACAAGGGGGCGTAGTCATGAAATGAAAGCAACGAGGTGTTTAGCATCCCCAAAACCTCCCCACGAAGATAAGCGTGAGTTTTCAGCCGCGATGTTACTCGTCACTTGATTATCACAGCCCCCAAACCTCCCCCCTGTATCTGATTGGCTGTGATGGTGCATACTAGATCCTTCGAGTTTCATGCCTGCTACTACTCCCGAAGAATTGATGCCTTATGTTGTGTACGAATTTCACCGAGGACTTTTAAAATAGGAATTCGTCCGAGTGGAAAAGTTTGAAGGGTTTCGTTCGGTGTGGCAATTTACTTTTCTATGCCGTACTTGCAGCTCTGGTTACACTGGTTTTCCTGCATTAGGTAAGATACTGCGGTGTATATGACGATTAGTAATTGATGTGAGGCTTCTGATTGGTGTGCATAGGACTGCGGCATTGTGATTATCTCCAACATAATAGAGAATATTAATTAGTGTTTAGGCATCTAGGTATCTTAACCCTTATTTCGCGGTGGTTCATCGGCCACCCCTTATATTCTTGTTTCGACACGTCGTATAGGAACACTCAAAGAGTAAACTGCCCGTTGACCCCTTTCTCCCTCTCTAAGGGGCATCTAGGAATAGATCATCTACTCAAGGTACTTCCAGGGGACAATTCCAAGGCAGCATGTCCTCTCATTACCTCGGCCGAATAGTGCTGAGGATTACACGGCACATTTAGCGAACGCTGGTCTCAGAGATTGGTATCGCACCAGTGATATTGTCAATAAGTTAGTGTACGTAGGGCAGACTAAGACCAAAAAACATCTCATCCATCAACTGGACATGCTGGAAATATGTAAACCGCCAATGAAGCACCATGATCTCAAAACGCCAACGCCATAATCGGGAAGGGGGACAGTTATAACTCGAAGGGAGGGCTGCTATGCATCTAACGTCTCTGTTCGGTCCGGTATATCTCCCGCCATCCGAACTTTCATCGCGACTCGATCATCCATTCTAAACTCGCGCTCCTAAACCCCTTTCTGGCATCCTGCCTCACCCTTGATACTACAAGCAATTAAATGATCTTCTCAGTTGGATTCTTACATTGCCATCTCTGCTTGCAGCTTCCGCAGTTCTGCTTCTTCATCGTCTTCCTCGACCGCGGCGGGTTTGCTTTGAACTATTTGTTATATTAGCAAACCGAAGGAAACCATACTCAGGGTTATGTTGGACTTACTCTCTTGGTTCCCAACAGCGGGCATTCTGTGGATCGCATCCGAGACCGGTACGCTTCCCGATTCGAGCATCTTCTTGTCTAGTTGTTCCTGTTGCATCGCCTCGAGTTCGTCGTTCAATTCGTCTTCGTCTAGTGGTTCGCCGAGCTGGTTGTTCGTAATCGCCGCAACAATTTCTTCGCTAAATGCGTTTTGCTCCCGTAGTTTGTCCCTGTATTTTCCTAGTAAGCTAAAATGCACGGCGATAGCATTCCAAATCCCAATCTGGGAAAAACATACATAGTTTCGTCGACCTTCTCCGGTGTAAGTTTGCCGTGAATGTTCTTCATCGCTTCACCCGCTCTCTCCATCGCCGCGAGGGTCTCTCGATTGATATTGGCTGATTCAATAGCATTTATCTGTTGTTCTAACGTTCCGATCTGTGATATCGTCTGCTCGAGGCTGTGTTCGTGAGCCTTTTTTCTGCGTAAGGCGTTCTTGGCGGCTATCGGATATGCATACGTCAGCCTAGACCCAAATGCAAATGTTATTGTTTTTATAGCATGTGATCCGTTTAAAACTCACCGGTCTTATTTGTGTTTACGTTCTTCCGCGCGATAGCATCCTGCTCTTCCATCTGTGCCATTAGATGTCGTTCACGCTTCTGTAGCATTTCTAGCTGTGATCGTAGACCGAGGATGGCATTTTTCGGGCTGTCCTTTTTCTTCTGGGCGGCACCGCCGCCGAACCAAGTCCAGAGACCCGACATCGTGATGATGGTATAGATTTCTTGGAGACGAAATTGATACGGATGGGGAAGATTCGTATACACTGATTATCGAAAAGGTCTTGATGAGATACCGAGCTGGATATCGATCGCGGGGTTGGTTTAGATCGTAAGGTAACAGTCAAGGGGATGACGTCGCTTTTCTTAGCGTATCAGAAAAGGCGAAAGGGCAAATAGATAAATAGGCGTGTCGAGAAAAAGTGGCTGTCTAAAGCGGGGAGACTTCGTAATCGATGGAATGCGTGTCGAGTCGTAGAAAAAAGGAAGCCTAGTTAGGAGTGGTTGGTCACGAGATGATTGAGTATCAGGAAGTTCAGGCAGATGAATAAGATTGTAGGAAGGAAGGTAGATCAGGTACCATAGAAGAGAGTCGAGTGATTAGGTGGATAGATTAGACGATTAGATGACGCCGCAAGCGACAAGGGCGACCCAAGGTCCAGTGATAAGTTAAAGCCAAGGTCCGCCGCCTGCCCAAAATTGATACCTCCTGACCTTAGGTAAATGCTAGGTAAAAACTTATGTAAATGATCCATTACCGAAGATTAGCCGTGAATTTCAAGGTTTTGTATTAGTCATCGGCCGCAATCGCTGGGGCATTAGATAAACTCAAGTTGAGGAACCACTTTGAAAGTTTACCCAATAACAGACTCAACTTACATCTTATTACTTACTACACACACAAGGTGAGACTTCTCTCTGAGCTCTCAATTAATTCGATCAATCATATGGGGTTATATATCCCAATGGTTTGATGAAGATACCCTTCATGATTCGATCGTTGATTTCGTTTCTTTCGACCTTTCGTCAATTGTTGCCCTCAAAAGATCACTTCTAAATGTCCAATGGACCTTTACCATCGGTGCGATGTCTCCTCTCGAACCTCCCTTCTATGCACGTGGGGGACAAGGTTAGATTTCTAGGATGGTAAGACCGCATCTTTTTTCTCATCTTACTTTTAAAACAGCTCTGCCACACCGCACTTCCTGCAGCCGCCTGTCGCAGGGTGGATTTCTGTACTTTGGGAGGGGAATAGAAATAGGTACCTCGGAGAAGGAGTTTAGAAGGTTATGGGGGGTTAATCGGCCGGCAGAGCCTTGAAACTCGCCGGGTCTTCTTATTTAGTAGTGCAGGCTTGAGCGCTAACAACGCTATTAGCGTAACTGAGTATTCGACACATTCAGCTATATTGACGCTTCAGCATGAATTCCCCAGAGGAAATAAAACCATAGTCAATGCCGACGTTACGCTTCTTCTCCAAAATCTCAATTCCGAACAGACGGATATTGGTCAATGGGTCCATGTCATAGGTTATATTACATCCATCAAGCAGCTGTCCGTTAAAAACATAATGGGACCTAATCCGGCAATTGTTGGGGCGCAGATTCTTGTTCTTTGGACTGCTGAGGACTTGGACATCCCATCGTATGAGAAGGCGCTCAATCCCGAGCCTGATTGACCGAAACGGAAGGCCCCCAGGCTCCCACGCAAGCGATCGGTGGAATTACCCAAGGAAGACTTTCAAGCATGAGGCAACAAAAAATACGATGCATACCACTCGCAGAACTGCCAATGTGCTTATACGCGTTGGGACCCCAGCAGCCGCCATTTGACAATTTGCACAATTGCGCGTTTTCAGAGCCAGCCGTCCACACACAATTTGCTCGAACAATTCCCAGCCACGAAGACATGGTTACAAATTGATTTAGATGACGAATCGTTAGTCGTGTCATTCGTCATTTGGTACCATTGCATTGTCAACAATGATACTCATCGCAAGACAATGCTTTGTTGCAAGTACACGAGTCATAGTCTGGTGAAGTTTATCGATGCGCTGCAGGCTTCTCGGAGGCTATGCCAAGAGTTACCTACCGCAGCGAACCCTGGTTGTATGCCAACTCAGCAGAGCTAAGGGTCACTGAAAAAAAGAGCGGCTGTTCGAGAAGATAAGCTCCGATCGATCTCCGGTGCTACCTTGCTTCCCAAATGCTCCGCACTCGGCTGGCCGCGACCTTTTTGAACCCCTGAATATCGTTGGCCAGACGGCCGAACCACTTCATTGGTAGCTTGCACCGAATAAACAAAAAAGGAGTTATATCAAAGCCTTATATCTACCTAATTACCTCGACTTTAGATGTCTTGGTCCATATATCTGCACGACTTCTGCATGACATGCACAGAACCACAGGGTGAGATGCTTGGTACAAGCCAATTGGGACTAGATACGCCAAAAGGAGCTCTAGCTTCTTTGGCTTGTTGCGGCAGGTTGAGCGCCTATGCAGACAACCATTGAACTATCGTGTTTCAATCTCTGGGATCCACAGAGGCTTCAGCAATGCCAGATGGCAAACCCTCGCTGGAGGACGGTGCTCTCCTGCAGCTTTCAATCTCAGACAACCCATTCTCGACCAATTTCGAGCCGCCGAAGTCCCGCTCGTTGGTGGGACGCACGCCTTGACCCCTTTGCCTTGTGTTCCCGTCTCTGGCCTGACAGGCACATCTGCGTTACATCGGTGATCCGCCAAATCCCCAGATAGTTCGCGAGCTTGCTAGACGTCACTTCCGAGATGTCTCGCTTCCTTTTTTGTCATCGTATGGTCGGCGGGGTATGTGCCCTCTTCGATCCTTTCCTCGGCGTTTTGATCCTTCCCCAGACCCTTTAGAGATCAATACTGGCTGGTGTAATGGACGTTTGAGCGGTTTCTCGGGATTCAATTGCGAGCGCGCCGCAGCCTGCCTTTCCCACATCTCCTTCGACTTCAAACAAATGTCATCGATTTGTTCCTGGAGGCGGGTTATTGTCGGTAGGATTCGTGGTGAGCGAACTAGCTTACGTCTGTCAAACATGCACCAGGCGTTGTGATTAGGAAACCATCTTCCCCCTAGAAAGAAGAAAATAGCCATTAGTCTCACCGCCCACGACGAGTTGACATGATCATACTTCTCTCGTATACGGCCTGACGGTAGCATCCGGCCCCAAATAGTATTGGAGTTCCTGAGTGATGACTTTCTTGTGGATATCTAGATGCGGAATCCAGTATTTGTTCATGGGAGGGGTTGCCATCTTTCTAGCGAATGCTAGTCGAAAGAGGAATCGCTCGAGGGAATGCCCAAGGTCAGCATGAAACCGGTCAAGAGGGCTATTTATGCGAGAAGCCTGATAGCTTTTTTTGCGCCGCGCAAGCGTAATGCCGAACATTCGTCAACGGCGCAATACTACCGAAGGATTCTGCTATATTTTTATTCTCACACCGCCCTTGAGGTGCGAGAGGCTTTAATAGCCGTGTGTCTAAGTTATCTGGCCTGCCACACCTTCGTCCCGAATGCTACTGTGGTCCGGTGGTTGCATATACATACACAAGGGATGCATGGTTGCTCGCCTCACTTGCGCGCCCCATTTTTCCGCCACGGCGAATAGGCACCACCCACTACGAAGAGTACAGAGTATCTAATACCCACCGCCTAAGCACTGGGATTGGATCTTATTGCTCAGTTTCTTCCAGTCAGTACTGTATCTGGATTACGGTGCAGTCCCATCCCCTGTTAGTACCAAACTCCCTACTTTTTACTTTTTACGAAACTGCGTCACGCATTTACGCCCGAATCTACCTATATTTGTGGTTTGGATGCCCTATCATAGGGTGTGCGTGCTTCCTTTTTTGCACCTGTGGCGTTTTTTTCTCGCTCATTATGTCTACCAATAGAATCCCGAAAAAACAGGGTACACACGTCCGACCCCCAGGAAGCCTTGATAGAGGTCGGCGGGACCCAAAGAAACGAATAGTCACTGGTCTATTTCGAATGCCGTCTTCGATTTGCCTAGACTCAATAATACTACCATGTTCCTATACTTCAGCTTAAGAGATCGGCTCACGTTATCCGCGTCATCCGACCCAGATGCGGAAGTTACACCATTTATTGACTGCCTACTTGGGCCTTCATCGCCTCCACCATGCAAGGCTTTCGACCAACTTCGGAATAAATCGACTCGACCCATTTACTTGGCATAGTTCATCCATCAGTACCCTCCCATCAGCTGAAAGCTAAAAGGGTGGTTATCCTGATTCAGGGTGACATAAAATCGAAACAAAGAGAGCACTCCAATCATAAGGACGGGTTTATCGTCCCCAGACACTTAATTTTAGTAGTCTGATACGACTCCCCATACTTTTTCGGTCTGAACTATGGTTTGTTTAACTTCGGATGGTGGCCTACTCTTTCGGCCTACTTTAGTGTGACCGCCTCCGCGAAGTGCCACTCTCACAAGTTCTAGTTATCTTGGTCGTCCTCTTCGCATGTCCTCGTTGATTGAACGCTCATTCCATCGTATTATCAGGTATGGTTGTCTTAGAATAAGTTATTCGGAAGCGCAGACTGCGCATGCCGATTTTCGGAGAGCCGAGTCTTCCCATGCTATTTGCTTCTAGTTTGGCGGCTCCGTAAATTGAGCATTCAAACACGAACTAACGAGCATATTCATGATGATCATGATACCGTATGGCGGATATGGGTTTACAAAGGCGGTCGGGAAGGTCGCCGGTTACGGCGCTAAAGGGATAGGAGCGCGTCGGGACAGAGCCAGTTCGGGCGAGAATTCCTCATGTTGGGCGTAGCACGCCTTCACACTAGCAAGATATTTGGCCGCTCCCATTCGAGTCAGATCGATATCGCGATCATTAACCCCTTGTTCTCTAGCAAGTAAAAGTGTCCCAGGTTATCAAACTAATACCATATTCCAGATGAGTGAGGAACCGAAGATCGAAACCGTAGAGGCGGCAGTACCACGGCCCGAACAACCTGCGACCGCTGAGCGACCTAGTCATTCTATCGCCCAGACGTCGCGTCATATAATATACCATAATCTTAGTCGCACAGAATATGTCGGAGATCCCCTACGGATCCCGAAATAGGAGCGGTGAAAGGGGGTAAATACTACATCAAATGATGGAAGATAGATCATACAATCTATTCAATGCATCATTTATCTGTTTGGGTGCTACATTAGATGAGTACGTGGAAATAGGAGAACCAACGTCGAAATAAGCCCTTGAACCTTTAAGCCACTTATCGCAATTGGGTACATGAGTACACTAGTAGTGAAGGAAACAGGCAATTCTACCCCTTCCTCGCTCTTAACAGGGGGAAGCAAGTGAGGCAACTGTTATCGACCTAACTACATGGATTCCTAGTCACAAGGCCACTGCGATACATGTCACTTTCAACTATTATACGTCTCACTCTCGCGACGACACTCGTGGCTCCGCTAGATTTAGCTCTTCTGCAGGCCTCAAGGCAGCGTATCTGAACCAAAGTCCCGTGCTTACTGCGTGAACCCAAATTTCTCACGGGTCCATTCCATCGATCTCGAAAGCCGCGTGGACGACGATGGGATAGCTACGGGATGGCAGATTTCGAATCTCGTTGTAGCACTCCGAGCACGTTAACGAAGCGCAAAGAACGATCCGATTACTTTTATCCAACCGTCGGGATAGTAGCCTCGACTTTCAAATGTATTTATAACGAGATTGCCTAGGGATAGTGCGCGTCACAAGGGGTATGTCAAATGTCTAGCAAAATTCACTTACAATTACTATAGCACCCTCCCAAGTCTAGACCATGAAGAGACTCGAAGATCTTCAACATGACCTCATCATATAAAAACAGGGCGGTATGACCACGCGAACCAAGAGGTCGATACGCATCCGCGGCAAACCGACCATGGCAACGCTACCAGACAAGGGGCCTAGGGCTCTATCCATCCACCCCCCAAATATTGTTTCGAAGGACCAAAAGCTTAGAGCAGCCCAACGCAGGGAGATACTTGGGAAACAACGCAAATATCTCGTTAGATTACGCCTTGACGACATATTTAGCAATAGTAACATCTAGGTCTAAATCCAAAACGACCTGTAATAATACAGGGTTTGGACTTTGGAAGTTTCTCAAATACCAACCCACAGCTCACAGCTTGAGAATAAAAATTGAATACTCTTCACGCATCGCACTACATGCTGCGAATGTACTAGCCGAGTCGAATTCCACGGTATGTTTTTACAATACCTTTTGACCCATTTAAGCCCCATTACCATCGTCCCAACCAACGGCACTGAGTTACCTCATTATTAATTAGCCTTTGTAAGTGTTCTGCAATTTTATTTTCACTTTCCTTTTTCGAATCCAATGATCATCGATTCCCTGTTGAGGGGGCTTCTGAGTAACTTTGAGCGATAGTCTCTCCAAGGTTGAATAGCCCCAAACTACACTTTGTCTCAACCAACTCGAGTGGAGCGGTTTGAGGGTGGGTTTGTTGAACTAGGCATTAAGCCTTTGTTTAACAAGGTTGCCTCAGACATTCGAAACATGCAGTTTTATAATAACTACGAGAATTAAAATATCATGAATGCGGGAATCTATATATCTATATTAAGCTTCAATATGATTGGTGGTTTCTATATGTGCAATAGGGGCTGTTGATCACTGTGATATACCCAGTTGTATCATTTATTGGTTATTGCATTTTGAAAAGACCTATCGCAACCTATCATAGTCTTTGAGGCCATCTTTGACGTGTCAAATCTCTTTTAAGAGGCTTAGGCTAATTTCAATTAGATTGGCCTTTGTCATCTCACGTTAGGCAAACAATTCGCGATTATTGGAGGCTAAAATCAATTTTCGCGAAGTCTTGCTCTGTCGGTGAATGTATAAGTCAACCTTGGTGCCTGAATTTCGCTGGCAATAATATGATAAAAGTGAATAAAGTCAGTCCACTTTGACGCATAGCTCAGTCAAATATACCCCGTAAATACCTCCATATTCTGTATAATTCACAACATTATAGAAGCCTAGCTTGACAATAGAAGGCTTTCAGGTTACTTCAAATGCGCCGTGCTTAACCGCCCCGCGATGATTATATAATGGTGGGGTTACCCGCTGGGCTGATTACCTAATTATAGCTTGTTTAGGCCTTACGTATTTGTATGACCTCATCGGACGAATCAAATATCGAGAATGCCCGGACAAGGACATGGGCTGACAACATAACACGCGGTCAACCGCAACTGGTGACTGGTCACGACTTTTCCACATACTTCTCGAACGAACTGGGTTCTCAAAACCTGCAATTGTTCTTAACCACATGACATTAACTCAACTCACCGCATTGGTTCCATAGAAGCCAGAATGCCTAGCAAGGTTTCGAAAAGCCGTGTCTGCCGGGACTTGCTGCTGTGCAGTTGTGTGCACAGATGGCTAGGATGATTGACCGATCCGCAGCAAGGGTAGGTAAAAAGCAAAAATTCATGGGTGTTTAGAAGTTGTACACCAATACATAGAAGTATGGAAATCCTGATTTGTTCGGAAAGCCATGAGCCAGGGTAGCATTTTCATGTTACCTTGCTGTCTCGAAAACCATGGATGGGTTCGCCAACCTAAAGTTGCCTTGCCGTTGGCTTGGGTCAGGCTCAGGAGAGCGTCGTCATACCCTCGAGCCGTGATTCAGAGGTGACAGCTCATAGCCAATAAATACTTGGCTAGCTGCCTAACGGACCAGTCTTCGTAGCTCTTTTCTTTTGATTCTATTTACTTAATATCTGCAATATCCAGACCATCTGTTTGAATCTCTACTACTACTACTTTTCTGTGTGTTTGCTCAATAAACAACGTTTTCCTAGCAAATAAGAATCATACACATCCACATACAGCAGCCAAAATGATTCTAACGGATCTCTTCTCTATGATCCTCCGCTTGGCGGAGCTAGCATTCGCCGCTATCGTCGCCGGAATCAACGGCGAGTATCTACATGCCGTTAGACATACCGATAGTTGGGACCAGGGTCGTTTCATCTACACAGAAGTCGTAGCTGGTGTCGCCATCTTCCTGTCCATCATCTGGCTGCTCCCCTTTGCCGGCAGCTTCGTCCACTGGCCTGTTGATATCTTCATTTCCATTTGTTGGTTCGTCGCTTTTGGTCTGCTGGTCAACGTAAGTCATCTTCCGCTTTGCATGATAGCAATCTGGGTGCTAATGGTATCGGTAGTTTCTCGACGGTGCCTGTGGATATGTCTTCTACTGGGGTAACGTCTCCTTCCGCGGGGATGACCAGTGTGGAAAGTGGAAGGCTGTCATCGCGTTCTCTTTCCTCTCTGCTATCTGCTGGCTGGTGTCGGCTATTGTTGGTATCGTCTGGGTCCGTGACCATGAAGCCCGTGCTTACCGCCGCCGCCAATGGTACCGATCTCGCGTCTAAACGCTCCTTAATTGACACGCGCACACACGATTTATCGCGGTATCACTTTTTCGCTGTTGATCCGCGAATTTCTTAGTTGACTGCTTAATACGAGTTACGACAAAAATTGGTCCTTTAAAATATGGTTTTATGAGGGAGGGGTTTTGGTCCATGTTTTTTCTTCTTGATACCATCTGCTACTAATACCCTATAATGAGCTTAAGATATAATAGTCCGAGGAGATACCCATCTTAATAATAAAATTGAAAATTCGCCGGCTGCTGTTTATCCATAATTGCGTGCCAAGTATCAAAGAAAGCTTACCCGCCGTGATACCTAAGATATTATAAGTTCTATTATGTTTCTTGCTCTACCTGGTTGGGTCGCATTGCAACATACCAGCATGTTTAGGTAGGTACAACATAAAACGTCCCAATAGACCCCAATCCATGGTTCTAGACTCGTGTATGCCGAGATCTAAAGCCATTATGGTATCAACCATGGAAGCTATCGTGTCCCACCAGAAAAGTGGTTGCATCTTAGTTTCTAGATGTTAGTATATAGACTAATGAAGACCCTGATCTACTCCGGATCCCCTCGAGGGTCCTATCCTGTTGTTCCTGCCAAGCCGTTGGTAAACTCGTATTGTGGTGAGTAATGCTAGTTTGCGCAGATGAATTCGTATACACGACATTGATGTAAGGGCCACGGCATCTTCTTGTTACTTCCTCCGTGTTTAAGGGTGGATGTAACATGCCACCGGCGAAAATATACCGATACAGTCTCGCAAATATTTGTGACTTGATCGGAATCTTTCGCTATACTTATTTTCTTACGATCACCTGCAGGTAAGACAAAGGAATAAGGCATTTCACCCGACGGGAATAGGAAGTGTACTTTGCAGCATACGTAAAGGATGTAGAGAATGTTTCTTGTTCGTTGTGAGAACTTGGCAACAGGGAAATCTATGACAGCATCAGTGGGGCAAACTTGGGGGCTGATACATATATGTAAAGGTGGGGTAGAGTTCAGGCGGGCGAGTCGGGTGTAACCAAAGGGATTAAAGGTGACGCCACAGTTTCACGGTATAGGATATTACTAGCCACATCTACGTAGCCGCTCGTCTCAAAACAGAAATAATCTTCGTCTCACTTACCCAAGTACATATTCCCTCATCAACAACAAGATCACCCGGATGTCGGCAAACATTGATTCAGATTCACCTCATACTGAAGTATCGAACCAAACTTGTTCCTAGCCTCATATTGCCAAGCCAATCGGGCTATTTTTACTTTGATAGATGTTGTAAAACACTACGTATACTAAGATGATATGCACTTCTTAAGGACCGACGGTACAAGTCTAAGGGACCGGATCGTTAGTACCTCCACATATTCATCGTCATCTTCCAGCCTGCTGGGTACATCTAGTGAAGTTGAACGCCACAGTACGTGAAGGAGTAGGTATGACGCCAACAGTTCAGCCACTGGTTTGTACCTAGTGTAAGGTTAGGCGAGCATTGAAGACCTAGACTTCCAGAACGGATACTCAAAGAACCCCAGAATGATGCTTAGGCGCTAGGTAATTGTACCTGCCTACGTACCAGGTGTCTTTGAATGCATTCCGCCCGGAATAAATGGACCGGGAGGTCTTGTCAAGCGCGCTTGGCAGGGATCATGCCTCCCTGAACCAGGGGTGATGACGATGAATGAAGTAAGAGAGGTTCTTATGCGGCTTCTTCGTAACCCGTATTGATTGGGTAACGTTCGTAAACTAGACCTTGGAACTTGTACCTGACGGAAAGAGAAAGCCATGGTACTTGATCGAGATTCTTGATGATGACATTTTGCGGCAAATAGAGAAAGGACTTTGGTTACAAAGGGGGAAGCTTAGCTACTCGAGGGCTATTTGAAACTTCTGTCTCATCGATATAAAAGTCCAACAACCCGAACTCCCTCCCTTCAATTTCATTTAGATCATCATCAACAATTACCAACAGTCTAATAACAACCTTGACACCCATTTTCAACAGTTTTCTATTACCACTTTCGGATATACAACCTCAACAACACAACTACCCAATATGTCTGGTATCGTCAACAAAGTCAAGGACGCCGTCTCCGGCAACCACCACTCTTCTTCTACCACACACCAGAGTACCCCTGAGGGTACACACGGACCTCACAACAACCGAGTCGGCAACGCTGCCGACCCCAGAATCGACAGTGACCGTATGGATCCACACTTTGTGTAATTTCCTTCGAGCTCTGGTTACTAACATGTTACAGGAGACAACCGTGCTGCCCCAGGCACAACCGTCGGCGGCTCTCACGCATACACAACTGGGGACAACTACACACACGGTGGCCCAACCGGCTCTGCCACAGCTGGCCCTCACCGATCAGACATGGTCAACAAGGCCGACCCTCGAATTGACTCGGACCGAGATGGTCGCTTCGTCGGCAACCAAGCCGGTGATTATGGTGGCAGCGGCCGAGAAGGCGTAGCTGGCCCACACAACTCTCGTCTATCCAACGCTGCCGACCCAAGAGTTGACAGCGACCGAGACGCTAGCCGAACTGTAGGAAATGCTTACGGTAGTTCCGGAACTGCTGGCTCTACTGCTTACGGCCCTGCTGGTACCACTGGTACTACAGGTAACCACCACTACGGCGGTACTACTGGCACTGGTGCCGGATACGGCTCATCTACCGGCCCTCGTGAGTATGGCACAACTACAGGTGCCCACGAGTACGGTTCCCGAGGACCTACCGGCACAACCGGTATCCATGAATACGGAGCACCCGGCACTCACGAGTACGGTTCAACGGGCCCCACCGGAACATCCGGTGCCTATGGCCAAGGTGCGACAGGAGGTGTTGGCACTCACGGTGCTCACGCCACACACTCTGGTCCCGGTCCCGCACCCGATACCGCGGGTCCCCACAAGAGCAACATCGCCAACAAACTTGACCCTCGCGTCGATTCAGACCTAGACAACTCACGTACCGTCGGTGGCGACAAGACTTACCGGTCGTAAGTAGCCCCGCCGCTACCGCCTCCCTGCTTCGATTCCCACCATCAATAAAAAAAAATACTGTATTAACATTACCGACTTTTAAGTGGGAACTACGTCTCCAAAGATCCTACGGACGCAGCACAGGTACCTCCTTCCACACTACGGAAACATGTTGGTGAACCATCGATTGAGCATGATGCGCATGGATATGGTCGGGAAGAACGACATGGTGGAGTTCCAGAGCAGGAGAAGCATAGAGGATTTTAAGATTGTGGTGAATTGGTAATGATGGAATGAACAAACGGGATACCTGGAAACCCTGATTGGATTGTAAAATAATAGAGACTGTTGTCTCCTATGAGTAATGATACCCCTGATGGGGAATAAAGCCATTGAATTATGAACGTTTGATGCCCTACGATCCAATTGTGATAATTATGCTTAGGGCTTATGCCCTAGAACGAAAATTACCAAAAACTCCGCGTGGAAGTGGTATTTCGACTGTTGAATCGGGATACCGTACTACACGATATGAAAAATTTTCTTATTTTTGTAATTGATTTGACCTAAAAGGATAATATTTAATAAGAAACATTTGGAGTAATTTAATAAATAGTAGAGAACGACAGGTTTCGGTGAGGTTTGGTTGTGCTTCGTGTCCCACAATGGTAGGATTCATGAATAGGGGTAATTGCAGGGAGAAGAAGAAAAAATAAGCCTAAAACCGCGAAAATTTCCAAAATGACAATATTTTTCTCTCGTTTTCCGAATATTTTACTTTGTAAAGATTCCTAAGCGGTGCGGAACCGTTTTATACCAGAACTCATCGGGTGGTTGTCCAATATTGATATCTTCCCAGGAGCCTGCCTCCCTGATTGTCTTTTCGGTCTGTCGGCACAGGGTGCATCCGCCGATGAAATGTGGCCAGAATAGATTGAGGTAACCTGGAATGGGAAGAGACAATTAGTACATTTTCATTTGTGCTTTTCATTGTAACGAATAAATAGATAAAGTGGAAAGGGGGGGGGATAAATGACTCACGTTGATACGCCTTCATATACCAACTATACTCAACTCGGACGTGCTCGTATGCGTACCATCTTCCCCCCTTTTTCAAGTAACTGTATAACTCGCGAATATTCTTCTCTGGGTCAGGAATACTGCATAAACACAGGATCGATACAATGCAATCCACACTGCCCTTCTCGACTTTCCCATCCCATTTTTCAGGATTGTCCAAATCTTCAATCCCGACCGGTACGATGCGATACACATCTTCCAATCCAGCTTTCGCGATATTTTTCTGTAAAGCCGCATGATGTCCCTCATTCGGCTCTACACCATAAACACGCGTAATCACACCCTTACTAGCATTTCCATCATCACCCCCTTTTCCAACATTCCTGCGCCTAACCTCCGATTCACCCTCAGAGCTAATATCCGCTACCTCGCGATAAACATCAACCCACATACCACTCCCAACACCAACCTCAATCACGGTCCCGCCAATCCCCCTACTAACCTGCCTCTCCACAACCCTTCCGCCATCCACGCGTCCCTGGAGTAACGGGATTACGCGTACAGCCGCGTCTCTCCGAATACCTGGGCCCGCGATGCGGCCCCAGAAATCGGTGAACCAGGCATCTCGCAACGCCCTAGGATAGAAGAGCGTTGCAAAACGGCCTTCGCGGATGAGGCGAAGAATGGTACCCGGTAGACAGGAGGCGGAGAGTGCGAGGAAGACCCAGGGGAAGAGGAGGGCTTGTGTTGCTTCTATTGTGCGGGAGAGGAGGGAAGGCATTGTGAATAGTGGGTGGGGGAAAAGGGGGGAGTGCAATTGTGTGTGTGATGGGGGATTGGTTTAGGGGGGAAGATAAGAATGAAGAAGAGGGGGGAAACTTGTTGGGGGGGTGGTGGGCGAGGGAGTTAAGAGGAAATATTGGGTACCACCTTATACCTTGGTATTACGGGTGGAAAAGGAGAGGAGAGGAGCAAGGAACGAGGCTGGGGCTACGTACGGCGGGAATCGGCCTTTATTTATACTGCGGAATACTGCCCCTGAACCCGACTACCGATGACTCAGGCATAAACTAGGTGTTCTAGCTACGCGAGGTGATTGGTTTCTTAGACTAGGAAGTTGTACACGGTGAAAAATATCTCCAATAATTCAGCTTTTCGGGGAGTGGATCCTCCTATCACACACAGTATCAATATCACCCGGACACATGTCGACTAAGGGGTAAGCCCGATACAGGGTTCTTCTATCGTATCGTATCATGCATTGGTTCTATATTCTAAACTCAACGAGGTATCATTATCGATTTTATTCACAATTCATCCTTTTCCTCTTTAATCTTCACCGGTTCGTCTGGTCTTCCACTGTCTTTTTGTAGGTCGACACCGACCTTCCTCCTCCATTTCTCGAAGACGGACCAGAACTCCTTTTCCATGCCCGATTCCATTTGGTCAGGTAATATGACCACATACTCGACATATAACTTGCCGAATTCGTACTGGTGGTACACGGAATCACCGTCTTCGCTCCATATCGGCATACCCTCGCCCTCTACGGTCTCCACATGACCCGGCTGCACAATCTCTCCGCGCTTACGTCCCAATCGAACAATATGTCCATCAAGATGCGTAATATTGCGCGTCCAATCACCCATCCACGCCTCCCTCAGCGACAGCACCTCGCGCCAGAAGAGATCATTCCCCTTCCGACGGAAAAAGCCTCCATCGACATGATCCGGGTTATCGTTTTCGAAATCGGGTTCCTTCTCCACTAACGTAACGACAAGATCACCAGCTATCCAGTCCGGACTCGCGTCCGCCTCGTTCTCATACACGATCTTAGCGTCGCGCGCAACACCGCGCTCGATCTTCAGGGACACGGTAGTAGGCTTGCGAACGACGCGATTACCGCCGCAGACAGGGCATTTATGCTTAATTGACTTTCCGCGACCGCCACAGGCGTCGCATGTTGTTTGGATCTGCTGGAACATGCCAGGCGCGAGCTGGTGCTTAATAATGCGCACGCCGTGTCCGCCGCAATGGCCACATGTATCCACGACACCATCTTCAGACCCACTCCCGTCGCACTCTTCACAAATTTGTTGCTTCTCCCATGAGAACTCTGTGTCCCGGCCGTTGTAGAAGTCGCGCAGCGAGATCCCGACTTTGATCTCGATGTCGTGACCCCGCGGTTGTCCGCGCTGGTAATGTCCGCCCCCGCCGAAGAATCGGCTGAATAGGTCGAAGGGATCGTGGTGGTGTCCGCCGCCTTGGCTGCGCTGTTTTAGACCCTCGTGTCCGTATTGGTCGTAGATTTTACGCGATTCTGGGTCCGAGAGGGCTTCGTAGGCTTCGGATACTTCGACGAATTTGTCCTTAGCTGTTGGGTCGCCTCTGTATGTCGCATTAACTTTTTGTCACTTATGCAGGTTGGTTAATTGTGTAATGAAAGCGAATATGCTTACGGATTCTTGTCCGGATGGTATTTTTTACTGAGTTGTCGGTAGGCCGACTTGATCTGCTTGTCCGTTGCTTGTCGGTCTACTCCGAGGATCTGGGAAGGGATGATAAGTAATAAGTAATTGTAGGACTTCGGAAAATGCGTACTTTATAGAAGTCCTCTGCGCATATAGCAAGCTGTATTAGGACAAAGAGCAACCCGAAGGTTGCCCAGTGGAATAGCATCGTGCCAAAAATATGGCAGTTGGCGAAACCCTGTTCAACTACTGCTAAGGTATATGTATCCTATAGAATATGGTATGGGCGGTCGAAAGTGATATTAACAACGAAATGGTTTACGGATAAAACCAAAGAACAATCATCCCATGAATATGATAGAGTGAGCATGGGAATTGAGGTTGAAATGTATACAAATTAATTTGTATAGTAAGAAGGATGTAAAAATGTGAAGATGTAAAGAGCGAAGAAGAGTGAATACTGTACAAAAAGATTAAAAAGCTAAGAGCTACATTGCTAATTCTAGATCGACGCTTAAGAAAATACCAGCGTGTCAATGTTGCTGAAAAAGACCGCCTAGCTAGGATCGGCTTACCGTGATAAGATAAGCCCCGTAACCTTATTCAGCGGGTGTGTCCGGGATATTACGTGATTTTGATTGGCTACAGCTTGCTAGTGGCTCTTAAGGAGGCAATCCAAAAATTTAGGTACCGAGAAACAAGTTCCAGTTCCAATTCCAAGCTTCCCTTCTCCATCTTGTCGCATCTCCCGCGACGAATCACTATTCAATCCTTAGATGGTGCAAACAATCCTGCTCGATGCGATTTAACTTTTAGATACCCACGAGCGATCTCGTCTTCGAACGCTCGAACGCATTCCTCCCTATCTTACTTTATCGCCATCGGAGCTCTTCCGAAGTTGACCGTCTCTACCAAATCTCAACATGAGTAAACGTTACGCCTTCGTCCCTATGGACGAGGATGAAGTCGGCCCGCAGAAGGTTGAAAAGAAGTCCAAACACCGGCGACGCGAAGAATCCGGGAAATCAAGTTCACATCGCGACTCCCATCGCAAATCGCATCGTACCCGAAGCCGGAGTCGCAGCCGAAGTCGATCACCTCATCGGGATTCACATAGACATAAATCGAAAACAATACGGAAACGAGATCAAGATGACTTCGATGATAGGTGGGGCGATGAGGAGCCAGGTAGCGAGCCAGAGCTATCAGACGACGGACGCGATGAGGAACCCGAATTCAAAGAGTCGGCTCCGAAACGCGTGAAGCTAAGTCACGACGAACGCGAACGGGAGGACGATCGCGCCGAATCTGATACCGAACGTGATATCGCCGAGAGAGAAGCTTTCGCCAAGCGCCTCAAGGAACGAGATGGCGGGAAGACGAAAACTGAAGGCAAAGCTGAGAGGGAACGGAAGCGATTAGCTGAAGAGTTTGCCAATAATAGGGCGGCTATGCCGGACTTGCGCGAACGTTCTAGGCAAGATTATCTAAAGAAGAGAGAGGCGGAAAGATTAGCTTTATTGCGAAAACAGGTTGCGGAGGAGACGGCGGAGTTGAACAGTGGTGTACGGTTGTCCGAGAAAGAAAGGGCGGAATTTGCGAAAAATCGAGAAGTATTACGTTTGGCCGAAGAGCGATTACGGATCGATGATCACCGCGACGGTTATTATATGCCGGAGGACTACATTACGGAGAAAGGAAAGATAGATAGGAAGCGAAAAGAGGATGCCCTATATAAGCGATACGTCGAAAGGGATGAATACGGCCAGGAGAAATTCGTCACAGAACATGAGGAATGGGAGAGGGAACAAACACAAAAAGCAAAGGCCCAAATCAACAGGGCCGAAAGAGAGTACGAAGGAGACTATGCTCCTGTTTTGGACCCGGAGCAGTATATCCAATGGAATTTGGGTTCGACATTGGCGGGTGAAGGCAAGACATTAACGAAGGAGCAGAGATTCTTGGAAGCGCAAATCGAAGCAGCGGAAAAGAAAGCTCTTTCTATCCAGGAGACTCGAAAAAGTCTACCTATATACAAGTACCGCGACGAATTTATCGCGGCCATCGATCAATACCAAATTCTCGTCCTTGTTGGTGAGACTGGTAGCGGAAAAACTACGCAGTTACCCCAATATCTACACGAGGCCGGTTATACAAAGGATGGTCGTAAAGTCGGGTGTACTCAGCCTCGAAGAGTTGCAGCTATGAGTGTAGCAGCTCGAGTTGCGGAAGAAATGGGTGTTAAGGTCGGAAACGAAGTTGGCTACTCTATTCGATTCGAGGATTCGACTAGCGACAAAACCATTCTGAAGTACATGACCGACGGTATGTTACTCCGAGAATTCATGACGGAACCGGATCTTGCAGGCTATTCGGCATTGATGATTGATGAAGCTCACGAACGGACTGTCCATACCGATATTCTACTTGCTCTGGTCAAGGATTTGGCTAGGGAACGGCCAGATTTGAAATTGCTTATCTCGTCGGCCACAATGAACGCGGAGAAATTCGCGAAGTATTTCGATGATGCGCCTATCTTTAATATTCCAGGACGAAGGTATCCCGTTGATATTTATTATACCCCTGCGCCGGAAGCGAATTACTTAATGGCGGCTATTACGACCGTCTTCCAAATCCATACTTCTCAAAGAAAAGGAGATATCTTAGTATTTTTAACAGGTCAAGACGAAATTGAAGCAGCGGAACAGCAATTAACGGAGACGGCAAGGAAACTAGGGAATCGGGTGAAGGAATTGATCGTGTGTCCCATTTACGCCAATCTTCCTTCAGATCTCCAAAGCAAGATATTCGAACCCACTCCCGACGGTGCGCGCAAGGTTGTGTTGGCTACCAATATTGCCGAGACAAGTTTGACGATTGATGGTATTACCTACGTGATCGACCCTGGATATGTGAAGGAAAATGTCTATAATCCAGCGACAGGCATGTCAAATCTAGTTGTTGTTCCTTGTTCACGAGCCTCTGCGAATCAACGTAGCGGTCGCGCTGGTCGTGTTGGCCCTGGAAAGTGCTTCCGACTATACACCAGATATGCCTACATGAACGAGATGGACGAATCAACTACTCCCGAAATTCAAAGGACGAACCTCAACGGCGTTGTGTTGTTACTGAAATCTCTCGGTATCAACCAACTTCTTGAATTCGAATTCATGGATCCACCTCCCACCGAATCTCTAATTGGAGCCCTGAACCAGCTTTTCGCATTACAAGCTTTGAATCACAAGGGTGAACTCACCAAAGTCGGTAGACAAATGGCTGAATTCCCTACAGAACCGATGCTTGCGAAAGCTGTCCTTGCCGCAGACAAATTCAAGTGTGTCGATGAGGTACTATCAATAGTGGCGATGTTAAGCGAAGCGTCGGCGCTATTCTTCCGACCAAAAGACAAGAAAATCCACGCCGACAGCGCTCGCAACCGATTCACCGTCAAGGAAGGTGGCGACCACCTAACACTCCTCAACATCTGGAATCAATGGGTCGATAGTGACTTTTCACCTATCTGGGCGCGCGAAAACTTCCTGCAACAGCGCTCGCTGACTCGTGCCCGCGATGTGCGCGATCAACTTGCCAAACTCTGCGAGCGTGTCGAGGTTGCACCATCAACCTGTGGCGCCGCCAATATCGACCCAATTAAGAAAGCACTAACAGCCGGCTTCTTCCCGAATGCGGCCAAGTTACAACGTACCGGAGATAGCTACCGCACGGTCAAGAACAACACGACAGTTTGGATCCATCCTAGCTCTGTTCTTATGAAATCGGATCCACCGGAGAAGATGGTAATTTATTACGAATTAGTGCTTACGAATAAGGAGTATATGAGAAGTTGTATGCCAATTAAGCCTGGTTGGTTGAATGAAGTCGCGCCGCATTTCCATAAAAAGAAGGATATTGAGGAATTAGAAGAGAAGAAGATGCCTAAGCAGAGGGGGAATTAGGATCGATAATGACGAAATGTTTGGTCTATTGGGCGGTTTTGGGTACGTCTAAGTATGTATAGATATAGCACCGTCCGGGGTGGGGGGAGTCCAGGTATATCATTACCGACGTGACCTGCTAGATTTTAACGTCTACCTAGATCATCGCAGCGTCGCGTTTGGTCAGCTTAAATAAAACAAAATCGCACCGAAACTCAGTTTTATAGTCCAGGCGACATGCTTTATTTTCATCTTCCCCTATTTCGATTTATCCCCTTCTATTTTTGAACCCATCGCCCATGCATATCTTTACCTAGGTACATATCCGGGTCCAGATCCGATAATTCCTTACTTCAGCAAAGCCTCCTCCCCCTCTACAGGATTCAACTCTTCAAACCTGCGCAAATCCATAGGTTTCTCCAAAAGCGGCACCACGAACGGATCAAAAGTCTTCCAATACGGGTTCTCCAGATGATATTTCTGGCTTCCTTCGTTGAGATACCGCTCCACGATCGTGAAGTCTTGCGGGTCGTGGATTGATTGCACTGATGAGATTAATAAAAATGCTTTTTGCGGACAGCGGAGAGCGGAAGCAGTACTTACTAACGAACCACGACAGCGTCTCCTTGTCCTTGGAGTACACGGCCGAGGCCTCGTTAAGCTTGGCGTGGACTTTAGCGATGTTATCCGCGCCCGACTTGGCGCGGAGGTGGACGACTATCGTGTAAACCATTTTGAGGGCTAATTATGAGATTGGGTGTCTTCTAGATTAATCTTGCGTGCTGTTTAGAAACGTTGAAAAGAATGCGTTAGATTCGATGAGGGATTACAAGGGTAAGTCTGTGTACACCGTAGCGGACATCCCGTCCTCTCCACCCTACCTCCGCATTTGGGGGAGGACAAGCTCCATCTAATGCAGGTCGAGCTGCAGGATTCCGAGCTATTTGATTGGTTCAAGCTATGAGATTGTCTCATGTATCATGAAGTACGTGTAAGCGGCTGTAATATTTCCTGCGAGCAGCCCACCATTTTCAAATGAAGTCTTTCAGCTCATTTAATTATTCCATTGGTATTGCTTTTATTTAAACGGTAAATATCAACTTTCATTTCTGACGCGAGAGCATTAAATTCGAACGATCGTAGCTGATAACCCCCTTTTCCGGATCAGTCTCATTGCTTGCTACCACAGCCACCACATGACGGACAATCTCACCACGACAGCTTAGAACGACAATACTCTGCGTCTCTGCCATCCATTGGTGTCCTCGCTAATTACCTGTTGTTGACGTAACTCCAATACCAAATATCAAACGTTCCCCGACCACCACTACCACCAGAGCTCACAGCCTCCACCCGCTTAAAGCGCATCCAATTGATATTGCTATTCCCAGCGTTCTGTATACTCTCCCTAAACTGCTGCTGAGAAATCCCAATAACCCACAGCGTCGACCCCTTCGCATTAGGCTCACCCGGCACGTTAGACGTAAGCCTTAGCTGGCTGACCTTGTCGAAGTCCTGCAACACCCGAGTGATAAATTGATTCGCCGTGTCATTATTGACCTCGCTGTAGCACTTCAGTTCGAGGAATTTGCGAACTCCGTTCACTCCAACGGGTTTCCGAAACTCAAGGTCAACAGCGTAAGCTGGGTAGTCGAGGTAGATGTTTTGTTCCGTCCAGACTTGGTACCCATCACGACCTTCCATGAATAGTGCGATCTGTCCCTGGGCCCATCGTTCCCAGCCGCCGTTCCAAGTAGGTGGAAGGTGTAATCTAGTTTGTTGCCGGATCCAGCCCCTGACGAACGCGACAGGTGTGTCATCGATGTTGCTCATTGTGAGAGTGAGTGGAAGTGGAAGTGATAAGTATAACCGATGCAAAATGTTATCGCCTGGAGTTTGCCCCGAGTCTCCAAAGAGATACGCTCAAGTTTAAAAGGAAATATAAGAGGAGCAATTACCTAGGTAATGAGGATTTTTTCCAACTTCAAAATTACGGGCTGAGACTGAACCTAAATACCACTGGTTATCACATCTCCCGATACACTCGGGTATTTCGTATGACATGAGATAAGTGGCTGTAATATTTGTTGATGAACCCCTCTCCTACTCCTCCCTATCCTCCTCGCCATTTTTCTTTTCTCAGGTGAGACGTAATATGCCAAGGTTATCCATTACGGTTGTAACTCAGCTACTAGATGTCTCCGGTCGGCCTTGGAGTAGACCAGGTAGAATATGAACCGCTATTCAATTCAGCATGCTGAGGTCGCGTTCAAATTTACGGCAATTCGGGTCGGAACTCGGCGATTTCCAGCGAGACAAAGTACCCTCCCAACAAGACATTGAAGTATGTACTTATATATAAGCCTTTCAATATTTAGACAATACCTAACCTTATTCTACCATCCAGTTGAGTCTTGCCTGACATTCGATAATCCAACCCACAAGCTCAGAAGCGAATACGGCCATAAATAATTTCAGGTTCAATACCATCTCATTTGACTCTTTTTTGTCCCAGTCGTGTTCTTATTTGACCAATTGCTTTGCCAGCTCCTGGCGGGGTATAGCCTATTATTGCCCTTCGATCGAGTTGTTCCGCGCGAGCCCCAGAAGAAAATCGCAAAGGGTCTTTAGCAGCCAATCCTGTAAACCGCTAAATGTTTCGATCGAATTATGCTCCAAGTTCGACTTCCCGCACGTCCTTTGAGTACGAATCCGTATGCTAGAGGAAGTGTCGACGCCCCGCGAATGTTGTCCGCCATAGGAATTCGGTGACGCCAAATGAAGAACGAACTCTACCTTATCAGGGTCTGCATCTGACCGACGTATACGCTTGTTCAAGACATAATGAAGCATGGGGGACATGCACGCATACCCCTCAAACTCCTAATTCGACGTCTCCTGGGTTCTCCTAATGAGCGTAGAAGACGGTTCCATATCCTCGGCTTCCACAATCCTCCATTGCAAATCTGACACGCGGGTGTTCGGCGGAGTGGTCGTCGTCCCACTTCATTGCGTGGTCCACCCAATCTTCCAACACCACGGTTCCTGAAGAGCGGCGGTTTCTGACTGCGACTATGTTACAATGTACTGGTTAGTTGATAAATGGGAGGCGAAGCAGTGTAAACCCTGCCTAGTAAACTGCAGCAAGGGCAAGAAACGGAGTCTGGAAGGGCGGGAATCTCACCCGAGGTGTAGGAGAGTGATGATTGGAGAAGCGCAGGGGTGAGTGTGATGGTAAGTAACGAGAATAATAGCTACCGGATGAGTTAACTGGTGATTGTTGGATGGCGCATTAGTAATACACCCATGTATTTATAGGTGTCGATGCCTAAGTGGGAGGTTGGGATGAGATGATGAGATGATGAGTTGGTGAGGGACCAAAGAGGAGTGGTCTGTGAGGATGGAGGATGAGGAGCATCTATTTATACCCAAAGGTTTTCCTAGCACATTGGGGGTTCGCCTTCGATTAAGTAAAGTTCAGGCTGTCGTACTTTCTGGTAACTCCCATGTTCCTCTAAGAAGGCAACCGATCAGCGGTAATTTGAGGGAATTACAACTTTGTTCAAAGTATAATATGCCTTTTAACACGAACTCTGCCGAAAGTTATGTAGATCTAAGGACGATTTGGGAGGCGCTGGTTGCTAGTAAAATGTGCCAAGCTTTATGCCTTGCAGCTTTTGATGATCATGTGAGCATATAAGATGCTACTTCTTAACTTTAGAGTTCAATAAGTTGTAATATCAATGCTAGTCAGAAGAAAGGGGGGGAGGAAAAGAGGGAAGTGATCCATCAAGTTACTATGCTATTCCCTCCATTTACCCCTGAGTCCAAAGAGCCTTAAATGAGCATTGTGAGACAACACTAACAAATATGTCTATATTCAACGAAGTAAAGTATGTATCAAAATTCTTTTGCGTGTATTAGGTCTTATTAATCCCTATACATTTCTCCTCTGACCTCCTTTTCGCCTAATACACCGGGATCTTGTGTAGCCAAAGGGCACTATAGCGCATACCTACCCACCTAGGTTAGGTACCTAGGTAGCCATAAAATCAGTGAGATTTATAGCGCTTACCCCCTATAAACGCAGCATATTACAGTGAGTGCCTTTAAAGAGCTATAATTATAGGGCTTAGATCACTACGATCCCCGTATTTATAGCGCTTTACAGAACCCCCCTGGTTCGGAAAGGCAATTAATACAGCCACCTGGAATCAACTTAAGCAGAGCGACGCTCTCGTTAAACTCGACAAGTAACAAGGTAGACACTACGCATCACAATAAATATGTAGTTAAAAAGATACTGCATTTAAGCTTCAAGAATTTATTAGGACCCGCCTACTGACATCTCGTCCTTAGGTAGTTATTATTAAATGAGTGATATTGAATCTTTATCACTCAACCTGCGCTCTTGAACAACTCAACATTCATGTGCAGTCTAGTACGTACACACAGAACCTTCATCAACTAGCGGTCATTTGCTGCCTCTCCCAGGATTAATCCATTGTACGATTCGCTCTTGAGCTGAAACGCCGTTGCTTCCCTGTGATTCGGAGTATCGAAGAAATGAATCGAGAATATCTGGTATAGGGTGATGATATGGGCAGACTGGGGGAGTCTTTCCTCCGAAATGTGTCTCCCACATAATGTGCCACTTCTTGCTGGAGGAGCTTTTGCCACCAGGAGCTTTGATGTCAGTCTTGTGGGCTTTTTTTATGTGTTGTATCAGAGTGCCGATACTGCTAAACGATGCCCGGAAACACTTTAAATGCTGAGACGGGTCGCTTTTGAATGCTAGGCAAGCCATGCGCTTATCCTCGCTAGAGTCGTCGGTCTTTGTACAAAACAAGCAGCGCCATTCGTTTTCATCGGCGCGTCCGCCCTCGTTTTCCTCTCGGGAGGATGTGCCTAGGTTGGGGGGCTGTACGCTTTTGTGGCTTATGAAGCTGGTAGATGAAGGGTATAATTGATGCGGCATTATATCTTGGCCTATGTATCGCGCGAGGTCCCCTGGTGTTTGATGGGAGATATATTGATGGTATTGGTGGGTAGTCAAAAGGGCGGGCTGTTGGGGACCGTTAAAATACGTTGGATCGAGCTCGTTCGTGTATTGAGCAACAACGCCCCCAATACTACCCGCTCCCCTAAGAACGTCATGGGCTGTTTCATCGCACAAGTTAGTAGTGCATAACGATATGATTTTTTGGAACCCTCACGAGTTTGATTCGGCCCTGAAGGAGTTCGGTAGGTTGGCGTTGTTCCATTTAGGTTTAAGTGAACGGGGTGCCCCTTAGAAGTTGATGCTTCTTTAACAGAAGAGGAACACTGGTCCTGGTTACTTCCGTGAGAGGTCGTACCCCCATTTCGAAATTCAGACTCTCGAGCATCGACGTATACTCCAGTAAAGCAAGAGTCACAAAATCCATGAAGGCATCTCAAACACTTTGTGGAAGATTGTTGCTGATTGTTACATTGGCACTGCATATACAACTATTAGCAATCTGTTCGAAAGAATTGTCGGTTTGATAGTTTAGGTACTGACACAAGACCATTGAGATCCAGATTGCGGAGTGTAAGCCATTACAACATCCAAATACATGAGTGACTATATTAATTGTAGTTGTTTAACTAGATGTCTCAATATGTCCGCACCCGAGGCAACAATGAAGTCTTTGATAATCTCCAGCGACATGTTTTGACACTTACCTTATAGGAAACAAGTCCGTGACTTTATACTTCACTTACTATTTCCCATCATGAGTTTCACGACTAGAGTGTAGAGTCATTCCCAGTCATTCCCAGTCATACCCCCTAATGATCATAAAACTTATATTGGGAATTCATGTTGCAGAACGCGCCCCATATACGGGCTGAATACACCGCCCGAACCATGTGTACATAAAAGTGTGCAATTGAATAAGTACATGTTCTTAGTTTCTTAGTAAGATTATCATATAGATTGAGTATGGGAGGTACATTGTTAAGTGGTGTCGAACGGCTCCGGACTTATCGTTCTCCCTAAGCCACCTTCCACTAAGCTACCGGCCACTTGCGGTTAAAATGCACATGGTCCCGTGTTTAATCCAATAACAAGACTATGTGGCAAGGGCTAAATACATATTGGTGGTATTGTAAAACACAAAAGATTGGTAGTACTTCTCAAGAGAAGAGATGACTTCATGTCCTGAGAAGTACGCCGTGTACTGGTAGTCACGTGACTACCGGTACCGAGACACGTATTTAGTAGCTTTTAAACCATCACGCTGAAATACTACGGGACTTGAATTTCTTAAGTCGAACTCGTGGATTACCTTCTGCAGCGATAATTCAAATATTTTCTTACTGTCTTTTGCAATGAATATTACCCGTATTATGGCTGCTCAGCCACCATCAAGAGCTACCCTAAAAGAGGGCTATAATCTGTAGCGAGATGCTATCTATTTCGCCATGATCCTCTTTGCTTAATACCCATGCCCATTAATTCGGCCAATATAAATAGGGCGCCACTGAGCATTACTTGTATTTCTCGGGTTCGGAGTAATCGTCCCTTTTCCCCTTTACTTCAACCTGTCGAGGCTTTCCTCTCACATTTTATACTGCCCCCTCCCTTTCCTCCCCTCTTACCCAGCCGTCGACCTAGTCTTCCCTTTAGTCTCCTCTTTAGTCAGCTTTTCTTTACGTGAAGCCGTAGCTTTGTAAGGGTTTTGGCGTTGAGATGGAGGGTAACACATTCGGGGACGAATGACGGAAGACAAGAAACAAGAAATATGGGGTTTGGTGGTTTGTAGAAGCACATGGCATGATCAATTCCAAAGTCTGAGTCGACACAGTTTAATCAACCCTTCAATATATACCTAGTTAGCAAGTCATTGCCACAATCATACCTTCAGAATTGACTTGCTGTTCTCAACTTTTTTCTTTCGCATTCTTTCTTATCGGATATCTCGGTGATGCAACTAGGACCGGAAGATCATATAAAATACCCATGTCCTATTTAACTATATTAATGATACCTTTCTTGTCGGGTAGTAACGGTAATTAATCGATTCTGTAAAGATATCATCGGACGCGCGTCGAGGTGTGGCTAGTAGACCAGAGCTCCTAGATCCCTCGAGTACTTAGGTAAAAAGAGCGAAGCGATATGTGCAGCTAATATGTAAGAATAATATACCATGCTATTACTATAATTACTCTTAGATCTGGGCTTAATGGGGAAGAAGCAATATATATATTTATATTGAACAAAAGCATATAACCACGCGATTCCGTGAATACCGAGTCTCAGTAATCCTTATATATTTCCCTCCGTCTAGATTGAACCTCCTAAGCCCGTCCTCTGACACCCTTTTTCGCCTAATACACCGGGACCTTAAAGGCCGGGAACTCATATGTCCAACTCTCAACGGACTTCTGATCCTCGACACACTCAAAATCCGAACTGTTCCCCTTCCATAGCGGGCGCGTAGGCCACTGGCAAAGCAACTGCGTCTCGCCGGCATTTACACCCGTCGACGACGACACCGTAGCGTTCAATCGTTGCGGCGTAATCCCGTTCTCCACCCAGTCTATCATAACCTCTATATTATTCTGTGGGTACGGCCCGGGTTGGAGGCTATTCGTGCCGCAGTGCCCGGCGCCCGGGACCAGGTAGAATTGATACCACTCGCTCAACGCCTCGCGCGCCGCGTCGTCAGTTAGATTGCCGTACATAACCGACCTAACAGACTGCCAATAATGTACAGACGACGCTGCCGGAATACTAGAATCGGATTCGCCATGGTAATGCAACAACTTTCCACCAGATGATTGGAAAGGCGTGAGATCGGGAACCGTGGTCTGGAGACTATCGTAATATCGTACGTACCCAGTGTTAATCCAATCGACTAAAGTGTCGTACGTGATACCATCTAGATCGGAGGCAGATAAATTGTCCAAATCCAGAAGCTGGATAAACTTCGTCACGTACTCCCCGCCCGTCGACGGGATACTAAGCTCCCACACGCCACTGTCCGTGTTATACGTCGTACTCGCGTCGCCGAGCTCTGACGCGATCTGCCAAGATAAATATGCGCGTTGACCGGCGGAATTATGCGGGCCGTTATAAATCGCCTGGGCGACTGCTACGCCTTCCTTCGTAACCGTTCCGTTTTGCGCGGGCTGGTAACTGGTGGAACTGCCCGGAGCTTGGCGTCTGTTGTGCTTGTTCTTGGCGGTGCTAATAGATCGCTTGTTGAACCCGAAGCCGAGGGATGTGCTATTTTTCGCGGCGCAGTAGTACGATTGACCAACGATCGAATTTAGGTCGAAATTTAGCTGGCATAAATCTGTGCGAGATACGACGCCGTCGGTTCTTCCGTCGAGGGGGTCGCATGCGGCGATAGTGGCGTTGACGATCTTGGCGAGTTCACATGGCGGTGGGAGGTAATCGAGGATCGTCTCGACGGCTGACGAGAATACGTGGAGAACTTGTTGGTGCGCGAAGCGGAAAGCAGGGGCGCCAGTAATGGCGCCATCGTATTCTTCGCCGAAACGCTGGACTTGGCTCATACCCTCTCTGCCGCCGTCGGAGCACCCTTCAAAGTAGGTGTAGACCTTGGTGTCGCTGGATAAACTGTAGAAGGCTTGTGTTAGGGGTTTGCCAACTTTAGTCATCTCGCCGAGGGCTTGATACCCGAACATGTATGTCGCGTCCCAGTTGATAGATCCATTTCCATATAAGACGACCTCGTCGTAACTGTTGCTGAAGGCATCGTATCCGGCGTCGGTAGCACCCCCAGTGGCGCCATACGGGAGACCCCCTGTCGCGTCGCTTGAAAGTGAGAAACCACCTCCGCCGCCAACGTAGAAACGGTTCTTGAAGGTAGAAGGTTCGGGGAACGCGTATTTAAGGACTACCTTGTCGCCTTTACCCGTGTGCGTGTACGCGACCGTTACATTACAGTAGTTGTAAGTAGCGTTGCTGCCCGTCGATGAACCACTACCCATACCACCACCGGTAGTCGCGTTGTACACAGCGCTGGCCGTTACGGTCGATGGAATCAAATTGATTCCGAGCAGAGTGCCATTTGCAGGTAGCGCGGCTTGAACATTAGCGACAGTACAGACATCAGTGAGAGACGCAGATGCGGCTTCTGAAGAACTCGCTAGAGCAGCGATAGCCGCTGCGCGATAAGATCGACGCATTTTCTAAATTAAACGAAAGAATAGAGTGAGCGATAATAAGGAGAAAGCGAATGTTATCCCTGAGGGTAGACTCCTCACGAACTAGATAGGCAAAAGACCTGGATTTGAACAAGAAGGCCGTGAGTTACCTACCATAAAGCCTATGATGCTTCGGGTCTTGGCCCCGATGTATATATCTTCACGAGGGGTACAGCCTCAACCCCCTAAGGGGATGAAAGTCCATCACCATCCTAACCGGTAGCCCTCCGAGCTTACGAGTGTGCTCCGGGCGAAGTCGCATCAGTGACATACACGGTGGATCTTGGATCCCAGACCGGCGATGGTCCGGTAGTCTTGAACGGGGTAGACGTGGAAATGTTTATCCAGACCAGTGACGGCATATTCCGCGTATGAAAAGCCGTCTTGACGTACACAGCTCAGCCCTGTGATATAGACTTGTCTATACATGGTCAAGCTTAATTTCCTCGTCACTTCAGACGGTCAAAGCCTTAGGTAAGGTAGTATTATTAGTCACGCATTCCTTCCCATGGGAAGCTGAATATACGACCATCCACAAACGTATTTATCTTAAGGCAAGATTTATTACTTATTATCCCTGTAGGTATGATCCGGACGCGAGAGAGCGGAGCTTGTATGCCGGTTTTTAGTGTGCATTTTCGCGTGGCAGCTAGGGTGTTGCCGCGTCAGTCGAGTCCTGAGATATTCCAATGGAGACTGGGGTGGTGACGCGTCATCTCGAATAAATGAGGCCCCTACAAAAATCGGACGAGACGTAGAATGAGGATATACATGCGCATTACATGTATCAAGACCTAAGAGGCAAGGCGATTAGTACTTAAAACTTGCTCACCTTGGAATGAATTCACATTATAGGTAGTAATCAGATTGATTAGATCGTATTCACTTGTGCATTCGGTCCGGGGAAATGATTGATCGTGAAAATGCGACTGTCGATCTTCGGGATATGCCCGACCAGACTTTCCAACAATTCATATTTTCTTTAGAACTCGAAAACAAATTATATGATGCTTTAAACATTTAATCTCGAGAAATTGGCGTAGGCAACGAACAACCAATCATGGCCGCACGAAGTTTTCATCTCGAATGTGAAGTCTTAGGCGCCGATGTATCGTGTTATCTTGTAGCCCGATATTTTATCAATACCGCTTCTTAATATATAGGTAGGTACACATCTTGCTCTCTATCCAATGCTCTTCCATACCATACCGTTGGAAATCGTTTGGCATTTTATTTTTGCTATTTCCTAATTGGAAACATTGGTAGCCGTTCGATATATAAGAACGACGCGCATCGCCCAACGTAGTCTTATGCTACTTGTACGTAACTTGCTGGTACACTCTTGGTCGCACCGCCTTTTTCGACTTCGGCCCAACCATCGCCCGGATCTTCTTTAATCAGCACGAATCGCTCACCCTCCGCCATGCTATGTTCGGTATCGCTCTGTGCTGTGTAATCATAAAGCGCAACAACGTATTTCAATTTCTTGGCACCACGACGCGGTGCTACGGCCGGGCCTTTCTTTTTGACAGGCAGTCCGACTGTGTTCACTGACGAGCCCGAATTCGAATAGGTAGACGCAGGACGATTGCCAAATGAAGAGCCAGTGTCCTGGGGTACAATTGGCTCAGGATAAATTTCGAGGTAAGATGCAGGTACTGTCCCTTCTTTGTAGCCAGCACGAACTTTCACCCATCCGGAACCATCTATAACGATATATAAGCAACAAACTTAACTATTTACGAGAGTATAGAACTTACCATCAGGTTCGACAATGGTAACTTCCCGTCCATCTGGGACGGAAATCTCGCCATCACCATTTGCCTCGAATGCGTAGAGCATTTTGCCCTTTTGTTCAGTAGCAGGCTTGGTTGGGATAGTGCTACCTGGCAACTCGCTGATGTAGGCAGAAGGTGGCGGAGCAACAAGGCGACTTTTTGGTTTCACTGCAGGTCGAGGAGCAGAAGGTTCGGCGGGTAGCTCCTCAGCTGGAGTTCGTGGGCTTGCTACTGAACCACTTATTGATCGATTTGCGCTAGCTGCGTACCCAGAACTTAGGGAATTCATCGTATTGGATCGACTTAGGGCGGGTAGTTCTGCGACATGGTCTGGCGTGCCAGTGGGAGGTTTCAGTAAAGCACCCGCCGCTGTTTGTCGCTCTGCCTTATACTTCTTGCGCTCCTCTTTTGATAACTCGCCAGGACATTCAGCGGGAACCTTCATCTCACATTTGCTATGACATGTGTAACCACAATCCCTGCAATCGAAACCCTTTGCAGATAAACCCCATATTCGTTCACCGCATAGGTCACAATTAGTTGGTATTTTGAACGTTTGCGACTTAAAATTATGGTTTTTGGCCCCGAGGGTAACATCTCCGACTGCTGATGTAATGGTCGAAGTCTCAACTTCGGCGGTCAGACGTCGGCGGTCGACTTGGTGTAAATCTTCTTGCATAGAGAAAATTTGAGTGACGACTTGTACCTCGTCCTTATTCTCTTTTCCTTCACGTATCCTTTGTTTAATACGCTTAACACCCTCGACTTCCCTCCTCTTTTTATCGACTTCTCGTCGAAGATCTCCTAGTTGACTTTTAGATTTGTTTAGGACATTGCGTAAAAACACCCTCGCTATTTCGTCCGTTATCATAAGATCGTCATCGTGCCATACAGGGCTGGGTTCGAACATTTTGTCGGTCGGTTCCTGCCACGAACCCATATTATGCCGGATATACATCATGGAGTCTAAATGAGGTTGATTCCTAGTGATCTCCTGGGCCAAGTGATCAACCAGACTATTACTCTGCTGTAGCAACGTTGTTTCCAAACTAGCTGCCGTGGACCATAATGCATTTAATTTCATAGTTCGAAATTCCGCAAGGTCTTGGAGACTATCTAGCACTTCGGGAACGTATTCGTGATAGTACTTCTCCTTCTGCTTATTTGTCACGTTGATAGCTATCAAGTATGTGTTCTTGACATTGTTCATATCCTGGAGCTGCTGCTGGTATTGGCTTTGAGCTTTTGCCTTGTCGAAAGCAGACTCAGTCTTCTTCCGCTTACTCTCCACCTCTTGGCACGCAGCATCGTATTTAGTCTTGGTTTTCCGCAAATCGGCATACGAGGAGTCCCTCTCAGCTTCCAATTTCGCGGCGTATTCGACATGGCGTTTCCGCAACTCATCAAATCTGCCAGAATAGTATTTTAATGGGTCTGCCACCTTTTGTATGAGGTCGTTCGCATATTTCTCGTGCTCGCTGGCTATCGATTCGAGGGTAGTAAGGTGGGTCGTCCATATAGTAAGAGATGCGTTCTCGAGGGATCCTGGAGTCATAGCAGGCGTGTCGCCAACACTCAAACTAGCCGACTTTTTAGTTTTCTTCTCAAAATACTTCTTAGCTAGAGCGTTCAGCTTTGCGCTATGCTCCTTTTCGATGACGCTCCGCTCCCGGTAGAAACTTTGGATATCGTCAAGCCACGCGATACCGTTGGCCACCCAAACATTTGCCGGTTTGAAGCCATCCTACCATCACAAAGAAAACTGTTGGTTAGCAATACGATTCCGGGAAGCAATGAGAACGAGTAGGCTGTAGTGAATAGCTAATACACACCTTTAACTCGGCACCAAACGTAGGTGCAACATCCACCTCAGCCATCACGAAGGACTGGCCACGATTTTAAACATCCAGGCACAAAAGGAGTAGCCTTGCGAAAATTGTTGGGTATGTGGGATGAAGTCGTGGTTGCACAATTATCGTCAACTAAGGCCATATCATGAATAGATTGTTATCCCTTGTGTGTGCATAGCGGTAATGTAGAGCGTAGAGTGGTTGTGGGCTGAAAATGATGCAAAGTTACAAGTTCAGGTACAGGTTCGGGTGCAGGTTCAGGTTCAGAGAGATGAAATGCGAGACGCAGGGAACATCGGCACAGCCCCACTTACTGGCCAGTCGCTGCTGCTGCCCGGCTGATCGGTACTCCCTTTTATCAGTACACGAAGTTAGTACCCCGCCTCATGACGATAGGTCCATCTAACACGTGTAGCGTGTACTTATACTTTTATATATACCTATGTAAGGTACTAGTTAGGTTAAGTACCTTATAATATCGAAGCTCAATTCCAATAAGCTGGTCAACCTTCAATGGAACAATTATCAATGCTAAAGCATCACAATCTGACCGTTGATCACAATACACAATACGTTAATCTATACAATATGTACATGTGCAAACGCGTCTTAGGTACATGCTAGGATGGAACGTAATGGTCAGGGGCTTAGTCTAAATCTCCGCTATAATTCAAATTTCTAGTGTACACTTGTGAGTCCGAAATTACAGCCGGCAATATCGTCGCTGACGCTGAAGAGGCAACTGCGACACTGCCCCTCCTTATGATTACCCCACTAAGGATGCCAGCCCCACCAAATATTTGTAGCTTGGTCAAAAAAGCTTCATCCAATTCAATCCAGTCTATCCAAGACATCAACAACTGATGAGATTATGTGTCGCCAATAGTCTCATAGAAAGCCTTCTTACAACGAGCACTTAGGCAGAACGCCTATCACGCGACAATAACACCTTAGACATTGTCTATTTAAATTTTATTGTTGCACTTTCTTTAACGGACAGACCCAACTTCCCTTTGGCCACCTTGAGTGAACATCAATTCCATCGATTGACCGATTATTGCGATACCCGATCCTATTCACCACCTAATATCAACGTAGTCGCCGCGATCGTACCATCCATTTACGTCTTCTTCTTGTAGCAAAGTACGAATTAATACCTCGTCGCATTCCGATCGCATATATCCATCATGGCCGACCTTGCTAGTCGCATTAGCCAACCTGGCGAACCCCAAGCCGGTGGCCAGCCCGAGGAGTCTAGGCTCCAAGATAACAGCTACGATGTTGAGGTACAACTCAGCGACCTTCAGCAAGATACGGATAACCCCCTAGGTTCTGCGCATACGTTCGAAGAGCTCGGATTGTAAGTGCCGGAAATCAGCATATATCGTATTATACAGAGTTAATTCCTTTTTGATAGGCCTAGTGAAGTTCTCCGAGCTCTAACCGCGTTACGCTTCTCCAAACCATCCAAGGTCCAAGAGAAAGCACTCCCCTTGATGCTTTCCAACCCTCCGCGAAACATGATAGCTCAGTCTCAGTCCGGAACTGGAAAGACGGCCGCTTTCGTCACCACGGTTCTATCTCGTGTCAACCAGTCGAAGCCAAACCAACCCCAAGCTCTACTACTTGCCCCAAGTCGCGAGCTGGCCCGGCAAATAGAGATGGTCGTGGTCCAGATCGGACAGTTCATGCCCAACCTGGCAGTGGCTGCCGCTATTCCCGGCGCTATTCCCCGCGAGGGACGTGTTGATAAGAGTATCGTTGTTGGTACTCCCGGAACCGTCATGGATCTGATCCGAAGACGCCAGTTTGATGTATCCCAGTTGAAAGTTCTCGTTATTGACGAAGCCGACAACATGTTGGATCAACAAGGCTTAGGTGATCAGTGCACCAGAGTCAAGAAGTATGTTCTCCATCACTCGCTCTCCTATCATTTCGTCGCGATACTAACCTAAAGTTCCGTCTAGCATGCTCCCTAAAAGCATTCAGATCCTTCTATTCTCCGCAACCTTCCCCGACAAGGTCATGAGATACGCAACACAGTTTGCGCCTAGCGCCAACCAGATTAAACTGAAGACTCAGGAGCTCACGGTCAAGGGGATTTCCCAAATGTACATGGATTGTCCTTCCGAGGTAGACAAATATGATATCCTTTGCAAGCTCTACGGTCTGATGAATATCGGTTCATCAATCATCTTCGTTAAGGTAAGGCCCCTCAACCAATAAAATCAACCAGATAATGTGCCGCGCGCTAACTATGTTAGACTCGAGAGAGCGCTACCCAAATCCAACAGAGGATGACAAAGGATGGGCACAAGGTTTCTGTCCTACACGGTGCTTACGAAGGAAGTGAGAGAGATGCGCTACTGGAAGAATTCCGAAGCGGTCGATCCAAGGTCCTAATTACCACCAACGTTCTCGCTCGTGGAATTGACGTGTCTACGGTGTCCATGGTTATTAACTACGATATTCCGATGAAAGGAATGGGAGACAGCATACACGACACGGAGACCTACCTCCACCGTATCGGAAGAACTGGCCGTTTTGGCCGTGTCGGTGTCAGTATCACTTTTGTCTCCGACAAGAAGAGCTTCGAAGCACTCAATGCCATCGCGCAAGATCTTGAAATTGACTTGGTAGCGTTGAGACCTGATGATTGGGACGAGACCGAATTGCTAGTCCAGAAAGTTATCAAATCTAGCCGAGCGCAGGCGGATTACGTCCCAGGTCAAGCATCTTCGTGAGTTGATGGATTAGACAGAGCCTACTCAGGTACTTCAAGGATACCATATGGGCCAGATTCCGCCTATTGAGCGACGTATGCAAGTTCTAACAATTTGATGACTGGGGCATAACACGGGCTATTTATGCTGGTACTCAGCTAAGCTATTGACTCGGTTGGCGATTTCAACTATTTTCCCCCCAAGACATTCCAGCAAAAAAATAATTCTACATGAGAGGATTGATGTAGTTAATGAGAGATGATTAGATACCTACCGACAGAAAAAAAGTCATCCGATGTTTTTACTATATGTGCGCCAGGAGGATTCTTTTACATGAATCCTGCTTAATTTATTGTATGCACCTTGATGAGGTGTGGTAGCATGTTCGAAACAGCTTTTCTACGAAGACATTAGAATCAATGGGGTAGAAATAGTTGCGCCTCCAAGAGGTTTCCCAGGCCTTTGATTAAAACGAGTATCGCTCTCCAAACGCGCAAGCGGATACGAAAACGGCCAGGTGTTTGTACAACACCAGGCGCAGACAACGTTGATGGTGTAGATATCGAAAGGCTATTTTCTAACCACGGCCGATCGGTTCTTTTAGATTTATAGCAAATGTGTCTTTGGTAAGATTTCTATATTTGAGGAAGCCTACCTACCCAAAGTATTCTGCCCCTTTATGAGGGATTATTAAGAGCCCGAAAAGTAGATATCTTGTTATGGTATACCCGACGTCGGTAATTCGCGTTCAAGGCGATAGTAGTAGATCTGAAACCCATTGGCATCGTCGCTAGAAATATTTTAGTGGCACATTAAGAAGCTTTTGGTGAGTTGAGGTTGGACAACAGCGGCACAAAACCACCATCGGCACGATCTGCTCTCTTCGGGTACATGTATCGAGAGCATGCGTAGTTTACATAACAATTTTATGTACCAACCAATTTGTATATAGCCCATCCACGTAGGAAGCAGGTACATATGCATGTAACGTCAGGATACATAAAATATTGAAAAGGTACATAAATATATGTGCATCAATCGAGAGGCGGAGGCGCGGAGTTTTTTGCACATTCTCATCGCCGGGTCAAGTACCTCTTCTATATATAAATACGGGATAGGTACCTACAACACAGTAAGCATATATAAAGTACCTAGGTATATCAAGAAGGAGAAAGCGAGACGCCAGAAAAAGCAAATATGTCACTTCCCGTTGCATCCAGCCAGTGGTAGTTGCATGAGGGGTTCTAAGCGCCCACGAATAATGTTAAAAGGTACCGCGCGCCTACCGTACACATACCCCCCTTACCCCTTACCCCCTGCCGCCCTACTTCATGTTCCTAGATCCCTACCTGGCACCCCTGTCTGCAAAGCTCAGCCCACAACAACCCACCACCCGCCCTCCACTAGACGCTTTCATCCTGCAGATAAGATCTATATTCACCGACGAGTTCCTGACTTTTACAAACCCCTGTCCTGCCAATATTCCCCTTCAGCCTCTTGTAGGCTTGTCTAGACGTTCTGAGCCGTACATCGACGAGACTCCCCGAATAGGGAAAAGATATCCAACCCAATAAGGATTACTATTAACGATGATCCTTTCTTGTCCAAGCGAATCCTTGCTGTTGCTCCTCCATCCTCACTCATATTTGGGCTGTTACCCTACGTACCCAATAATCAATCATACCTCATACGTTCGTGGTATATGGTACGGTACTGGGTCAATCGTACCTCGCATGGCATGCTCTAAGGCTTAACATCTGCAAACTGCAACTGCAAACAAGCAAGCAACTCAGCATCCATGCATTGCCGTGGCCAACTAGAGGGACCATGGCTATGCCCAGGTGTATGGCTCAACCGCTGTTTGTCTGCTTAGGTAGCTAAGTAGCTACACTGAGATGAGTACCATGGCACCTCTCGGGATGCTAGCCGTCAGTGTTACCCATCCAACGGCTCGAGCTCTCATCCATGCCTATTCTTTTCCATCGGCGTCCAATCTCTTTTGCTTATGGCGTGGCTTAATCGCCGGTAACGTCATGGACATGGATGATACCTTTCGAACCCGTCCATCCGCCTTATACATCACATACATCACATACATGGTGAGACCCAAAACTGGTCTTATTCATCTAGACCCATCCTCGCCCCTTTCTCTTTGGTTTACTATTTCCTCTTCGGTAACAAACCCTTTCTTGATTTTCATTTACTCCTTAATTCTTGAATTTTCATTGTGTCATTTCCTACCTTGTCGTTTGGTTACGTATTGTTCCTTGGGTCTAGGTATCTTCCATTTACTCTATTCTTCGTGGACTATGCAAACCCATGTGGTGGAATGCTAGCTACTTCTTCTTAAGACCTTTCCTATTTCATATACTTGGCAGGCCGTTTGACATCATATAGCCCGGGTCGAGGCCACCAAACACGCCCACACGAAACATAATTACACATTAATTTCCTTCGGTACCAACGGGGAGGCCTCTAGGTGACGTGGTCGTTCTTCGATGATCAAAGAATGAGTTACGCCTACCCCTTAAAACTAAAGCTGAACGGGGTCAGCTATCAGAAGATTGTACATCATCAAGCTCTTAAAGATATTGTCGAGTAGGATGGCTTTCGAGTCTCTGGTTCGTTACACGTTGATATGGATGACGATATTAGCGGGCTTCGCTGTCGGTATCGAACTCGGTGAAAACATTCAAGCTTTCGTCCCGATTTGTGCTCAACCCTGTCTAGAGTCTTTCATCTCAGGCAACTATCCATCAACATCATGCACATCGAACCCGACGTTACAATGTCTATGCCCAGAAAAATCAAATTCAGGATATACACTTGGGGAAGGGGCTCTACAATGTATTAGTGCTGAGACACAACAAGGAGTTTGTGATAGAAATATCACTGGGGGTAAGTTTGGAAATCTTCTTAGGCCTCAGGGATCTTAATGGGATTAACTTGATACTAGGATCCGTGCAACATGACGCTTACCTTATGTGCTCTGGCATATCTAATGCTTTACCAAATACGCACGCTACCCTAACGGCTACCATTGTCAATTCACCAACCGGTGGACCAGGATCGATCATCTTGACGTCGATAGCAATGACAACTCCGACTGGGACACTGTCTTTGGCCCCGACAGTATCTAGCACAGAAGCGGCGGCAACTACAACGGACGTGACATCTGGTTCCTCGCCTGAACAATCCTCAGCAGCCTCTCTTAATAATGCACAAATAGCTGGTATTGTCGTGGGTGTTGTTGGTACGGTTTTTATATCATTGATCGCTATCTTCATTGTTAGGCGAATACGTAAACGGAATTATCCAGAGCTTGAAGAGGGATTGCTTTCAATAGATGAGGATAGGAGGAAGCCTGGCGCGTCTGGATACAGGAGATCCGGTCCCATGATCATATCGGCGCCGATGTCCAGTGATGCGGCCAGATATCCAGAGCCTCAGTCGTACCGCACACCATCACCACATTTCGCTCCTCCATTAGACCCATATACTCCTAATCATGGCCCTCCATCGGGTGCCTATCTTTCGCCGGGAGCCAGTCAAGAAGCCGTTGGGCTTGCCATCTCACATTCTCTAAATGGAAGTCCTTCAAGATCTCCGGAGAACGCAATTCGCCCACCACCTTCACGACCCCTTCCAGCCAAGCCAGCACTGAGCGTGAAAATTCCCCCGGCCCGACCACCCCCACCCGAGACAGTGCCACAAATGCAATCGCGCGTATCGGCTTCACAGACAGCAAATACCGACAGAACTAGTATGATGACCAATATGACAGCGTTTGCCGACTTAGACGCCGAAGCCCAGGAAGGAGGACCGATATGGCAGCCCCCGCCAAATGAACCACTGTCAACTTCGCCCCCTTATGTCGGAAACAGATGGGGGAATTGGATGTTTAAGAACAACAATCGACAGTCTCAATTGGCGCAGGTTGCAGAGGTTCAAGAGGTTACAGGGGCCGCCGAACTTGACACATATACTCCGCTAACGAAGTCACCGGCAGAAAGAGAGGAAGAGGCGAAGATAGCCGCCGATCTTGCGGCTGCTTCTGTGCTTTCTAGGAAGAGACAAAAAGCGAAGATGGCTAAAGCACGTGGTGACAAACCGGTCGATCGTTCATCAAGCGTGTATTCGCAAGCAAGTGCTGTTAGGCGCAATTTGCGAAGTTTGGCTCCCAGGAGAAATAGTTCTCGATCCCGGAAGAGTAATGGAGCTCAGATCTCCCGATCTAATACAGCTGCATCACAAGACTCCGTCACGACGATAAATACATGTTCCTCAAGTCCACTTCCAGACGATGTTCTCTTTGAACTTGACAACGGCCGTTTATCGGAACTTTCGACTGTTAGAGAAACGTCACCAAGTCCTAGAGGCCCTCAAGTTAGATATCCGAAAATTCCAGGACGCCTCGACCGATCTATGATGCAAATGGATCCACCCAAACGGCCGGAATTTATACCTCGCGGAAAACCCAGCCCAATTTTAAGGGATCCTCCTCTACCTATAGATGAGACTAATTCGCCCTATCCGCAACCCCTAAATCCTAAGCGCCTAAGGGATCCCCGAATACAAAACTTGGCAGGGGACCCAGATATTGGAACTGACTTAGCAAGTCTTCCTCGACTTGATGAGGATAGGCCAATGATGGATGGTCCCTCATCCAGATTTTCACCCCGGATGGCGAACACTCAGGATCGAACCGGGCCGTACAATTATCCCGGAAGACTTCTAACGCCACCGATACAAACTACAGGATCTGGATTTTCGCCTGAACCTCCAAACGTCGAAAGATTCCCGACACCGCCTTCTATCTCATCGCAATCGGGCATGGGAGACATACAATCCCACGTAGCACGCTCGGTATCACCTTTAGGTCCAGGAACAATGAGCTCCGGTACTTCAAACTCTAGCACTTTGTTGGCGAAACGAGTTGGAAAGGGAAAAGCGACTACACTTACGCTTACCGGTAGTAACAAGAAGAAGGTTCAATGGACAAAACAGAATGACGAGGCTGATCCGGATAACACTAGTCCTTCTCCCCCGCCAAGAGGCCCGCCTCCACCTACACCAACTTGGCAACCGAAATTGACACCGACGAGGTTTGGCGATGAATTATATCTAAATGTTCAGTAAATTTAGCGATTTTTATCTACGCAAGAGGAAAATTTGCCACTTGCAATCGTTTTGGGTTTTTGTTTTGTCCCCCCCAAGTGTGTTACCATTCTGGACGTCATTCGTTACGCATCGTCAACGCTTTCACATCGAAATATATCCCGCAGGCAACACCGGCCTCACATCACTATCTCTTTTCTATGAATTATAATATCACAATGATCAATTAGATGTACTACATATTGGGTATACGGAAACATACGCATGCATTACGAAATCTGGCGTTCGGGAATTTAGTCTATGTGTAGAGTCTGGGGTCGGCAATCTACTTTGGAATCTGGATAGGGGGTTAAATCACAACATTAGAGGGAATAGAGATAAGATACCCAAGTAAAGTTAACATGTCTAAAAGAGAATATATCATAATATTATTTTACCAGTTTCTTTTACATTAGATCTGATCTTAATGCTTCTATGATGAGAATCCATACAATTGTACATCTAGGTTGTAAGTTGAATCCCCGAATAATATCACCAATAGTCGCATCATCACGTTCCTACCACTTCCAACATTTCCTTCCTAGACACCAGACCTACAATATTACGCTTAGTACCTAGGTATGTTATTGTTTTCTCAGCATTCTCAACGAGGCTGAGCCAAGTAACCGCGGTATAATTCAAAATACACATTATATAATCCAGGTATACGTAAGACAAGTATGTAAATATTGAAGATGCCCTCGGCATGAATTCCGCTCACAGCCCTCCTGCAAGGTGCTGCAACTGCATAGATGTATCCCGGTCTCTCAAGGTTTAACCATGCATCCGGAACGTGGGCGGGGGACTTCCAGGGCTATAATAGGTAACATAGTATAGTGGGGTAATTAGCATCGGGACGGGCACTAGCGCTCTGTGGGTCTCACAGCCCCGCCTAGAGCCCGTTTTAGTTACGTTACCCGCTATAGAAATTTTTACTTTTTGTTGCTGCAGTGCGACTCTAACCTGCGCAAAAAGATAAAAAAATTGAGATTCCGGGTTGGCACTGCCACCACCACCACCATTTATTACTACTACTGCTACTGTTACTGCATTTTACTGTGCTACGCCGCGTACTACACACCGAAATCCCGCACGGATAGCAATAATAATATCGACGTCGACGAAGATAGCGGGGAACGGTTTCCAAAAATACATCGTCTTTGCGATTCGGCTCGAGGCTTGCCGTGAGTACATAGAGCCGAAAGATTGACGGACGGAGAAGTTTTCGGAGTTGGGGTTTATTTGGTTTGTTAGAGGCACGCCACTTGCTTCGAAGCGCCAGCCGCGAATCGCGATAGAATAGAACGGAAGAGGCGTCGTCCGCGATCAGATTAGATCAGACCGGTCTATTGTACCCAGTCGAGCTGTACCGGTTTCTTTCCGCCATCCGGTATTCTACCCACCAACCAACCAACCAACCAACCAACCGACACCTCTCTACCTTTACCACCAACCCATATCCCGAAAATGGCACAAGGCGCCGTAAAACCCAAAAAGCCAACAGCTACCTCCACAGGTCGCAAAGCTAAGCCTCAACCTCCGAAAAAAGGAGCGCGCGTAGCGAAGGCTAAGAAATCATCTGCCGCGGATAAGATACAGAAGAAATTTGCGGCGGGCTTGGTTTCGAAGACGGAGAAGTTGTTGGGGGAGAGAGCGGGACATTTGGAACTTATTGGGAAGGGGAGGGTGAAGGGGGCGGATAAAGATAAGGAGGGGGATAAGGGAAAGAAGGGTGGGAGTCGGAAGTTTGGTTGAAGGGTTATTATGTTGAGGAGTCATGATGATAGTCGCCCGGTCGTAAGTCGAATTTTACTGTCAAATGACGGCTCCGACGCCATGCGAGCACCCAGCTCTCTACGCTTGAAGATGAAACGGATCGCCCCACCGAGGGTAGAAAGAGTTGATTCATATACTCAGTTTTCATCATTAGTAAATGAAGCTATTCACAGGGAACAACAATCCCACTGAGATGAGAACATTCATATGGGTGGGGAAATACCGCCATCCATAACGAGGAACGAAATACTTCGGACCTTTTCTTATTTAAGGCTACCCGGGTCTAACACACCTCGTAACGTTTGGACGGGTCTGGATATTCTATCCACCTATTAGTTGAAACCAAGAGATACATATTAAACACTGCAAGCAAAGAAATTCAATCTACTCTGGAGTGTCTTCTTAACCATAACGTCGTGATCATAATCTTCCCTCTATCTACCTGCTTTCCTTCCATTCCTTCGCAATATTCGTCAACCTTTCCTTTACAAACGCCAAGTCCTCTTGGACATTCACCCTCCAGCTTGCTACCGCAATCCGGCACGCGGGCTCTCCCTTCCATTTCGTCCCGCTCACATACCACTCTCCCGAGTCCTGGATCTTCTGCACGAGCACTGCGTTCAGCCCCGGGTCGCGTGCTCGGAACAACACGACAATGTGGGTATGCGGCACAGACGCGGTCTCGGGGAGGAGTTCATAGTCTTCTTTTAAGTTAGAGAGGAGGGCATCGGCTACGCCTTGTGCGAGTTGCGTCATGCGCGCGAGCATGGTGGCTAGGCCTTCCCGGCCTTCGCTTAGGAGGACAGCGTATACGGGTAGTGCACGGAAACGACGGGAGTTTTCGAGGCCTATGTTGAGAGGGCTAGGGATAGTGGAGGTGGAAGATGAGGAGAGGTATACTGCGTTTGGGTTTTGGAAGACGGCGGGTGGGATGCTGGAGTGACGGGTGAAGAATATGCCGGTGTCGTAGGGCTGGTAAATTTGTCAGTACCTATTTAGTGAAAGATAAATAAGGGAAAGGAAAACATACAACATTCAGTAGTTTATGCCCATCCACGGTAATACTATCCGCAAGCTCAAGCCCGGCGGCTGACTCCCTAAGCTGTGCGAACTCTTCCGTCTCTGGCAAAGATCTTGCGAAAATACCGAATGCACCATCAACATGAATCCAAGCACCATATCGATCTGCCAATTCTCTCAATCTCTCCATATCCTCTAAACCCCTCGTGGCAAATCGTCCTGTATTAACCTCCCCGGCACTGACAACCACAATACTCGCAACGCCCTCACGTTGAAGCTCCTCCTCCACGGCATCAAGATCCAACCTCCAAGGCTCTAGTGGGCTAACCGGGAGATCCTTCACGCTGGCGCGCCCAAGTCCGACAACTGAAGCCGCTTTATACAGGGAACTATGTCCCATACTAGTCAAAACCTGAATCTCCTTGACACCAGCCTCAGCACATGCTCTAATTAGCCCAAGCTCACCAACACTCCCTCCATCCTCTTCCTTCCCCGGTATCTCCCTCAACCTCGCTGTAATAACACCTTCCCTCCCACAAGCCAAACCCAACACATTACTCGCCGTCGCACCGGTAGTAAACGTACGACCAGCCCACTCTTCCGCCTTCCCTAGTTTCAGAAATTCGATTAACATACGCAAAGCCACATCTTCAACCTCGGTGCTTATAGATTGTCCCGGGAGATGTACTTGCGCGCTGTTATCAAACGCCGAGACCAAATTATCGGCGGCTTCGGCGATGGGAAGGGTAGATCCGGTTACGAAGCCGTAGTACCGACCGCTGAGGTTGTGGCCTGCGAGAGCTGGGGCGATGTCGCGGGTTAGGTGGGTGAGTGTGGATGTTGGGCCTTGACCTTGGGTTGGGAGGATGGAGGGGAAAGATGTGCGGGCTGCGGAGAGAAGGGAGGGGTGAGGGAGGGTGGGTACGGAGGTTCCGGGGGGTACGGAGGCGGAGGCGCGGATCCGGGTGTAGGATGTGCTGAGGAAGGTTTCTGTGTCCATTTTGGGGACCTCTTGGTTGTGTATGTGGAATTGAGTGGAAGGGAATTGGTTATATCTAGACGGAGGCTAGGAGGTCGGCAAAAATAGTTACGCCTTTATGACTCTATTCATGCACTAGAATTGCGTAAATTATTTCGGTAATATCGTGACATTCAATTCGCATGACTCTTAAGACAAAAGTACTCCGAAAATTTTATATGCTTCCTTCTTTAGAATTAGGTCATCGTACAGATTTTCTATCGATCGCAAAGTCTTCCCTATAGTTGTTTGAATTGAGACGCTAAAGAGTATCTTGTATTTTTATTAGTAATATGGAGGTTTGAAGTTACACATAAGAAGGATTAATTGTTACTTACAGTTGGAATTGAGCGGTGACACTATCTATAAGTCAGAATTATTGCGGGGTAATTATAATATGTATAAGTGTTAGAAGTCTCAATTCGAAGTGTCTTCCATAGGGCACCTAGATATTAGTGTTACATCTCGTGCGACCGATGTATGACAGCTGAAACCTCACAGTATATCCTCACCGATTCCATGGTTCATTAATTACCGACCTATGTCTTCTATCTTAGACAAAAGGTTACGGCTGGGATTATTTAACTTGATTGTCTTACCTTGCATTTATGCTCGTCGTATGTCGGTTCTCGCCGAGGATACACAGGGTAGTACGTCATCACAGAAATAGGGCTGCGGTCCTCCGGTCCACGATATCAATCGTAATGTTTACTCGTTGTGCTACCGTTAGTTTGTTAAATCTTACTAAGGATGAATTTGACCGAATGTGATCCTCAGGTAGTCGGGAAGTAACCTCCCCTTTTCATTTTTCTAATTCCTAAAACCCTATGCCTTCCTTACTAGCCAGGCCAATTCCTCTGCCTTTTCCTTGCCTACCAAGGCCGGTAGCCCACCTGCAGGAAGAAAGTCATGATCGCAATACTCAAATCCGGGGACCACCGTCTCGGAAATCAGCAATCCACCGCTCGTCTTCTCGGTACCAGCAGCATCATCCGGAAGAAGGAAACTGGCCTTGAACTTCCCTCCCTCAACGATCCACTGCAGCTTCTCGCCCTTAGCTACATTTGAGCCAACGACGAACGTCTCGATCCTTTTCCCGCCACCAGGGAGATCAGGCTCATCGGCATGAATTAGAACATACACGCCACGCCCTCGATGTAACGTGTGTACGGTTCTACCCCGGTTCCGGTGGAAGTTTCCCTGAGGCGAGATGGGAGTCAGGTAGTAGAATATACTTGTCGAGGCGTTGCGATAGGCCGAGTTAAAGCCGGGTCTTTGCGGCATGAGAGCCGAGGCTGGATCTTCAGGGAATGGTGAGGGAATTAAGAGAGGGTCACGCTGTTGGTTATGTTAGTGATGACTGAGATTTAAGGGTGAGTTTTAAGCTGGAATTGACGCTGACAAATAGCACGAGATTGAAAGTGAAGGAGGCATGAATCGGAATATCGCCAACACTCCCAACTCTTGCCTAATAGTGTTAGATATAACTATTTTAAAACACTTACATCAGTTTCAACGAAATAGCCACCTTCGATATGAGGTATCAATGAAAGAGCTTTGATAACGGCGTCAGTATCCGGAGATTCGGAAGCACCCGAAGAGGGCGTGAATGATGGCTTTAGCTCTATGCTCGACATGGCTGCTTCTAACTCGATAATTGTTAGAGACTGGGGACGGACTATAGTGGAATTTGGCGGAGTTTCCTATAATATTATAGCAAAATTAAGAATATGTGTGGACTAAGTTAGGTATATTATAGAAATCATCTTTCTGGAAACCAGTACACCGCAAGAACAACATAGGTATACGCGGCATCTTCATTGATAAGCATAATTCTTAGATAGACTGGGGTCTTTGCGGAGCTACTAGATCTGTTTTAGAAGTATGAAATGTTAAAATGGTTGTATGTAAGAAAGCGGCGTCGAGAATGGAATCGTGGTAGAGTGCTAGCTGCTAGACATGGATGATGTAGTTGGTAAGGATGGATTGGGATGGTCTCATCTGCAACTAATCAGCTTTCCCGTCCCGTCTCGCCTAGCTTATCGATACGACAACCTTGAGAAGCGCGTAATAAACCTGAGAGGGCGACCAATGGACTGGGACTGCTAGCCTTATTTAGGTGCTAGTTTTGAATAGACTGAGGTCCGTGAAGTGTTAAAATAAGCCACGCTAGTCTAAGCTAGTCTTTAAAACGGTTCGCTAAGTGCTTAACGGTTGAAGCTCGGATCATATTTGGTGCATTTTTAGCATTTTTAGGACACAAACGGGGCATATATGGAGCATATTTAGGTACGTACCGCCGTATTAAGCACCATTTGAACGTCTTCTGGGCTGGGCTCGAGCCCGTCTCCTTTCTTTTAGTGGGGCATCATAGTGGTTTTTTAGTGGTTTTTCTCGGTTTTCTCTAAAGAAGTTCGCTGCGATCCAGACCTTGCCTTAAGGACCTTAAGGATTTAAGGACCCCCCGTCGATCCTTTCTTCATACTCAGTACTCCATCTGGGAGTCAAAAAATGACATTAGGACGAGCGCTCTTTTCTCCAATTTCCTTTCGTCGTTTTTTTTCTCTTTTCTCTTTTCTAATTCTATTGCGAGTTTAGGTGGTTAAGCTCATTTATTTTTTTCATTTGTGAGCAAGAAGATAATCAAACTCCCTTACCTCCGATATCTCACATCTCAAGAATAGAAGAAGAAATCGAATCGTAATGTCCAGCTGATGAAGCCCTAATCCGATTCGAGGAGCGACACCCCTGACCTATATCCTACAGCGACACATACCCTCCTTCGGCTTACGCTCTGTTCTTCCCAGCCTCCAGGTCATTTGTTTAGTTGGTTGTCAGACCTTCAACCTTTTTTTCAGCCGCGCGCCCGTTGTAACCGAATCTTTTTTTTTTTCTCGACCGAAGCTCTCGTGAGCATCTACCATCAATCCGAACTACGAGCGCAAACATGTCCGGTCTTATGAGTAAACGCCAACAGGCGCGCAACGAAAAAGTATTGCAGGATCTTGTACATAGCGTGCCTGGTAATAATTTCTGCGCGGATTGTCAGGCGAGAAATCCATGTACGTGTTTATTGTGGCAGCCCTTTTGTTTTTGTTTCTCAAGCCTTAGAAATCATGAAGCTGACGTAGCATTCTCTAGCTTGGGCATCATGGAACGTATGTGTACAAGTCCAATCACCGATGACTCTTATTATTAGGATTCACCAATCGGCGCGAACCATCCGCCCTTCGGAACGAAACAAATCGAACTATACGCTAATATGATTGTAGTTGGGCATATTCCTTTGCATGCGATGCGCTGCCATCCATCGAAAATTGGGCACACATATTTCTAAGGTCAAGTCGCTTAGCATGGACAGCTGGACCAATGAACAAGTCGAGGTAAGAATAGACATGAAAGCTCGACAGGAACCAACTTCTTTTGACTAACAATGACTAGGCTATGAAACGGGTAGGAAATGTTGCGTCGAACAAGATCTACAATTCTCAGAACAAAAAACCACCCGTCCCTATCGACGCTGACGAAGCCGATTCCGCCATGGAACGATTCATACGAGCAAAATACATCCAGGCGGCAATCAATGGAACGAAAAAACATAATACAGGAAGCTCAGACGAGGGCACTCCACCGCCGTTACCACCCAAGACCGGCAGTCGTTTCTTTTCGTTTCGGTCCAAGAAAGATACACGCTCACGCGATGGAGCACATAGTTCCCACGACCCTCAACGTAGCTTCGACCAACCACGCAACAAAGCTTCCAAGGTGTTTGGAGCCAGCGTGCATCAAGATACCCCGGAGGATACAGCCCAAAAGTTGACACAGCTTAGAGATATGGGGTTCACAGATGACAAACGGAATGCTATGATTTTGAAGGGTGTGAACGGTAACCTTGAAAAGACGATCGAAGCATTGGTACGGTTAGGAGAAGGAGGAGGATCACTACCTCTACCATCGCGTGATGGTTCCCTACCTACGTCCAGATCGTTGACCCCGCAACCCTTGACACCTCAACCGACGTCACCGCGGCCTACAATCGGATTGTCCAAATCTAGTCCACCGCCTGTGCCAAGTCCTGCTAGTCCGTCAAACAACCCCTGGGATATACAGCCGGCTCAACCTCAGTCGACACAATCAACCGGAACTCTACAGAATAGGAATCCTTTCTATGCATCGAATCCATTCGGGATACCAAATCAACAAACCGGATTCGACTTAAACCAGAGTTTACAGAATCTTGCTATATCTCCGTCTCAGCAGCCACTTTTCCCACACCACACGGGAGGCGCTCCACCGTCTCAGTCAATGTCTCAGTCATTCTACCCGCATTCTATGACTCCACCAATCCCCCAAACTCAGAGTTTTGCGTCACTGTCTTTTAATAGTAGTCAGACATATCCTCAGCCGAGTCCTCAACCACAACAAAACTACAATCCATTCTTACAAGCTCCTACAGCCCCACAGCCGACGCTTTCATTGAACACTTCTCCTTTCCAAAGTCAGGGATCTTTTGCTTCTAATCCTTTCACTAAATCGCCAACGCGACTTACATCACCGACTTTGAACCAGATACCCGAACAGACGCAACAAAATTACTACAATTCACCCTCGTCTCCCTATGCGAGCAATCCGTTCTTTACCATGAACCAACCTGTACAAAATCATAACCAGGCGTTTCAACCGCAACTTCAACCTCAAACTCAACCCCAACCACAGCAAATTCAGCAAGCGTGGTATGAGCCTCAGCCTCTCATACAAGTGGCAACTCAGCCAACATATCAACAACCTCAACGGCCTGATACTGCTTCCATTATGGCTCTGTATAATTATCCCCAACTAGCTCCAACCAAACCGCAAGGTCAGGCTCAGGGCGCGCCTAGTACAGAGGCGAGTCAAGCGATCCCTCCACCTGCACAGCAACAGATGCCTCTGCAACAAGCGCCATCTCCTTCAGCTGCAAATAGAAACCCATTTATACATAGCTCGCCCACTCCTAGTGCGGCTATGACCGCGGCCCCAGCTCCATTTGCGGCGCCGACTAATCCCAATCCTACCCCATCGAGTGCTAGAAGCCGGGAGAGTATGACACTCGGCATGGAGATGGCGTGGAATAACGGTCGACACAGCCCTGATGCTTTCGCCAGCCTCAGCGCCAGAAGCGGCTAATGCAATAGGCTGCGTATATATGTATATATAATAATAATAATCAAGGTGTACCATAATAACGATCTTTTACGGAAGAGTTTAGCCTCGAGATTTATCATGCCATCTATCGTGGAGTTAATGTCGCCAGGCAAACATCCAATCAGCCCCCGGTCCGAATTCCCCCCATTTTCTTTTGGTATCCCCTATTTATGGATTTCTTTCAAGCTGAACTCTTCCCAGGGTATTTCATCCAAATCCTCGAATGTCTGTCCGTCTGTTCGGACTACGCTACTCCAACCTCGGAGCAATGCCCGCCAATAGCATTTCTCAGCTGCCGGACTAAGATACCCGGCGCCATGGAAGAGCTCCCGTTGGCGTCGCGCGATACCCTCGGCGATTTTGGGGTGTGCTTCCAACCACGCGATAGTAGCTTCTAAATCACTCCAATCCGGCGCGACGAATACCATATTCGCCTCCGTCGCTGGGTTATATGACTTGGGCCATGCTGATTTTACCCAAGATGCTGGATATGGGGCTAGTTTCTCCTTCCTGGATGCGGCGGGAGAGGTTAAAGTGCGTTCGACGCCAGGTAACGCATGACTGAATACTGGACGGACTAGATGGGTTACGTGTTGCATCCACGCGATCGGCGGTGATAAAACTACGCTTGCGCAAAGTTGGTGGTATTGGAAGCGTCCGCTGTACGTCACGCCTTCGGTGTGGATTATATATCGGTACCGGCAGAAATCTTCGATGGGGAGACCGTTGCTACTACCATTAGCATGGACGACGAGAGGCGCGATATCAGCCCAGGGCTGGGATTTAGTGGACGCGACTAGATCTTGACGTAGACGGCCTGCGCGTGGGTGGTTGAACCATGTTGTTCCGCGCCAGATTGCTTGGGGCTGTTTATTCGACCAGGAGATTTCCGATTCGAGGACTGAGATTGCGGAGGATGCTCGTGGGAAAGAACCTACGGTTGCGATTGGCCAGGCGTAGAAACTGAAATGCGGAATGGGGAAGATATGCTTGTCAGCGCCGTTCAAGACTGGGTCCGCGGGGCGGGAGTAGGATAGGGAGGGGGAGAGAGGGTCGTCTTCGTGGTTGAACGCTATGATTGTGTCTGCCGGTGTTTCATCCGGGGGTGTGGTTAGTAATGCGTTGGCGATTTGGTGGAGGGTTGCGGAGCGGTGTTGTAGCATCTCGCGGCTTAGGTCCGAGCGCCGCGCGTAAGAGAGGATGGATAGTTTGCCGTTGCGTATACGTGCGATTAGGGGACCCATGTCGTGGGGGCGTCGGGTTAGTGTGAAGGGCCCTTTGGCGACGGCGTGGTCAATTTCTTGGGTTAGGTAGGGGAATGTGGATCGGCATTGTGCGGTTGTTAGGTGGAAGTTGTTTAAAACAGAAGAGGGTGGATTGGCCTTTTGTTTGGAGTTAGGGCTGGAATCGGAGTGATGTGGATGTCGAGGAAATGTGTCGATGATGGTGGAGCGTGATGAGTCGAGACTGTGTTCTGGTACGAGAAGGAAGCAGTATAATGCTAGACAGATTACGGATATGATGACGATCTGCCGGAGACGCGTGGGTGAGGCGACGGTGCGCTTCACTGGGCGTAGGAGCGCCATTGTGGTTATTGGTGTTATATTGTTTTTGATGGAGGTTCGGGTTCCATCTCAGGTTTCCGCGTCTACGTCCTAGTAGAGCCTACAACTAAGAGGTTTCAAAATCGCACCCCACGCCGTAAAAGATAGAGTAGTGACATGTCGCGACCAGACGAAAATAGCACCATAGAATTAAAAACTACATACAAGACAGGAAAGAAGAAAAATAGCCATATTCACCGCAGATCTGGCATGAATACTAGATCCGTGACGATATCCGGGGCATCTGGTTCCGAGGACTATTTCAGGGTCCTGGGGTTGTGTTGGGGTACGACGTTGGAGTTCAGGGGTCAAATAATCGATAATTTTAGGGGACTAGGCCTAAGTTAGTAGGACCCCTGGTTTACCCCGGATGGTGCTGAGGGGTTGAAGTTTATAGGGGTTTGATATACGAATTGGTGTATACATAATGGTGGGGGTTCATGTACTGAAGTCAAATAAACCTACCCGGGTACAAGTCTGATAGCTTGAATTATTATATATAACTTTTTAACTCTCTACTAGGTAGGCATATTCCTGCCTAGTTTCGCCCAAAATAACAGCTTGATAAGTTTCCTCTTTCTTATTGTGCACCTAGGTAGGTGTTATACCTCATTCAGGGGTTATTGCTGGGTTAATGAGGACCCCGCCCTGCACTAGATGCTCACCAACAACCCTTCGCAGTTAACCAACACCGCCTATTGACCTCTAAAAAATATACCTAGGACGTCATTTCCAGGGCTGGGCGCTTGGTAATACACCTATTTTCTAAATTTGCAACTCATATAGAACCTCAAAATGCCTACCATTCCAGACGCGTGGTACGAAGAAAAGGTCCGAGAGGAAATTGCAACTCAAGAACAGAGCAACGCTATGAAATCCTTCCTTGCTGGTAATATATCAGCCGACGAAGCAGCGAAGATCCTTACGAAAGATGCAAATCAGGCAGCTCTCGAAGATACGACCTCTTCTGAAAAGCTCATCGACGAACTATGCAACCTCTGGGGGTTTCTTATCGATTTTATTCTAGAGTGGCCGATTCTTGAAACTGTCGATATTTTGCATGCTATCAGTCAGCTTCCCCACGTCGACCGCACCGGAAAAGATGCTTTGGGGGCTTTCTGTGATGACAATGGCGTAGTCGGAGAACCGAAGTTATGGGAAGATCTTCCTAAGTTTTGGAACTCGCTTAGTGATACGTGGGATTGTAAGTTGCACAGGGTAGAAGGCTTTCTGCTTGCGCGCTAATGATCTTACAGCTGAAGCGGCCTGGAGAGCTGAAAGGGTTAAATCGAATCCGGAAACAAGAGATAGTCCATCGTGGACTAATATCAACTTCTTTGCTGCGTTCGCTTTTCGAATGGAAGGACGATACGAACTCATGCCACTCTTGGGGTACTGGGGATGTCATGTTATTAAAGAGGCGGCAGCAGCTAAAGCTGAAACATTCGAAGCCGATCTTCTCGCCGCCGAGGCATGGATAGATATAGCTCCCGATGAATTGTATGATCACTACTATAGGGATTTTGAAGGGCAGTTCTCTGATAAGGAATGGCATTCCTGGGCTGCATTTTTCATGAAGACATCTCGTGAGGGTAAGTTGTCGGGGAGAGCAAGTAGAGCGGCAGCAAATGTGGCTACGGGGATGTGGGGAGTGTTTGATCGAATAGCGGGGTGTACCTTTAATACAGATGGCTTTTTATAATCTTATGGCGTGTGTATTAGGTGGTAATACCTTGTAGATGCGCTGTAATCGATGGTGGAAGAAGCCCCTAAGACGTGAGCTGCCGAATCGGAATCGGAATCGCATCCTAAAGTTTATATCAACCTAGACGTATTATGCCTAGGTATAGTATTTTCAAAAATAACTATATAAACAGATCCCTACCTATTAGTTTAAAGCTATTCTCATCCTACTTTATTTAAGGGGTGATATTTAACGGAGGATTGAAAGTAGAGTCCAACACCCCCCACGCTACTTAGATTAGGGGGTTACCCACGCTGCCACGGTTCTCGTTCCGGCGGCTCGGGTTACTTAACATAAGCTAAGTTTCGGGTACCGGTAGGGCTTATCCCGGATATCTATTAGCGGCTTGAAGTGGACCATCTCATCGGAACTAATGATTGCGTGCTCGCTCGAAATGTGAAAGCATTTTTCTCTCATAAGTATAACAACGTTTAGATCATTACCCGTCATAGAAGTACTAAACTTACTATAGTTTACACAATTGTTAGTGTGAAGTGCCGTTGAGAATAGTCTCCCCGTTTTTTGAGGTTTAAGGGATACGTATGCGACTAGGAGTACAGCACTGAAGCGTCATTTTCAGGCCGTGTCACAACAGGATGGTTCGGTAACCTAAGACCCAGCATAAACTCATACATCCGACTCACATTCAATTAGGTACATGCAGACGCGTCAAACTTCGCAGAGGGGGTGACGAAGGAGCAAGCTTATGAACAAGTTCTCTTACAGGCTGGAGGTCTTTTTGACGGCCAAAGGAATTGGGTTGGTCATCATCTAAACCCCTATCGGATTTTTACTTATGTTTTTTCATATTAGGTCTGGTATGTCCTCGGGTGCTCACCGAATGAGCTCAGGTCTAGTGACTAACAATACTACCATTGAAGCAACCTCGCCAACGCCGCATCCTTATTATGGCACGCTTATAAGTCGTTACCTCATCCGAGTAACCAGGTGAACTGGGCAGGTCAGTGACGTCCTCCAAGAAAGGGACAACCTAGTCAAGATTGACATCTCTCAATCGCAGGTTTCTACACTCTTGACCCCCAAGCAACTTATTCAAAGTCGCAACTCATACTAGGTCCATTTCAGGGCAAGGTCGCATGTCAGCTAATCGCTTTTGGAAAAGGGGTATGCGGAACGGCGGCCGCAACACAGACAACGCAATTAGTCGCCGATGTTGAGAAGTTCCCAGGCCATATCGCATGCGACGGCGATAGTAGAAGTGAAATCGTGGTTCCCATTGTTGTTGGAGCCGCAGGAGAGAAGAAACTAGTGGCTATTATCGATGTTGACTGTGCGGAGCTCGACGGGTTTGACGAGGTGGACAGGAAGTACCTGGAGCAGCTGGCGGAATTGCTGGGGCGGAGTTGCGATTGGTGATGCGAATGAAATAAGTCCTAGGGTATGATTTTAGGCGTGGTAAGGGGTCTCTCAGCCCCCAGCCAGTCAGATGAGGGGGGCCTTCTTAACGCAATACTCCCCCACGACGAGGCTGTGTAGTCGACTCCCCCAATACACCCTTCAATTTTTATAAGCTTCCTATCTGCATCCGGATCAACAAGACCTGGACTTCAGTCCTCACTCGTGCTAATCCGTATATATAAGAAACCCTTATTTACTTGTGTACACTACTATTGAAAGCGCCCCCACTCCAGCCAGGATATACGACCAAAAACTCATGGCTAGGCATCTCAATTAAGGTTAGGGTAATAAATGAGTTGATTTCACTACAATGTACGCTCTGATGGCTATTTACATCGAATGAGTAGAATAGGTAGCTAACAACTTACTTAGTCGCTGCTTATCTATCCGTTGGTTCTCGCTTCAATTAGATGAACCCAGATCCCACACTCTAGGATTTGAATGATATAAGAAAACAGTTAATTCCGACTCTACCAACACTCTATACTACCCGGTATGATTCTAGAATGTCCTTTAGTTTACCCCGCTCTCAACTTAGGCAGCAGCTTGCTCGACTTGGGCAGCATGCGGTTGAGCAAGCGGAGCCTATAAATCAATGGAACAACTCTACCCTAGTGAAAATTGTTCCCGAGTTCGAGCATCGGTTTAAACAGATGGCGGATTTACTATTGGAACAGACTCTCCAAAGTAGCCGCAATACTGAAAGGAAACTACAAGAGCTCGAGAGCCGAATTGAATATTTCTCGCGCGCAGTACCGGCTTCCGAGTCTCACTTGCTTACGGCCCCAGCTCCTAGCAACATGTATCTTGCAACAAATCCTTTCAAGGCCGAGAGACGGACGTATACATGTTTCTACTTGTTGGTTTCCGTGTCTTTGCTGTTTATTTGCAGTTTTGTTGTGTCAGTCTGTTGGTCGGTTATCCGCGAAGATGTGTCGGGTGGTTTTACCATGGGCTCATATATCATCGCAGTGCCGGGCGTAGCTATTGCTATAGTGGGTTATCTACACCGGGAGCATTGCCAATGCTGGAAGCGTAGAAAAGTTTCCTTGGTATGAAACAGGTAGACTATATAGCAACTCTAATATATAATGTAGGTTTTCAAGAGTAAAATAATGCTTAGACCATCGCTAGACTAACCTTCTGCTCATATATGTTCCTCATACTACATTTGCTAAGACCTTTGCCGAATCACGACCACTAGGACTGAGCTCTATGACCTACCTAGGTGTTTATTCTCTAGAGTATTGGGTTGGGAGACTTTAGCTTAGGCTGCTCTTTTAAGAATTTCATGATATTTCCTTCATTTTAATGTAAAAACAGCTTATGATGAGTTACGGAAAGATGCCGAACCTCGTTTAAGACCAGTATACTTTATATGACAATATTCATCGGAGCGAGTCCGAAATGTTTAATACGTATCAATCGAGAATAATGCCCCGCATCGGATAGCTTCCGATCCAATTCCCCAGTTCAATGTTACCGATTTCGCAGTCTAGAGCCGAATCTCTCTTATCTCGTCGACGAAGAGTAACAATGCGATAACAATGAGAAGTTTCGCGAGGACCTTAGGAGCTTTCTCCAAGTCCATTTCTATAGCATCTCTAGCTAGACCCCGACTTCGAAACCAAACTCCAACTAAAATACAGACTCAAGCCATAACTAGAATCCTTTCTCCCTTGATCAATCCCACCATCATCGCTCGCACAATGGCGACGTCCAACGCGCCCGTCCTCCAGCAGCCCATCAAGCTAGCTTGTATTCAATTAGCCAGCGGCTCCGACAAATCCGCGAACCTAGCACATGCTCGCGATAAAGTGATCGAAGCCGCAAAGAACGGTGCAAAGCTTGTGGTGCTACCAGAATGCTTCAACTCACCCTACGGCTGCGACTACTTCCCCTCTTACGCCGAGACTCTCCTCCCGGGCCCGCCCACCGCCGAGCAATCCCCCTCCTACCACGCCCTCTCCTCCATGGCCGCCGAGACCGGGGTCTTCCTAATCGGCGGCTCCATCCCTGAAGCCGATCCCGACCCGGAGTCTAAGAAGTACTACAACACGTCGCTTACCTTCGGGCCGGATGGGGAGCTACTAGCTACGCATCGCAAGGTGCATCTATTTGATATTGATATACCGGGGAAGATTACCTTTCGGGAAAGTGATGTTTTGTACCCGGGGAATAAAGTCACGATTGTGGACTTACCGGGGTATGGAAAAGTTGCGATCGCGATATGTTATGATGTGCGGTTCCCGGAGTTAGCGACGATTGCTGCGCGGAAGGGATGTTTTGCGTTGATATACCCAGGCGCTTTCAACACTACGACGGGACCGCTACATTGGTCATTGTTAGGTCGCTCACGCGCTGTAGATAATCAGATGTATGTAGCGCTGTGCAGTCCAGCGAGGGATACACAAGCTACATACCCGGCATACGGACACACATTGATCGTGAACCCGATGGCTAAGATTTTGGTGGAGGCGGAGGAGACTGAGGGTATTGTGGAGTGGGAGCTTGATGGCAAGACGATTGAGGAGACTAGGAGAAATATCCCGCTTACGAACCAGAGACGCTTTGATGTATATCCTGATATAAGTAAGGGGGATATTCGGTTTGATGAGCCGGGTTTGCCTAAGTGATGTGGATATAGTTTGGAGCTGCGATACGAATGCTGGCGGTTAGGTGTGCGGACTCGAGTTTGCTCGCCATGGCTCGGACATATTTCGAATAGGATACTAGAAGTTATTTCGGAGAATCGTTCAAGTGCCGGAAGACCTCGTTTGATAAGTTTGATGTATTTGTCTCAGTGGGCGTGCCACTCGGTGTCGCGGCCAATTGCGACCTAATGAAAGGATGAGAAATGTATATACAATTCATAGATAGGTCAGCCGATAAAGAATGACTTATGACTTTATTACTACCACTAGAAGCTAGCTCTGAGGCAGCCGTTATATGCGACTACCTAATGTAAGGGGTATACAAATATTCCACCTGTGGGTATCACTGGCCATTACTCCCTTCACTGTAGATGGAATAGAGATTTATTATTCGTTTACGCATTTGTAAGGCTTAAATCCATCCTTTCGGTTAAAAATTATCGTCATTCTTCAGATATTATCATGTTTTATCTCGGAGCCGGGCTATGCCTCTACCGATCCTACCCAGGGATACCGAAGCCTCCAACCCAATTTCTGCAATAAATTTCGCTTTATTCTCTCTGGACGGTAAAATGTCTCACTTATTTGTGTTCTAGAGTGGACGCGCGGGAGGCGCCGCTTGTGACCCTTAGATATTTCTTTTTGTTTTCATTTTTCTTACTATTTTCTTATTGTCCTTCTCACATGCCCGTAAATTGTCTCGGCACTGAGGTATGAGGCGTAAGGTCGTAGATAACGGACAAGCGTCCCCCGTATATAGAATCTGACTGAACGATGGTGATACAGCAGGATCAGATGGCGTGTTTGCATCACAGGGACCCTGCTCACTACAGCTATCAATGTACACCGTCGGAGTGCGCGGGTAGGATTAAGGTAGAAAACAAAAAATTACCTCCCCTACATTAAAAGAGGCACGCGAGCAATTTCCTCAATGGACACTAGCACATTGTAATTGTTTTACAAGCACTACCAAACTGTACCTGGCCCGGCCTATTTATATGATTGTGTCTCATGAAGAGTTCCTTTCCCCGCCATGCCACCCTACTTGGAGCTTTTCTTTAACCGCGGGAGTTACTACCGACAATTCAGATGATACCTGTGGATATCGCGGTCGCAGCGGTAGTTACACTATGATAACGACGTACCTGCTTAGTAAACGTTACTCTTTTACGCGGCATGCTACCAAGATCGTGATTAGGTATCCAGTCTACCCAGATATTTACTTAGGTAGGTACTTAGGCCTTCATAGGAGATAAGAAAGCAGAGCGTGTCTGTTGCTCTATTAGGTTCGATTTTGCGGTTTAACGTTAGGGACTGAAGGATTGGAGATAAACAAAAAAATAAAAAAGGGGTGGTAAGTAAGGGAAATAAGAAGGATGTGACTTATCACATCCCGAGCCGTACCACCACTATGTCCTGCATGTAAGCGTCGCGAATTCCGATGCCGCTCGGCAACTGATCTGACATCTCGAAAGAATGTCGAGAATCTCTAATCAACATCCGTCCTGTCAGTTTCTTTTTTGCAAAAACTTTTTTTCAGCTGGACTTTAGGGACACGGCATCTTCCGTCTCGATATTCTCCGTCGGATTCGGATTACTAATTGAGGGTGTAAAAAGTCCCTATGTTTTAGGATAGAATGCTGAATTATCAGACTAGAAGAAAAGTTTGACAGGTCGCTTAGATAGATAGTCGATGAAAAGTACTGCGCCTAATACTAGCATGTGTCTAGACCCTTAGTTCGCTAGTCACTTGTCGAAAGACGATGGAAAGCTTGAGTGGACCGGCATTCCCCAAAGTCATCACTAGGTCACTGCTAGGGTTCGGATGCGGCTCAATGTAGCCGGCATGCACCTTGTAGATTACGAAAACCACTGTTAAGACCCTATTGGTACTGCTATCCTGTTCTTGTCTGTAAGGCTTACGCCCCCGGGTTTCGATCCCGGGCGAGGATCGGAGAATGGATATTTGAGATTCATAAAAAGATTCATGCCATTTTTTTCAACATGCTGCGGCTCGATCTCATTTGGGACAAGTAGATGGTGAGGAGATAAACGGACGGCAACGTCGGTGGTAAGTAGGTAGGTGGTGGTCGGCTAAGGGACCCTTCACCGTGCATTGCAGCTATCACAATTTCTCTTTGATAAACCCTTGCTTGACCGAGATGGCTCCGCGTCCAGTTGTGGTCTATGCGGGATGGAGTTCTAGCTGGGTTCGTTTTGGGAGGGGAATGCTTACTTACATGTAGCTTAAGAAATTGGTTTAATAATGAATACATAGTAAGGCGGGAGATATTGGAGTTCGTAGTTCGTAATTGCAATGGCAAATGAGGCGAGAGATATAATCGCAACAGAAGTCGAGAGAACCGAATAGACGACACATAGCATGCAGTATTCCACATGCATATGACCACTGACCACCTAGGCGATGGCGCAGTGTAATTCGCGACGATCCCTTGCTCGTAATCGCGAAATGTCACTCAAGACATCCTCTTAAAACACATCCAAGGAAAATACGGAAATACCCAAATAACTTCATATCTGTCCTTTGTATGACGAACCCTCGTGGAGAAGAACAACCCACTTGCCTACATTCATCGAGATACTCGAGAAGGCAACGCTTTCGGCAAGTGAGCACGAGACCTTAGTGGTTGTCCCATGTTCGTGCGCATGTTAATGGTCTAGATGTGGTTACTCATAGACTCCGTCCGTGTTACCGGGATGACCAAAGCCTGCAGGCAGTTCGTACCGCTGCGACGTAGCCGGTAGGAAACCCTGTCTGTTTATTCGTTCGAGACAATTACAACCGAATGCCCCCCTCTTTCTCGCTCCTACGACATAACATACCTAGGCAGTTAGGCGTAGAAAAAGGTAATAGGTCGCATGACCTCTTACCTAGATACCCTAGCAGCCCTAGATACCCGGTAAAAATGATGAAAATACGAAAGAGAGTCGACGGGTCGGAGGGGCAGACATTAGGTAAAATGAAATAAAATGAAGGCATCGACGATGAGAGTTGCAACGGTATTAGACCTGTCAGAGGGCGGTGAGAGCACACGTGCTTGATATAAGGGACGTGATTGGCAAGGGAACTAAGGGAAACTAAGCGGAACTAAATCTATTTCTTCTGCAAGTCTGCTGCAGTTTTATCTCATAAGTGGATGCGACGCAACGCTATACCCTACGCTATATATCGTGGGCTGCGTGGTGCTAACTGCTTACGCATTTGAGTGGAGGCAGGCTTAACATTAGTAGATCCGGCTGTTAGGTAATGATACTGCATGTTTGGTAGCAACTTTCTGTAATTGAACCAATCAGAATAGTCCATTCAGCTTATGTAAGTTCAGGGTCTTTTCCAATGACCAATCAACTTACACGATTTCTTCACTTGGTCCTCGTTAATTGCAATGAGGTCACAGCACCTATAAGCCTTTTTTTTCTATACCAATTGAAAAAATCGAATTGGAATTGATAATTGGTCGTGCGACACGTCCCTTTCTGCCAACATATGCAAGTAAGAATTTTCAAAAAATGTGACCATTTTATTTTCCGTGTATCTGAAGTTTTATAATGAATCAGAGAATAAAAGTTATATATCTCGTGAGAATGATGCCAGACGGTTTGATGGTCCTTGATATTCATTAATCCCCAACTCATCTGCATACGCGTATTGCGGCGGATACCTTCTAGCGTGCAGCGTAGGGACATTTATACGCTGCAAAGGCTACATAATACATAAAATGGAGACGAAGGTTGAAGCTAACCGCGGGTGTTGGGTGTGCGACTGGGATCAGCGCAGGGGCCGAGACCGCTACTGTTTCCTGCCTTACCTACCAGCGCCGAGCTTTAGCGTCCAAACCGAACAGGGTAGGCTCGTTCGGCTGTTGATAATGAATTAGGAAATTCTAAGAATTTTCGGAAGGGACAAACGTTAGAATCTTGAGATGCCTTCCTTCGTTCCTGCCGGCGTTTCATTCCCTAGTTTCCGCCGAAAGATAGAAATAAGAAGTACGCCGTCCGACGCTACTGTAAATAATGACACCACTTTGACCTCTCACTTTCAAGGAGTTGCCGTTACTCTATCCACTGTCTTATCCACCATCCACCATCGTCTATCAGCTTTAATTAAAGGTCCCCATTTGCATCTTCTATCAAAAACTCCATATTACTACCTAGGCACTCTAGAAGATAAAAGAAGAAAAAACGGTCAACATTTAAATATATTTCATTCATGCATGGTTATATTAATCGGAGACAAAGAAACTCCAAAATTTGCTTTTGAAATATTGTCCGCCCAAAACAAAATCGCATCTTCGGTCTTCGCCTGTCTTTCCTGTACGCTGTACGATACGACACGATAAAAACTTACATACAGCACGCATAGCACCTGCACTGGGATATCCATATGTACATTTGATACAGATTACAGATTACAGCGAACAAGGTTGTACCCACTTCCAGCCTACCAGGGCAGGTAACACCAAAGCGACTGTATCTACCCGCCCAGACGTATAACGTCATATTATTGCACATGGAATACAGGACGGTCTAAGCCAATTCCAAGCTCCGAATCGCCCCCCACTACAGTACCGCTACGTACCCAGATATCCATCTTTCCCAGTGCAACCCAGGTACTTATATACTAAATACCTTGTTCTTATCTACGCTCCAGAAGGCCTCCCAACTTCATCCACTCTACTTCCTGTATATTTTTCTTACGAATATTTCCAATTCGTAAATATATAGGTTGGAGGTGACCTCTGGGACCAATTCTCTACCGAAGAGAGCTATAGACGGCCGTTGATTCGCCGTACAGCTCCTCCGAGCCCAGAGAGCCAATATGAAATACGGTGAACATTTCGAAGAAGAGTCGGTTCCAAGCTGGAGTTTGCACAACATCGACTATAACTCGTTGAAGCACCAGATTAAGACGCACACGACCAAAGACCAGGCTACAGCTATTGCGATACCGGGTCAACAAGACCATGCATTGAAGAGATTTGAAGATGCCTTCTACATCGAACTCTGCAATCAACACAACCGGGTCGGTCTCTTTGTCACGAGCAAAGCCGACGAGATCTCAAGACGACTACGTACGTGGCGCCACCCCCGCCCACAACACCCAATTGACCAGCCATTTTTAATTAACAATTTTTTCTTTCTCTTTTAGATCACCTCTCCGACTCGGTACACCAACTTATAATACGATGCGATAAGGCCGGCGGCGTATCTCCTAAGCGGCAACGACGGTTCGCCAAGTATGCGCTACAAGTGGACGAATGCGAAGACGACATCAAGGCATTGAGTCGCTTTGTTAACGCCCAAGTCATCGCATTCCGCAAGATTCTTAAGAAGTACAGGGTACGCACCCCCATTTAACCTTTCCACGGCTGCAGGGGAAAACCTACGTCTAATCACGACATCGCACTAACACTTATCGGATGTCTACAGAAATGGACTGGTTCGACGAGCTTAAGTAGCCGATTTAAAGAGAACGTCCTTACCTCACCTAAGAGTTTTACGAAACGCGACTTCCACCCCGTTCGATTACAACATCGAGAAGTACTCGCAACATTAGAAGCTGCTACCCCCGACATAAACTACCTCCAAGCCGAGCGACAAAGAGCTAAAATTCAATACGAATCACAAAACGGAAGTCGCCGATCGTCGCAGACACACCTTCCGAAACCTGCATCGGTAAGCACGCCCGGGGGCTCATCGATGACGTATTGGAACGAGTACGAGCACGGCAGCGAAGCCGGCGGTAATGATGACGAGGGCTATGCTTTATACATCGACCCCAATGCCAGCGCGGACTTTCCGGGATTTGTCTATATTAAGCACATGTTCACTGCGCCGGTAGATACGGTTCGACATTGGCTGAAAGCACGCACGCCGAATCCGTACCCGTCCGAAACACAATCGCTTCTAAGCGGTAGCCAACCCGCCGATTACTTCAGTGCTCGACCTTCCCCTACGGCACAAACGACCGATAATGAGGCGACTGAAGATGAGTACGCGTCGTCGCTAAACTCTAGTGTAGGCCGTCGGAACAAAGCGCGGTATGCGGCACTGCCGGCTACAGAGGAAGATCAGGGTTATCAAATAGCGCTATACCGTGATAAGATGCTAACACGAACCGTTATCGTCTCCTTCGTCGTTGCGTTCGTTCTCCTGGTTATATCCGGTGTATTGATCGCAACGGGTCGGCATAAGCTGCGACTCGAGGTGGACGCTGGCGTTACGGTCGGATCGGTCGCAAGTTTGTTCTGCGTTTGTATGGGCCTCGGCGCCATGCTATACCGACAATACCCTGCCGGTTACTTATACAGTCTCGCAGTCTGGGCTGCTTTTGTGGCTGTGTGCGCCCTTAACGGCATGTTACTCGTTCTCGTCGTGGGAACCAACGGAATATGACAGCATTCGACTGTCTCTACCACCAATTTCAATTTGTCTCAACCCCGCCTGGGGTATGTCTCGCTTTAGGAAGTACCAGGCGTTCTAAGGGGCGTTTTCATTAGACCGGAATGGGCGTACCTTGCATATCTACTAGGTATATAAGGTTCGCATTCCATTGCATCATAGGTACATTGGTATCATCGGCACCTCATTTTTATGAGGTCTTGGAGGAAAAGGTCATGCATAGAAAGAGTTATCGGAAGCCTTTTTTTAACCTCGCCTGGGCTTCTTTCAACGAAGTCTACGAATTTTCTATCCGCCCGTCAGTCGTCGTCGCGTTCTCAGGTTTTATATGTGTACGTTTTTTTCTGATACCATTCGCGGATCCGGACGAGCGAGTTTAGGTTGTGTTTTCCTTAGGTTCGGAAGAGAATGGTTGGTGGCGGCTCGCTACCGCTGTTGCTGTGTGTTCTGTGTTTTGCTGCTGAGGTTGTGGTGGTAGTGGATAGTGAGGGTGGCACGTGTATATGAGTAGAATACTTAGGTATTATTATAAGAGTGTGCGTCTCGGTGACGAAAGACAATTCTAATAAATCTCTCAATTTGATGAGTGATATATCGTGATATATATTGAGTGTACATTCCTTTGCCTACATGACATTTTCTTACAGTTTTTATTTAGGGTACCTAAAGTTGGGATTATAGCACACACAGTCGCTACACATGTGTTCACGAACGAAGTTCATACAGGTCACTTCTGAGGCGATTTACGAAAAAATTACAATGACCAGCAAGAAATATTCCAAGTTATATTCTAAAATCCATATAGCGCTTATCTAAAGGCTTAATTGAAACAATTCAAAGCAAACATGAAAACCAACTATAAACCAACTCAATAATAGTACAGTGTCTAGGTTGAAGTGTCAAGGGATAGCTATGCTTCAGGAGCGTCGGACCTGGCTATAGGTAGGAGCAGGATGGTATTGACCCAAGGTATAGGGGGTGTTTGGGAACGCTTTGTCGCGACGTGGCCCGAGAGGGGCTTCATTTAAATCGTGATAGCCAACATCGAATCGAGACCTATCCCCGTTGTTGTAGAAAGCCCTTACAGGCCCGGGTCTGCTGGAGCTTCCGTAGTTGCCCGGCGCTGACCCGTTCTGCGGACTCGGAACGATGGGATATTCCCACCAAGGTTGCTGAGCGCTCAAAGGCTTAGGGGGTTCGTTGTAGTGTTCTACAGGATATCTTCCACGAGTAGAATAGAGTGTTGGTGGCGCCTGTTGGACTTGACGCCTCACGTCGGCTGCTTGGAGGTATCGATATTCTTCCTGGGGCGTCCTAGTCTGATACTATTCCAAGACGGTTAACAAACATTCACATATACCTTATAAACATAAGGGGCATGTATATGGCAACAAGTGTATTCATATATCCAGTAGAATATGAATACGTACGCAACCTACGATGGACTTACGAAGGATTCTCTTCTCGTAAATGCTGGGATACCTCCATCTTCTGGGTTGCCAGCATATGGCTGGCGAGGTCGATCAATATTAACAGTGGGGATTCTCGAACCCTGGGTTGCCGTGGTCGCTGCGGTTGTCGTGCGATTAGAGTACGCTTGACTGGTGACAGTGTCGGGGCGGGATGGGTAAGACATGGCGAAAGAAATAGAAGTATTAATATTCGAAATATATTGGAATGTAGACCTCAGGCTTAAGGACGCTGAGTGAGATTGAAATTCAGAATTAGAGCACTAAGTATACTATCAAATACTATAAGAGGATAAAAAGGCGAGTGAGATACGCATAAACGAGTAGCGATGGTATATGGTATTGTGGAAATATCAAGAGACTTCATACCCAACCCCCCAACCCAACTTTACAGCGATGTTTTCTCCTTCTAGGTAGAAACCACCGAACGTGACCCTACATGCTATCTTCATAATCCAAATTTGTTATAACTTTACATAGTTCATATGCTCACTATCAGCGATATACCAATCAAAAATACACAACGAGAATTGTCATGTCTATTCAGAAACGAACGACTGTTCGGTTGCATGTACAGGGCCTGCCTTATACGCGCCTGGGTTAGGTATAGCACATCTAAGCGAATCAACATATAAGCCGCGAGCCTCAAGAGGCATCCAGGTAGCCAGGGAGTTCGAATTAAGCGACGGGAGTTGATTTTGGTAGGAGATATGCTTTTTTTCGCGCTGGCTTCTGTGGTTTAGTAAATACATAACTGAGGTTTGCTGTGATCCGTTAACTAACAGATCGCGGAGGGAGGCAGAAGTTCAGCCAACATCCCAAATTCGACGTCTGGTTGGATAGATAATGATATAAAATGGGCCGTGGCGAATTCATCGCCGTCACACCAGGCCCTTGGGTCGGCGTGCCCCGCGCTACCTTATTCCTTCCTTATTACCTTAGGGGAAATCAGGACTAATCATCCATATCGACCTCTTTTTATCCTTTTTCTACCTGCGTCTTCTAGACCAACACTAGAAGCAATGGCAGGATTCGACAATATCTTATTTCAACTCAAGTTGATAAAAGAAAGGGACTCCACTTCACAGGACTCCGACATCTTGAATGTATTTGCCTACGCAAATCCGGACGAGGCTGCCTGGCAGTTGGATTGGTGGTGTCCAACTCTTACGGAAGCGAAAAAAGCGCAAGATTACTTATGGAATGTATGGGAACTTCTGACCGATGCTGCTAGAAGTCCCGACGCGACAAGTGAGATACAAGAACAACTTGTTAAAATTCTCCAGAGTTTGGTGCAAATTGGGAAGGGATACGTTCCCATATCGAACGTAAGTATGAATTATGCATAGGCTCGGTCTGTTTCTCAATTTTAAATGTATTAAGCAAGCACAACTTTCTAACGAGACCATACCGCAGGGGACGCAACGTGTATGGAGGGACTTGCCTCTGCTTCCCCAATGTATAGAATCGTGTTTCCAAGGTATGCTGCTCGCCTATTCTGTAGGAATATGAATCTAAATTCTGTGGGAATAGATCCCATGAGTGAAGCCGCTGAATTTACTCCGGAATCCGCAAAGATATGGCGTAACATAAACTCCTTCACGGCTCGGTGTACAGGCGCCGGTGTCCTAAATCCTTCTCTTCAAGTAACCTATGCGCTGCGAAGCGCACTCGAGGAAGGGTTAAACACCGACCCACAGAATCTTGAGCGAGCTGAGTGTAGGATGCAGGTGGCATGCGAATGGATTGCCCACAGTGCCAAACCGCTCCTATGGTGGGCCCGTGAGAATATCGATTTGTCGCCCGAAGCGGCATACGAGGATAGATCCCAACACGTCCGAAGAGGTGAACTGTACGAGGGGACCCCCGCTGTGTGCCCGGAGCGCTGGGGTTTCTGGAAAATCCGGTTCGGGGAGTTGGGGAAGCACCCTGGGTTTAGTGAAGAGATTCGGAAACAGGCGAGCGAGGCCGCCGAGAATATGGCCGCGGCTGAAAGATAGGCGGCTATTATGCCGTGGTCGCCAGCTTTCGACTCTTTAGTTTGATACCACTTGAATATATCAAACCAATTATCTACTCGACTATGTAAACAAATTGCGACCGGAGACAAGTTGTGACACGAGTCGTAATATGAGCGTAGTAACATCTACAAATACCTAGATAACTTTTCCTTTGTCACGGGAAATTCTAGCTATAGCCTTTGGCTACGCTAGGCGTCTTTTGTGCCATGAATGCGCTCTCTACGTAGTATGGCTATTTAACCACTTACCTAGTCATAAACAATTCCATCATCATGAATTGGGTAGTACTGTAGATACCGCAGGAACAGAGCTGTGTGAAATAGGGGGAAGGGGATATATTCTCGGATATGAGGAGACAGTACGCAAAGGTACCTAGATACCTATTCTTCATTATCGAGTCACGTCGCAAGGCGCTTCAATAACTTAGGGCCAATCCATCATGGAGCTTGAAGCTCACGGCCTTTTCCGACTCATTTGCACAACCACACATCTTTGGGTTCCCCCTATCATGAATTTGACGGCACTTCTTCTGAGACGGGTAATTTATAGCCCGAGGATGAATACCCTAAGGCAGTTCATAATCTACCCCAAAGCTTTGACACAAATGTGGATTGTGAGTATCGGCTTCGCTATAAAGGGGGGTTACACAAAAGTATTGGAAATGGGGGCGCATCGGATCTATCCGAACGAACGTTGGAACAAGTCCGATATTCCAAACATTCGAAAATTCTGTTCTACCCTGAGGATAGGCTTTTTTCAAGTATCTATTGCAGCAATGAGCCCTCATTGACCGTCAATTACTCAATTTAAAGGCGCGGAAACACCCGTGAAAACACTCAGTTATTAACTACCGGCGAGTCTCGAGTATTATACTCATAGGGGACTCGTCATTTCACATCATTTTTAAATTACAGTGACAACCTGCCTTGATAGCGCAAAATTCTAGCTGCGTTAGATAGGTCGCGATTAGTCTCCTATTAGTTTGCACGCTTACGTAGCTCTAGCGGTAGTGTGGCATCCAGACGCTCGATATTCAATATAGCAAGGGGTAAAAAGCCCGGACTATTTCGAAAACGTGCTAGAATGACCTTCGCTGACTAGTAACTCGATATATTTATGACACAGGTGGTAAAATATGCACTCCATTCTCATTCACATCTTATTGTGAAATAATGAGGTGTCGCGGGTAGTCTTAACCCCTATTATGCCTTGGTCGTATTGGCGATTACAAACTTGCCATGTGATTTGGTATATGCCCAGAACGGAGGCGTTTACATGCTCAATGAATTGAACTTAATATATGATCGGATTCAAAGTTGCGAAGCCTTACAAGACTTTGAGTATAGATCCAAATGCCTCTGTGCACGCTCCATCCAACTTAAATATCACCCGAGGTAACGGTGGATTCTATATGAACACTGGAATGCTTAGCCCCAACCTATGCGCTGGTTTATGGGGACCCCTATCCCCAATGAGACTGGGGACGACTAGAAAATAACTGCCCTAACGTACGCTTCGGACACTTAGGTTCCCATCCCGCTTATTCACGCCTCTTCTAGATCACTTAGACATGGTTGTTTTCGGAGAAAACTCCTAGAATTCTAGTAAAAGAAGAGCTCTTTCTAAAGCTCATCATGACGCGAAGAACGAGCAATAGTATCCCGTCTTCCAAACATTTCCCGGATATGTTATTACATCTGAGCAACAATAACAACCTTGAGTGGAAGAAATATTTCGTCTATTTTAATAAGACGATGATCGCTGGTGGTACGATGCCGTGATTGTATGCGTATGAAATTATAGCTTATAGGCCGAATGCGATTTACCTAGAATATGCATTAGGACCAGGTAGTTTGGTATGTGGTATAAAACAGCCATCTGCGAATTCCTTTCCAAAAACCACCGTCCTATAATTGAAGCTATCGCGACCCCTTGCATTAAACGCTCCGCTCCGTACCGCAGCACCACACTAGCCACGCGATTAAGCTTTATATGTCTTTCTTCAGCTGTGCTTAACTACCAGCTGAACGGAATATTCGCCGGGGTGGGTATAGCGCCAAGACTAGCCCGTCGTCTATCTAAAACAACTTTCCAGCCAGTTGGGTCAGATACAGGTCGTCGCTGGTCTAGACCTTGGTACCTGGCTAGTAGTAGTCTTTTCTAGCTATGGCCCAAATCTGACTCGCGATTCCCATCTAGATATAGCCTTTAGATGCCTGAGTAATGACACAAACGCGATCCAACCCGCCTTGTTAGTTTTGAAGCTCAAATATCTAAAATTTCTTCCTCATAGCAATATGTGTGTGGATGGGGTAAAAAGCAGGGGAACAAGGGGTAACTTACATGTAGGACAGAGGGGAAAATAAATTATGGCAAGCTCAACACAAAACAGGTTCAATATTAACTAATCATCCTAAACGAACTATAGAGCGCCTCCAAATTGCATCATGTATGATGAAAGCGAACCAGGACTTACATTTAGACGAAAGTCGTACGAGCGGAAGTATCCCGTCATATTAAACCTCACAGGGTGGTTAAGGGTTAGCCAATCCGGCTTCCACAACTAGCGCCAACTGGAGAAGCACGTCCAGATCGAGACCGAGTCTAGCTTTGTAAACATCGTGCTCAGGGACTCGCTATAGATTCCACAGTCTACTAGCTTTTGGACCAGAGTACTCTAGCTGACGGGAACTACTGAACTTACGCGAGATTCAAGCTCCCTCATCTCTGCCTTCATACTGACCATCCCATATATAAGCCTCTCGTTCAACGGCCATCACAATTCAACTTGATTCTATACCATCGGCAACATTTTTTCTTTCCTTTTTCTTTACTTTCATTCACTAATATATTAATTAGTCACCATGAGATCAAGGTGGCTTCTCCCCCTTTTAGCGGGAGCTAATGTTCTCGCCCTGCCCGGGAAGAGATATTACCTCCAAAGCAATGATACCATTGCTTCTAATACCACAAGCTCCTCTCCGGCTGGTGTATATGTCAACAACGGGCAGACTACATCCACAACGACCACCGCTCCGGCTGTCGTACTTACAGCAAGCACCGTCTCGACCACATCTACTTCTACGGCTACCGCAACATATGAGTACCCGTCCGACAAACTTGGTCCCGTAGCTACTCTCTTGCCTGCTATTCCTCATGACCATGATGGAAGTGACATTACCCACCTTACTCCTAAGGACTCCGGTTCTGGTTCTGCCATGCATTATGCTCAAGAAAGCACCCCGGGTTCTGCCGGAATCTACGCCGTTGCTGTTCCCCGATGGACTGCCCCATCCGTTGTTTTGGATCACTCGTCTCTTGTCGTGAGCGTCAGTGTCACTGCATCGGGAGATCTTCTTATCACATTCAGGTTAATTTCCTCAAGCTCTTATTTGTTAAATTAGGCCGTCGCTAACTGTAACAGTGACAAGTATGCTCTTGAACACGCTTCCTCCACTTGGACTCACGAAACCATCGTCTTCGTCACCTACACCGAAAATTGTGGTGATTATGAACTTGGCCAACGCTGCTACTTCAGTGCCAACATCGTCATTTTCGACATTGAGACTCTTACTGCCACCGCTACTGGTCAGGCTAAGGCTATCGAAGAATTAGTTACCGACGTGAACCTAGCATGGGGAAGCTATGGAAAGCAACCCGTCGCCTACGGCACAGCAAGTGCTTCTACGGCGAGCCCTTCTGCCACTGGCTCCGGCTCAGACTCCCCCTCATCCACATACTACTCTGTTTCCCCATCGGCGACCACTACTTGTGTCCCACCAGTGGATACCAAGTACGGCCTCCCCACTGCTTGCCTTGGTCCTTACTTCGATGATACTCTAGATGAGGACCTTGGCTACCTAGAGGCGGGTAACTTCTCCTACGGTGCTCTCGTTGAGGGTATCCTATTTGACGATGAGGATGAGTACCAAAACCAGAAGCGAACGATCCTCGGCAGCCTTTCCTCAGGAGCCTCCAAGCTCGCGAACGCTGCCAAGGAAAAGATCAAGAGCGGTGCTGCTTCTGCCAAGAATGCTGCTAAGAGTGCTAGCAAGAGTCTCGCAAAGGTTGCTACCACTGTGTACTCCGCTGGGAAGGCTGCTTATGAGGTCGGCCGTAACATTGTTACTGGTCAACCCAACAAGTTCGAGAAGGACTTCGACAAGCTCATTCTCCCTAAGGCTGCTAAGGAGTGCAATGATGCCAAGACTGCCGACGAGAAGAAGAAGTTGGAGAATGCCTGCAAACCTAAGGGTGGTGCCAAGATCGTCGAGAGTCCTTGGGGTGACGCTATCTTGATCAAGACCATCGGCTCGCTCCCGTCCTCCACTGACCTCCGACCCGCTGGAAGCAAGAAGCAGACTACTGTTACCAAGGGTAATTTCATCAGCTTCTACTGTGTCAAGTGCGGTCTTACCGGTTCATTGAAGACTAACGGTAACATCACCATCGTCGTTACCAAAGGTATTACTGATGGTCACTTCGTTGCTGATTTGAACCTTAACCTCGGTGTTGGTCTCGGTGTTCACGCCGAGTACTACCGTGAAGATTCCTTCAGGAACAACCTCTACGATATCCCGATCACCCCCTTCACCATCGGCTTTGCTTCTATCGGCCCCGTTTTATCTATCGGTACCGAGCTCAAGTTCAGCGTCAACATGACTGGTAGCGCTCTTGCTCGTGCTGATATCAGCCTTGCCCGCGCTCAATACCACTACGACTGGACTAAGGGTGGTGCTACATCCACTGGTTTCACTCCTCAGTTCAAGCCCACTTTCGAAGCTGAAGGCCAAATGGAACTTGCTGTCCAATTCGGTGTCCCAGTCGGTCTAGAACTTGCCGTCACTACCTTCAACGGTTGCGAGAAGTGCAAGGGTGCCGTCGGTTTCGAGACCATCCCGTCTATCAAGGCTGCCGCAGCTGTCGCTGTTCAGGCCAGTTATAACGCCACTGACAAGACCTGGGATAGCGGCCTAAAGCCCCTTAACAACTGCTCTGGTATTTCTACCACTCTCAGTGTTAAGAACGATCTCAACGCTTTCTACAATGGTTTCGGCCTTGTCAAGGGTAGCAAGAGCTTAGTCAACGGTACTGACCACGTCATTGCTTCATACTGTATCGGGTAAGTTTATTAAATGCATTTTTCCGGATCTTTACTTTTGAACATCCTAGCTAACACATCTGATTCTTTAGAAACAAGACTGATGGTACCAACAAGGGTGTTATCGGGCTTCAAAGCCGACTTGCCATCTCCGAAGAAGCCTACGCCAAGCTTGCCGAACGTGACTCGGTCAACTCTACCAGCAACGGTACTCAACTCTACGACTTGACCGAATACGTCGTCGAGAACAGCACCGCTGACCTCGGATTCACCGGTCTCGAGCTTCCCGACGTCCCCTACAACCTCGATGACAGCGAACTTGAGGGCTACTGGTACAGCACCCTTAGCTTGAACGGTTCCGCCGGAGAATACACTCTTGCGGTTTGCGACGACGGCAACCTATACGTCCAGAAGAACGGTACTCAGAACTCGCTTCCTTACTACGACACTTGCAACACTCTCTGGTCTGGATTCGAGGACGTCGTCTTGACTACCCCTAACAGCGGTGTTCTCCACTACTACAACAACACCATGTCCAAGGTCGGTGTCAGTCGTTTGCGTGCCGCTGACGAGGAGAGTATACCTGCTACTTCCGTCTATGTGTAAGTGCAACCAAAGCTATCCTACCTATTTATCTCTCATAACTAACATTCCCATTTCACAGTGCTCTTGCTCCCTTCTACTATACCGACGACGAGAGCGACGACGCCCCTAGCATGCTCGCCGCTATTGACCCCAACAACGACATCTTCTTCCCCGTAGTCTGCACATACAAGAACACGACCGCAGGCGCCAAAGTGTACCTCGTCAACGAGGACGTCGACGCCGGTCTCGCGATGCTCAAGTCCCCGGATATCGAGTACAGTATCACCAACGGTGAGGTCGACGAATGCTACGTTCTCTTCCTCGAAGTCACCGACCGCGTCGATGGCGGATGGGCCGAGTACGACGACGACGCTGAGGAAGAATACGATGAGAGCCCCATCGAGCTCGAGTTCGATGATTCGCTTGTTGATGATGAGGGTGATCTGACGCTTAGCAGCAACAACACTCTCCCCTACCAGGATGAGGAGATGGTCGATGACTTCGATGCGGTTTTCGAAGAGGATGATGAGGCTGAAGATTGGGATCAGGACTCGGATTATGAAGATACTTTTGGTGACTACTACGATGTCATCGATGATGATGAGGATAGCTCTTAAGCGATTAATTTTTCCAGGGATGGGATTTGTTGATTGAGTCAAGGAAAAGTTGGCTCAAATACATGACTAATTAGAAGTATCTACGATTCTTGTATGTTTATTGTACGAATAAGCACTTAAAATAGGGGGAAAGCGGGATTCGGACAAGCGGATATGGTTAATACGGGCTCCAGGCTATCAACATTTTTTATGTACCATTTAATATCTTAATTATCAGATACCTCATAGCGAAAAGCGGGCAAATGAAAGAGTAAAACCAGATTTAGAATTCAGTGTCAAAAACATGCGAGTGAAATTCTTAAAATGGCATACTGCGATTTTCCCACGTCCCTGTCTCGCCCACTCACCCCTACATCCTGGGATCTTTCCGCGGCCGTTTGCCCTTCTATGCCGTACGCATTACGAGAGTCACACTATCGCAGACGGCTTGAAGGTAGGACTTCCAAAAAGCATGGAAGAGACATTGAAAACATGATTGGTGTTTGATTCATTAACGCGGACCCATATAGCCGATTCCGCTTTTCCCATTTTCCATACACCTACACCATTTATACCTACGTCGTGTAAGTCCAAGGAACCTAGACAAATAGACCGATCAACGTAGTGAGTTACATAGAGAGATAAGACTGGAAGCCATCCTATTCCCACGAAATCAAATTAACCTCTCAGCCGAACCGTCCTCGCTCCGCCAAATCTCCAAATATCACGACATGTATACACATACACATTAATACATAAGCGCTACGGTTATAAAACGAGCGTCATACACCATCACTATCATAACAAATTCTCATCGTAGTACCACATCAGCTGGCATGTTTCGTTGAGAGGTATCAAATGTTATCGCCGTAAGAAATCGAAGCACATGGCATATGACGGCGGTTTTAGTGTTGAGCCCTTCAAGTAGTGGTTTCGGTCCACTCCAATCTTCTTCTCGAGCTGGCTCATCATTTTTTCTATGGCGCTAGTAAGTGAATCATCCAGCCACAGAGAAGGGGTATAAGAATAATAAGAACTCACCAGCAATCCCCCACCGGAAACTGAACAACCGTAAACTCTCAAATTTCTCTGCAATATTCGCCTGGCACTTATCATACTCCTCGGGGAATATACGACACGCGCTCGAATAGAACACTATAACGAAATAACACGTAGCGCCTGCCGGTGCGCACAGAAGAGCTGGTGACCTTGGCGTAGCCTCGAAATCGGCGTTTAGTTTACACGATATATCCGTCGACATTTGGCAAGCGAAGCGTAGCGCGGCGAGCGCTGTTTTAAGCTCTTCGCTCTTCGCGAGAGTGGAGGATACGGAATCCGTTGCGTGCTCGAGGATCGCGAGATACGGAAGGTAGAGTGTAAAGAGCGCGCTTTAAATTCAGTGTCAGCATGACGAAATATTCACTCTAACATTATCGTGAATGAAGAGTTCATTATCACACTCACCTAACAAGCATAGCAAAACAATCCAGCGTAGACTCCCAATCCTGGGTATCACGCAGCAACGTCAACGTGGTCTCCCTAATCTCGCGATCGAGATCCGCATATGTTGCTACTAGGGGCATCTTTCCCGGCCTACTATCGCGCTCCTTATCGATACGTATCGCATGGTGGAAGAGGCATGCAGTTTTCGCGGATAACTGAAAACCACCAAATTTCTCGCTGCTCCTCAACACACTGGTGCTTAGGTGCCGTATCGGTGATTGCGAAATTGGAGGCGACATCGGGAAACCGTTCTCGTCCTGGGTCGCGGGTGGTGTCATGGGAGGCGTCTCGGGGAGGAGAGTATTTCGGCTCGGACTTTCGAGGAGGAAGGGTAGGCCTTTTGCTCTTTCGTCTTGATGGATAGATCTGAGTATTATTTTGTAAGTATAATAGCTAGAATATAAGGCAATGCGAAAGTTGGAATAGGCACAATTCGAGAATGTTACCGAATCAACCTTGAGGTGGACGGGTGTGGTACTTACTGTTCCAATATAAACATTGCCCACCAAAGACACCCACTCTGTTCCTCTTCAATGCTGAGCATAATAGTATCGTTTCCACTGTCAGCTAGATGCCCCGGCTTGATATCTATAACCCTTGCCGTAACTACCGTCTGGCATAAGGTCTGGTACGCTGCAACTACTTCGCCGTGACCATATTCATACAGCGCCACCAATGCTCCGCACTGTACGAGCTCTATACTTGGCACCGGATCCCCCACGCATCCTAGCAATAGTGATGACAGTAGTCGTTTGACGGTTCTATACGTTTCGTCGAAGATAGGTTGCTCGCCCTCTTCCGTGATGCGTACTCGAGTATTTAGGTACATGGCTACTATTAGCAGCGCTACCGTTTTGGAGTGCCATTCGGAACTCGTATTAGAATTAGTGGCTGGAAAAGACTGATCGGCGTGGCCATTCGATAGTGAGCTCGGCGTATCTGACTGAGGAGGGGATTCATTCGCAGCGACTAAATTCGCTACTTGCCGTTCGAAGAGAGTCGGGTGAACTGCTGCAAACCATGAATGTATAAAATAGAAGTAAGCGTTTATGGCTGAGCGCCAGTCAACTTGTGGATGACCCGCTGGGCTTGCCGTTGTGGAGATGAGAGATAAGATCTGCGAAGCTGTGACCCCTTCGAGGGGTTCAGCTGCGCGGAATAGAGCATCGTGAGAAAGCGATCGAGGTTGATATATTAAAAACTGTGTGCCTTGATTGTTCGCATTATTTGTGATATCTTGAACATAGTGACACTTCGCATTCAACCTATTATGTTGATTAGTATTCTCCGATGCCCTGCACAGCTCGATATATTGGAGAGGCGAGTAAAAGTGGATTTCCATTAAGTCTCAGTAATCGATTTTTCGGGGAGGGAAGAATCTAGCATAGTAAGAGTTGTCTGACATACCTCTTACATCTATCACAAAAAGGCAACTTCTTGTCGCATTTACGTTTAGACGCACGACATTTCTCACATGCACGGGCAGCGAGTCCTCCTAGAGAGGGTGCTTCTATAGCATTATATTGAGGGCCCTGAAGACAATGCCGTTTCGGAGAAGGTCCGGGCGATGATTCGGGCGTCGTCTCGGACACCGGTGAGAGCCCATTCGTGATTTGTATTGTCGTTGACATTTCGCGGGCTGGGGGAGTTATGAGTGGCCGCGGCGATCGCCTGGCACATTTGGTGATTTTCTTGATTTACCCAAGCCAAATCAAGGCCGGTAAGAAATCAAGTTTAAGACTTGACCACGAATAGTGAAATCCGGAGTTGTCGTTTCTTCACGTGTGATCTTGACTAGTGTACCGTACACGCCGCGACTTATCGGTGGGTGGAGTGTTTAAGGCGTGTGCGTACTTAGGTATGTGTAAGATGCGTAAAGTATGTCTCGGAAAGTTGCAGCTTACAGGCCAATGATGTAATGGCGATGGCCTAACGTCTTAGACACTGAGTATTTCCGCTGACTGCAACGGGCTTTTCAAGAAATCGATGGTATGTCTCGATGGTGAAAATAGGTATCGACCAGTCAGAGATCCTGGGGTTGTCACCTTTTCTTTTCGTCCCAATACTCCGGTCGGTCTGAAATAGATAACAACGTTGATTGCCCACCTTGTTGTGCTAATTGATGATCGACAGGTCAAGCTGACGAGAACTTTAGCATGTACAAGGATTTACCGAGTCTAGAAAAAAAGCTGGGTTGCACGAGGATGAGAACAGGACAGACAAGGAAGTACCAAGTAAGAGAAAAAAAAAAAGCCCAAGCAGAGTAAAGCAAGGAAATGGGAGCATGAATTAGGTATTGCTCATAAGCATCTAATTCCTTCAGTTCGCTCCCTTGGGCCCAGGTGGCCTGTCCCTTGCCATTCGCCCTCCCGAACGTTAATTCCGAACTATTTCAACATTAGGCGACGGCTCGCCAAGAGTTGACGATTCAGCACGCGGCGAAATTCCCCTAGTAGTAATATTCACACTAGGAGAATAAAGTCTGGGTCCATGTCTCCAGCTTTGAGCATCTGAATACCGAGGCTTTTGACCCTCTTTCCCCACAAGCATTTAGAACCATTCTTGTAAGTGTAGTTGACAGGTTTAGGTGAATTGATTCGGATGGGTTACGGTCACAAGTGACATAAGGTGGTGACGGTGACGTTTGCTTGTGACCACGGACCAACTATTAATAACCGGTATGTATAAGTTGATTAATAATTTCTGCCGATGTCTAATCTTGGTTCTAACATCGTGACACCGTGACATCGTCGCAGTCTCGTCTTACTTACCGAATACACTCACTTGCCGCTTGAAAGGAAATGGCCTAGTCCAGGAAAGAGAAAACTTCCCCATAAGCCCACTAAGAACCATGAGCGATACCGGCAGATAGTGAGAGGCTGAAAAGTACTTAGTAAACGAGGAATAAATTTCATAGAAGTTGTGGCGGCGGCGTCAAAAAGAAGGGAGACTAAAGGTTCAAGGGGTAGAAAGGACCGATATAAGCTAAAAGCCGTCATCAGCACGATCATCAATTGCCATTGGTTCGACCGTAATATATAACGCCCCCACCGGAAGTATACATGGATGAGTATTTTTTCTCCATTTTGATTCGTTCCGGAAATGTCCTTTTGTTTCGAGAAGCTCGGATCGAAACAAGCTTACGTTTGGTTCCTCTGCACGTATGAAGGGATGTGATGCTAAAGATGGGATGGAATTAATGGAATGGGGGGAGGGGAGAAGGGCTCGACCTCGATTTAGTCACTAGAAAAAAAAAAGGACCCGGTGCACCAATGAGGCTTAAAGTAGGCTTACGCTAATCGGTTTAGTCCAGAAGGTCTCTATCCGGCAGTTACCCTGCGAAAGCACGCTGGAAAATATGCTTTAGGTACCTAGGTAGGTGCACCCTATGCACCTACATATGTACCTAGGTATGTAATACCAAGTTAATGAAACGCTTAATCATATTAGACAACGTCATCATAAATGACCTATGAACTGATGCACAAAACAGTATAAGTATTAGCATAAAAAGTAATCACTATAATATCCTCAAAGATTATACTGGATATTTGAGCAAGTTATTTTTGTTCTGAGACTATATATGTAAATCTACATTGTATTAGTTCATATAGAAAATACCTAAGTCACCGTTTCCCACCACACTAACTCGGTGGATATCACCTCAGCTTGACAGCCTTAACACCGATGGCCGATGACTCCCCCTTACTCTATACAGTTTAAGTATACACCTAGTATTCTTCTAGTTCCATTCTAGTACCATTCTAGCTCTATTCAAGAGCGTTTCCTCGATTATCTCCACTCGCTATGAGACATCAAGGTAGTACCTTGCATTTGACGGTTCACGAAATATAGTCTATGAATCCAATATTTACAGGTAGCGCCCAGTACGCCTACTTCTCAAGTAGGTAGGTTGAGAAGACATGGCATACCGCACGAAACAGTGTGACATGTTTCTACTGCTAGAGGTAAAAAAGAACCAAAGCAATCTTATAGGTCATCGACCCAACACCCCCTTATCTAGAGGTAATACAATGCACTGCCTGCCTGGATCGTCGTCATACATATTAATTACCACCCAGCACCTAGACACCTTGCCACTATAATAACCACTACGGCGGCACTGCAGGTACCTAGAAAGCCCTGAACTCTAGCCACCTAATTGGCCAACCAAACCAATTCATTACAAACACTTACAACTTTTCCCCTCTATCTCGCCAGGTTCAGGGGTCTTACACAGTTCTGTACCTATCGAAGACACTATCACACATATCGCCACCAGTTTCAGCTACCCTCATTCGTATCCATCGTATACGCCAATAAGGGGGCTAGACCTGGGGAGTTCGTCTCTCCTATTCATTACACAGACTAACCTATCATTCATTATTGTACCCCCATATCCTTTCCTTTCCTTTCCTTTCCTATCACTCCCTGCTCATATTCATATAACTCATTAAATCGTCAAAGTACCTTTAAGCGGCAAATCCCTACTACTCTTCCCGACATACACCGCATAATCACCAGTCTGCAAGCGCCACTTCTGCGCAACCACATCCCAGACACTAAGATCGCGTCTGGTCAAATCAAACGAAACCGTAGTCTGCGCCGTCGTATTCAAAAACGGCTTTTCGAAGCCGCGAAGTTGTCTCACGGGTGCTGCACCGCCCGGGATACCGAGATATAGTTGCGCGACCTCGGCCCCGTCGACGTCGCCTACGTTCTTGATATCCGCAGATACGGTAGCTAGTACATCCCAGAGATCTTGTTGCCCGCCCTCCCGGATCGCGCCGGTAGGGAATTGCGCTGTGTTCGCGCCGTCGCGTTTCGTGATTTCTAAGTTAGAGTAGTTAAACGAGGTATAGCTCAGCCCGAAGCCAAACTCATACCGGGGGGTAATGTTATTTGCATCGAAGTGGCGGTAATCAATATACACACCCTCAACACTAAAATTCGACTGCGGAAACTTTTCGAATTGTCCTTCGGGTAGGTCCGGGCCCGCGAAATGCTCATAGTCGGACTCATTCTTGGCGATTGTAAACGGGAGTTTGCCAGAGAAATTGGAGTCACCGTAGAGGAGGGAGACAAGCGCGCGGCCGGAGGATTCGCCGGGGAGGTGTGCGAATACTAGACCGGTTATGTTCGGGTGCTCGATCCATTGATCCACGAGCCGGACGCCAGCATTGTGGAAAATGACGATCGTGTTGTTACAACGATCTGCCACGTGACGGATCAAACCATCCGTATAATCGTCTCGTAGACCGGGGCGGTCGTATCCTTCACTTGCGAAAGCATTGACGATAACTAAACATGCATCTGATGCACTAGCGACGTCCGGGTCAGGACTAAAGAAATCCCAGAATACTGCGGTGCGATCGTCAAGTGCGCGAGAGTTTAGCGCATCGAATGGCGCACTGACAGTAGCAGGCGTCACAGCGCCAGAACCTCCACCACAAAACAAAGTCCCGTTAGGTGCAATATCTGAAAAGTCTTCGTAGTAGTTGCCCGAAAAGCCGGCACTCGTATCGCGTCCAAGGTAGGATGATTCACCCCCAAAAGTCCAAGCGGCCACACCTCCGTTAGATTTGTAGTTCCACTGGTCGGGGCTCTTCGCCGAGTATCCAAACACCGATAGCATCCTTGGCTTCTTTAATGGAAGCGCATTCTTTTCGTTCTTCAATAATACATGACCTTCGACGGCACCATCAAATAGAATCTTCTGAGATGAAATGTTCCTCGCATCGACAATGTCGTGGGGTTTGGACAAATCGGCAGGCATACCGATACCTGGCTCCGGGAAATCTTGATCTTGCCCTAGTTGATAATAGCCGGCCATAATACGAGTCGCCATATCGCTTAATCGGTCCTCTGAAAGCGATCCATTTTTGACTGCTTGTGTTAGATTGTCACCCCAGAGCTCGGAGTTAGGCATGACCATGTCCATTCCGGCTTCCGCCGATGCAACTCCGGCATGCATGGCATCCCAGTCGGAAGTAATTGCTCCTTGAAATCCTAGCTCGTTTTTCAAGATACCATTTTGGAGCTTACTATTCGCACAAGCGTAAGAGTTGTTTACTCGGTTGTAAGAGCACATTACGTTGGCGGTTCCGGCTTTGACGGCGTCTTGGAAAGGCCTAGAATCGTGTTAGTACTTTTAGTCTAGATATATAGAGTATCATTCTCACCATAAGTAAAGCTCATGTAAAGTCGTATCATCAATATTTGACGAGACGGCTTCCACGTCATCCGTTGGCTGTCGGTTCGTCTCTTGCTCGTTACCAATGTAATGCTACATCATCAATAAGTCATGATATCCTCAATTCCTCCCGATTGATCAATCATACCTTTGTGCTTGTGATAACCCCTTGGGATTGGATGCCGCCCACAGTTTCTGCAACCAGAACGCCTGATAAAACCGGATCTGGCGAAAAGCCTTCCCAATTACGACCACCACGCACCACTCGTCCAAGAGGCCCAACGACTGGCCCAAGATGAATGTTTACGCCCTTGACCTTGAACTCGAGACCCATGGCCTCGGCGCGACTCCTTGCTAGGTCCTTGTTCCAACTAGCAGCGACATGGAGGCCGCTCGGAAATCCGCTGACGAAATCTGTAGCTCGAACACCTTGTCCAGCATCATTGAGACAGAATCCCGAGAAGTTCATGCGTGGGATGGCATCGATATTGCCGGAGCACCCATTTACTGTTCCTGAGCTGCCAGTTGATGAGGAGATACCTGACGCAAGGCTCACCTGAGATCCAGTTAGTTTAATTATACTAAAGGATAAAAAGGAGCTCTAGTAAATACCTTCTCCTCGATCGTGAGTTGTTTCACAAAATCAGCCGCTTTGTTATATGCGTCCGCCCACGTTCCAACACCCGTCATTGCCGCTAGTAGGCACATTAGCTTCGTCAAATCATAACCCCGGAGCATGTACACTTACGAGAAGGGTAAATCGGTTCAGACTGGCCATAGAAGTACGTATCATCCGTAATGAGCTTCTGTCCACTAGCCGAATCCCCGTTTGCGCCACCGCTACCACCGCGGTTTCGTAGGGCGAGTAAACCCAACAACCCAAATAGAGGTAAAATCATGAGGCCGACGACGAGGGCAACACCGCTTTTCTTCTGTAGGATGGGGAAGCGCTGTTGTAATCTAGCCCACCATGTCGATCGGTCCGGCGGTACCGCCTGGTCCTGTGATGTTGTTTGGTGGTCTTGCTTTACTTCTGACATTGTGTATATGTGTTGGGAGATAGCCTGTCATCTGGTAATGCAAAAGATAATTCGATGCTTTCGGAGCCCTGTAGAAAGCGGCTCGTCGTCTGAGGAAACCCCTGTCCAAAAGGGTAGGGTGAGAAGATGAGTTGGCTAAACCGAAAACACCACTCAGTCGCGTGGGGTGTAGGAAGAGAACTCGATATATAAATCGGGTGGGCGTCCTGGCTTGATTCGGAACTCTTCCGATTTAACACATATAGCGAATGTTTATTTCTCGATTCTCGGTCGGAATGAAGACGATCAGACAGGCGAGTACAACGTTCATAAAAATTGACGATGCAGTTATTTATTAAGTATTATCAATTCTGTAGTCAGGCGTAAGCGAGCAAACAAGCGAGGGAGTTTTCGTTGCGTCTGTACGTAAAATAATATGTTCTTTTCTCTGTCTGTTTATTTAGAAAGGGCTTGGAGAAGCGAGCGTTTAACGATATAAATGATAGCCATGGATATCTGACGATTCCGTGTGAACAGGCTGATGTCTGATGTCAATAACGAACGTTGCTTTGCTTGTAAAAGTTGTTGTTACCCCCTTGTTGCCGGGTTGATCGCTATTTGAAGATGCCCAGGCCACTATTGATTGGCCAATCACGTTAATGGCTAATTACATACGAGTTAGTTGGGCAGGTAGATCCCATCGGACCTGTGGTTTAACGGGCTTGGATTTGACTAACTGATTTCGGCATTCAGAACTAAGAATTGTTGCCTTTCCCTACGTGTCGAAACAACTAAGTCATAACCTTATCACCTCACGATTAAGTGGTTCCGATTGATGCATCTACACATCTTAACGTATGCATGTATTAATGGATTTAATATTTATGTAAATCCATAAAGAAGCCATAGCGACTCTAGAGAAATTAAAAGGTTTAGAGTACGTTAGCCATACGCTAGAGAAACAGGACCGGTAATTAAAATAACTATCAAGGGCGAACTAATAGCTAATATACTCTAGGATGTCCACATAATCACCTATAACACCGAGGATAACGAACATACGCATCCGCCCGTCCGTGCTACTCCCCACGATATATCAATGCGCGTCATTCTGTCTCGCATCACGGAGCCTTTAAAGATAAGGTCCGCCGCCGGAACCCGTTGTTGAATCTTGTACCACTACCCCGTATTGTTGAGACGCAAGTTCCCGAACGCTGGGTCGGCTTCTATGTATCTACACAAAATCCGCCCGTTTTCTCTGACATAGGAAGTTCGCAAAATGTACCTGAAGTAGGCAAGTACGAAAAACACGTAGGAAGGCGGATTACTGACGGCATCTCAGCTTGTCTCATCATCCTTGAACAGAATACAGAACAGAACATTCTACAATACATTCCGATTCAGTCGGTCATCAAATTAAGTAACTTGCATCAACTTCTTTGCTATTTCTACCCCCTATATCTACTTTCTGCCTAATGTCTACGTTATATTTTAGTAGCTATTGTTCATATTCCAACTCGATTCGTTAAATCGTCTTCAACACATTTCCTCCATCTCGATAAAAAATATAGGTAAAAAAAAGTATCATGGTATCCAATATTCATAACTAAGGAACACCGAATTCATATCGGAGGTGTGGGAGAGATTGTAATAATCATCCAATGCAGACATATAAAACGCCAACCTAAATAAAGAACTCCTGGTCGGCTAATGCGTAGTCAAAAGGCGACCTCCGAGACCTCAAGGAATGTCTGCTTGTCAAAAAGTTTTCATCTTTGCAAACCTACACTTCTGGGCGAGCATAGTTAAAACGAATCTCGGCCTCTCCGACTAACACATCCCCCATCCTCTCGACCAGCCCCCCCTTTCAATAGAAATTATATTTCATGGGTTCAGCAGCGAATAATAGTGGGCATTACGCGCCGCTCTCGATTTTGGGATAATAATGGTGGTAGTAGTAATGATGATGATGATGATGTACATTTCAGAGGGAGGGAGCAGATCCGTTTCGCGTTCGTCGTCTTGAGGAGTAGTAGTAATATTCGCACGGCTGCAAAGAGAGCGCGGGAACTGATGCTATATGCTTCAGAAAGTTCAGTCGAACTGCTTGCTTAAACCCTATGTCTTTGGAATACAGGAACACGTCGAAGTGGCCGGCCAAACCAAGCGATCCATGGGGATTAGTGGTATAGGCCATGGCTCGGTTTCGCGTGGAAAAATAGTTCTCGGGAAAACCACGTACGGGAGGCAGGCGACTCACAGTATCAGCTGCTTCAGATTGCGCTGAATGATCATGTCCTGCACCGAGCCCATTGTAATTTTCAGCAGGTTGGTATCCGTCGCGTTTGTGAAATGTCCGTAGATCTCTTTCTCGGGATTTCGGTTCAGAGCTCTAAACTTGTCCATGAAGTACTTGCTCGCCTGCTTGTAATCGTCCGGCGGGCCTTGGTAATCCACGAAACCATGCGACGTTATTGGGCTCGTTGCGATCTTCTCTCTAAATAGGTCCATCTTGTTTAGGAAGAGGATGAGGGCGGACTTAGTAAACCAATGGGAATTCGCAATTGATTCCCACAGCATTAAGGCTTCGTTCATTTGGTTCTACACAGAATCTGATCAGCCGGGCCGTTCCCGTTGGAAGTTTAACTGTAAATCATTGTCCTTCAGAGTTGAGTTTGGCATTGCTAGCGAAACTTACACCATCTTTGTCTTCAACCAAACATTGGTCGTAACCGCTAATTGCGACGAGGAACAACAAACAAGTGACATTCTCGAAACAATGAATCCACTTCTTTCGCTCCGATCTCTGTCCACCCACGTCGAACATTCGGTATGTCAATTGACCAAGATCGAAGATGGTCTCCGTAATACCAGTCGTTCGCAGTCTCGATCGCAGAAGATCTTGGTCGGTCGGAACGTAATCGGCTGACCAAAGACGGTCGGCGTCTTCGCAGAAGCTTTTTACCAAGAATATTAGCAATGAACCCCCCGAGATTACCTTAGTTTATTAATGAAGGACGCACTATGACAAGTTATCGTGGAGAGCATATTCGTTGCCTTTGAGAATGGCCTTCTGCACTCCGCCATCGGCCCAGAGGCTCTTAACCGGCTCGAGGTAATCTTGCGGAAGGGAATCGTGCGGGGAGATCTCGGTATCGACGAGAAGCAAAGCTTGGTTTTTCTGGTTGTACTCGAGTGTTAGTGCTCAATTGCTTACCACGCGATCCAATCTCACACCGGTCGATCGCTGTCTCGGAACGACCGGAGAGATTGGAAATGGCCATATCGACGATTCCAATTAAACCAAAGGCCACGTACCTCGTTATCTTTATTCTCGAATTCGATTGAGTAATCGGCCATGGCGTCGAAAATAACACGCATCGATTGAACGACATTGTTGAATACGACGGGTTTCCATTCTAATTTCTCCGTTTTGCTGAAGCCTTGCGCGTAAATCAATTTCATCTGCTTGAGCACTGTCGACTTGCCTGACTCTCCGGCACCTAGATGAAAAGTCCCGAAGTCAGATGTGGTGTCCCGCTAGTTGAGACACACAAACATTGAGGTTTCCCTCTACCAAAGGAGAAAAAGACCCGGGTACGTACCTAAGAGAAGCAATTTGACTTCTCGCTGCATTCGCTTCTCATCTTGTCGGATAACTTTGTCCAACTCCCGTGATCGAGCATTGCCCTCCTCGTCCTTCTTCCGGCTACCGAAACACATGATGGGCGATATGTATACCGGTTTAGTTACTCCTAGAATTTATGTCGCGGGTATCTATGTGCTTATCCAGGAAAAAGCGACAGCAGAGCTGAAATCCTGCGAATGTGTGTATATGTACAAGGCAGGTAGCCTTACCACACAAGCAATGATTACAAGCAGCCTAGTTTAAGGCGATAGGGAAAAAAGGAGAAGAAAAAAAAGAAAAAGAGAATCCAATGACGAGTTAACGGAGGGCGCAGCTTTCGTGATGGTGTGGAAAAGCTTAGCTCGGGGCTTGAATGAGACGGCTCGGTGATAATTGGTGGGTACTTAAAAGCTGACGGCGCGCAGCGATCAAGCTCGTGGTCCCCAAAAAGATGCAGAAAAGCACTTTCTGACGGGAGAGGTGCGTAATGAGGAGTCGAAATGTTCTCGAGATGTACTATTTTCTCGAAGACCCTTTTTTGGCCTTTAGTGCTTCCCCTTACAGTTTAATATGTAAAAGAGGAATAAAAAGCGACAGAAACTCGTCAGCTAGCTGGGCTGGGCTGTACTTAGACTGGGGCAGGGTCAGCAGTTTAGTCGCTTCGAGTCTCTAGGATGATCAGACCAAGAATAGGGAACCCTGTCAAAATTGCCAGGGTATTGGAGAGGCTCGAGCGAGAGAGGAGAGAGAAGGAAAAGAGACGGGAAGGTTTCAATAAGGTTGTTAACGGGTAGGGCTTGAGTGATAAATAATAATCCTGCTTGTCAGCAGTATAGGCGGTACTATGTAAGGAAGTATTTTTCTTACTACACAGCAAATGGTATAGCCCTTGTTCGTCCTGTAGGATACCTAGGCGTATGTATCCAATGTATCCAAACTAGAGGCGATGGATGTATCTGGTAGGTGTATCATGTATGTCTGTTGTACTTCTTGACTAGGTAGGGGACTGCGAAGAAGAGAAGAGGGGGGTAAGCTTGGAGAGAGGTAGTGAGAATGCAGAACATGCGCCAGATGGAATAAGAATAGGTACAGGACTGCTACGCTGAGAGGGAACAGGAGGGAATAGAAGAACCTTACAGAAGTGGTTAATATGATTTCCACCCATGCAATCCAGTGTCCAGGGTGTCAGCAAGTCGATATCAAAATCACCATTTACTTCTCATTCAATTTAAATGCTCGTAAGCAAGTAATTTATATCGAATCACTTTCTTTTCTCGTTCCCTTTTCTTTTTTCTTCACTATTTTTTGTGGAATTCTCCAAAAATCTTAGTGAATGTGTTTCTTTTCTCCGACTGTGTAATCCAAAGAGAAGGGTATCAGATGAAAATAGTGTATCCTATAGGGAGTCGATGATGGATAGTAAGTGAAATTTAATAGGATTACGGCTGACCTGCTACTACTACTACTACTACTAGTAGGGATGTACCTAGGTACCTAAGACGGCAGACGGGATTGAATTAGGACTTAAGGAGGCATCCATGTGTTATGCTAATGTAACTTCCACGTTGTTAGGCTAGGCTATACATTCATTCTAGGTAAAGTTTGTATTCTACATTGCGCCGTTGTAACTAATCGGGCGGTTTCGAATAAGAGTGTACCTTGCAGAGTGGAGATAAAAGTACTCGAAACGCCGGATGGGGGGCCTTTTCTATTTCCCTTCCTCCTTCCAGGGATAGATTACTTTCAAAGAGACCCCATTTTATTACTTACATCCCTACACACCCATCAATTGACACGCTAACATAGAACTATATGTGAGTACCTGGGTACATGTACGTATTACGCATAGTGCAGTGCACACAACCACGCGACTGCTACGCACAGCGTGCCTATTCTGTAACCTACCTACATATAGCGAGCTGGAGGCCAAACTGACCCAGCATCCATTGAGCATCCATTGGGACGTTGGGAACATTCTCCCTGCTGATTTCCATACATCCAGTCATTTTACGGAGGTATGTTGCTGCGGAATAATGGTGTAGCCAATCCGCTGTGCCTCAAAGACAGGACACGCTTACATGTACCGAGATACATTGAATACCTAGGTAGTTAGAGGAAGGTTAGCATTAATTATGTACAAAGGGGCGTACATATGTATGTAGTAGGTAATTTTCTGTAATTCTGTAATTTAGAAATCGCATGCCTTCCAAGTTTATATCAATTAGAATTTGTTCTGTCATAAAAAAAAAGAAATTGATTAGACGATTAGGCGGCTGGGCATAACGTCCAGTCACTATTAGTGTAAACCGTTGAATAATATTTTGTATGAATAGGAGATACAGTAGGTCTCATTTCTCCTCATCCGAAGCAAGCATTAGCATTTCCTTCTTTTGTCATCGCCTTGTAAGACAAAAAAATCCGTATTCGATATGGAAAAATCGACAAGCTATTGACAGATAACCTGCCGACAATGCGCCCGGAATAGGCATTTACATAATATAGTACGGACAATACTGTACGGATGAACGACACCGCCATGATCAAGTAACCAATGTTAGCAGTTCACACACAAGGATACAGGGATAACGGGGAACAGGCACCGCACGTAACCCGATACGCTAAGGCCCAACCAACATCATTAACATACCTAGGAATCAACTTCCAAGGTGGACTAGAGAAAAATAGTTGGCTGCTGAAAACCAAATGCGTGTAATACTAATACGTATAGTATATATAAGTTACGACTATAACTAGCCTATGCCGCTATACTGTATGCGCGAAGACACATTAGTACGGTACATAAGTATGGGTATTACGGCAGTATCACGGTACATGCACGCTCGTCAACTCGGAGCACTACACTACACTACACTACTTACGTTATTGACCAACCATCGGCAAGAAAACTAACTCTGTGGTATGCCCTGTCATCAATCTCGATGTGTGTGTCATTGCCATGTGCTGTCAGCCTCTCAAGGTTACTCGCTCAGATACTCAGACGCCTAGATGCCCAGGTGTCCGTCCCGTCATCACAGCCCTGCAACCTTAGTAACCATGTTGCCATGTTAGTCGCACTGACGATGACGAGGGGGAGAAAAAGGCACAGCTCGACTGAGGAACCCGGCTAGTATGTCCTCCGAAATCAATCGATACTACCTTCAGAAATAAGACACAGAGAGCGAGCTGATGTCGTACGGATTACATATTACGGTAGGTATTACTTATTTTGGGCATGTGGATGGGTAATCATTTTTTCTTTCTTTCTCATTGTCCTGACGGATTTCGGTTGATCCCCCCTCCAGGACTCTCCTCTCGCATTCTCTCTTTGGGTCTCTAGACGAATCAACCAGGGTTCTTAGACACATCTAATTGTATGTAGGTACCTATGTTTTCTCCCCTCTAAGCGCGGATGGATCCCGGCGCACACGCACCACACTTCAGACAGTAGCGCTCATTCTGCGTCTCCCATGCTTCCCACGCCTCCCATGCTCACTGATAATTTATCTGCAGCAACCACACCAATCAGCCCCATATCGCCTTTGCCAGCCTATGGAATCCCGTGTTTCTACCATCGAGCATTAGTTCCATGACCGGACTAGCGTCTTATTGGAGCAACCTATAATGCTTTAAGTTTACCTAGCCCGGAACCCGCATGTCATTTAGGAAAGAAAAAAAACGTGGCCAGAGGTGGAGTAGCGGGTACTAACATGCTTTCCAGCGAACCGATGAGGTCTAGCTTGAGAGGCTCGTGTCACCCTTAATTTAGTTAATTTAGGGAACTAGTCAATTGTATTCTTTTTTTTTCCTCTCTTTTTTTTCCTTAGGTAGCCCGAGGTCCCTCTCAATTCGATTCTTCCTTCCGCGCGATACGGGTGGTAGGAGTCTAAGAAGGGTGATCGGCATCCATCACCACAATCCACACATATCCACCATCCACTCTCCGTCCATTATCCACTTCTTTTTTTTCCCACTCTACCACCTGGAGTACTATGTAATCCACTATCCGCTAAATCCAACCCTGTCCCCCTATCCCCCCGTTCCATAGGCTAGTTACCGTACCTAGAGGCTACATCTCGGCATAACTTCGAACGCCATGAACTGTTACTCATCCTTTAAATACTACGCTCTGTTCATCTTCTGTCCGGGGTGAGCCGCAAACTAATTATAAACACATGGCCGCCGTGTGAATCTACATCAGAAGGATCTTGTATGCCTACACGTGCAGCACCGTAGATGTTGCAGACCTTCCCTTTCTCCTCGAATCAACCATAACCGTCGAGTTTCTGGTCCCGATATCAGACTTCCAATCGCGGGGTTGGTCTACAGGTCATAAAACCTATTGTTGAGGTTCTGGCCAAAGAGCGAAGATCGCACAAGTCACAAGGGTGTTCGAAGTGGAAAGTCGGGATTGAACCCCGCGCTGCCTTGAAGTTCATTCACTATCACTCATTGACTGCCTAGGTATCCAGTAATAGGGGAATTTGCTGCTTATCCTGGATCTGATATACATCTTAAACTACGAATCATCGAATAGGATCGATGGAAAAAAACGTGAAGAGGCTATCATCTTATTCGCATGAAATTGTGATTCCGACTAACGACCGTATCAACTAACAATCGCCAATAGATACAGACATACTTACATTTTTGCTTTGGCATCTCACACCGAAGAAGGAACAAAAAAACAGTCTAGGGGAGATCTCCAAGCCACGGCAGCTAATCGACGAATGAAAAGGCACTTCCGTCTCACCCCAGCGGACCACCCACAACCGCTACAACAACGTATCCACGAAGGATTTCAAGCCTTGCTATCCTGCACCTCAGGCTGCATACCAAGAAATCATACACCGAACACCATTGGCTGCAGGTGCTCTAAGGTTACTATAGCAGCCCCCATACTTGCCGAGTGGTGCCACACTCTACATGCTAGCCGTCATCTCCAAATACGACCGTGAGGAAGGTCGATGTAGCACAGCACTGGGAAATTTCTGGGATCATTGTGCGTTTTTTCGGCCCGTCGTCGAAGTCTCTTCTTACTCGGTGCTCAGAATAACTCATAACCCATGAGAAATTCGAGGAGATATACCAACAACATTGCCTAGACGGATCAGAAATACGATTATTCCCAAGAAAAATAAAATAAAATAAAAATGATTATATCAACTGACGAGATACCGTTACACCATCATCCATATGTCTGTGCGTGCGTGCGAACCCTGACATCCTTGGCTAAGAAGGCTGAGCAAGAGACAATGGATCGAGCCCAGCCGGGAAGCCTGCGGGGCTACTTAGCGGCCCCCAAAATCGTGTACCTGTTTCTGAGGTCTCACTACGTCGATGATATACTCCAGTCTAATAGCTAACTTACCGGCCAGTCGGCATCCTAATCGGTCTCCTAATCGATTACCTAGTTTTGCTTTTTAACAATGGGGTAGGTATTGTTTCTCTCCACCAAGCGGTCAAGAAATCGCTGGAGATAGACAGGCAAACCTTGCTTTTCGAGAAACATTTCATACCGCTATCTCCTCAACATTTCTTTCTGGAAAACATCTAGCTATTGATTTTATATCCACACATTATATCCGAATCTAATACCTAGGTATGCACGTCAAGCGGGAAAAGACGTAATTTCTACGATATAGACAGGTTTAGTTAGCCGTCGATCCACCACACGCGCCATACATACATGTGAGAAGCGGAGATGTAGGAAACGAGATCCGAGCGGACGTTGCTTTCGGTGGCGTTTATGTGACAGGATATTATAAGAAACAAGCACCGTAACCTAAGATACAACCCCCATACCCCCCTACCAACTTACCTATCTAGGTACATTTACCACCTAGTTGTCTACCTAAGGTATAGGTAGGTAGGTAGCCGATGGGTGTGGGCTATTCTATTAAAGTTAAGCGCCCGTAAAGATCATGCAGCGCGCGGCAAGATCCGTGAACGATGACAAGAAGACAGCATATCTGCCTAGATCTTACGTTCCATGCTTGCTTCGATTTATTCATTTTTTGTTTGTTCCATTTATCTGTCTATTCTTATTCGGTATTATTTATCTTCCTTGCATGCTACCTATGCTACCTTATTACTTGCTTGCCTAGTGCGTTGTCCGTGCTTGATGCAACTAATGCCGATACATTACGTACCGTACATCAGATACAGTACATACATATAGATCTAGGGCGGGCAGGCGGTGCGGGAAGGACTACGCACGCTCGACGGCACGGATCCCCGACCGAATGAACGAACGAACGAACCAACGGTTGGATTGACTTGCTTGCTTGCTTGCTACATCCTTCCTGCCTAGATATATAATACCCCGTATTCTTACCTAGTTACCTGCGTAACTACTTTACATATGATTCCCCTTTTTTGCAAGCAAGCAAACTTGTTCATGATTTGATTTACGAGATTAAAGTTGCCGAATGGGGCCGAGGCGGTGGGGGAATTGCGGAAAGGAGGGGATAGGGATAGGGGTGGGATGGGATGGATGGTGGATGTAGATCAGATCAATATGACATGATGTTATCTCATGTCTATCTGTATGTCTCTCCTCTCCTACGCTCTCCTATTTGGTGTTTTCTGTACCTTTGTTTCGTCTGTCGTCAGCAGAATATCACCGGAGTATCTATGTTAATAGGGATATTATTCCGAAGTCCCTAAAAACATGTACCTAGGTGTAGGACGACGGAGATGATTATACATCTAGTTACTCACCGTATATGCTATACCAATACTATACAGATACATATGACCCTATTGGGATAAGACAATTGGAGGCTGTAAGTATGTGAAAATGATAAGTGATAAAAGTTATATATAGAACTACTCACCTACCTAGTTTATGCGACATTTCTAGCGGTGTAGAATTGAGACTGAGACTGAGGCTGGAGGCGAAATGATTTAAGGATTGTAGGACTACTGCTTATTATTGCTAACGGTTTCGTGTCGCCCTTTTTGATGTGTATAAAACCGTGTATATACCCGCTCTAAGCCTCATTTATGTGTCATTCAGGCCGCGGTCTATATCTATCTGAGTATGCCTGACTTCTTATAAATCAGAAGTCTGAGACTATCGAGATAGACATGTGATGATACCGCTACCGAGGTACATATTTTGAGTTGTGAAAGAACTAAATGTTCATGAATTTTGAACTGGCAGTAGTAAATGAGCCGAACTCCCGAAGCCCGAACAAACACACATTCTTCTCGAAAGACACCATTGGTAGTGAAATTTAGCAATGCACATAATGATTCAGTAATCTCACGAACTCGAAATCTTTCAAATGCAACTGTAAGCCGATCTATTTTCCGAACGGCTACCTCGGATCATCCCTCTATATTCCATAGGAGTCCTTTAACTTCCTCTTTCTAAGACGATCGCGTATCTCGTAAAGTGCCTAAATTAGGCGACGAAGAAGAGTCTTCTCATAATCTCCATTGTCATACCCAGCCAACCCCCTTTTTCATACCCCATCCCTCCGAACTCCAATCCAAACCCCATCTTGCAACTATCTATTGCAGCGCCTTAGCCGCAAAAGTAGGCAGAATGAAGCTAGCCTTGTGGATGTCCGCGTTGTAGTACTTGCACAGGCGCTCCTCATCCTCCTTGCTCCACTGGCGGACAGGTACCTTAACGTCGCGCTCGGCGTCCTTGGTGCAGACCATGAAGCCAATCTGGCCCGAGGGGTAGGTGGGGATGGTGGTGTAGGCGTACTCGGCGACGGGGAAAACTTCACGGCAATCCTTCTTTAGCTTGGTAATGAGCGACAGGTGGAGCCATTGGTTCTCGGCTGTATCCCGGGAAGAAGAGGGTATGTTAGCTAAAACATCCTTTGGAAGAACTGGGGGGTGGGTGAATGATAAAAAGAGAATACAAAGGAGAACGGAGTAGTCAAGGAAAGGAAACGGGGAAATGGAAAGGGAGAGGAAAGGAGGGGGAGGTAGAAGGTAGATTTGGACTTGGGGAAAGGTCGGGGGAGAAGACGACAAAGGATACACTTAGGTATAGAGAGGTGAGCGAGAAGAGGACACAGCCCGATAGTCCACAGGTCTATCCTTCCTAGGAAAAAAGCGAGGAGTTGTTTAGGAACAACCAGGCAAGTTCAGTGCCGATTTTGATAATATTCTTTTTTTACCCTCAAGTAAGATATTTTCATCAACATCAACGCTCTCGAACTTTTTGCCTGATATAAAGGAGACATACAACCTTGAGTAGTGATAACACCGCCGGGACGCAGAGCGTCGTGTAGCAGCTGGAAGTAAGACTTCTGGAATAGGCTCTCAGCGGGGCCTTCTGGGTCCGAGGAATCGGTGATGATAACGTCGAATGCGTTCTTGTAGTCGTTTAGGAACTTGAAGCCGTCACCGACGTGTACCTTGACCTTAGGATGCTTGAAACCCTCGGCCATACCGGGGAGGTACTCCTTAGAAAGACGGATGACGGCCTTGATTTTGACATCGTGTTAGTTGTGCGTGCTTTATATAAGACGATAAAAATGAGTATGGGCCTTAAGGACGATTGATCGTACCTCATCGATATCGCAGAGAATAGCCTCCTCGATGCATTCGTGCTTGACAACCTCGCGGAGGACACCACCATCACCACCACCGATGACGAGCACCTTCTTGGGGTCGGGGTGAGAGTTCATGGCGAGGTGTGTGATCATCTCCTGGTAGGAGAACTCGTCGCGCTCGGTGCATTGAATGACGTTGTCAAGAACCAAGACGGTGCCGTAGTTGGTCGACTTAAAGATGAGGACATCTTGGTATTGGCTCTTCTCGTGGTGGAGCACCTTCTCAACCTTGAGAGTCATGGCTTGGCCTGAAATAACATTTTAAGACTCGTTAGAATGAATCGTTGTATAATCATCCCTTTGGCTAATATTAAGCCGAAGGGAGAGGGAATTCATCATCCTCACTCACCCGGCCACATCTCAGAGATCTCTCTGAACCAGCCATCTGCGAGATATTGTCAGCAAAATGTTCATTTAGAGTAAACATGATGAGATTATTGTAGATATGCCAGTCGCATATGATATGAACCAATCCGTGGATTAAGCATGTACTACACTCCTGCGTAGGGAAGCATCTATAAGAATATAGGTATATTGTATAGCTCCAATCAACCAAGCAAAAAGGGGGAAGAGGGGTTAGCATGTTCCCCCCTTCATGACTAAGTGACGCATGTATATATCGTCAACTAGTAGTACAAGTAGATTTTGAACATGAGTTACATGTGACCTCATTGTTGATTTGGCAGTGTATTCGCGACGATGAAGAATAAGATAGTTTGGTAAAATTGAATTTCACTCATGATGCATTATCACAACATACCCTTGATGGTCGCGTGTGTGATCTTGCCGGACATTTTGGATATCGAAGTAGAATACGATCGACGGGATAAGAAAAAAGAAGGTAGACAAAGTCCACTAATAGTAACAGCAAACCGAGCCTCGTGGGTATCTTCTAAATAACAATTAAAAAAAGGCCTTGACGTCCACTGGGAAGAAATTGCAGACTTAGTAGATTTTGTAAATGGTGGAAGTAGTAGTAGTGGTACGGTGCTACTCGTTCGCGGCGAAAATATTTGCCTTCTCCAGATACTGAGCATGGGCAATTGAAAATTTTTGCGGTGTGAGGGAAAAAAAAAAAATCTTGCACCCCCTCCAGGTTCGTTCTATATGCGAAATCTTACAGGCTGGCCTAGAGCTTTAGCTTTGTGAGTAGGTAACTGTTACCTAGAATCAAGCAAGCTTCTACAGTACCTACCCGGGGAAACTTCACGTGGTGAATAGGAGGTACGGTACAAACTTCTACTTCAGAGTACCTGTCTAAGCCTGTGATAGGTAGAATATAAGTTTGTACCATGCACGTAACTATTAATTAGGTTCGATGTTCTCGTCCGTACTTTCCTGACTTTGGGTACTGCACGAAATGCATTAGACGGACAAGTACCACGGCTAATAGACCTTACCTAACCTTCGGTAACCTAAGTTTAGCCCTATCCCGCTTCGTTGGGCGGAAAACGAACCTTAGGTAATAAAAGGGGGGCTTCGTTGGGCATCACTTATTATAACTGGAGGTTGGGTTAGGGGGACCCAGTTTACCTATATGCAGTGGAAATAGCGCCGAAGGATATCTGTAGTGGGGGTAAAACAACAAGATATAGATGCTTGAATATCAAGTTTTCTTGGCGTCTTATTTATTTTACAATTAAGACTCCATTGTCCGTATGCAAATGCAAATTAGAGGGAGGTAGGCGCATAGTAGCCATTAATTACAGTCCTAGCCACGATCTCAGGCAGCTAGGCAGGTCGTTTGAAAGCTAGTGAAGCCGGGCAGCAGTAAAACCTCCCAAATATACCACGACTAAACAAACGCGCACCCTCCATTTTCCCAGTAGAAAGCTCGCAACTTCGTAGTAGGGGATTCATCGAAACTTCCTTGACTTCAGACTTCCCAATACTTTTTTCCGTGTTCTTAAAACGAACACTCAAACAAATGCCAATACGAATGCTACTCTAGTATACCCTTGAACTCCATTATGCGCCGATCCGATAAACCGCAGCGGGAAAGCAAATGAATTGACAAGCAAAGCGAAATTTACTTCTTGTTTGCACTCTTGTTTGTTTCCAAGACTTCAGCCAGTTTTTGCGCAAACTCTGGTTTCTTGACCTGTAGAACCCATGTCTCGAGGCCCGATCCGGTGTCACTAGCTGCGACGAAGTTGACTGTCTTTTCTTTAGACTTATAATCGACGTCGGAGAGAAGGGCCTTATTCATGGCGATATGACCTCTAGGCTCGGCTCGTAGTAACACACGAACAGTTCCAGTTGTTTTATTCTTCAGGACGCGGAGAGGACCAACACCTTGAGTTGTCCAAGGCGACTTCCTCTCTTCATCATCGTCACCTGGGACGATGGGTACGTACTTAATGGCCTTGGCGCGTATGTCGTGCAATACAATCTCGTCCTCTTCACCGGGTCCACCGGTTGTGAGTGATAGCTGCTCCTGGTGCGCTTCTTCACCGTCCTCGTTTTGAGTCTGTGGTTCTGGTGTGCCGCCTACCGGAGTCGTACCAATGCTAGAGGGCGCAGGGAACGGAGAAGCTAAGAATGGGTTAGCATATCGTGCAATTATCGGATATTCTAGAAAGACTTACTAGCTCTAGTAGCGGCGTCACTGCCTGCTTGTAAGAAGCTACTAGTACTGCCTGGTGTGGACTTGGGCGCAAATGGGTTTGGACTGTTCTGGTTTGGTGTCGCTTGCGTGAAGCTGAAGCTGGGGCCTCCGTTGCCTGCAGCGACAGATGCGCTAAACAAAGGACCTCCTGATGCCGGGTTACGTGTGGACGGAGCCTGCTGACCAAACTTGAAATCGAAGCTAGTCGATGGGGATGGCGACGCTGGCTGGCCTCCGAACATTGGTGCTGATCCTGGTGGTGGTGCACCCGAAGATGCAAAAGGGTTGTTAAATGATTGTCCACCGCCTCCTGCTGTAAAAGTGAAACTGGAGCCAGCGTCAGAGCTAGGGGCTGCCTGACCACTACCAAAAGTGAACGAAGTTGAAGCTGCACTGGGTGCTGCCGAGCTTCCAAATTGAAAATCAGGCTTCTTCGGCTCAGGCGCGTTAGAGTTGCCAACACCAAAAACTACAGGCGGCGTGGGAGAGGGTTGTGCGTTATTGGTTCCTGCAGCTTGACCTCCAAAACTGAAGATGGACCCTGTGTTAGACGGGGCGCTACTGAAGATACTTGCTGCTTTTGTGGTTGCAGGCTCTTCCTTTTTCTCGGTAGGAGCTATATTAGCACCCTTGAAGCCGAAAATACTGGCTGCCGAACTAGAATTGTTGTTAAAAATTGAAGTCGCTGGTGTAGTAGTAGACTTTTCAGCAGGTGCTGCTTCGTTGCTCTTAGCGTTGAAGGTACCAGCTGTAGGGGTCGGAGTACCACCGAACAGGGTGGGCGTAGCTGTAGTGGCAGATTTTGATCCGAAGAGTGATGCAGGTGTGGTAGAGGCATCCTTCTCTTGGCTAAAGCCATTGCTAGCTTTGGTTGCCTCGCTTGTGGTTTCCGGTTTGGGTGCACCGAATAAAGAGCTGGCGGATGGCTGCTTGGTTGAAGCTTCGAATATGGACTTGACGGCACTCGAGCCATTAGCTTTAGTATTGTCTGTACCAAATGGTGATGCTGTGCTTGGTGAAGCGCCAAACAATCCGGCCATGGAAGTTTTAGTAGCGTTTTCAGATGTTGGTTGGCTGCCATTAGCCCCGTTCGTCTGCGGTTCAGTAGCTTTCACGCTGTTGCTGAATAACGGTGTATTTTGAGGTGCAGCAGTTGTACTCGCTGCCGGGGTACCAAAACTAAAGCTAGGGGCTGGAGGCGCCTCTTTCTTCTCGGCCTGGGTGTTATCATCTGAGGTGTTTCTTCGCTTCTTAGCGGCCTGAGAATCCGGTTCAGTCGTCTTCTCAGCAGCTCCAAAGGAGACCTTGGGAGTAGCAGAGCCAAACAAATTGGAAGGCGTCGGAGTGGATTTCTGTCTCGAAAAGATAGAACTGGCTGCGCCGTTTGACTTTACCTGAGAAACATCGGGAGCTCTAGACCCGCCAAACAGTGGTTGATTTGCTGGCTGGAATGCTGGATTGACCGGGGCGTTGGCTCCAAATAGAGACGCTGGCGGCTTTGGTGTCGATGACTCCTCGGGTTTGGAGCTCTTGATAGATTCTGCGTTGAAAATCGTAGCTGGGGTTTTCGCAATATTGGACACAGAAGACCCAAATGAGATCGGCGTCGTTGCCGCATTAAATGTGTAATCGCCTGGCTTCTTAGCTGGGGTCTTGCTCTGATCCTTTTCGGCGACGGGCTGTTGTGTTGGTTTGATAGAGTCTTGCTCCTCTTCATTAGCTGTAGCTCGAAGGGGTTGTCCGTTTGTTCCCATTTGAACCCGTCCGAAGAGACCTCCCTTCGAAGTGAGATCGCTAGACTGGGCCAATTTGTTCAAGTTACCAAAGGGATTGGAAGGTGTACTAGTAGTCGTGGGCTTTTTGACGGCGAAAAGAGTCGATTCGTTATCCGTACCAACACTACTAGCGGTACTGGGTAGGTTGCGCTGCGCCGTCTCTTGACCACTACTTTCTTCCTCTGATTCAGACTCAGTGTCGTCATCCACGAGGCCGAACTCGTTGCCGCTGCTATTCGCGGAACTCTCGGAGAGGTAGCTGAATATATTGCTGGTACTTGTCGTTGGCACTGAACCAATCTTGTGCCCGCTAAGCACGGATTGAGTAGAACTGTCCTCCTCTGCCTCGACAGTGGCAGGTTTGAAACCGTTCGTAGAGGCTGCGAATGGGTTCGAGTTAAGCTTATTGCCGAGGCTAGAATTCTGGGGCTCGTTGGTTTTCTGTGGCCCAAAAGACGGCAGAGGTCTCTTGAGAGGCGTATTACCACTTTGCGCTCGGTTGAGAATGCTTTCGAACTTGGACTTCGCAGCGGAGGGAGTAGGCTTTTGGACCTTGTTGGGCTGGTTCTCATCGGGCTCGTCAGTTTCGTCGGCCTTGCGCTTGCTCTTCTTAAAAGGCGCAGGTCCCGTAAGAGCGGGATCGGGCTGTTCTTGAAATACATTGCGACGCTTGTTCTGGTTGGCAGTAGATGCCATGAGGGCGTTATCTTTGGGCGCCAAGTCTTCGTCAGCCTTGCGTTTTGTTGATGTTGTGTTTGATAAGCCACGGCGGTTAGTTTGGGCTGCAGGCGTCGCCAAAGTGTTCTCTGCTTCTGGTTCAGGGTCTGGCAGGTTATGAGTAGCCCTCCATCTTTTCAATACTTCTTCCGACGGTTTGACGTTCTTAAACTCGTAGAGCCCATATCGCAACATGATTAAGCCCCTGCTCTTCTCATATTCTTTCGCGAAGTTCATAATATTTATTTTCCAATCTTTCTTGGCGAATATTTCATCGGCGGCGTACTTCAACCTTCGCAAATCAAGAATACAGAAAAATTGTCGTCGCTGGACGTCATCGAAGTTGGCAGGACATTTATGGGCTAGGAACTGGTCGGCATAGATAGTACCGCTGCGGTTGGGATCATCAGGAACTTCCTTTGCTAAAGCTTCACCAGATAACTCAGGGCCTGGAGAGGGTATCCTCATCTTGAAAAGCTCAGCGGAAGATATACCAGACAAGCCACCACGCGTAGATTTTTGTGTGAATTTGCGGGCGGTCGGAGTTGTCTTTGTTGCATCTGCCGGTAGGCTCGGCGCAAACTTGGTTGTACGCGTAGTTTGGGGAGTAGAGGTGCGAAATAGATCGCGACCGTAGGTGGCATTCGGTGCGAGCTTCCCTGTTAGCTGCGACGAGCGCGCTGGAGATGGTCTGCTCATGGGGACAAGGGATGACTTAAATCTGCTTGTCGAAGCAGATCGGAAGGGCGTCGAGCCCTGTTGACCCGGGGGAGGGCGAGGTTTGAGAGGAGTTGTAGAATTCATGATGGAAAATGTTTGGAAAGGGAATTATAATTTTATGTGGATGACGCGTGATGGATAGAGTTGTTGGAAAAGGAAAAGGAGCGTTGATGGTGTTGATGGGACGCGTCTGGAGGGGATGAGGTTGAGCTGGGAATTTTGCCTGGGCAACCCGCCGCAACCAGTCGGAGAATGGAATGAGTCGATTAATGACTAGGTGAATGAGTGTTAAAGAGAATTTAGAAAAGGCCGGGACGGCGAGTCACGAAGACTTTGGAGAAGTGTTGACATGCAACAATTGAAAAATAGTTGAAAAGATGATCAACTTTTTTTCGTGATGATGGTTGACGATCCTCAAACCCTGACAGCAACAAGGGCAGGAAGATTTGGTATTTTTTTGCTTTTAGAAAGGGACAGGGTGTGATGTTATTATTTGGGGTTTGGGGGGGAACCGACCGTGGCCACCTAAGAAGGAACATTGAAAGAGAAAAAAAAATTAATCAGGGTAGAAACAGGTACGTATCTGATTGATAGTGGTACTGTGCTGCAGAAAAAGGTACGCCGGAAGCGACAATTTTATTAGGTGTCAACGTTAAATGGGTTAGAATACTGGCCTAAGCTTGCGCCGGAATTGCGACTTCACGTCATTGGACGGTTTGGGTCAAAATCACGACGCGACTCTGTAAGTATCTCAAGTACCCAGTACAGCGGTTACGGCGCACAGGCCACCTATCACGTTAATTACGTACTTCCAAAAAATCATTTTTCTAGGATCGTGCCCAACCTATTCACAAATTTTAAAAAACAATTGGATGAATTCATATTCACTTTCTATTTGTGCTTATGTGTAAGCTGTCCAATTCTTTTAGAAAGCCATTGGAATATATGTTGTGGATCTATTGATACCTGTCGTTTATACCGATAAGAAAGGGCGTGTAACTGTTTAACTTAAGTACAAAGAGATGCGTTTGCCTATGAAGTTTCGGGAATGGTATAAGGTCTTATCTATATCTTTCTTTGTTTATAGATCGTATTTTGTCTATAGTTTAGTCTACACTTAAGATGTTTAAGGTGTCATGTGCAGGGAGGTTTAGTTTGAGACTTGTTGCATGATTCGACATCTACTTAGGTAGGTCTTAGTTCTTAAGACTTCATCTAGGTCATATTCATAGGATTATTTAAATGCAAATTTTGACGATAAGTACCACAGTTGCAAGCACTAGCTAGTAAAACAATAGCCTTCCTAGCTTTCGCGGATAAGTTATGGTAATATCGTGCTGAAGACCCGACAATAGGACTTGACGCAGCTATTGATGATATGCGCTTCTGTCGAGAAACCCGGGAACGGCGACTTATAGTCAGCAAGACGTCTCGTTACCTAGGTATATTCCGATCTGTGTATTGGGTATGCCATAGTTCCGTTCCGGAACTGGGAACTTGATAATCTCGTTTCACGTAACACCTAATTGCGGTTCTTTAGATGTATTGGTTGGGTGAAAGACGACGTCTCTGATAACTTATTTATGATCTAATAATCGAGTATATACCTAAAATAGGTAGATGATTGGGTATAATGAGTAATTACATCTAGGCCGCTTATATCAGCAGCAACCGACGACTTCACAACTTGGCCTTGGTTTGTGCCTTAGCCAAGATAGGCTGAAGCTTGGTCGCCTTCATCACGTCGCCCTTAATCTTTAGCTTTCCTGACATGAATAGTCGTTGCGCATTGGCCTGGCCGCCTACGAGCTTCGCGAAGTCTTCGTCCGACAGATTCAGGGTGACTGTTGTTGCTACTAGTCAGCAGACTCCTCATTGCGCCGAGCCACATAATCTCTCGAATTGGGATGGAGTATTACCTGTCGGCTTAGTTCCCAAACCAGTGCCAGCAGTGCCGCTCTCCTTCAGATCGATATGCCAACTCTCAGTCTCACCGGCTTTGTTCTTTAGTGTGAATGCGAAGATAGCATTGCCTTGCTTGATAGCATCTTTGCGGTCGGCTTCGCTCGCTGATAGCGCTTCGTTGATAGCATCGAAAGCCGCTGAGGAAGGAAATTTGTCTATTAAAGAGGCGATTGACTGTTAGCGGGATGTATTGAGGAAGCGCGACAACGGAATTATAACAACGTACCGTTCTTAAGACCCATTTTGGCGAGACTTTGATTACCGAGAGTTAGTAAAATTGAAGATAATTGGGGGTTTGTAGGTGTGTTGTTAGAGAGCACGCGAGGTAAGAAATTGGAAAGAAGTTAAGAATCCGGGGAATCGCATCGAGCTAACATAGTAATGTATAAAAAGCGATGACGCTCATTTTCGGCCCTGACGCCAAAACAACATGTGAATTAAACCTCGGCCGGCTTCCTAATCTGTTCATGTGCCCGCCAAGCCGGAGTAACAAGTGCTATTTTAGTAAGTAACTCCGAGAAACTTAACTCCATCTGGGGAATAAGAACGCTAGAGCTTGTTAGGTAAGGCTGGAATTAGGGAAATAGAGTGATTATATAAGCGGCTCAATCCGAATTACACCAGCCACAGGAAAGCCTCATTTCATTTATTTATCCTTCAAGCCACGACCCACCACCCCTACTTCTCTTCTTCCATCCATCACGGAACACGGAACGTGGATCACGAACGAACAAGGATGGGGGTCATAATTTGGGGGTCAATGCTAAGGTTCCTCTCCTTTCCGTTTACACGCGCCCAAAATGCAACTTATATGCTTAAATCAAATCCCCAGCTTCCTTATTACTGCACATGTTATACTCCATGATCACCTCCCGGTCCAGATTCACATGTTGCATGACGGTGCGTTCCGCAAGCTTATGTACGAGCTTAGGCGTGTTCGAATCCCAATCTCGTTAGCTGTATCTGCACCTAAGCTGTCACCAATCCAATAAGAAGCTCATTTCGCTACCGAGCCGGGCGGCACTGCGGAGAACCCCTGGCATCTTATACATCGACCATCGCCTGATCTCTCATGACCCTTCCACAAGGGCTTATTTCCGACATTACCCATTGTCTCATTGTCTCACCGGTCTGCTATCGAGACTCCGGGTACCGATCGAGAACTGCCAAGAGACAGTGTGTTGTCATTGGGGTCTAGACGTCAGTCACTGCCTAGGTACCTAGGTAGGTACCCAGTGTGTTCCAGTCCAGTCCTTGCCCTCCGCTCACCCACTCACCACCCATTCCCTTTCCCGAGATCTCTCTTCTGTTGGGATCTCAAGGTGTACGGAGAACCTCGTTGCTCAAGACGAACACGCACGGGGAATGGAGGGGATTTATGGGATTTGAATCTTATCGTTCTAGGTGTTACAATGGTCTGAGCATGACGTATCAGCACAGGATTTTGTATCGCCCATGTTTCGTCAGCATTACTGCCTCACGAAGCTCAAGCATCCAAATTGACTAGAAAATTTAATCGCCGAACTGCCGAGCACTGGTCTCCTCGCCGACTAGCTTCATCAATATTACTTCTACCCCTATCACCGACGTTGATTCAGATTCATAAAATTTTCTTTCTGCTTTTGAACTTACTTTTACGATCTGGCTTGCATGGATTGCATGGGGTGCTAGGGTGTCGCTTGGAGCTTTTTAGGTGCCATATGCTCGGGGTCTTATCCGGTCACTCGGGATTTGAGTGTTAGCAACCCCGTCAGGAGGCGTCTTACTATTGGTCAGCAGGGAATTGCGGAGATCCTGACACCTCTGAATTGTACGATATCGCTGCGACCACCTTCGAGAACCAACGTACATCCAATGTACCCAGCGCTCCGGGGACCATTCTGTCGTCAGAGTCTCCCAGCTTGGCCTAATCGTACAGCTGAATCGTTACAATGCGTCGTATGATAGCAGATTCGAGAATTGGATGACCTGAGTAGACTATCTGTTCTGATATCGACCCAGTCTGGATATTATAGCCCCTCTACCTCCGCGTCTGCGCCGCTCAGCTGCTTTAACCTAGCCTCGCCACTGTAAAGAAGTCAAAACCCGCATCGAAAATGCAAGGCTCAGAGCCCGTAAGTGCGGTCTCAAACTAAAAAACTTAGGCGCGCGCAATTCCCACTTTACATACACGCCGAAAAGATGGAGACGGTTAGACGAGCACAGGGGTGTTGGACGTGCAAACGTAAGTTTTGAGAGTATAACATCAGCAAATCGCAACTTTTTACTAAACCTTCGGCAAAGGGCGTAAGATCGGATGTGACCGAGGTTACCCAGCCTGTAACAACTGTCTCCGGACGGGGAGAGAATGCCACGGCTATGGGATCCGTCTCGCGTGGCCAGATCAGCCGGACGGCAGGCGCAGATCGAATAACCTGAAAAGCGAAACGCTCTACCATCACGAGATCGATTCCGAGTACTACGGGAAGCAGTTTTTGAATGTGACTTACTCAGACCTAGCAGTCGCAAGGAAAGGCATATCGCCTATTGGCTTAACAATCATCCGTGGTCAGCCACGACCGGGACGAACAATCCCTCTATTCGCGAACCTTCACGAGAGGGAATCGCATCTCATTAGCTACTGTAAGGGAAAAAAACCTGATCTACTCCAGATACCCCATGTTTCAAATAAGTTGCTTACTTTTAGCGCGTCAGATCGGAGCAGGCTATCCCAGATGATATCCACAATTGACATCAACAACGGGTTCCGCGATGATTTGCTACCTATGGCCCTCGCAAGTCTCGGGAGCGCTTCGGATGGCCTCCGAAATGCCATGCTTGCGGTATCCGCTTTTCACTTATGGGGCCCAGAGCAAGCTCTATCCTATAAGGCCGATGCGCTTCGGTCTTTATCTTCCTCGCTTTCGAGCGAATCTATTGGGATTACTGAGACCCAACTAGCCACGTCAATGATGCTTTGCGTCTATAATGTAAGGGCACTTCTGAAAATTTCCATTTTTTATGTGCTAACGTGAGGGGAAGGTATTTGACGAAACTGAGGGAAATTGGAATTTACATCTACAAGGTGCCCAAACTATCCTTCGCAAACTCGCCAATATCCATGGCGGGCGGTTGAGATATGGCTTTTTATACACATGGTTTTTGTATCATGAAATTTTAGGTGGTTTTAGTCAACCTCTTCAATATGGAAATCGAGGCCCAGCTTCTCTACAACTTCTCCATGATTCGAGTTTTGATAAATCATTGGTATTACATCCCATGGACTTCTTACTCCAGGACGAGTGTAGCTAACAGAAGTAGATTATAGGATCACTCGGATGTTCCGTAGAAATTATGGAGATTATTAGCTATGTGAATGGATTGCGAGCCATCGAGTTACGGGGCGAGTCCGCACATTTCAGCGCCGAAGAACGAGCGCGAAGAGCCGATGAATGGCGTGCGATTGAGAGTAGAATAACGATTCCCTCACAACATCTAAGTCCTACGGATGCGACTCGTCTACCAGCTCACGAGCGTACTAGAATCCTTACTACCGCCGAGTTATACCGAATTGCGACGTACCTTTACTTACAACGAACAGGTGAATGCACTCAAAGCCACGAACTTAGGACGATGTACCTAGAGCAAGCATTCCAGGCATTGGGTATTCTGGATGTCTGCACGAGTCCTTGGCCACTTTTCGTTATTGCATGCGAGACCGAGAACGACCAGCAAAGGATATTGATCCTTCAGGCCCTCGACCGGATGGATGACGAGCGACGAATCGGTAACGTTTATGTCTTACGAGATATAATCGAATCTTACTGGAAACAACAAGATCTTCAAGCCGATAGTGGTCGAGTCTCTAATGCCAAATGGTGGAACGTCGTCGACCTAAATATTACTGCACCTTGGTGTATCTAAAATGACAGAAAACCTCCATTCACCTTATCCCGTATCCTTATCCTCATTATTCTCATCACTATCCTCGACATCATTCCACCTAACGAACACCTACTTTTACCACTCCTCACATGTCATGATTACCTACATTACGACTTAGTCATCGTCGTAATCATTTTGCCATTTTTGTTACATGTTCATCCTTGGTGGGGTTGACCAATAAGCTCAACAGATCTGGTCTCGCATAATGACCAACAACGTCGATGAACGCCTTCGGGTAATCGATGTCCCGCAAATTGACATCCGCTGTTAGGATTTTTTCTTCGCCGGCGCCAATGGGCTCGCAGAGGGGCTTTCCATCGGGTCCGAAAATCATAGAGAATCCACCGCCGGGCTAATGAAGGGGAGGCTTTTTGTTAGTAATTATTTTTTTACAGGCGTAAGGAGGGAGTTTTTGGAGGGCCTCACCGTTTTAGTAACTGGGTTGCCGGAAAGGTTATTTTTCTCCACGTTCTTCTCGGTTAGGATTTGGGATGCGACGAGAACGAAGCACTGGCCTTCTATGGCCATGAATTGGCTAGCCCGATAGCTCGCTTCTCCCGTTTCGTGGTATAGCCAGGCGATTTTGGCAGGATCTGGCATCTCAAATTCTGCAGGCCAACTACACAAACAAGTCAACAGGGCTACTTTTAAAGCGGCAATAAGGAATGGGTTAAGACTGAACTGACCTTGCAATATGTATTTGAACTCCTTGCGAGTATTCGTAGTAACGAAGCAGAGGTTGCAAATGTTCCCAGCAATTCAGGCCGCCAATCTTGCCAAACTTCGACGGTACAACACACTTAAGCGACTCGGCTTGGCCATCTCCCCAGATTGTTCGCTCAATGTGCGTGGGCTTTATCTTTCGTCGATGGTGGACAATTTCACCTTCCGGAGAGATGAAAGATTGGGCCATGTAAAGACTCCCGCCATCTCTTTCGCTATATCCTAGAACCACAAACATTCCCGCTTTCTTTACGGCAGCAAGGATACGCTTCATCTGATCCGAATCGCGACGCATCGAGTTGTTCATGTAGTCGTGGATGATATGGGTGTTTTCGATAACGCTCTTTGTCCACATAGACCTAGCGGCAGGCAAGCAAGTCGACGTTAGTGTTTCGTCCCTCTCAAGGCTCTTGAAGAAGCTTACCACGGATATCCGGGGATCCAAACCTCGGGAAACCCAAGCACTTGGACACCATCTGCGGCCGCGCTCTCAATGAGAGAGATAGTCTTGTCTACACTTCCATCAAGATCTAGCCATACTGGCTCAGCCTGAACGGCTCCAACACGAACTTTAGCAGTCATTGTCAAGCTGGATTGAACGTTAAGTGGGAGGTTTCTTCGTAGCATAGAGAGCATGGAGCTTCCCGACCCACGGCCGATCTTCTGCTGGTAACTCTTATAGCTTTTATACTATAGCCCACCGGTAGAAGCGTCTCACTGCCTGCAGTCACGTACAGGTGCGGGGAGGCACGGCGTCTGCAGTCAGCAAGCAAACCCCAGAAACAGCTCAGTCCTTGCTCGAATCCCGAGCTTCCTACGCTTCTACTACTACCTAGACTGCCAATCTGGGCCCCAATCGGCCGCGTCACGTACGGGCTTCTCTCCATTATTGGCCACGCCGGAATATTCAGGGTAGGACGTGACCAATAATGCTACAATCTCCTCACTCTCCTTGCAGCTACTTCCACTTAAACGCCGCATTATGCTGCAAGCAGGTCCCACGTCCATGCCCTCGCACTACATCCCCATGTAGCGTGCCTACCTAGGTATGTAAGTATGTAGTAGCTTCCAAGCTGCGAGCTTAATCAACCTAGGACCGTAGCATTCACTTTACGCACCGTGATAAGGCTCCGTAAAAAAAGCTTCCACATACCTAGGTAGCTAATGACGCCGCCGTCAAGAAACATCCCTTATCATTGTTCTTTTTACAATATCCCCTCTTTTTAAAACACAACTAAACATTCTAGCGTTGAGATTATCAAGCTAGGAAGCTCATCCTGTTTGCTTGAGTGATCGCAGAGTATTTCCAAAGCTCTCTGCCGCGATCGACTAGCGCCGCGACGAATATAGCTCCCGCGTGGGTCTTCTACCCAGATATAGCAAAGCCTCGGTGCGCTGGTGGCACGTAGCCGGGCGGAGCGCTTGAGCATCCGACAAACGTACCTCAACTTAGCTTAGTCTACGGCCGACCTACACTCACCTACCAGGTAGTTCGCCCTGCCGTTTTGCGGCGGCAATAATCCGCGAACATGGGACGATGCTCTTCCGATGATGCCTATAGGCTTCCTTATATAATGGCATTTATAACATGATCTCATCCCCCAGTCCCTGGTCAGCAGGGATGGTGGAGGAGCTATCGTTATCTCGGGATGGGGCTCCGGTTTGCTAGGACCTTCAAGACATTGGGACCCCTTCCCAGGGTCCCGGAATATGTGGGAACACCCAGACAACATGGCAATATGTTTTGTCCAGAGGGTCCGAAACCCAAGAAACAAAACGAGAACGAACACACAACTATCACCTTACACGATTTCTGTGAAACCGAGGCACAGCAACATCATAACACTCACTTCCTAATCGAGCTATTACGCTTTCATTCTTTCCCCCAGGGTTTCAGCAGACAAGAAAAAGAGGCCCCCATTTCGGGATTTGGAATTGTATTTGGAAGGACTCTCTCCTCTTTAGTCCAACACCACATGGGAGGCTGCATAGCGGACAGATCCCTGGTGCGGCAATTGCGGATGGAATGGAAAAGAAAAATAAAAATACGTAAGGGAGGGAACAGAATACAGGCTGGAAAGGTGGGAAGGCTGCGAATTTATACACCGAATTTTCTTTTCTTTTTTATATGAGCGCGGATTTTTATGATTTATGAATGATACAGCAAACCCGCAACTTCAAATAGGCCATAATATGGAAATTTCACTCTGCCTACTATAGAATAAGCGGTGAATATAACAAAATAAAAGAACGTCAGGTCTGCATAATACATAGTATTAGGTATGTTCTGCATCAGCAGAAATTTGGTAGGCAGAACAGCAAAAAGTTCTACGCTTTTCGCTTGGAAAAGCCACCACTACCACCTCTCATCCCAGTAATGGACCAATGATAAGCAACAAGGCCAGGAACGACGTCCTATCTTTTTGATTAGCGGTCTACGCCGCAGGTAGGTAGGGAGAGCCCTACGAAAGATCTATAACGGGAGCGGAACGTCATCTTATCTCTAGGCATTGTCGGTATCGGATTATTATATTCGTTGTATAATTACGTGGGCTTAGTCGTATCAGTGCTACCAACTACTACCTCAAGTTAGCTAACATCAACAATACTACCGCCAGATAAAGCTTCCCTGTCCACTTACACATATGGTAAGGTAACACAGTTGGTGCTATCTATGCCCATGTGCATGTGAAAAGATATGTACAATATTTCGGTGTCTATTGTTATAGAAAAATAGAATAAATTGAGGGCGGCTACTTAAGGCTAGATACTTCTCTCCCTTGCGCGAGTACATATGTCTCTAGTGTTACTCGAGTACTGTGCTCCTATCCCGTGTCTCACCCTCCCCTCAAGCCACCAGCCTCTTATTAGGGTGCTGGGAGACGTCGCACATTTAATCTTGTCCATGCTTCCTCCCGACCCGGTGTACCTAATCAAACAATGTCCGTCGAAAACAAACCCTCACCGGCCGGTGAAGGCCGATTGCAACCTCGCCTGTCGAGGCTGACTATGGTCGCTCTAACATTCGCTATTCTCAAGTACGTCTGACTCTCAAAATCTGCAAATCTCACTCGAGCTGAACATCGACAGCACATGGATTGCATTGGCGGGGTCAATTGGCCTCGTCCTTCCCTCGGGGGGCTCGGTGTCGTTCCTATACGGCTTCATCTTCTGCGTGTTGTGTAATCTGGCGCTTGCTGCGAGTCTCGGCGAACTAGCTGCTATATGGCCGACGGCGGGCGGCCAATACCATTTCGTCTATGCGCTGTGCACAGATGCTTGGAAGAAGTCCATGGTGGGTGAAAAATGCACGCGCTTCTCGAGTTTCAGCTTGGGGAAGAAGTATGGGACTAACTAAAAGATGTTATAGAGCTTTTGGGTAGGCTGGACTAATATCGCGGGATGGCTTACGCTGGTTACGACTGAGGGTTTTTTCGCTGGTAAGCTCACCGACCTAACAAATACGCAGACATAGACAAGCGATTGACACATACTCCTACACGCAGCGCAATTCATCCAAGCAGCTGCCGTCCTAGCCTCAAACGGAACCTACGAGATCGAACAATGGCGCACCTACTTAATCTTCCTCGCGATCGTAACCTTCACAACCGGCTCCAATATCTGGGGGAACCGAATCCTAGGACGATGGAACGACGCCGCACTCTACTGGTCACTCCTAGGAGTAGTAATCATAAGCATCGTCCTCCTAGCCACATCCGATAAAAACGACGCGCATTTCGTATTCGCCGAGTTCCAGAACGAGACGGGATGGTCCGACGGTATGGCATGGATCCTCGGACTATTACAAAGCGCGCTCTCGCTCATCGGATTCGATGCCGCGTTGCACATGACTGAGGAAATGCCTACTCCGGCCACCGACGCGCCGCGCGCGATTATATACGCGGTTGTTGTGGGAGGTGTTACCGGCGTAGCGTTTATCCTGGTTATTCTATTCTGCATTACAGATCCGGATACCGTGCTTAATACCCCGACGAATATGCCTATCGCCGAATTGATATTCCAGGGTACTGGAAGCCGAGCTGCTGCGACCATATTGACGTTGATGTTGGCTGTGTGCTTTATTAACGGGACGAATGGATGTGTGACGAGTTCGAGTAGGTTGTTGTATGCTATGGCTCGGGACAAGGGGATATTATATCATAACTAGTAAGCTCAATCCTCCTTTATAATCCCGTATTCTACGCCCCTGCTCTCGTATTTCCTTTCTTATCTGGAAATGTTATATTAATACCTATCAGCTTCGCCCATATAACACCCAAGCTCGACGTCCCTGTGCGCACCATCATTTTCACATTCGTCTTCAACGTGCTCTTCGGACTTCTCTATCTCGGCCCGTCGGTCGCATTTAGCGCATACGCAGCTAGTACCACCATCTTCCTTAACGTATCATACGCGTTCCCCGTAATCGCCTTACTGATACGGGGTCGCGGCATATTACGTAACTTCCGTACCGAAAAGGCGTATTTCGCCCTCGGTCGCGTTTCCGGATGGGTGCTTAATATCGTGGCGGCGGTTTTCGTGGTCGTTACTTCGGTGGTAAGTACTATATGTCGGCATCGCTCGGCGGACATAAGGAAAATGCTAATGATTGGTTTAGTTCTTCTGCTTCCCGACCGGACTCCCCGTTTCGGGAGATGAGATGAGTAAGTGATTCACTCTTCAATATTGTTATTGTTATCTTAAATCGACCTGACTCTTACTAATAATCGGCACCTGTAGACTATGTAGTCGTTGTGATCGGAATATTCTTCATTATAATCGGCACATACTGGTTTACGTACGGCCACACCTTTGAGGGTCCCGTAAGTTCATCCCCCTAGGTATGCGGCTGCCGTTTAGACATAGATAATCTAACTTCCCACAGAAATTCGAAGCCATCATCGGGCGTGCGCCCGGAGATGAAGGGCAATCGTCCAATCCAGATGTCTCTTTAGAGAAGACGAGCTCAGGCAAGAAAGAAGATATCGTCTAGATAGAACCTAAGACCGGGAGGACATACGATTGGATATAATGAAAGGGGAAAGACTTGTGATACCCAGCTCCTCGTTTATTCGAGTTTCTAGGCTCAGGTGAGCGACTTAGACTGGGGGCGTTCGTTGAAAGATATTTAGACACCCTCTTTAATATGCCGTAGAGAAGAACTCGATCATTACGCTTAATATACTGATAGTAGAGTTTAGAAACCACCAAGTTTACATATCACATACATCATGGATAATGGTTGATTTAACTTCTCAAAATATGTTCATTCGAAGTTGGGTATGTACCTAATCTGACATATCTACCTTGAAGCCCCTGCAATACGTCTCATCTCGTCCCAATCCATCTAGGACTGGGGAATTGGGTATAGTTTGGTTCGTAACCGATCCTATTAGGAAATCATACATTGTAGTGGTATTTCCTTGTTCATAGCCGAGACATAGCTCGCTCGTGTGCCTGATGTAAATGTAAAAACCTGTTGCCAGGTTATGCGAAACGCCGATAATGCGATATATGTAAAATTGTTTGTGATGCTTGTATTGGCATCTTGAATTCTTTCTTGTCTTGTTCGAGCTACGTTTAAAGGTACTCGACGTTCTAATGATGGTTTATAGAAAATTGACGAAGATCTGATAATACTCTTCGGTGGCTTTGAATGATTACTCCGAGCGGTCTTGTTCGGACCGAAGGGTCATGATCTGTCGGCATCGTTCGGGCGATCCGACTCCGACCTGGGCATGATGGCGCATGTGGGTGGTCGATTCAATCGTCGGACTAAATATGGTAAAGTTCGTCATTCTGGTAGGAAATGCTGAATTCCAAGGATTTGTCGGGGTTCCAAAGGCTTAGCCCGCTCGAAGTCGGCGAAAATTCTTGAACCTCGCCCAGCAAATAGGTTGTAACTAACCTAGGTGTTTATCATGCTAGGTGCTCATTTGTTCAAGAGTATGGAAGATTCGACTCGCTCTTGTATCCGGGCTCCGTCGGTTCGATGTCCTTTACGGGGTGAAGCAACATCGGAGGCAAGCAAGGGCGTCCGTGGTCATCCTCCCAATCCTTACCACCGACATTGGTGTCTTCCCATCCCATAAAATTGAGATACATTCGTTGCGGTGGATTGGCCCGATAATACCATGTGGTTCCACGATATCTTGCTTCTCGTCCCCAGCCCATAGCGCACCCAACACCTCCGCTTTCACCCTTAAGGCCGCCATTGAACCACCGAGCGAGGTCTTTACCGCTCCAAGGCCTATCGAAGAAAACAGGCATTGGGGCATAAACAGCTTTTAAGCCATGAAGGAGCGCAGTAGTTTGCGTAACCATTTCCGATGAGATATGATTCCCTCGAAGGTTCTCGACATGCATGATATCAAGGAGCCTCTTGGAAACTCTCGAATGCGTAACAATGGTCGCTCTTCTCGGTAAATCGGTAGTCTCATGAGTGGAATCGTTGAATCCCCAAAGCTCGTTACCACTGATCCATGAACTGTTGATGGGATTGAAAATAGGTGCGACAGTAATCAGATCTGCCTCTTCACCCACACCCCACTTGTAGTTGTCATCTTCCGGCTTTGCAACGGGAGGCTTCGGACCGACGGGGTTAACAAAGGGCAATTTCGGAGGACCCCAGATTGTTTCCTCCCCAGATACACGCTCGACTTCCTTACGGAATTGCGTGTCATAATCGCCATGAATAGATGGGATATAATAGCGTTCATTACGCTCCCATAATCCTCGACGAGGTTGTCGTTTAGCAAAAGTGGCTAGTTTCTCAACAAAATCGTAGTTATGGCCTGTTACTCTTGCGTCGATTTCCCAATTCCAGATATAGTCGAATTCGGGGAACTCCTGGGCGAACTTCTGGACGGATAGCCACTGCGAGACGTGTACCGTCGCCTTCTTAGGGTCGATCTTAGGGTACATAGTCTGCGTCGCTTCGTCATTCCAGAGGACCGCAATGTCCCTGAACTCTGGGGGAATATTCCTCTCGAGAACATATTGATATGTTGCCTCATCATCCCAAATCGCATACGAAGTATCCTTAACATGGACAAAAAGGAACACTTGATATTGACCACCAGTATGTAGCGAAAGTTCAGTTATCAGTGACCGAATAACCTGCATATCGTTGTCACTGTAATCCTTGCCGGTATACGTCCGTAATAAAAGTGCAGTCCTTGATTCAGAACCCGCAATCGGCTTGTTCTTTCCAGGCTTGGATGGCTGGACAACGCCCCTCTTTCGTTGCAAGGACGGGCTCCCGTCCCCTAGGTCATCTCCACGACGGGTTAGTTCGGGCAGATCAAAGTCGCTACCATCTAAGGTAGGGGCGCTTGAATTATGGCGTGAATAGACCGACGTAAGATAGGGATTCGAATGTCCCTTCATGTTATATCGAGCCTTGTTTTTCTGGGCGCATTTCTCCTGCAATTGACCCCAGCGTATTTTATCCCAGTCAATCGATGGAGTCGAAGTATCGTTGTCTGCTTGGAAGCCATACATGCTGAGTCGTGTTTCACGCTCATAGCATAGGTTCCCATCCATACCAAGAACATCATAGCTCCCAAATCCAGGTTCAGGGAAGTACTTAGGCTGTCCCTTGAAAACTCGCACATCTCCTACCGTCTTGCCAGCTGGACCCTCGCAGGGTACGTATTGGGCTCTTTCGGTAAGCCAAGTCTTCTCATTATATTTCGGATATGGGTTGTAGATATAGGGTTGGTGTTCGCTGAAATAGGTCTTCTCTTTGGCAGGTTTCAAGTGTTCTTCAATGGTTAAGGATCGCTTCTTAGTGGGGTCGAGAGTGTTGAGCGTTTGTCCGTATATAGCGTCGGCACCGGGTTCGCTATACGGCCGTTAGAATCCATGGGCGAGAACAAACTGCGATCGGACTTACCTAGCAAGCATATTATATTCGCTGTCGAATTGGACCCTTAGGTTTTCTTCTCTATGCTCCTCTTCTTCCTTCTTTTTCTCCTCTTCTGTCTTTTCCTGTACCTGAACTTGAGGCGGTTGATTTTGGTCGTCACCGCTAGGTTGTTCATTCACCGGCGCAGGAGCATTGTTGGCTCCATTATCACTCTTTAGAGGAGCCTGTACTGGTCCAGCACTTCCATCATACCACCTCGCAGTGTGTAAACTGCTAGGCCCATGTAGTAGAAGCCAATATAAAGTTCCCGCAAAGACCGCAAGGAACAAAAGACCCCTCGGTCGCGAAAGTAACCGACGGGGTTGTACCGCTAACATCATATCGAACCAATTGGTGGGGTATACGCGGCTTCGGGGCTGACGAAACGACGGATCGATATCGCAAGAAAGGTTCACGCGAGGGTTAAAGGTAGTAACATCGCGAGACGGCGGTATCTGTGTCGCTAAGTCGAATACCAAAGCGCTTGGTTGGAATCGAAGTGGGAAAAAAGAGATCGTTACGGTCGCTCCCTCGATATTCGCTATTAGATTCCTAGAAAGGGAATTCGATCTGCGATGTGTAAGTAGAAAGGAATCGCGACTATAGTCGTTTGAACTCGAGTATGTCGTGTGTCGCCCGAGGAGCTCGGTTGTCAATGCGAAACAACAAGCTTGCAGTGCTTGTAGGACTGAAGAAATTAGAAACGAAAAAAAGAAAATGAGTGTAGGGGTTACCGCTACAGTGGGTAACCAGTCGGATAAAGAAGATTACGACAGCACTTTTTAAGAAAGGGCCGGGGCGAAGTCTAAAAAGTGGTTACGTGTCGATAATGCGATAATAGATAATGGATAGTGGTAAACGGGGGGGAGAAATAAAATATATCAGATTAAGAAAAGAAAAGAACCCCAGAAATACTATACAGTAAAAACTGACTCTCGAGGGAAGGAGTGAAGAAAGAACAATAAGATAGTCAAGTTAGTCCAAGAAAAAAAAGGGACCAGGGAACCAATATCGCGATGTCTTGGCTTGTGGTGATCAACACCAAAGCAGTTCAAGTGGGATGCTTGAAATTGGGGGACCCCCTTTGCTCCCCTTTGTGGGCAAGAAGTTGAAGGTAAAATGGCTAACATTGCGCGACCGGGCACGATTGACGATGTGCAAGTTGCGCTATAAGGGGTGGACTAAAGTAGAGGGTGACCGATATATGCAGGTTAGGTACATGTCGTGCTACTTAGGGTGGTATGTATAGTGTACATCATTATTTGGAAAGATAAGGTGCTTCTTACTATTCGGCATATGTATACCTCGGTATGATTACTGCAGAAAAATACTTAATGTGAGTGGGGGTTCCACCCGACAGGGATCAAGCAAGCAATACATTCCTGATATTGGACCAAGTCGAAACTACAAGTGTCGATCGTCTCTTACTGCATATTAGGTACTTAGGGTATTTATTCTATAGTACGCATCAATATAAAGTCGCTCTTCGATGTTCTCGATTTTATCCTAGAATTTTTACAACACATTGCCTATGATCCGAAGTTATACAAATCGAGATAAGACAAGTTTGATGAAGTAAGATTGTTGAATGCATCCGTGCGACTACAAGAAACGGGGCTTTACTATTCCAATACTACACAAATACGCGTACAAACAAGTACAAATGTAGCTACTTAAATGTAATTCTGCATCGGCGGGTGGCTGCTTTGAGGTAATTTAGGTACAGACTAATACATAGTATAGTTTAGTACTTGACAAGGGTCTCGCGTGTGAGAAGAACAACTAAATCAACTAACTCTACAGAATGTCTTCCCTTACAACTATTCTTCTATAAATCTATCTCCTAGTTGATCTCCTAGTTAAAACTTGATATCGATACTTCACGAGTTAGTTCTATAATTACTTAATGTCCCTTACCTTGGTTTATTCTTCAATAGAATTGGTAAGGGGTGGTCTTTATGCCCTCCCTTTCCCCACGTTCCCTTGTCGAAATGCCGCGAGATAAGGCCTATTGAAGAGATTCGCCGACGCAATAGGCAAGTCCCTGATTAGGAATTATTGGAAATGACCAAATCGTTACCTATCGATGAAACAATATTGCCTTACCAAAGAGCCTGTAGTGTAGAAACACATTTTTAAAAACATTCTAGCTTAGGTACATCTGAGCTGAATCTTCACGAACATGACCATATGCGAAAACCAATATATGGACCTATCCATACCTTCAAGTACCTACAAACGTCATCCTTCTGACTAACATAATCCAAAGGGATCATCAGGGAATGGCTTTACCCGATACATAGAGGGCCTCACTCAGCGAAAAGAGGAAACAATCATCAACCTCGACACATGAGCCATCACAGCCTCCTAGCTCCCGTGAGTACCGAGATGGTGGGATCGTAGGAAACTTGCCGAACTACGTAAGCAACTAAGATTCCTATCTATACATAGATAGCTACACGTGTAACTATCATAGAAAAGTAAAAACATGGGGAAATCCTACTTATAACATCGAAAATCGAAAAGCCTTCCGTAGGATCAAACGGCTTCTCTCAGCTAAAGCCCGCTCTGCATAGGTACTATTGCGCCCGTCAAGCATCGGGTCCTTACAGCGTATTAAGTGCGTATTGGTTACTGCGTGTATGTAGTAGGTACATTTGACCAACGCAGTAAAATCTGACACACCGCAGACACCCAGCCAGGGGCACGACGTAACGCCAAAGATCGTCATCGTGCAGGGCGCCTCCCCGGACGATCCAATCAAGGAGCCTCTTTCACACTTTCTGCCCTCGGCAGCTATTATCTCTCCATGTTACATTCGTCAAATTCGTTTAAATTCGATGTGGCCCCCCTGCCTATTCAAGGAGGAGCAACGAATGGGAACTGGGGGTGGAGAGGACAGCGTGGAGAGAAAAGAGGGAAGGATAAAATCTCTTGGCTTTTTTACATTTCCCCTTCAATATTTGTGTCAGGTCTTCTTCGGTCCGGATTCGTCAGTTTGGTTGTTGGTTTGTTTCGCTCGGATGAAGGTGTCGCACAACCAACATTCATTATAGCGGAGTGAGGGCGGAGTGCAGCGTCTGTGTGTACACTACAGCACTACACAGCTGACTGTGTATGCGACGCGAGACGGAGAATAAAAATCCAATAATCTTACATGACGCTCTATATTTCTGTCTAATTAGGATACGCACATAAGAGTATGTGAAAACAAGCATTTGCCTAATTTAAATATCTAGTGAAAGTGAGAGAAACCCACATAGGAATGATTCTCACCTCCGCCGTCGCACATAGGCGAACTACTTTTATGGAGCCCTTCGATGATTTGCCGCAATGCGCATCTCTTTCGGTGCAACTGACGATGTATATGCAAACATTTTGGAGTCCAACAATTGGGGCATTGCAAAGCAATCGACGATGTGATATCGACAAATGCAGCATGTTGCACACATTAGATACCGATCTACCTCACCGTTTCTAAGCATCAATCATGCCCAGTAAGCACAAGAAAATCACATCGTAGCACCATTCGTCGCAACACAAACAATTCTTCCTACCACCGCAGTAAGAAGCGAGTATAGGTAGCGGTATACAAAATTAAGGGTATCATATACCCAGCCGTACCACAAAACCTATTCACCGCACCCCTCAATAGCCGTAAAATCTCTCCCGTGAACCTCTGCACTGATTCTAGATCGCTCCACGGCACGCGACATCCCACCCCATCTAAAACATTATAATGAGCTCGCATACGTACATCCGTCCTCCATAGGTACCCATAACCTTCCTAGCCTTTAAAGGTACCTAGCCACAGCAACGGCTAGCAACATCTCTAAGCAAGTTGCAGTCTTACCTTTTACCAATCTATTACACTGCAACGCGGCATAAAGAGCATGCATAAATTGCGACCTTGCGGCTGTAACCTAGCAACCCGTTTTTGCCGGTTGTCGAGGTGTCTAGCCTGTTCGGCAAGTAGAAGAGCGTCGTATCGGGTGATTCGTTTTGTTCACCTTGGGGGAACACACCGTTGTGTAGGTAGGTAAACATCTGGATTTCTGGGCAGATAGGTAATTATGTTATTAAAATATTAGATGCCTAGGTGAGTTGTGCGATTGTCTGTCGCTGCTAGATGATATGGGTGTTTCATCGAGTAACACCCGTTCTAGACCTTTGTAGTACATTGGTAGGCAAGTAGGCAACTATAATATTAGATCACGATGATGTAAAAGTAGATAGGCAGTCAGAGGTATGGTTTATTGTTTGTTATTATCCAGCCTGCTCCAAGAGGAGCAGACTACTACTATAGCTATACATTACAAAGGCGTAACTAAGTAGTATACTGGTATGATCTACAGCTCTCGCCCGTGCTAGATCTCCCAATTCTTCCACTAAACCTCCTCGTAACCCCTCCGTTACCCCCCTATTAGTAACAGACAACATGACCAGCCAAGTCTGGCCAGACGCCCCCCTAATGCTCCTACCAACACCTAGCTAAGATGGGGCTAAAACCCATCATCCTATCCCACCCCCGAAGACATCCCCTGATATAGAAGAATGGAAGGGCGACCGAATGGCATTCGACCTGCCAGTGCCCAATGCAAATAATCTGAGTCCTCAAAAAAGCGAGGAACCTCATATTATCATATTACGATAATAGTGTCTGGTCCGAATACGGGGCAGGTACCGCATCAAGGGGTATATATATACAAATAGCGGCAGTGAATCGAAGGTTGAAAGGGTATATGCGACCAAAAATCAAAATGCTTTCCCGAAAATAAGAGAGCCGTAAACGCCAATGCTGATATATAACGATCGGAGCTAACGGAATAGTGAGCGGTGGTAGGGAAAGCCGGGTGACAAATGGGAGGCGTATCTTCGTAAAAGCAAAATAATAAAAGATGGTTGGGGGTAGAGATAAAGATGCTGCATTACATCATGCCTAATCTTGTCATTCTCTTCTCCATTCTCGGTATCGGACCTAAACCACCACGGCCAAGAGCTTGACCGGGAGCTAGGCGGTTACCGGTGGGTAATCCGAAGGGTCGGTTAAGTGGCCCAGGTCCCTTCATATTAGGATTCATCGGACCAGGACCTGAGGGTAGTCCTCTCGGAGGAGGGCCTTGCGCGCTGGGTCGACGCGCTGGGTACATCTGCATGCCAGGTGGTGGTGTTTGTTGCCTTTGGGCTTGTACTGCGAATTGCATCCATCTCCAAGCATCACGCTCACAGTATGCCTTGCCATCAACATCAAAATACCCGTCTCGCAATACAATACCGCAATCACCACATCGGAAGCAGCCCGGGTGATATTTCTTCGAGGACTCATCCTCAAGGTATTGTCCCTCAATACCTTTATTGCAACTTCCACAAAGACTGCCGTTGAGTTTGTGGTAATGTTGTTCGCAATACGGCTTATCATTTAAGACATAAAATGTAGAGGACGAGAAGGGCTCCTGGCATGTTGCGCATACAAAGCATGCCTTGTGATAGCGCCCAGTTAATCGACCATCTGCTGAAGAAATAGATTTGCCCGTAATGAGTTTCTTGCATGCTTTGCAATTACCCCGGGATCTTGATGGTTGACGGTTGTGAGATGGCCGGGTTGGTGGGGACTGATTGAGACCAGTCTGAACAGCAGGATCGCTACGAACTGGAGACGGCCCAGGACTTAGTGGTGACTTTACGGGTGAACCTAACCTAGGATCCCGTCCTCCTAAATTGGATGGATCTAATCGAAGACCTTGCGGAGGACCACGTCGGTTGTTGAAATTCGTCGGCTCAATACCTTTTCCTGTTAACGACTGATCAACAGGTGAAGGTGGCTGTCCCTTGGTTTGCATAGCATCCATTGAAAATTGTAGATCATTCATCAAGGCGTCGAATCCGGACGTATCCGAAGGTCGCCGCGGTCCCGAGTGGGATGCTACTGATCGCGCTGGGCTTGTGTTTGAGCTAGCTTGACTTGGCTGAGATGTGTGGGTATAGCCGGAGTTACTAGAAGATTGCGATACAGAGGGTGAGTGATACGGGTTACCAAGACCAAACTCGTCAGTCGGATTGAGAGAACCATTTCTACCGCCATCTCGCGTTAGTGGACGTGCTGGCCCCGCTCGCGGTAGTGGTGGGCGTAGTGCGTCCCCCATTCCGAATGACGGTCGCTGTGTTCGCTCGCTAGTCATTAACGGTCTATCGGCACCAGATGCACTTCGTAACCGATCGGGCCTTGGGCCGGGAGCGGATGGTGCGCGTGTTGGCGCATCGAATGTCCCGTCATTTGTCTTTAAGAGCTTCTCAGGAAACGTCTCAGATCGCTTTCCAAGCCCAAGTGGTTGTGGTTCAAATTCATCGCCATCTCTTTGCGGTGGACCAAACCCCCCGTATCCATTCTTTCGCGGTGCTCTTGGAGGTGCGAGACTAGCGCTATTCTTGGATGAGGTTGAGCCCGCAGTACCCGGTCGCTCCATCGTATATCCAACTTGCAATGAATCGTCATTGGATTCTGTTACATTATCTCTGCTGTTACTTCGCGCGAACGCATTATTTGCCCCAGGTCTTCGATTCATTTCAAATGGCCCAGGTGCTATGCTGTTCATCCTTGTTAAGAAATTGGTTGATTTATTTGGACTGGTGGCATAATTAGAATCGCCTTCATACGATTCTGAATCTCCGAATCCTCCATATCCGCCTGGTCGTCTGGGTGAACCTGCTATTGCTGGTGCAAAGTATTCATCGCCACCTAGACCGGCACCAGGCCGTCCATGCGTCGGTGTCTTTGGTGAAATAGCTTGCGATCCAGTGGAAGCGCTTACTGGCGTTAGTTGGTCTGACTTGTTGAATGCGCGATCTATAACTATGTTAATCAATAATTACTTTGGTAATGTGTAATAGTTAGCTTACTCGCTGCTGAAGTATCGACAGCCGGTGGTGCAGCGCGGGCGAATCCGCCGAAGACATTTGTCTTGAAAGTAGACAGCGCGCCGCCAAGTAGATCTGGCATAGGAGGAGGCGCTGTTTTGAGAGTTAGAGGCTGTGCTTACAGCGGACAAAATTATTTATAAAAAGAAAATCACGAACGTTCTGTTGCTGCGGGTGCGCTACCACAAACATGATCTCCCATCATTGAAATCTCTACCTGATTCCCGCAGTTCGAGCATTTTATTGTCGGCATAAAAGCCGACTGCCGTGTTGCTTCTGCCATCATTAAAAGTGTGTAGCAATTCCTTCTCTTATTTTTCTGCCTTTCGTCATTCGGCACCAAGATCGTTGGTACCGCGCATCAGCAATCCTTCGCCTAATTCGTATTCGATCGGAGCTCTAAATTATTGTAGATTGTAATGATAAAAACTGATTGGAGACTGTTTGCCAGTCTCGACGGCACCAATACGATTTTACACGCAGGTGAAAGAAAAAAGATCGATTAATTCGTTACGTTGAATGGCGTGCAGGAACTCGAAAACTGAAAAACTCCACAGCCCCGACTGCAAGTATTACTGTTCCCGGCAGGTATAGCGGGCGTTCGTTGGTACAGACGGTATGTGATCGTGTGCTCTGCGATAGGCTGGATGCAGTGTCGTCGCGGGGGAGTGGACGCTGGATGGGCCTTCGCTTCGAGGATTGTCGAAGGTTAGAACGAACAATTGGTCAAGAAAGAAACAAGATCTGAAGGAGGTTTCAAGAGAGCTTGTGGTCCATAAAGGTCGGTGAGGAGGTCTCTTAGACGTTGCGGCCTGTGTCTCGAAAGAGTGGATGTTTAATACCATCCCCTGTCGCTGAACCCCTGGCTACGCTATGCACGGGCTGTCCACTCTTCAAGCCACCACCCATGACAGGAGCCCTTGTTCCCTGTATTCCCTGTCTTGCTTGGCAGTAATAACTTAAAAGAGTTATGGGTATGGCGATAGGGATCTTTTCTCTCCTGTACTCAGACCTTCATACCCGAAGGCTTCCGGAGATTTCTTAACTCGATTCTAGATGGCTTCTAGGAAATTTAAATATTAATATAGTATCGAAGGAGATATCGTAATTGAAAAGGAGCTAGAGCCTCCTTTCACTTACATGATACTCTTCCTTCGTGTTAAAAGTAAAGGTGGACGTGTATGAAGGAGGAATCAGGAACAAACTCGGGTTCAAAGAATGATGATTTTCGCGGCTGTTGACCTAATACGGTAACCACTTTACATATTCTGAGGAGAAACCGATGATGAAGTCACTACTAGTTGTTCATATGATGAGTAAAAAAAGACTTGGTGGGATGAATGGATTCAGTTCATGTAATTGCGATTGTAACTAAAGAGTTGTAATTGTTTAGTTTTACGCCACCCCTTCAAACCAAATTGTAAACTTCTGACTTCCTACCTAGGTACGATCATAAGAGATAGATAGAGTTACCCCAGATGTTTAACCCTCCTCGTATGTATGTAAGCGGCTACTTCCATTTCTCTTGGTATTATCGCAACTTTCATACCCGTTTCTACACTTATTTCTCGTATAGGTGTACACATCTTCAAATTAGGTGTCGTTCATAGCCTATATAGATTCAATGTTCGTATTACATACCTACTAATATGTACCTACATTTTTAGCATGTTTAGCCGCCTCGTGCGCTGAGAAAAAAGAAAAAGAAAATAAAAATATTTAATGAAGAACGCCACAAAGTTCGGTGATCCTATTTAGGACAAAGGGCAGACCGAAACAGTAGGCTCGAATAGGTACTTACTTAAGTTAACCGTACCTAGTTGGCACGTTGGCAGGAGCTAAGAGCTGTACTGTTTCGCTGACTTTAGCAACGATAAGAGCTATGTAACACTAATAAAGCTGCACGATCGACCTTCCTTACAGCGCTAGCAACCGCTAAGCTTATCTAGTATAGCGCAATTTTCCTAGACAGGCCTGGCTCGGCCTGAACGGGTACCTTGCAGGACAGATGAGTGCGGTGATTTGACAATCCGATTACCCCTGGATCCACTTAGTTATGCTGCTAGAAATATGGGACAAATACGGAGTAACCCAGATAGTTAGAAGCCAGGGTCTCTTCCATCTGCGGAGACTCTTCTCAGAGTAGTTTTTATTTCCAAAATCGAATTAAATTCCTCCACATTCTCTCCCCCTTTCTATGCTGTCTGGTCTTGGGATCTTTTGGAAAATTCATGGGATATCCTATAGTAATCGACTGATTAGCTGTCCTTTGGATTTAACCATATTCGATTTTACTCTTATTCTCATCAATCTGAATAGACCCGATGTGACCATGGACGGTAATGCCATAATTAGCCAATCAACCCCAAATGAACCAGATTGAAATCCTAGGAGTGTAACTACAGTCAAGGTAGTTTAAGTGAATGCAGGTTGGTGGTTGTCATGGGATACCAGGTTTTCTTGCTAGACCAGTTTCTGTTTTCTATTCCTCTCATTACAATCTTGTTTGCCAAATTTGGCCTCTACCCTGATTATCGTGATAGGCCGGTTGTCAGATTGCACGTCATCTCTGCATCTCATTACCTTTCTAAGCGATCATGCCCATTGAACAGCAGCTAACCGCCGCTATCACGGATCGGGTACCCCAGATACGAAATATCACGGACCCCAAGTAATTTGACTAAGAAGCGACCCCTATGATCTATCGTTCTAGCGCTAGTTAATCTTGCGCATGTTTCGGCACACCGTCAACAACCTAGCGCCCTCTATTGACATTGGGGTTTTCAACAGTCACCGTAGTATGCATTATACACGTGTTGGCGTAAAACTGCACTATAATTCTTCGCATACACGGGACCCATCGAAATATGAAGCATTCGACAGTTCGGCAAGACACTTATCCATGTTATGCCGTACTTTCGGCCCTATGCGGCATCGATTGCTGCCGAAGACCCCTGTTATGCCAAACCCACGCCATTACATGATCTGCTTTAGTTTAGGTCACTTGACGATGACCGACGCCTAAGAAGATTAATGCCAGTAGCTCGATGGACGAATGGGATAATAAATTGCGACTGTCGCCAATGTTTACCTAGAGATGTCGACAAAGATCAAGTCTAATAGGTATAGAAAAATCCCGGCGACTAATGAGACTCTTCAAAACTTCCGACATTAAGCGTACTGAAATTGGGTGCTGTCCAATAACCATTGGGTATCGCCTTAGGGCGTCTGGCGTTACTTGACACTTCTTTCAGCCCCTGATGGGTTCGGGGTAGATGACCCATGAGTTCGGACCCAATGATATCTCGCATGTTTGTCGTCGCAACGGATGCTATGACTGGCGCAAGGGAGCTGAAAATGGGATATCGTGACGTGAAAATTCTAGACCTACATACATATGTACGTGATGCTTACTTGCCTTTGACTAAATCTTGGAGGGCATACATATCGATAAGGCAGGCCTTACGAACTCATGGCCTGTTCTCATTCCGAGTCACCCCCCTGGCTTCCGGAAATGAGGCTCAATATAGTAAGTTGTTGGCAGCGTCGCAAGGTGGGCCCCTTAAACTTATGTAACGTAGCGATTAATGGTGTTTTTAGAATGTGGCTTTCCTTACAAGATATACTCGTATTCATAGACCCGTTAAGATCGGACAGGAATTGTGGAAGCCACATAAGAAAAAAAAGCCATGTCTTGCGGAGAGGCTTGTAAGATTCAATATCTTGGCCAGTATGTGGTAAAATGCCGACGGCTTTGCGCTGCACAGACTCTCTGGAGTCCCCTGGCTTTCGCCCTTGTCATAGATCTCCAGTCTGTGCCCCAGCAGCCAATAGGAGTATTTCAGCACATCACCCCTTTCCGTAATAAAATTGGCCGCACATTTTACTTCACATGATTTATTTCGCCTGTTGTGTGCCTTAATGTGTTTGTATTAGATCTAGATTACACCCACGTAAGCTGATTCATTAATATGCGAATTTCATCACCAACATTGTTAAAATAGCATTGACACCTTTATCTACATGGTACTCGCACGAACAACTCTCTTGCTTTTGCTTTCAGCTCACAGACTCTTCATCCGAAACAACGGACTAAGTTTTAGGAGATAAAGAAACTCCGTGGAATAATATTCAGCGATCGTAGTCACGATGTACTTAATGATGGTGGGAATAATGTCTCGAAATGTAAGACAAGTGACGTAGAAAATCAGGAACAATAATCTAAGACGATAAGACGGGATCACTCGCACAATGATACAGTATTTCCTTGCATACGCCATATAGATAATAGATAGAAACCTAGGCTATATGTAAAGAAGAAGAAAATGAGGGAATATGGTCTCAACAGAAGTTTGTTCTAAACCGACATCGCTGAAGCTTCCACATATCTGTGAGCTAGAAACTCCCTAATCGAGCCCTAACTCGCCAAGTCTTGACACCGATATTGACCCCATTGACCAATCATACCCTTCTTTACCCCGCTATGAGTTCGGCAAGGGTCGTTGGGACCCCCATGGCGGGGAGCACACGACATCGAAACTACAACATTGTCCAACGACCGTAACGACCGATATCGTGAACCATCTCTCAATGCTGTTAGCTGCCTGTTCTACTTCTAATCGTGCCATTTCTAGCTGTTTCTGCATGTGTTGTCTATCTTAGTCCACCACGTAGCGCAGTAGTGGATCGTTTGGTATCCGCCATATCCGTTGAATCCCACATTTATAAACTTGACCTACTGCCCCTCGAGTGTCTTTGTCGCTTGCTTGCTCTCTAAACCTTCTGGCCGAATTATGACAATTGAATAAATCTAAATTTACATATATATCTAGCACTCATAAGAATATCTTGTTTCCAGAGCTACGTAGCAGTAGTTCTCTTTGATTCTTTTCCTAACCAAACTTCTTGACAGGACGATCGCGCTTCCGAGCTGCGATCACCCCACACAGTCAAGACGTTTTCCAATCTTCTAAACTCGTACGCATTTCCTCGACTCTGAATATATCGTTTAAATTGAATTCTAACTTGCTATGTAGCGTCCATCATCCGTACGCAGGAGCCCGCTGCTCTGCCTCCCCCGGAAGCGCAGCGGACTCACCCTTTACTCAATAAAGGGTGTTCAAATCGCGGAACACAAATACTACTATCTAGTATAGTACGAAAGACCAGCGCAAAATGGCACCACACGCCGCGTACGGAAACGGACAATCCAATGGCAACGGCCACGCCACCACATCATCCAACAACAACCTTTTCGCAGTTAGCTCCCCTAACGTAGTGTATACCGACAACGAAATCCGGTCCAAGTATACTTACCGAACCACCAGCGTTACGCAAGATGCTGCTGGCAAATATGTCGCTACTCCTAAGGAGACCGTATATGACTTCAAGGTCGACCGCAAGATTCCTAAAGTTGGTGTGATGCTCGTAGGTTGGGGTGGAAACAACGGTACCACTGTAACCGCCGGTATCATTGCCAATCGCCGTGGGCTCGTTTGGGAGACTCGCGAGGGCCCCCGTGCCGCCAACTACTACGGCTCCGTTATCATGGGATCTACCATGAAGCTCGGCACCGACCCCAATACCATGAAGGAGATTAACATTCCATTCCACGATGTCCTTCCCATGGTTCACCCTAACGACCTTGTAATTGGCGGTTGGGATATCAGCAGCATGAACCTCGCGGATGCTATGGATCGCGCGGCTGTGCTCGAGCCTACCTTGAAGGCACAAGTCAAGAAGGAGATGACCCAGATGGTCCCTCTTCCAAGTATTTACTATCCCGACTTCATCGCCGCCAACCAGGAAGACCGCGCCGATAACCTCATCCCTGGAAGCAAGGCTTCTAATGCCCATGTTGAAAAGATTCGCCAGGATATTCGGTAAGTTCAAATTGCGCACACGTTTTTCGTATTTTATTAATCATGAAAAAGCGACTTCAAGCAGCAGAATGGCCTCGACAAGGTTATTGTGCAGTGGACCGCTAACACCGAGCGCTACGCCGATATTATCCCCGGCGTCAATGACACCGCCGACAACTTGCTTCAGGCTATTGAGCAAGGCCACGAGGAAGTTTCCCCATCTACCGTTTTCGCAGTTGCCTGTATCCTAGAGAAGACCCCTTTTATCAACGGTTCTCCTCAGAATACTTTCGTCCCGGGTGCCGTTGAACTAGCTGAGAAGCACTCCGCTTTCATTGGCGGCGATGACTTTAAGTCCGGACAGACCAAGATGAAGTCTGCATTGGTCGACTTCTTGATCAACGCTGGTATCAAGTTGACTTCCATCGCCAGTTACAACCACCTCGGTAACAACGATGGCAAGAACCTAAGCTCCCAGAAGCAGTTCCGCTCCAAGGAGATCTCCAAGAGCAACGTCGTTGACGATATGGTCGAGGCCAATACCGTCCTCTACAAGAAGGGCGAGCACCCCGATCACACCGTCGTCATTAAGTATATGCCGGCCGTTGGAGACAACAAGCGTGCTCTGGACGAGTACTACGCTGAGATTTTCCTTGGTGGACACCAGACTATCTCGTAAGTTGATTTCCTGATAATCAATCGCATTTTTTATCCCTAGCGATTCTTAACTAATCTTGCACCGCACAGGCTTTTCAACGTGTGCGAGGACTCACTCCTTGCATCCCCATTGATCATTGACCTCGTGCTTGTAACCGAGATGATGACCCGCATCCAGTGGAAGTTGCAATCGGCCAGCGAATTCAAGGGCTTCCACAGCGTCCTTAGCATCCTAAGCTACATGCTCAAGGCGCCCTTGACTCCTCCCGGAACACCCGTTGTTAACGCCCTTGCGAAGCAGCGTGGTGCTTTGACCAACATCTTCCGTGCATGTGTTGGTTTGGAGCCTGAGTCTGATATGACGCTCGAGCACAAGTTGTTCTGAGAAGTTTATACTCGCTCTACGGCGGATATGCTATAGGATCCTTGTTATAATTAGGACCTAGATAACGCACTTCTACTTCTAGTCGGTCATTACTGTCGATCAATGGGTTCGAGACTCGCGCGGAGATAGCTCAACGGTACACTTATCATAGGATCTCAACATCCTAGAATTATTATCATGAATTGAATCAATTATCAATTTCCAATGCTATGTAATATCCCCGTGATTAAATACTAACGCCATCGCCCAATTGGCGAAGATGTGTGTATGTGTAATAGCTTGTAAATGCAGCAAACCTGGCAAATCGCTAGAAGCCTCCCTTTTTATTCGAACGGTGGTATATCCAACCTTTCCCGGACGCCATTGCAATGCTCGCTAGGTGCTATGAAAAGGACCACCTATTTATTATTTATCATGTCTCATAACCATGTCCGACTCGAGCTCAACCGTTTATAATGATCCCAATTCTTCCCCCTCATCGACGCGCTATTTGGCAACAACTCCGATCCACTCGCCATACTCAATCGCGTATTCGGCCTCGTTCCATCCCAACCCCCTTCTTCAAAGAAGTAATGGTTCGCGGCTGCGGAATAGCTTACGTGCCACGGTACCACCATCTCCGGCGCATCGGGTCCGTGGCCACAGCTTCCTGCGAGGGCGGTGCTGGGGGGCGAGTTCACGGCAACGGCAAATAGGTTCTGCGGTTCGGTGTAATCGCTTACGAGGCCTGGGCGTAGGAATAGGAGAAGGTAGATTAGACACGCGACGTTGACGACGAAGACGAGACCTAAGACGGGGTAGAATACGGCTTGCCACGCGGCGGTGTGCGAGGATGTGTATTCTTGCGTGCGTAAAGAGGCCTTGAACCCTTCGTATTGACCTGGGTCTAACTCCATCTTTGGATAATCCCAGGTAACGCGATACGTCGAGCTTAGCGAGCTAGCGACTAGAGTTGAGGAGGACAGGACGGCGAGGGCTTCAGCCATGGATGGAAGGAGTGGGTTTAGGGATGGGGATTGTAGGATTAAGTTCGTCATGATGCGTGCGTTGCTCGCGTTGTTGTTTTGGACACCGCCGTTTAAATCCATGGATAAGCGCCATTGATCCGCTAGGTTGCGCCAGTCGACTGAAGGATCTGGAGGGGAGTGCACATCGTCGTTACCGGATGCTGCTGCATATGAATTTGTGTCGTCGGGGTCCTCACAATGCGCACGCATATGTCCGCCAGAGATACCCGAGAGATCGAATTCGGTTGAGCAGTTGGTTGATACCCAGGAGCGCAGCTGACAGAGTGCATAGTCTTCGATATCCGATTTCGCTAAGATATAGATCGAGTCGGAGCCAGCGACCGAAGTGTTAGTTATCATGTTGAAGTCCAATGGATACTATTTAGTTATTAGTTCATAGAGCTCAAGTGAATGGCTGTGAAGAATGGGGGGTGGTGGTTCTTACTAGTTGGAAAACAGGCGGCCGACGATGGTATTTTGGCCCCCACTGAAATACATCATCAACCGCAGTCCTGTTAAGCCATTCATCGTCATTCGGGGGCGGCACGTCGTTAAACCAGTCATCTACACCGATGAGTTGCCCGGGGACGTCGGTATTCTCTGTGCGGGCGTTACGCCAAGTGGTGTATACGAGCGGTGCTAGCTCATCGGGGGCCATATTCACACACATAACGTTGACGGTTGGTGACACAACACTCGCGCGGATCGAATATTCGCCAACGCCAGCGAGATCATCGGGTTGTAAGATGTTGTTACGCGGATCAGTTGCTGCCGAGTAGACGCCAGGATGGGGTATCGCAAGAGTGACGTTATTAATAACTCTGTTATGTTCAGCAAACGCAGTTTGCGGGCTTCCCAGGTCAGTCTGAACCCAAGTTGACACCAACGTTGTGTTGTCGAATAAATTATGCTTCCCCACGGGCCTTCCGCTCAAATAGTCGATCGTGGATGTCCCCTCGTCGTGAATATTTTGCCATTCCCCCATAAAAGTTAGTAGATTGTGGTAGGACTGACCCGAGTATTGGACATCGAGACATGAAGGTGCTGCGTTTTTCGGGTCCATTGTTTGGTCGATCGGCGTCGAGCAAGCCTTTTGAGCATAGAAGGGGTTGGCGTACGAGGCCTTTACGAGGCCATCCAGCTCCTTAAACTCCCAACCCCCAAACTTAAGCTTTGGGCTCACCATCGATTCGGATGCCGTGGTGTACAACAAGGCGCAAATAGTAGCGATTAACGTTAGAACGCCTAAGACAGTTGAGGCGGCAGAAGGAATTCCTTCCCAGTATGTAAGCAAGGAACCCGGTTGCTAGATGTATCATCAGTATCTTGTCAATACCAAAAGATAGCCTAAAGTAAACCGTCGTTATGGTTTACTATGCAATTTACTTACAATGACCCAATTCCGCATCGTCATCTCGGCGAGGGTTACACCCTTAGCTTTTTTAACGAAAGCCCTGCGTGTTAACACCTGGCCGAGAAAAGCGACGAAGACCGTTACAAAAGACAATTCAATGGTCTTGGCAATCAATGTGCATAGAAGTGTCGCCGTTGAAGGCGCCATCTTCCATCCATCGCTAGACGATATACCTCGTCCATATCGTGGTTGGTAGATAGAAACTACAAACCACAGTCCACTAAGAAGGGTGGAGTATATTGACAAAAAAGCTAGAACAACAAATGTCCAGCTCCAGCGTTTGATGTATACGTCCCGCTTTGCGTGACAATCTAAGGGTGGACGTTCTAAGAATTTCAATTAGTGCAAGACCATAGCAGAAATAATGGACAGGGTGAAGTGTACCGTATCGCGCGGCCAATTCGTCAATGCTAATGTCGTCTTCGTCTTCTGGGCTACTACACCGTTCCCCTGCAACTTGGCGCGGCGAGTCAACTGAGTCCATTGGATAACTTTCCGATTCGTGATACATCGGTCCGGTCTGTTGTTCCTCCTCTTCAATTGTGCTGTAATTTTTCGTATTGGGCGACGAGGGCCCGTTCTTATTGCCGGGTAACGATGCGGATAAGGAACGGCCTAGCATCTCTTTAAATTTCGTTTTTCGCATGATACTCTTTTTTGGCTGTGTATGATGACCAGCAGTTATAGTTACTTCAGTCCTAGGTTGCGCGCCGTAACTTGGCGGTCTTAGCATATATTCTTCGTCCTGCTGTTGAATTCCCGCGTTTGTTGATGAGCTAAAAGGCCGTAGAAGCTTGGGCCTCGTGACTTGGTGTTCAGCAGTATGAGAGGGATTCTTCTCCTTTGGATTATCAGGTGGGGGCTGAGCGTCTGACTGGGCGAAGTTCAGTTCATTCTCATCAATTTTCTCATGATTACGCCAAGGCGAGAAAGTAGAGGGTAAAAAATAGAGCTCCTCGTTCGTTAAATTTTCAGCTGACGGCTGGATATTTTTCTCCATGGCCACCTAGGCGTCTGTGCAGTATCTACCTAGGTAGGTCCTTTTCCGGCTCGCGCTATCGGGAAGTAAAAGCTCGGTAACCCTAAAGCAGAGACACGGGACGAAATAACAAACATGACAGTAGAGTGTAACTACTTAAAGCAGCAAAGCGATTGGGCGCGCCTCTCACCTTTTGGCTGCTTTTCTTGACTATAAAACAGCCACCGAGCGGGATCAGCGATGGATAAAAGAGTCCGGTGGAGAAACAGGATCCTGACTAGGGTGTGGCAGCGCAGGCATATGTAAAAGAGATAGGGTATGCTGATGCTGCTAATAACATACCTAGTTACTCCAAGATACGGTAGCGTTGGTGATCTTTTACAACCTGAAAGGATAGCAAGGGCTAGGGCATGTCATAATACTGAATACTTGTTTGATTCGTATATATTGACTTATAGGAACTGGCGTGATTCTATATCTGTTTCTTTAAGAAGTGACTTGCCAAATTTAGATTACCTATACGTACCTACCTGGGTAGTTATTTCATATAAGTTGTTGCTTGTTGCCTCAGCTGCTTGCATCGGCTTGCTAATGTGGCCTCTCAAAGAAAGGCACCTAGTCGTGCACGGGCGTGAGCTAGGTAGCTGCGCTAGCTTCCCACATCCCTACGGATTCGATTCCATTGCTTTAATGTTGGTTACTAACTTATCAGCATAATAGCGGCGTAGGAGGCGTATCTTTAATATTTTGATCTTGCAGAGATGAGATTGCTGATATTCTACTCTACGAATGACGGCAATCCAAGATATTCCTATGTGATTAATACTTGTTATAAAAACACAGAAGAAATACAGTATCCTATTCTTGCTACACAGATAGGTTACTTGCTTATCTTTCGCCTACTTATTCCCGGAAGTATGTAAAAAAGTCCATTAAAACCGAATCTGGACTAACAGAAGCAAGCAAGGATCAGCAGCGTGGAGATAGATGCATGGAAGAAAGGAAATTATCCACATGTTATACACAGCCACTAAATAAGGGATACATACACTTGGATGGTTCGTCTGTTAGTGCAAGTTCTAAAAACAGAATACTACTTTGTAATGTGAGCCTCATGGCATTCTTTTTTTGACAACCCATATAGCCATGTGTTTTTCCTCGTAGATGGCGGGCCAATGAGTGGTAGGTCCCATGAATCCTAACAAACTGAGATGGGACGAGAGAACAAATCCTTCCGCACGTTGTAACAAGATCGGTGATTTGAATGACTAAATAGTGAATCATTGCTTATCCAAATCTGGTTATCAAAACAGCCACAACTAATATGTGGCTTTACGTTAATGCAAGATTTCGGGTCCGAATATATGAGGTGGCTGGGTCTTCAAGATCTATGTATCTTTAGAGATACTTATTTAATCCATGATCCACAACGCCCGCCGCGAAAAGGCCTTTACCACGAACTCAAAGGATTTCACTAAACAGCGATCTAATATTGCGGTGAAGGAAATCCATGTAGAGTTTCTCTAGCGGTTATAGGTAGGGACAGCATGAAGTAAGCATCCCCTTGCCGAAGGATTGATTCCGTGGTGTGTAAGCAAGGATTACATAACACGATCCCTGAGATCATCGTTACACCAACGTCGCTGTCACACAACATGTCAGAACTCGACTTTTTCTTTTTTTCTTTTTAAGCACAGACATGACCTCATTGATTGGAAGATTGGGACAAATTTGATGAAGGTTTAGGTACCTAGGTAGGTAACGCCCACATCTGGTTTCATACACAATGTTTATCGATTCAGCCTTTGTCGCTTCGGCCATCCTCTAAGCTTATTCACGATTAATTATATCAAGAAACATAACATAGGACGATATGAAACTTCACGATTTGGCGCCCTGCTCGTAAGCTATCGAGGCTAGCTTGAATTCTCGCATTTTCCACAGGCAACTCATGCCATTATGTGCCAAACGCCGTTTGGGACTTGGGGTGGGAGATCCCGTCGTATCCGTCGGATTGACTGGTTGTGGCGTCTAAACATAGTGAAAGCAAACGATAGAGAGCACCGGAAAACCCACTAGGAGTCGAGACTGGACCTCGATTTAATCATTAATCCGGTACCCATCGCTTAAAATCTAGGTCCGCTTCGGACGCGAAAACACCAAACCGACGAGATGGTGGGTTCTACTATGTCGTTTTACGATCTTCTACAACTGAAGGGATTTCAGGGCCTTAGAACAAGTATCAGATTAGGTATAAATTAAGCATCTTACTCTATAGCCTCTACTATTCTAGAGTCTAGTTCTAAAAGTCGCCTCTTTTCCGCGACCGACGAATCGTACATCAGCGAACCATACTTTACAAAGCAAGAAGCAGGGTGCGTAGAAAGACAACAAGGTATCCCGGAGGCGAGAATTCAATGGCTTATCCAACCTTTATTCGCACGACCAGCATCCAACAGTAGAAGTAGAATTAGCGCATGTCGTTCGGAAGGTCGCTTTCTTGGGATATGGACACAGGATTTCGTCCCTCGTTACGTTGGCGGGCTGTTGGATTTTGACGGGGCTGGCTTCAGGTGCCGTTCCGTTCTCAACCCACAACCGTAGCTGGCTGAACAGAGCTTCGGGCTGGCCCCCATTACCTCCCCAACAATGCTCTAGCCCCGGTACACGATAATAGCGATAGAACTCGGTGATGTTTTGTAACGTTCTCGATGCTTCTTTATAGTAATGGAGAGTACCGCGTGGTGTAATAGACGGATCCGCCTTTCTAGGATTAGTATAAAATAATTTGTGGATATGCACTAAACGACTTACAAGTCCGTGGTATGTAATCATTTTACCTCCAGATTCGCGGAAGTCAATGATATTGGACTCTGTGGCCGCCATAGAGGAACTGAAAGCTCGCTTCAGGGAACGGTACATTGAATCAAATTGACTATGGGTAAGCTTCGTAACGTTCGCAGAGAAGTCTTTTAAGACGAAGGTTTGGTAAATGTAAAACGGCATATCTTGAGTAGCAGGAGCACAGACGTGGTCCTCGGTGCAAATTGTTGAGGCAACTGTCGATAAGTCGGATCCAATTTCGAACCCGTACCACATAAATTCACCATTAGAATATGTCGGTCCGTCCCACATGGCCTCGGCGACGGATACGGCGGTAGAGCTAAGTTCCATGTTTTGGCCAGTATTCGAACAATTGAAGACTGTTCCAATATAGTCTTTTGGGGAAAACACTCGTCGGCATTCCTCCGGTTCCGCGATGAGTCCGTCCCTAACACCATCAAGTTCATCACAAGCAGCGACCGCAAGGGTTGTTATTCGCGTCAATTCACATCCGTACGGATACTGTCCGGTAAGGTCCATGTAGAACACTGGCCATGAAGTAGCCATCAATAATTCGGCCCAGTAGAGTGCAGGCGCTGCTGCAATGATTCCATCGTATGCCGTGGGATATTGCTGAGCCAAAACACTAGCTTGTCGACCCCCGTTAGAACAACCATTCCAATAAGAGTACGATGGCCCTCGCCCGTAATAGCGCTGAATGACATCTTTAGCAACGGCAGCCTATTTCATTATCAGAATTAGCATGGTCGCTTTGTGAACCTTATATATGCCATGTGCTTACAGCGTCATTCAGGGATGCGTGTCCTAGGTTGTCCAATGAAACCAAATCCAGATTTCCAGGACTTAGAACAGCCCATGTGGGAAAAGAAGCATCCGGAACACCAGCATCTGTCGTGACGGTGGCGTAACCATCATGAATAGCGCCGGCCATCCCGCCGTACGTAAGTGCGAAACGACCTGCCACCCAACCTCCACCGCCCAGTGCCTGCAATCTGCCGTTCCAGTCGTCGGCCGTGGGTAACCACGTTTCTATACTTATGGTGTCATTCTTTCCCGGGTGGGTGTAGGTAACTGTGACATTACAGAAACCTGCGTCCTGCACGTTGACTGCGGGCTGGGAATATCGCCATCCTGTTGGAACATCGAAATTATAATTGGTGACAGGGTTGGCATCTACCGAGAGGATTTCGGCGCCGAAGAGAGTGAGGGTCGAGAAGGTCGACGTCGTACACGAATGATTGGCTAGGAGTGAAGCCATTTTTATGGTGGTGGACTGTATGGCCTCGTACGATCACGATAATCTTGCCTTACGCATATTGCTTATAGGATGTTGCATTTCAGAATACCGGTTTTATATAACGGTCAAATCGAGGTACCCTTGGAAAGGATAACTTGATTTTCTAACCAGCATCTCGGTAATGACGACATCTGAATATTCATGCTCAGTAGTCGCGGGTCACTCCTTCAAGTCGCTCCACTGCGATACTTGGTGATGGGAGCTTTATATGCTGGAACAAGGCAAAGACAGCCTTTTGAAATGGCCGCCATAACGGCGAGCGAATGAAGATAAATGCGTATAAGATACGAAAATCATCTAGCCGTCGTGGACCGGTCTCGAGCTAGACGAAGTGATGGGTCCACCTGGACCCGATGCGAAAAAACGTGAGAAGGCCTACCTAGGTGGATCACTCCAATGCGCCTCAACTAACACATTATTGTGACTCTACTTCGCATCGCAAAATTATCATCCAGCCGTATTTTCGAAATGAAATATTATTCGAACGACCAAGCTCCCCATTGCTAGATGTTTTTATGTTAAAGGACAAGTTCAGGGTAATATATAATCGGGGGCTCATTAAGGACTCCAAGAAGCCGGCCAATGAAGCCCCCAACTTTTCATATGGATCAAGCGATTTCCACAATTCAATTGGTATCGATAATTTTCGTATCAGTTACGAAAAAGAACCCTGATGGACCCACGCTACGGTTGCATCCACCCATGAATGAACGGCTTGCCCCGGACGGCTACCTCTAGATGCCCTCAAAGCGCCAAACAAGGGGCCAAACGAGCGCTATATGATGTCAGTAGCGTAATCCAGCTCCATTCATTCTTTTTCGAATTAAGTACGAAAATTCATCTGCATTGCTTGCATGATGGAATGCATCCAGTCCTCGAAATCCGCTCTTCACAAACACGATGAGTGATCTCTTGTCTTACGGTCTTAGCGATCATCGCCGGACGCGAAGGACCCATAAGAAGTCGCGAAATGGATGCCGTAACTGTAAGCAGAGAAGGGTCAAGGTAAGGGAATTCTCTATTAATAGCCTCTATATCCTACAGATGGGCACCGATTGATTGGTGAAACCAGTGCGATGAAGTCAAGCCTACTTGTGGCAACTGCGAACGATTCTCTATTCCTTGCGACACTACACCTATTTCGGCTGTTAGTGATCGATGTGAAGCCTTAGCCAATGTCCCGGTACCGACAGCTCGGAAGCGAGGAAGGCCACGTAAAGATTGGTCCGCTCTCACGAGGAATCCCGATGTTGACGGACAAGCCCCTGAAGCCTCCGAAACAGCCGTATCTAGCCCTGCCTCGTCGATTAGGGAGGATATTACCTCCCAAAACCTATCATATGACGACCTAGAACTACTGCACCATTATATGAGTCATCAAGACTTCAGTCAGGGAAACACACTATTATGGCAGCAAAAAGTACCCCGCTTAGCTTTCGCCCACCACTGCGTTCTCCATCTGTTGTTGGCTGCTTCGGCATTCCATCTATTGAGAGCAGAACCCGATCGAGCAGAACGGCTTGAGAGACTTGCAGATAAACATCTCTCTATTGGGGTCCGTCAGGCCACGGGAATCTTCCCGGAGCTTAGCAGAGATAATTGTTCTGTGCTTTACGTCGCCGCCTCTCTCGCCTGCTGTTGTGGTTTTGCTAAGAAACCCGGGCCCCGAAATCTTTTAGTTATAGCAGATGGGAATGAAGTGTCCTGGCTAGACCTACTTAGAGGTGTACGGCTCATCATCGAAACGATTGGTTTCGAGCACGTTTTCACAGGAATTCTAGGTCCGGATCCGCCACCACCATATGGCGAGCGGCTTCCCCCAGATAGCCTCCTACTCGAGTATGCGGACTGGGAAGCGCCCCTACAAAAGGTCGCGACACTCATTCCCACCACGGCCCCGACGAAGGATCTATATGAAAGTACATTCCATGATTTATCATGGTGCTTTCAAGAGACTTATGGGACATCCGATTCACATAAAGATGCTATCATCGGCCAGTTCCAGGTCGTCATTAGATGGCTGTATGCCCTAGATGACGGTTTCGTAACGTGTCTACGCGAAAGTCAACCAATAGCCCTTATAATCTTGGCATATTTTTCTGTATTACTCAGTACTCTCGAGTACTGTTGGTTTGTGCGAGGATGGGCTACTCATGTCATTCGAGGTATTGCGGATATTCTAGGCTCAGAATATGAACTGTGGCTGCAGTGGCCAAGGGAACAGATCGAGAAAACGCTCAAAGTTACCAGACCGGATTTAGATGCATCGAGCTAAGTAACGAGATAACTTCCGAGTTTGTTAGCTGGAACTTAATGAACGGCGATTGATTTGAAAACATTGAATAGGACAGTATTGCTTGGGGAGATTTGTTCTTCGTGATGCTATTTGACAAACGCTTGGTGCGCTTGGCCTGTAGATACTTAGGTACGTGTATGGGTCCACTACACCATTGCTTTGAAGACTTGCTGACATTTGCCTCTAGTTAAAAGGGCAAGTTCTCGCGTATATAGATCGTCAGTGTATGCGGGTTCAATGCATTTTGGAGATACTCCGACCGGAGATTCGCCTAACGAAGACGCTCCTAGAAGTTCCTGATATGTTCGCGATCGGTAGATTCATCTATAACACCCACCGCACCACTGCATAAAATGCCGCGGTTTCACCATCCGCTGATCCGGGTCGAAACGGCCCTTAACCTAATGCCAAAATGTCAAATCTATGCGAGACTAACTAAAAATGTAGTAGCTGAAGTTCGACAGGCTGAGGTCTTGATATACAGCCCTGTCGTTTGAGCTAGCTGAAAGAAGTCTCCATGAAATTTCAATATGTAAACAATCTAGTAGCTGCAACATATAAAGAGCAGTACCATGGGGAGGGAAACGGGGGCATTGCGGGATGTTGCGGGGGATTCGACTATTTCTTCCGGACTTTTTCTCGAACGGCCTCGATCATGGAGAAATGGGACGTGGCAATGATACCCTGTTAACCAATAAGGGGATATTTATCTGACCATGTCCCTAGAGTTCCGAGCTCTTTATTTGCTGTGCCTTACGGTTGGGTCCTTTACCAGGAAGTTTGCAATCAGGCCTACCGGCTAAATTGGAAAACGGCTATAGCTACTCGTGATCTCTTATGATTTGTGCGCAATTCAGGTATAAGCTGATATTGCCTTATTAACCGCCGAATCCCACTGGAAGAATCGGTCCGAGCTGAAAAGTCCAGTCCATTTATATATGAGCGACGCGACATGGCCGATTCCACGGAATAGCGTCGGAGTTAGAGATTGGACCCTTTTCTCTCTTCGGATCTATCCGCGTCGACGAAGACAACATCGGAACCTTTCAATATCGCAATTCGTGAGAAAAATTCGACAAGATGGTCGGCGGCGGCGTTCAAACGGACAATATCGTCCATCGCATGGCGATGGAGGATACGGTCCCATGGTACAAAAAGAGGAATTTGCGCTATTTGTACTTCATGCTGTTCCCGTGTCTAATGGGAATTGAGATGACCTCCGGGTTCGATTCGCAGATCATCAATGCCGTCCAACTTGTTCCCGCGTGGACCAATTGTAGGTTCCCGATAAGGATCGAGCGACGCGAAGAATAAGGCTAATATGGATGGAATACAGTCTTCGGACACCCCACGGGCGGCTACAAGGGAATTCTAGCATCGGCGCTTCCTCTCGGTGCTGTCATCGGTCTTCCATTCATTCCGCTCCTCAACGACAACCTAGGCCGAAGAATATGTGTGCTTTTCGGCAGTATAGTCATGATTGTCGGGTCGTTGATTCAGGGGTTTGCCGTCAACGGTGCGTAGTGAAACGATATAGCGCGGAGCTCCAGCTGACTTCTGGTCAAGGTCCCATGTACATCGTTGCTCGACTTATCATTGGGTTCGGTCTCCCTTACGCTATCGTCGCAGGTTCTAGTTTGATCGGAGAGCTTGCGTATCCCAGGGAACGTGCCATTTTAACGTCTTTATTCAATGCGGCCTACTTCATAGGTGCCATTGTTGCCTCGGCTGTGACCTATGGAACTCAGCTTATTCCGTCGGATTGGTAAGTTTACCTCGATCGTAGCGAATCTCTATGCACTTGGTTCGAAGGCTGACAAACTCTTATCAGGTCCTGGAGGTAAAATATACCCATACAAAACGTTGAAGGAACCGATAATCTAACAATATTCTAGAGTTCCTTCTCTCCTGCAGATGTCGCCCTCGTTACTCCAAGTCGCTCTCGTATTGTAAGAACACTTGATCTACAGTTCGAGATTGCTTGTTGACATTTTCTAGTTTCTTGCCCGAAAGTCCCCGTTTCTTGATTAGCAAGGAGCGATACGAGGAAGCATTCAAGGTTTTGGTTACCTACCACGCTGAAGGCGATGAGAACTCAGAGTTCGCGAAAGCGGAAATGGCCGAGATTAAGACAACCATCGCCATCGAGTTGGAGCATTCCAAACGCTCCTGGATGGACATGATCAACACCCCAGGAAATCGAAAGCGTGTGATTATTGGTTCTCTCCTCGGAGTCATGTCGCAACTTTCCGGCAACGTGGTCATTTCATACTACTTGGGAGACATCCTGAACCTAATCGGCTTCACAGACCCTGCTTTCCAGGCCAAATACAATATTGGAAATCAATGCTTGGGTCTGGTTTGTGCTATCTTCACTGCGTTGTTGGTTATGAAATTTCGCCGTCGGACAATGTTCTTGACTTCTATTTTCGGAATATTGATCATCTATGTATCGTGGACTATTTGCTCTGCTGAGGCTATTATTGCGGGCTCAAAGGTTGCTGGAAAGTTTTGCTTATTCTGGATTTATGCCTATCAGCCGTGCTACAACATCGGTTTCAACGCCCTCACATATAGTAAGTGCTGAACAAACCACCTCCAGGAAAAATATCGTACCTAACAATAATCTTTTAGCGTATCTTGTTGAGATTTTCCCATACGCGATGAGAGCTCGCGGAATTTCGATTTTCCAGTTCTTCGGGAAAGCAGCTCAGGTAATTCCATCTGCTCCTAATGAATCGAGGCGAGATTTACTAATTGAATAATGTAGTTCTTTGGTACAAATGTTAACCCGGTCGGTCTAGACCCAGTTAACGGTATCGGTTGGAAATTTCTGATTGTGTACTGTTGTTGGATCGCCGTTGAAGCTTTCCTCATCTGGTACCTCTGGCCCGAAACCTCGGGTCGCACTCTAGAAGAACTTACCTTCTGTAGGGCCCCCAAGATGTCTCTTGATTGTAGCCGTATGCTAATAGTTACACTAGTGTTCGAGGACGAAGACCGCGCCCACGCTGCCACGGAGGCTGTCGAGAAGACAATTCACCACGACGTGAAGCATCAAGAGGAGGCCTCCGAGACTACTAGCAAAGACCAAGTTTAAACATCTTGAAGGGCCCGTACAATGCTAGAGCTCTAAATAATGCTTGTTTAGGAAACATATTAAGAGTATTGTGAGCATTATTTTCTTATAGGCGAATTTATCAGGAGCGCAGGTAGTAGTTATCGAATAAGACAATAAAAACTTCTCAATTGAAAGAAAACATTTGTATTGAAGAGAATTAAGAAATAAGAAACTCTGCTGTAAACAGTTTTCTATCTATGGAAGCACCACGTGACTTGGCGGGGTATTTGATGATATAATCATGCATACACCATCTTCTTGATATTTGCATTGTTTTGATATATGAATAACTCCTGTATATATTCTACTAGAAGTCGATACCTTCATACCGGATATAAGTATCATGTTATCCAATATTTGGCTTTTCTCTGTCAATCGTGGAGTAAATTATCAATAGTCTACTATTGATCTATAAATTCAATCTTATTACTTTATAGAGTACCTTCCTTACTTAATATGATAAAACGAACCATATTTCGTTGATAATAGCTACTTTTCAAAGTAAAACAAAAGGTAGATTCTAGTATACGAGGCGATATAGTCCTGTATATTTAGGCCACGACCAATAGGCATTCGTCATAGGAAGAGTATAGGCTCCTTGTGGAAGTTTCTTCTTTATTTAAGCCAATCAGAGTAGAGGTTTCTTGGGGGTGGGGGTATTGTTAGGGTGGTTATGTTGCACTAGTCAAGTTACACAGGAGGGTAAGGGGAGGGAAGCACCATTCGCCAATTATTTATCTCCATTAATGAGAATTCTCTTTGGTTATAGTAGGTTATAATATCGGGGATTAGTAAAGACCGAATAATATTACTTAATTTACTTAGATAGGCATCGACCTGGGAGATCATATACCAAGCTAGGTAAGTGACGTCCGTTCCGTATTGATGGTACCCGGCTAGGTGTGAATTACTCGCAAATGACGAATATTTGACTCCTCACGTGTCGTCCGAAGTGGTGGGTTTTCCCAACGATCGTGTGCGATCCCTTCCTATAGAGCGATGATCTGATACTGTTCGAAGGTATTGCCACGCGTCCTGGTAGGGCTCCCATCAGCCGCACGATAGTAGATGGTAAACAGCGTATGATATCATAATCATCTGTTTCCCCTTGTGGATGCATTAAAAGGTCATTGAGGTCATCGTAAGGAAGGGGGGGAGGAGGCGGAGGAGAGCCGACAGGTCGGTGCTACAGTTTGTATTATCTGAGCTTAGACCAAACTTCATGAAATAGTGGTTCGGAGGAAAAAACGGCATAATTACACTGGAGGATTCGTATTACGTCGAGAGTATCTATTACCTAGGTACAATTGGCTAACTCAGTGGTGTAGGGTTGATATAGTTCTGTGGAGATAGTTCCCGCTACGGCGTGTCGGGGTTCGGCCGAAGAGATAAATAGGAATGAAAAGGGTAGTTTTAGTAACTCGATGTACCTAGGTTATCTCGGAGCCAGCTCCGGGAGCATTAGGATTGCCCAGAGTCGTGCTAGACATCCAAATTTCGAAGCAACTGGCAACGACACGGTTATGACGACGTTGTTGTAAATAATGAATAGCGATGATGATGGTTGTATGTAGGGAGTATCAAGTGGAGTTGGCCTGGCATTATTGTAATTGGATCGGTATTAACGATTTGGTGTACCATAGCCCAATATATCAGTTCTTGCTATTCGTGATTATTTCTATCGAGAGGGTGATGTATTTATACGATTATTTTAACGGTAGTTATACCGTAATACTTGGAACAGTAATACGGCATCTCCGAAAAAAACATTGCTTAATATGAATGTAATGAATTGAAGAATGGAGACGAGTATAGTGATATAAAATCGTCTTGTAGTCGATAACCTAGGACATAATTGTTATGTAGGATAGTAAACACGTATGGAATACTGAGTCATCCCAATTATCTGGACAAGGCAATGGAGACATTGCACAAAGTTTTCCACCCAGCGGGAAATGTCCAGGGTGGAATATAAGGTGATATACATGGTCTCCCTGCTCAGCAGCAAGCAAAATCAGGCCTGGGGCGGGATTCAGATCCAAAATCAGCCAAAGCCCACATTCCATCTTCAGATTCAGACTTCGGAATGCCACTTTATCGTCCTACTAGGAAATTCACCGACAAGAAAGTTATTGTTACAGGAGGCGACTTTGAAATTGGCCGTGCAGTTGCGATTCTGTTTGCTATGGAAGGCGTTATTAGCTACCTCCCCCGAAAAGGGGAGGATGCATAGCACACAATAGGGCGCAAGTTGAGTGTCATGACACCAACCATATGAAGGGGTTAATAACTCTGTTGTTGCGCGAAGAGATCGCAAGTAACTGCTACGGAAGCTATCGTATACATACAAGAATGACTTCTTTGTTCTAAAGGACTCCCTTACTTCCACATCGGCGATAAGGAGTTTCTCCGATACTTCCCAGGATGTATCCCTTCGTATGGCTTTAACTACTGACATTGAGAAAAATGAGAGAAATCCATCTTAGTAAATAACGCAACCACGATAAACAAGCAAGGAGACGTTGGCGGCATCACCGAGTAAGTTGTGTCTGACTAATTCTACCTCTCTTAGTTACTAACGCCGAGACAGTGAACAGTGGTTATCTACATTCCGTACTAAAGTGGGCCCCTTTTCCATCTCACGAAGACTGCTCTGCCGCACTTGTCACATGGCGCGGCGATTATAAACAGTGCTTCCGTGGACTCATACACCGGAGCACCTAGCCGTGTAAACTACGCAGCTAGCAGGGCATTGTTGTCGCCTTCACCCGAGCACCATCTAACCAATTAGGTCCAGTCTGTAGTCCTCTTGTTGCAACTGGGATTAGTGAACAAGGAAAAAAGACTAGAGTCTCGGAAACTGGACGAAGATGAGCGAGATCGCTACGAGCTGCTTATTCCTCGCCGGTACCGAGAGCGCGTTTATGAGTGGGCAAACATTGCCCCCGAACAGAGAAATTGTCGTAAACGGCTGAGTAAGAGAACATTTCTAGGGATTCGATTTATACTACTCGGTAGTGCTTGGTGGACTCTCTTATTGATACGGCTATCGTTGTCACAAACACTCGCTTCGGGGACTCGATAGGTTGAAAATATTTGGACATTCTGATTGCTACAAATTCCAAGTTTAGCAAACCATTACACTTCCGATACTCTCCGTAGGTGAACTATCCTTTCGAAATGTCATAAAAATCATTATTCATCATCGTCGTCGCACGCCGCCCAAATTGTCATAGAACACAAGGCTCGTGGCTGATAGAAGGCGGTCGTTCGCGCAAGTTCCCCGTCTTTTCCAACCCGTGTGCGTCTCCCTCGCGATTCTTCACAAACCTCTTGGCCGCTTGCATTAAGTATTCGCTGATGGGTTCGCAACCGCATCCACCATGGAGTAAAAGTTCGTTCTTTAAGCCAATCATCTCTGATTCTAGAGAGGCTTTGTGGGCGATTAGATAGCTGTGTTGCTCGTCCATAATTCGCGCCCTTTCCTGTAGCTCGCTGTTCGCTTGTTTCTGTTTCTTTCGGCATTTAGAGGCCGCCATGCGATTTCGCTCGCGCTTGTCTAATCCCGACTCATCGCTAGTAAACTTGTTGCTTGATCGAGAGGATCGGCGACTATGTGTGTAGAAGGACCTTTCGTTCTCTTGTTTAACGTATATATCTTTCGCGTGCTTGTTTGCTGTTCGCGGTCGCGGCATGGAATTATTGCGAGGATCTGTTCTTTGGTTATGCAGGTCCATCGGCATATCGGAAGGCGTCCCGTAGCCTAGTTCTGCGAGGCCCTCTTGTCCAATGCATATGTTTGCCCCATTGGGCGTTCTCTGGTACTCTAGGGGGCCGTCTATGAATTCCATTGGTGGTGGTATTAGTGGTGGCTGAAAAGCTAATTCAGGGGCGCAATGTTGGATAGAGGACGAGTAAGTTGTTGTGTTTTCGGAAGGCTGGATCAGCTGTTCGGGGTCAATATACGATTCGGACGAGGGATCCATTCTAATAAGTACGGGTAGGTGAGGTCAGATCAATCGTAAAGGTGGGTGGAAAAGCGAAGAATGCGAAAGATGGGTCAGGAGTAGATACAATGATTTACATCTAGAAGAAGAATCGATCGGAACATTAGCAACTTTCATATATTATTCTTGGACAACTTCATTGGATATGACTTAATGAATGGATGACCGCTCGTCCTGACCAGGGTTGAGCTGGAGATTTATTCCCTTCAGGCAAGCAATACCGCAATCGTCTATGCAGGATGGCGTAAAATACAGCGATTCCGTCTACATGCAGTTATATCCTAACCTCGATGTGAGGTACCGTTATCCAGGTCTCCGGTTGGCCCGTTGATTGGATGTTGAATCTTGCATGGTTCCAACTCTTTGTTACTTGTCGAGGGGATACTTCGATGTTTGGGATCAAGTCTCGGAGCCGTTGGTATTCTAAGGTAAATACAGACAAGTCTACCTGCAAGATACCCCACCGCCAGTGTGGATTAAGTATATCAAACGTGAATGTCCAAGCGGTGGTAGTGAGATATTATGGGTCCTACCATTCGGAGCTCAGTCCGGAGCTCGACTGACCAATAATGCACCTCATTCCTTTTGCCCCTATTAACGGCCTAACCGGCAAAGTGAAAAAAATGTGATTGTGTTGCAACAGCTAAATATTAAATCTTCCCATTATCTTCTAGTGAAATAATGATGTCATTTAATGTTAATCAGGGTTTTGTCGGCTTTATTCCTTCTATGTGATTGGTAGGTATATGTTGTAAAATCTGACTCGCTTACAAGGGTCTGGTATTTCCAAGGGTGAGAAGTATCAACCTCCTCTCGCGCACAACAAATTGAATGAAGTCGTCCGTTAACGCAGGCTTTTAAGTATCATTATTCAGGGATATTTGCTCCGGACTCGCCGCGTATTCGCGTTGTTAGTGCCCTTCAGTTATACTATCACATGTACTTTTAAGAGCCAGCCATAGATCTACATTATATACGACATTTGCCATTTCATGGCTTTTCGGTAGTCGTATCTCCCTTGCCTATTGAACGGTCATTATTCCATTGGAATTCATTCTTATCGCAACTAATTTCTTTTCCGTGACTGTAATAGATTCAAGATGGTATAGGTAGTCGTTGAAAATATGACACGCGCTCTAGGCACGCAAAGCGTCTTTAACAAAATATCTTGAAAAGGCGGGAGAATAATTCCAACAAATCTTCAGGTGTGCACTAGCGAGAAGGGGGCACTGCCTCCCCCCCCCTTTGTCTTGCTTGTTCCGCATGTCGATTCGCGATCTATCGTCGATGTGATACGGTCCTTGACTCGGTTTCTGCTCCGTTGTCTAGATAAACGTTATTCGATTTCAACCGGAATTAACGCCGTTAAAAATGGTGTGATTTAAAGAGCAAAGATCTTACCGAAAGACGTTTACCCCTCGACTTATAAAACGTTACTGTTAGGCAAGTTTCTACCTAAAAACGCTGTTTGCGAAGAATCGCTCCTCCGAAAACGACAGGCTGCAAATACTCTTCGATATGAGGCACAATATGCTACAGATCGGTGGCATCGGGCCAAGATCACCGATTTCGATTTAAAGGAGATGAATACGACACTTTATAACACGCCCCGTCCTGCGTTATTACTCTTTACAGTTCATTCATTTAGAGAAATTTGGCAACCAGAAAATGCTTATCAGGCCTAAGCCTTGATAGCATGGGGCACACCTAACTAGAGACATTTATTAGTCGGAAATTTGAGTTTCATATAACATAAAACAAATTCTAGAACATTAGTTCGTCAAGTACTAACTCTATTCTGTTTAGACAAGCCGCCGCATGAATTGTGAGAGCTCGGGGTTGCATTATAGCTAGCAAACCGTCGTCTTGGCTTACTCTAGATATACCCTTACATGATGCCCCCAGCATCTGAAGTTTTATCACATGCGTTACACCTCAATCACCTAGGTAAGTTTATTCTGATGCCATCTATAGTTATCCACTCTGGCTTATACTGGATCTAAAGACCGAAGGCGAGGACGCGGGTAAATTTCTAGCGGGTTGAAACGACAAAGGACCGTAAAATAAGAGTAGCCTGTTGAAGCCGCTAGTATCCGCCATGAATGCGTTGCACAATCATGCCAGAGCATGACTATACGGTTCCCCACCTTTCCATAACGTCAAAATAACCATGCCAGGTACGTAGACGGAATCCCAAATTCTTGTTCGGAAATATCATGCTTCATATGAAAATGCCCATTGCTAATCTCATTGAATGTTACAGTTCTGAGTTGGTGTTTGATAGGTGATTTAAGGGGGGGTGCTTATATAATCAACGCAATGTAGTACAAAAAATAGGGGGGCTGATAACGCGTCTCTACCTAGGTAGGTAATGGGCATATGAGCCGACAAGATGTACGAATTTAATAACCACCTGGGCAAGTAAAATGCTTCGATTCTGTTTTCTCTAAGCTCGTACCTAGATAGATAGCTAAACAGCGGCACGAAAGGCTTCTCTATGAGATATTCGAAACGTGCTGTCATTTAGTCTGAGTTTCCCATCAATATGTCTTACCCTTCCTCTTTTCTATATGTGTAACCCCAACTACGACCCTAACCCTAACCCCAATTCATGGCGGAAATGGTAGCACAGCTCATTTTACAGAAGAATAAGTAGACTTCAGAAATTGTTTTTAGAAATAAAAAAAGTATTCGTTAATAATGTCGCTATGCTATGCCGGTTCATAACCAAAGTAAGTCCTATTATACATCCATTGTGATATTACATCCCTAGTTCCCAAATCCCACAACCAATGCTTATGCTTGACCCTTGTCTACAGGTTTCTTGCTCCTGGTATCTTTCCAACCTAGACCCAATGAAATGAAAACAGCCACGGCGGCTAACCCAGCTAGCAGGTCGAAACATCTATCCACACCGGTGGAAAAAGACAAAAGAACACCGTCAAGTTCGGGACCCCCACCCGGGACCAATGCTCGAACACCTGCGGCACTTCCACCAGCATCCAGAGCCGCCGCTGGGGAGACTGAGGGTGCATTCTTAACAATTTCTGAAGAAAGAGTAACGGTAAATATCGCGTTGCTGACAGCGAGGAAAATAGAAGCAGCGAAGTTCTGCGCCAAAACTAATATAGACATCGAAACGGAGAGAAGCGAAGGGGGTACTGCGTTTTGAACAGCAATCATACCCTGGGGATATAAGTTAGTAATAGGCCAGAGGTGAGGGGTTAAATGTATTAAACGAACCATTTGTAGGCCAGATCCACGGCCGGCACCAGAAAGCATCTGGTAGCCAACCCACTTTCCAGTCGATGTTGTCGGCGCAAGGGTGGAGAGTAGACCACAGCCTATCGAAGTAAGAGCAGCTCCAAAGGTAGCCCAGGGCAAGTAGTAACCCATCTTCGTGACTGCAGCGCCGGACACCAAGACAAAGAGTACTTGCGTAAGGATACCGGGTAACAAGTCGACACCACTCATGGTCGGTCCGGCACCCTTTACACCTTGGAAGTAGATAGGGAGGTATTGACTGGAGACGAATAGTGTGGTCGTAAGACTGAAGTAGTAGAGGCAGCTAGTCCAGACGATGCGCTTCTTAAGGATTGAACCCGGAATCATCGCTTCTTCGCCTGCATGATATTCCCATGCGACGAAGAGGATTGCCATCACGCCAGCCCCGGAAAACAGACCGATGATGTTGGCGCTGTTCCAAGCGTAGGTGCTTCCACCCCACTCAAGAGCGAGCAAGAACATGATGGCAGCTCCGGCAAACAATACGAAACCGGGGAGATCTAGATGCGGGATCATCTCACGCAATGTCGCAAATGTGACGCGTTCCTTCTTAATGTGGTCCGGAATGTGGCTGAATGCCATGAAAAGACCGGCGATACCACCTAGCGGCAGGTTGATGTAGAAACCTAGAGGCGGGTTAGGGGACCATCTAATAAGAACCACAGAGCTTTGACTTACACCATCGCCAGGTTGTGTATTCCGTCAGCGCACCACCGATTAATGGACCGGAGATGATGCCCATTTGACCAATACCCATCATTATACCTGTATAAACTAATTCTTGTGTAAGTAGAGGTTGATAAAGCCATCGGATTTAGGTCCGATGATACTTACTAGGTCGCTTTTCTAAGGGTACAACACCCCCAATTAAAATCAAGCCACCATTTTGTAGGCCCGCAGCACCTAAACCTGCAATGGCACGCCCGCCGATAAGCATCGGCGACGAGTTTGCCAAACCGCAAATAAGGGAACCGGCTTCGAATATAGTAAAGAAAACCAAGAAAGTCCACTAATAACTGTTAGAACCTATTCGGAAGAGAGAAACCATCGAGTTATTGTGGATATCTAAGCGTACCTTGGTGTTGAGACGCGCATAAAACTTGCCAGTAAGAGGTTGTAAAACAGCGCTGTAAAAGAGCAATAAATTAGAGGGTTGTGTGCTAGAATTAGGCGTGTTGCAGCTGAACTCACCTCACTAACTGGAACGCAGCACCATACCAACCCACGTCGGCCAGCGAGTGGAAATCGGAAGTAATCCGGGGTATAGCCTATGGAGAGGAAGCCATCGTATTAGCGAATTGTTCATATCTCGTCGTCAAAGTATGGGTTCACCCACGGTAGTGAGAATAGATGTGTCCAGCATAAGAAGGAAAAATACTAGCGTCGTGCAAGCGACAACAGCGAACAGTTGAAATCCTTGGAGGTAGTCGTGGTTTTCATCTTCGTCCTTTTTGTGTTCGTCTTCAGTATCGGTTATCCCACCATCCCTCTCGGCCATATCCCATCGGCTCATGGCGATAGGTGCCTGATTGTCCACTAAACCATCATCTTGCGGCGAGGGAGGTCTTATGATGACGATACCATCTGTCGATAACATCGAAGCCCTCCAATCTATCGGTACTGATGTCGGTCGCGGCCGCCGACCACTCTGCCGCCTACTGTTTCGCTTTCCATCGCTCATTTTGGTACAAAGGGAAATCGCACGCTAAAATCTTGGCTCGTTGTCTTGGCCCGTCGGCGTTGAATGTAGTTTGAGCTCTGCCGTAACTAGCTCTTCGTGCTTGGCTTTGGTCTTGTTCAAATAAGATACTAACTAATACCTTTTTTACTTTCAGCTTGATATTATAAGTCTTTGACGTGTTTACTTGACGGGTTTCGTTGGAGTCGAATCCCGATGGCCAGGGCATACCCCATGAACACTGGCGTGTCTAAAAGGATGCCGCTAAATCCTTCAGCTGTGGATACCCGCTGTAAGGCCCTATAGACACCCGGCGGTGCAAAGTAAACAGGGCAGCTATTTTCCATAAATAAGCCACCCGTATCCCCGATTAGACTCAGTATAGACGGAGGAACAGGTAACCGAATCTCGATTTATCCACTATTTCATGATCTGTCGAACCTTTCGTAATCCGAGTTCTAGTATGCTGTTTAGACCCGAGTATCTCTTACGTAGAAATCACCGAACTCTTCTCGGCCGACGCGATACATTATTCATCCTTCCCCGTGCGCATATGCACAGAATCTTACCGGATCCTCAGATTGCCGATCTACCATCTACCAACAGCATAAGACATATCGATAACTTTAACTATTCGCATGTCTTTGGCTGGCACCTTAGTCATGCTGTTATACAGATGATCGATGTTGTATAGAAGAACGGCCGTTGTCGGTATATTATATGGTGAACAGTAAGGAGGTGTGTTTCTATAATTTTATGGAAAATGACCTCGTATTGTAGACGATTTCGGTGAGCCGTTTAGGGCGTCATGCGCTGTGTTGTGATTGAAAAGATGCCATGGCTAGGCGCGACATTGCCCTAATTTCTAGACTGCTAGGTCGCTAGGTTTAGAGGGTCCTCCCGCACTTAAGCGATGATGATATCGCTGTTCTAGAACAACGACTAGTTTTCTCGAATCATATTTACAGTCAATCACTAGGAAATCATTCGAACTATGAATAAAATAAATCGAATTATTATATTAGTTGATATATAGTTTTTATATGCATTGTTTTGATTTCAGTGATACTTTGGAGTGCATTGCTTCCGATTTATTCATAGGCGGGGTACACCTAATTTTTGGTGGGTGACTTCTAGAAGGGTTCTTGTAATCTTGAAATGTGGAAGGCATATAAAGTCATTAGATTACATATAAAGAGACTTTTGTTTTCAAAAGCAGTGAACATCTTGTGACAGCAACTATCCATCTAATTCTTTTCCGAGAGTGAAAGGTATATGATTGACGTTAATCACTCTAATTACTACTAGAAGTCCACCCCTCACTGACTAAAGCGCTAAAATTCCACAGCTCCCATTTTCTCGGCCGAATGTTTCAGCGGTGCATAAAATGATAATAGGTAGGTCTTTCCACGCCGAATTGTGGATAGTTATGAGGACAAATTCATTACGACAACACAAGATAGGGGAGGCTATAGGTTATTAATAGTTATGAAACCCAGCCCAAGTTGCAATTACCAATTCCGAAACCCGCTTACCTGGGTCCTGGCTGTGTGACTAATACGGCTTAGTAGCCTAACCTTGGTCTTGACCACCATACTATACCGCGTTATAAGTCAGTTTATCGGATATTTTATTACATCATACTTCTAAAAGTATACGTTCTAAGCTTAGTAAAATTGCTGTCAAAGTATAGAAATTTTTGTAGGAGTGTCTTGCGCTGAAGAAAGGTGAAATCATTCTATCTGTTACCAGCGGCAAAATCCCAACATTATGTGCATTTAAAACCGCGGCAGCTCCGCAACGCGACAAATAATTTCGGGACCGATACCTAAGAAATTCCGCTCGAAAAGCAGGTATAAGGGGCATAAAAGCAATACACAACATACTTTCAGCTAGGACTTTGTACCTGTCAGTCTAGACAGGCGGGCTTAATACAGATCAACACGATACCCGCTGTTTAATGATCCTACAAGCCTCTGAACGGCTAGTAAGCACAAATTCATCTTAGATATTAAATAGGTATGACAAAATAGGTCTCCCGATACGATAGGGATACTGGGGGTGTTCGAACTCGTGCTTCTTCGTAGTAATCTTAGCCCCTTAGCCTATCTTACATAGCTTCATATGTCCTTACCCTGCTATTCTGAAGGGAACCATGGATGGACCGTCTGAGGTGCATAAAATCCACGTTGTACAGGAGCTGAAAAGACCTAGTGTCCTAAAAGGGAAACTGGGCAGCCCATAGTTCGCGCTCATTGGTTGATTATACTAACGCTAAAAAGTGGAACCTGGTTCTTCCTAAATGCTTGTCTACCAGGTTTGAATGGTTACTATTAATAAGCTATGAGCTGTACGTGTTATAGGTAGTAATAGGATATGATACTTGAAAACGTGGGAATACATCCGCGTGTTTCATTTGTGCTGCAAGGCTCGATTTTGTTGATCATTAAGACCAAAAGGGTGGCCCTAATACCTTGTTATGCGTAAATCTCTATCATCTCGGATAGCGTTTTAGAACGCACAACCCAAAAGTGTATGCACCCTCGTACAAAACATTGCATTCACATTAAGCATTTGAAGATATGGCAAGTTTTTGAACGTGATATGCAAATAGAATTTGAAATAGATACATGATAAAATCCCGCTGTTAAAAATCCCAACCAAATTCAACAATGCTTAGCCAGGCTCATAATGGCTTTTCTCCCACCATCTCAAGCCGTACTTATTTCGCTTTCCCTTAGTCCACAGCCGTAGTACCAATGCCATCTAGACCTTTTCTAGGCCGTAAATACAAATGTCCAAACCCAGTAACCCTAAAATGCTAAACCGTTGACCCCCGGGTATAGCATAAATCTAGAGAAGCGAAAATATGATGCATTGGAAAATTATACACGTGGTGTCTCGTACAACTCGGGCGTTAGGTACACCTGCAAGCTTAGGCCAGCCTTGCTGGGGTCTGAAGACTCCTTCCTGCCAAGGCCAACGAAGGTGAAGATGCCAACCTTCTCTTCTAGTTTTCGGTGGGTGCTATTTCCTTGTTAGAATTATGATGATGAAATGACGAAATTGTCTTAGTGGGGAGAAAAACTTACAAGACACTGGTGACACGCTCCTCCATCGTCTTACCACCATCGTACCATCCGTACTTCATCAACCACGCATCCAATCCCCGAGCAATCACCTTGTCATTGGGTGCCTTGCGAGCAGGGGAGAAGTAGATCTTAGGGATGGGGTAGGGCTTCTTAGGGGAAAGAGAGAAGTATATGGCAACCGGCTTGTGTCTTAATAGACCAGGCTTAACTTCGTACTTCTCACCGTTCTCATCGACCTCAGAGTCGAAGAAAGTACCGTTCGTGTAGTTCCACAGGTCACGGAACGTCTCCTTATCGCTCTCAAGGTTAGGGATACGTCCACCTAGAGTGTAGTAATCCCAGATCTCCTCGAACGACTCTCCGTGGTAGCGCATGTAAATCTTTAGGCGCGCCAAGCCAGGAGCGACGCAATCAGTCGACATGCCGCGAGTGCCATTCTCGAGACCGGGGTGCTCGGCAAGGTACCCTTCCATCATTTTCACAGATGAAAGGATGTTAGGGTATTGCTCGATGGAGGGGAGCTGACGGATACCCTGGCTGACGACTTCCCAGTTGTTGATGCCCATCGTGGCAGCTGTCATGTCAGGCGCGAAGTAATCCTTGGCCATGACAGGGAGCTTGCCGGGGATTAAAATCTTAGAAGCGACATCGAAGCCAATCATCATGGATGATTGGTATCCCACCTTGGAGATGAGTGCTTGTTGCTCCTCTGTGGATCGATGTGCGTGTGTGAACCATCGAGCAAGAGCACGGTGCCAGTTGTCATCGAACATGGTACCCTTCTTGGCTAGTGAGTCGAGAACCCTCTGGGCAGGCGCCAGACTTAGAGGGTTGACCTTGTCTGCGGGGCGGAGAGGGGCGAAGTCAACAGCGAATCGAACACCAGGGTTCTTGGTAGTTCCCTTCAGCTCAAAGCTGTACTCGAATGGGTTGCCGTCCCAGCCGGATACGGACTTAAGGGAATCAGCTTCAGGCTTGCTGCCCAGTTGTGGGCAGATGGTATCCCGGTACCATGTGAGGAATTGGCGTTGGATGTCTTGGGGGCAGTCGGCTTCTCGCAGCATGTTTGAGAGATCTTGGCCACTCGTCTGGAACCAGTACATGGGACCTTCCGCAGTGCTGGGTCTGTTGATGGGCCAAGCATCAAAAGGCCTCCTCCGGGCCATAGGAGACACCGGAGATACTGGGGAATCGATCGACACAGTCGCCATTGTGATTGATGATTGATTTGAGTTATGTAAGAGTTTTTGTAGTTCAACCTCCCCGAGGCTTTATAGAGTACTAGTTGTCGCGATGTAGATGATAGAGGGTTGTGATATGAAGGAGGGATATGGTATTTGTAGGTATGGTGTGGAGTTTAGGGATTTATTAGTGTAATGTCCCTATTGTTCTTTGATATGTTGTGTAATGGCTAATGTAGATGAAGTTCTTCCATATCTCTACAGAGTCACCAGCAAATATATAATAAAAGAAACGTTTAACTCATGAAGTATTAACCCTTGGCTTCTTTCTAGAAACACGCGCTACGCAGGGATACTACACGTGTGAGGATATTTTTACACCTTCGTTCGGTGCTTTACGCCATGAACTGGGGTCTTCGTCCAGCCACTGGTATTGGATTCACACTAATCGAGCCATGAGGACGCAAAGCCAGTACCAGGGCCGCGGCATCAATACCAATTGAGTACTCATCTGAGATCGAGATAGGGTATATCAAAGCACTAAGGATGACCTGGAGTAGTCCTGGGCGACTCCGAGTAAGCTCAAAACTGTCACGAATACGCCTTAGCGCCGACAGAGGTTCGATGCACTAAAATACAGGGCGTGATAGCGAAGTGTCTAATTGACTAAGCCACTAATGAGGGTAGTTTAGTTGAGTAAGCCTGTTACCTAAGTGGGGTCACTAACTGCTAATTAAGCTGGCGTGACCCCAAGTAAACTACAGGTGAGCGTTACCTATAAAGAAATTATATAATGGCAGGAGGGTTATAGGATTACATACCAAGCTCGCCAAGCGATTACGTATTTGAAGACTTTACGGCTATTTGAGGCAGTGCGCCCTTCTGGAAGGTTTTATTGATCTGATCTGGAAATCGGCGTGGGTTTATGTTTGGGTCACGTCAGCGTCTTCATTTGACCAATTCGAGTAGATTGATTGCATTATGAAATTTCGGTGATCGAATTCAGCAAGATGTGAGATGCCAAGGCCTTTAAAGCTACGTGTTTTATCTCTGTCTTTTTTTACCTCGCAATTTGATCGTTTTTGGGTAACCCTATCCATATGGTCTTTTGTAATGAGCTTCGAATGGAAACCGTTAATCCAAGGCTCGGCGGTTTGTCCCTGTCGCCTAGCAAGGACGCAGTCAGAATTTTAAATCCTGAGCGGCACCGAAAGCCGTCAGCGGCTTCAAACTGGAAGGCTATATACTAAGGTATCCGATAAGGTCGCTGATCGCATTAAAGTCTAAATCCTTTCGTACGGGAAGAAGCTTATGACAAAAATAAAATAAAATATAGAAAATACGGGACGTTTGATTTGACACAGACCAAAAGGGAAGTACCTAGTTTCAAAATTGGGATCGCTTGAATTGCAACCCGACTTGCTTACGACTGCCTGGATGCATTCCATCAGCTATTTGCTGACTTCTAATTGAGTCATCTTATACAGAGGAGGATTGCTCCAGCCTTATCCTCCTACAGGTGCACCCATGCCGGATTTCTATACTAGTATTAGCGCATGGCCACCCCGTATAGGGAGCTCATTTACTGGTCCATTCATTCTATGCAACCGCTGATGACGGAAGTAGGACCACGGATGAGACACTGACAGCCGTAATCTATAGGATGTAGGATGAAGCATCATACAGCGAAAGACGGCTAGTTGGCCGGAAACAAATTATTCCCGAACTGTATCGGAATCATCTTGTAGACATACTTCGGCGGATTAGCCCATTTGATCTGGGAAGGTGATGGCGCTTAGCAAAGCTTCACAGTGGGTGTGTGTGTCGGTCATCTACCTACTTGTCGTAATTACGGCGCGTATTGTATCTAATCGCGTTCGAAGCCCAGCAAGCTTTAGCGCGTAGCTCTCTGTAATGACAGTGGCTAACCCACCTAGATAACTAAAATTTCAAAGAGTTTAGGGCTGAACGACACGATCTATGTTTTACTTACAGCGAGTAAAGCACTGTATTATTCATTCACAGTGATCTTTCAATGCCGCCTATCTAAGCAACCCCCTATAGGGGTAATACCACATAGGCTACATGAGACTTTTGCAGTGTTGGTCACTGTTTGATTGTCTCTTTACTAGGTAATTACGGATGTAGTCACTCATTATCGGAATATTGTATGAACTCAAACGACTCGTAGTCTATTTCTATTCCCAAATCCTTTTTTTCCAAAATGCCCATCTATCCATAAAACTCCGCCCTTATGTTTATGGTATATACAGAAAACGACGCTATAAACAAATGCTAAGAAATGCCATATACAAGAAGAATAACGAGAACGCTATAGACGAGAATTTTGAAACCTTATACTACAATATCCGTAATCCCAATAGCTGCTTATTTGCGCAGCGTTAATCCAACATGTTTACAAAGGAACTCATATCCGTCGGCTACAGCAGCTTGCGTCTCGGCATTGCTCTGGTGCTCGCGGTATAGATCAAACAAGTGCGGTACACCCTCTACGATGCGCAATTCCGAGTCAATTCCTCGGGTGTTAAGCGCCTCGTATGTGCGCACTGCTTGTTGCCAGGGGATCAAGTCATCCTGGCGAGGGTGGATGATGAAGGTAGGTGTGACGTAGTTTTGGCTTCGCACTTGAGCTAGCGGGCTAACGGCCGCGATTTGCTCTGCAGACGGGGTGCCCGGTTCCCGTTTGTTGTTTTTGTTCATGCCGTTAAGCAGAACGTGTAATGCGCGTCCGTGCCAGTTCATGTGTAGCACTAGGCGACTGCGGGGGTCGCTAGGTGCCATCCAGCCACCAAGAGCACGCTTCTTGGTAGGGACATTGTATCTAGTGATTGGGGAGTCAGAGATGGCTTCCCAGAGCTCGTCGTTGTATTCGTAGGTGTGTTCTTTGGCTTTGGAGCCGTGGGGGATGTTGGGCTGCATCCAGAAGGGGTCTTCGTAGTCGGTGGGGCAGTAGAAAGCGAGGATGGCGTTGGGAGGTTGGATGCCCTTTGGAAGAGTGGTCCATGCGAGAGACATGGCAATTGTGCCGCCGGTGGACCAACCCACGGCTACTACCTTTTCTCCGTTGACTCGAACGTCCGAGCGCGCGAGCGTCATGTTGGGGAGCACATTTCGGATCCATCCTAATGCGTCTCCAACATCGGTCATAGGCCCTTCTCTCAATGTCGTCTCGGGACAAAGCCTGTAGTCGACACTGATGGGAAGGAAACCCGCTTTGAGGAGCATGTCTGTTTGCTCCGGTCGGATATCGTCTCGCGAAAGCATGACGTGTCCGCCTCCGTGTACCATGAGAGCTATTAGGGACGTTAGCTACTTGATTCTTGAAGCGCGTAGGGTTTAATTGTACTGACCTACGGGAAGAGTCTTTCCAGACTCGACCTTTTCGGAAGGGTAGTAGATATCAGCTTGAAGATCTAAGCCGTCCACTTTCTTGAAAGTCACGGTCTGCTTGGTCTCAAGCTTGCGCTCAACTTCCTCGACGCATTCGCCAGAAGGTCCCGCATTATACGGAGACGCAGTGATAACCCTTAGGAGATCGGATTCAGCAGATGCATCGTTGCTCCAGTCTACCCACTTGTAGCCAGCAGTAGTAAGATCTCGCTTCCATCGCGACTCGTGTGCAAGCGCGTGCTCGCGGCCGTCGTTGAATGCCCACCAGCCCTCAACGAGACCCCACACTAGATCGAACCAGTACAAGTTGCGGGTCGACTCCACTAAGCATAGGACACCCTCAGGGCGCAAAAGCTTGCGGATCTGGCTAGTTGAGTTTACAAGATCAGGGGTAGCGTGCACGCAGTTGGTCGAAATGATGATATCATAGGCACCAGCGTACTGCGCATTCTCCTTCTCAAGGTCGAGAGTCGCGAAATGCATGAACGACGACCACTTGGAGAATCTGCGGCGCGCATTGGCTACGAGTGAGGAAGAGATATCGGTGAATGTGTAAGAGAACTTCTGCTTGCTACCGAGGCTGGAGAGTGCTTGAACAAGGTAGTTGGTTGTGCCTCCGGTACCAGCACCAATCTCGAGAATCTTGATCTCACGGTTGGTGTTACCAAAGTTCTCCAGGACGGATGAAAGGTAGTCGGCAAGAAGCATTGTGATGGCCTTGAACATTGGTCCGTTGGTGTAGACATCTCCGAGCAACTCACGCGCAGTCGCATCTCGGAACATCAAAGCCAAAGGATCGGCCGCTCCAGTAAGGCACTCAGCAAGCTTGTGTGCAGTCACGCGTAGAAGCTTTGTCTCCGAACCGTGAGCAGGAAACTTCTGTAGCATTTCCTCGTGTAGAGTCGATGAAGGTATGGTCGGGATTGGTACATCCGTGCGCTTGAATGTGCCGTCGCTCTCCTTCTTGACTAGGCTTGCATCTTCTAGGATCTTGTATAGCTGGGGAATGAGGTGCTTGTGCTTCTCCTCAAATTGGAACGCGGGGACTTTTCCGTGGGGCTTGACGGCTTGGAGGTCGCTGCCAAGGGCAGAGAAAGCTTCCACGACATAGGCAACGACAAGTCTGGATTGCAATGTGAAAGCCTCACCGCAAAAGTTGGTGAAACCAGTCGCCGCTGCGTGCTTGTCGAAGGAGCTTGAAGCCTTAATAAAGCTCTCACGGCACACTACCGCAAAGTTGTTATCGGTTTGTTCCTCGTAGACGGTCTCATTGTCTGTGATCTCGCTCTTGTCGTCAGGCAAATTGCTGGAGAGTTGATCGGCAAGGCTGGGGTTCTCGACGGTTATCTGGGGAGCTTCGATCGTGTCGTTCGGCTGGATGAAGCGGCAGAGGGAAAGGATGTCGGTGCAGTCCATGAACTGATCCTGTGAAACACTGACGCTGAATCGCTTCTCAACTTCAGACAAGATTTCAGTAGATAGCAGCGAATCAACACCGAGCTCGGCCAAGTCCGATGTGGGCAAGATCTCCTCAATCGGAATCTCCATGATGGAGCTGAACATCTCGCGTACTAATTGAACGGTGTTATCCGCTTTAGCTGGCTCTGGAGCAGCTTGCTGGACCTGAGGCCTCTTAGGAAGAGGCTCAAGCACATTAGGCTGTTCCCTGGATCCTTCGGCGGGTGGCGATGGGACACGAGTTTGGTATCCAGAGTCGACCTGGTCGCTGTCGCTGTCGTATGTGCTCTTTCCGAAAACAGTCTCGACCATAATAGCAGGGGCAGATTTGTTGGCCTTGGTAAGAGCCCTAACCAATGACTTGTAAGGGACGCTTGTAAAGTGAGCACCCATGATAGCTAAGACTAGGTCCTTGGTCTTTGCATCGTAAACGAAGATGTCGTTTGTTCTAGCACCCTTGGCGACGGTCTCATATCGAGTGTGAACGGTCCATGCGCGGGAATCGGAGCGGTTAGCCATGAATGGCGCAGAGAGGATGATCTCCTCAATAGCATTGCAAATGAAGACTTCATCGTCGCGACGAGGGGCAAGGCAGTTGACGTGAATGCCCGAAACTTGGACAAAGTTGTCAAGAGCAATAGGGTCGACAATTCCAGTATCCAAGCCGAAAGGCTTTTCAGCTGGAACGACCACTGAACCGACCGCCTCGTTCTCCGAGGCCGACAGGCTCTTAACTCCGCGATAGTAGCCCGCATATTCCACAATCTCCGAGAAGAGTTTGTAGACAATTGAACCGCTAAGACCAGTAGCTGAAGGCAAATTGAGAATTCTGTCAACGCCAGAGCTTCGAGCAACCCTCTTTAACATCTTCAATCGGCTTTCCGCGGCGATGTCATCAACAGGGGCCAAGTTGATGCGACCGCGCGCGTGCTCGACATTCTCTTTCTCAGACTCTTGTGTGTAAACTGAGAAGTCCCAAGTTTCTTGAGCAGATTCTCGGAGTCGGAGGTACAGAGCGGAATCACCGCTTAGGCCAAGTGGTGCGTGAATGTTTAATCCCTCGACGTGGGGAAGTCTCTGAACAGCAGGCTTGCTAGAAAGAACTTCCATAGCACTCCTCGTCGCCATCTCGACATACATAAATGCGGGGCAGAGAGTCTGACCTGTAACGGCGTGTCCTCGCACGGACATGTCGTAGGCAGCATTAGTGGTGTCAATGAGAAATAGGTGCTCTCCGGCAACGCGGCCACTTTCCACCATGTTCACGAGTTTGGTGGGTTTAGCGACCGGGGCTTCAGCGGGCTGGGAGGGCACCAATGCCGCCGCCGACTTGAAGTCAATCCAGTGCGAAGTAGCGTCGAATTGGTAGGGAGGGAGGTTGAGGTGACTGTATGAAGCTCTTGAAGAGCGGTGGAAAGGCCAGTATTTTGCTGCACCACCAGCCTTCCACAATTGGTTTACAGCGTTGGCGAGGTTTGCCGCCGCATCAACACCCTTCAGGTCCATGGAGATGAAAGTATCCGCTCTTTCTGGCTTTCGCGCAATGCGACGCGCCATCGCGATGATAGGAGTAGCAGATCCAGCTTCAAGCCAGATAGCCGAGGGCGAGCGTGCAGTAATGCGCTCAACTGCATCGGAAAAGTAGACGGATCCTCGGGTGTGCTGAACAATTTCCTCAGCGGTGAACTTGGTCCAAGCGCCATTGCTGGAGCAAGTCTCGACGTGGATGCGGGGTGATCGGATTGTAACCGACTCAGCTACCTTCCTATATCCATCCAAAATGTTATCGGCGAGGTAAGAGTGGTAAGCATAGGCGTTGCGAAGCTTGGTGGTCTTGAAAGACTGACAAACTTCCTCAACCTTCTCCATGGATGCCTTGTCACCAGCAAGTACGAAGCTACGGGGACCGTTGTAGCATGCGACATCCACGCGGAGACCATTCATCGAGTTGATCTGGCTGACAACATTGTCAAGCTCCTTGCGACCGCACTCTACAGAAACCATGACACCACGCTCGGGACCCCAGTTGTTCTTGATGAAGTGTGCACGACCAGCCACAAGACGGAATGCATCCTCAAGAGAGACAGAGCCGGCAACGCAAAGCGCGGAAAGCTGGCCGAAGCTGTGACCGATAACGGTATCAACTTCAAGACCACTGTCAATCCATGACTTGGCGCAAGAAACTTGTAGAGAAAGCAGCATGCAGTGGAGCTTGATCGTATCTTCAACATCGACGCCTTGGAAGATTTCGGGGAAGATGCTGGGAAGACCAAGCGACCGGCAGACAGCATCGCATTTATCCAAATGGCTGCGAAGAAGATCGCTGCTTTCGTACAATTCCTTCGAAATGGTTACGTTATTACCAGTTTGGCCGCCGAATGATAGGACAACTGGGACCTTGGTCTTTCGCGACACGGTAGCATCCGCTCTAGCGGTGGGGCTGCCGAGAGCAGCGATGAGACTTTGCGCATCGGCCGCCACAAATGAGGCGCGATGCTCAAAAGACGAGTCTTGCCTTCGGGCGACGTTGTACGCTACGTCAGCGAAAGAAGCTGTGGCCTTAGACAAGTATGAGCGGAGCGCATCCATGTTAGACTGAAGGTTGTTTGTGGTCTTGCCAGAGAGCAGGATTGGGTATCCAACGGAAGATCGCAAGTTCTGGGGTTTGGAAGGCTTCTCAATCGGAGCGTGCTCTCGGAGTACAATTGCGGCGTTGCTACCGGCAGCACCGTAGTTGTTCACAAGGGCAACGTATCGCTTGGCGGTCCATGACTGGGTGGCTTTCGGTACTATTATGCTGTCGGATGCGTTGATTTTTGGGTTGAGGGACTTGAAGTTGGCCTGCTTGGGAATGGTCTTGTACTGCATCATCAAGAGCGTCTTGATGACCGCAGCAACACCTGAAGCAGCTTCAGTGTGGCCGATATTGTCCTTAACAGACCCGAGGAACACGTTGTCGTTTCGCCAGGGACCAGTAAGTGACCTCTTGACACTTTCGTACTCGATCGGGTCTCCGACTTGGGTACCGGTGCCGTGAGCCTCGACATAGGTGACTTCCTTAGGCTCTAGCAGACCCATAGAAAGCGCACGCTTGTACAGCGTACCCTGGGATCCAGAATCGGGTACCGTGATAGAGGTAAGGTTGGAACCTTGGTTGACGGCCGAGCCGGAGATGACACCGATGATAGTGTCACCATCAACAACTGCCCTCGAGAGCTTCTTCAGCACGATGATACCAGCACCCTCACCACGGCAGTATCCATTGGCCGACGCATCGAAGGCTTTCGAAGCACCGGTGGTGTTCAAGAAACCTCCAGCAGAAAGGTTTTGGTACATGTTCGGGCTCGTCATTATGCTAACACCTCCAGTCAGGGCCATAGCGCATTCTCCCGACAAGATTGCCTTGCAGGCAGTGTGTATCGCAACCGCTGATGAGGAGCAAGCAGTATCTAAGCAGACAGCCGGACCAGTCCAGCCGAAGTGGTGGCTAATGCGACCAGTGATAAAGGCTTGCAGCGTACCCGTAGCAGAGAAAGCGTTAGCGTTGTCACACGCAACGTTCTCTTCGTAGTCACCGCTAACAACACCGAGGTAGCAGCCTACATCAGTCTCCTTCTCTTCGGGCCGTAAGCCGCAGTATCCGGAAGACTCCAAGGCTTCGTAGGCGACTTGCAAAGCAAGTCGTTGCTGCGGGTCCATGGACTTGGCTTCTCGGCCAGAGACACCGAAAAATCTGTGATCGAACGCATCTGGTCGGCGGAGGAAATTGCCGAAGAACCTAGGCATGTTGGGGCCTCGAGTGATATCCTTGGTGTTGAATCGTTCGAGAGGGAGTTCGGTAGTCGATGTCGTGCCGGATGTAATTAATTGCCAGAACTCCTCTAGGGAGTCGGCCTGAGGGAAACGGCAAGCCATACCAACCACTGCAACTTCTTCAACGCCACGAATGAGTTCCGGTACATCGCCATTTGTTGAGTTGGGCTTGTTCGACAAAAGTGATCGTGGGACGCAAGATTCGTTTCCGAGAGGAACGAACTTGAGCTGGTCGTGGGGGATATCGGCCGTGCTAAGCTTCACGGTTTGGAACCAATGAGCTCGCTTGCAAAGAATTAGGTCGAGGGCGATCTCGTGCAGAGATCCAGTCGAGATAAGCCCAATATCTGAAGTAGATCTTAAGGGTAAGCGCAATTTTTCAGCGCTAGGGAGTTGGAATTTGAGGGCACTAGAGAAAAGCTGCTTGAGAGTTTGGGCAGCTTTGGCGTGTCTCTGGTGGTGATAGTAGCCGCCAAGACCAATGCTGGTAGTTGCTATCTTGAATTCCCGAAGTCGAGAGCAGAACGCTTCTTGATCGCGGTTTGGCAACGTGATCGTAAGCGTTCGGTCATCCGTTACGCAGGATACATAGGCCTATTTGCATCCAATTAGCACATGTTTCAAATAAAATACCCAGGTATTATTCGGTCGGAAAGGGGTAACTTACGTCTGGGAAGATATCTAAGGATGTCTCCAAGAATGCCCAGTCGGAAGGCGTTTTCCAGCGAACACCGACTGCTGTCGCCCGGTCTGGATGAGAATGCGACGCATTTTCTGCGTCAATGGCGATACCGATACAGGCGGCCAAGCGCAAACTGTTCGATACGTTGTGCTTAAATTGTGTCCAATCGCTTGAGGAAGCAAGAGCAGCGGCTGACAGGAACCCGATGCAAAATCCTTGCGCCGCCTTGAAGTCTATTAGGTCATCCCGATCACCAGCAAGACGGACGTAATCCACCACTTGCGATACTATCGTGAGTGGGGCTAACTGCGTATTGCCAAGATTTTGAGGGTCGGGGATGGTGCCTCCCGTCGCGAAGTTTTCGAGTTCCTTAAGTTTTTCTTCGGCGTTGATATTCGACGCGTCGAAGCCTTTCTTGAGTATGGACCACGAAGATGAAATTTCTGCAAGGGCGTTTTTGAGGAAATCGAGGTTTGTGGTTTGGAGAAGTGTGGACTGGAGGGTTGAAAGACTATCTTTTGTCCAATGTGTTACTTGAGGGCCAAAGAGGGCAACCTCTTGTAAGTCCCGAATAGGGCTGAAGGTGGAACTGTCCGAGCGATCCATTGTGGTTGAAAATACTATGTTGAGTAGTTGGGTATAGAAGGGAAAGAGGACAGTTATTGACAGCCTAGCATGGGCCTATATTATTCAAGCAATAGTCACTATCATGCCAAACAGTCGTTGAGATGCTGGAGGGGACTTGTTTCTATGAGATTAAGGAAAGTAGTAGTGGCAGTGGTAGTAGTGGTGGTGATAGTAAGGATGGAGTGTGTATATTGGTATTGGTGTACAAATTCTTAGGGATTGCAAGAGTCTTAATATCTAAGGTGGTGTTAAAACGCCCTCTCTGCCCAGGTATAATCATCACTCCTCAAACTACCCCTTGGCAGCTTATCATGATAAAGGAGCCTCATGCCCGTTCTGAAGCCCGTATCAACATCCACGTGGATCTCCACTCCTGGATCTTAATCGCAGTATTCGGTCACTTGTGGCTCAGACTGGTAGTCTAGAAGAAATCCCAGCGTTACACTAGCGTGGATCCTTGTTTGAATCTTCATGACGGGTATATGCTATAAAGTGCATTGCGTCAACTAGTAAGTGGGTAAAATGTTTATTTTAAGGACTCTTAGCTTTACGTACACCGTCGTAGGCACGCTAGAAGAGCGGGTTCCCTTCTCTATCTACCAGGTAGTCAGGAAGGATGACCGAACCAGCAGGGAAATTCTGTAAGCCTGTGCCCCATACCCCACGCAACAACGGCCGCGCCCTTTCATTTTAACCCTGATCCTTCGATCATAATAGGGAATATAACTTACTAAGTATGTATATAACTTAGTAAGGATCAGACACTAGTCATTTTCAGTACTTTATGTAATAAACCGCCGACCCTAATTGGTCTCTACATAGGCACTTGGCGTAATATTTTGTTCGCCGACCCCGAGTAAAATTACCTAAATCCTTAATAAACATTGTCAGCCCTAATATGGTAGTCAATGGCGGTAAAATAAGCCAATCGCTACAAGCTGACGGAAGATAATCCAGGTCCGATCTAAAACTCAGCTGGTAAAAAGTTCGTGAATGGATTCATGCGGCATAGTCGATAGGAATGAGCACAGGTAACTCGGCCGGCTCGGGCTACAACGCCTTACTTCTATTCCGAGGATTCATGTCATAATAAATCGTCCCACATCATTAAATGCCTGTTTCCGCGCACTATAAAATTTTCCATTGCTTAGATGATAAATTCTGTTTGTCGCCGTGCCCGAGATTCGCTTCTTACATTTTATCCCTTCGTCCTTTTTTAAGGAAAAGCTCAAACGATCCAAGCCTGGTTCTCTTTTTTTCGTTGTCCAATATTTCCTAGCTCTCTTTGTACCTATCAAAATGGGGCTTCATCTACCCCTCAGCCCTAACGATAGGGTCCTACGGCCACCCCTATACTATCTTCAGGTACAAGATGGCCTAATCTTGGGCTCTGGTGCTATGTGGACCATCACCTACATTCTATACGTTGTCCAAGCCTACCGAGACAAGTCTTACGGCATGCCACTGGTGTCCCTGTATGGAATATCCCCCCCACGCTGCGCTAGCGCCGCTTTATAACCCCTCTACAGCGTGCCAAGGTCGCTAACACAGGCTTTTTCGGCAGCTGCGCAAACATTTCTTGGGAGCTTCTATACGGCGTAGTTTACCCAACCTCGGTTGGTCAGTTCGTAGCCTTCACATCATGGCTCATCACCGATATTGGGATCGTCTATGTGACTATCAAATTTGGCCCGTCGCAATGGAAGCAAGCTCCTATGGTAGCGAATAATCTTGGTCTGCTTTTGACTGCTGGAATTGGTACGATGATTGCTATGCATTTGGCCTTTATCAAGCAAATCCCAAGTCTTGATGAGTGTGCTTTATGGAGCGCTTTCGTATGCCAAGTCTTGCTCAGCGGTGCTTCGGTATTGCACCTAATGTGCAGGGATAACACCTCTGGTCACTCATGGACTATCTGGTAAGTGCACCTCTCAATAAAAATTTTAAGTAAGCTTCTAATCGAGTAAAAGGCTTATTCGATGGCTTGGAACTGTCCTCGTCATCGGTTTATTCGTCTGGCGCTGGGTGCACTACCCCGAGACCTACCCCATCACAGCTAAGCCCGTTACTGTTTTCCTCTTCGTGTTGACGGAGATTGCGGATATCATCTACCCCTTCGTTTACTACGCTGTTGAAAAGAAGGAGAAGTTGAGGAAGCAAGTCAAGCAGGTGAAGTCTAAATAAGCCAAACACAACCAATAGTCTTGTGGTTTGGTAGTTAGTTGTACATAAACTCAAACGGATACATATCGGAATCATAGGTGGAGGGCAATATGATGCTGGTACAAAATTCAGGGTCAATTGAATTTAGCGGTTAGGTGGGCAAAAATAGACTGTAATGCTAGCATACATAACGAGGATAGACTGGGAATTAACAGCGAAACAAAATTAAACAAAATTAAACAATTTTTAACCACTTCTTTTCAGAATAACCCTATTGACAAATTTGAAGTCAAAGGATATCACAAAAGTACCTTAGGTAGATACCTAGGTACATGGGTACCTAAGGTAGAAATCATTGATGGCAACGTCTAAATTTGTTAATTAATTAACACCCTGGTAGTATAGCTACCTCCTAGGCATGGTACACGCAATTTCATCACCTCGTCCAATGTACAAATCTTATCTAATTTTAGTCACAACAAAAGGACCGCATATTTGTTCTCGAACTTAATCAAGTTATCCTATTGGCTTTCTACCTGCCTCTATTGTATACCTATCTGATGATTAACATCAGCAATTTCCAGCTGAGCTGCATTTTAAGTTCTTAGTAGCGTGTTGTTGCAGTCTTACATGCATTTTAGGGATGCCCTGGACCCTAAACTCCTAGGGGCACGGATTAGGCTATGAAGGACATTGCAAGATTGTGTCATCAACTTAACGGGTAATATGAATACGATCCCTTCTGTTTTCGATTTACAGGGTATAAGACCTACATAATCGACCTGCCTACTTGGTATGCACTGTAAATGCTTGTTTAGATGGACAATTGCCTATCTAATTCTTAATTACATGGTTTTGTAGGTATGTGCTGAAGTTCCGCGTCTAGGTGCGCAATATAGCGTCCTATTAGCGTACCTAGGTAAACCTCGATTTCTAGTAGTGCTATCTGGCGATTTTATTACACTAATTCTTAGGTACTGCATGTCGGTGCCTTTAGGGCAGCAGTCCCCCGAATAGAACGCCTGTATCCCAAGAGTTTACGTAGTCGCGTGAAAATGCTGAAAGTCTTCAAAAAAGATCATTCACAGAGAACAGTTTTTAACACAACATTTTTAACATAATAAATATATATATGGAATTTATATATCCTAATCCCAAATCTAGATGGATTTTTAAGCCCCGTAGTCGCGTTACGCCATTCTCCCGCTATATATACAGTCTAAACACAAGAATAGCAATGCCTCTATGATTCACGCTGTCTTACACTCTAATCACCATTGCATCTCCCCAATTTAAGCGATCTTCTTGAAAAGAACGTTCCTCTTGGGGTCAGGGATGGACTGCAGAGAAAATGCATTAGCACATGGGAATATTTAACAATTCGATGGGTTTTTAACTCACCTGTGTGGAAAACTCAATGTTGGGGTATCGCTCCGTAGCACCATCTGCCAATTGCAACTCGTACTTCAATAGGACATTGGCCAAGATCATCTTCATCTCATTCGCAGCGAAGAAGCGACCAGGGCAAGCATGGCGACCATATCCGAAAGTAAGAGACTTCTGAGTAACACTGACAAATTGGTTCTGGCCCTGGACATCGACGGCACCTTCTTCCTTAGCTTCCTGGCGCAGCTTGTAGAAGCGGTACGGGTCGAACTTATCGGCGTTGGGGAATACTTCGGAGTCAGAGCTGACAGCATGCACGGGTACCTCGATAATAACGCCAGCAGGGATGCGTTGGCCGTTAGATAGGGTGAATGGGCGGAGAGTCTTGCGCTGGAAAGAGGCTGGTTTTACGACAGTCAGCATGCTAGTGTCCACAAAAATGGGGCATGGGGTCGTATTTGCTTACTTGCGAAGGCAGGGTGGAATCGTAGCGTCTCCTTCATGAAACTGTCAAGCTTCTTCATCGCTTGCATTGAGCTGCTGGTGAAAACGTTGTTGTGTTCGGCGAGGACAGAACGGATTTCTTCACGAAGGTCCTGAGCAAGTTCAGGCATAGCGGCCAAGTTGTAGAATCTACGAATCAGAGATTAGCTCGATTTCCTATTTAGGAAGGTTGGTGCTACACACGCGTTGGTGGTGGTCAAAGTAGTGGTGTGGATAGCGGCAAAGCTAATTCCCAATTGAACTTCAGCTAGCTTCTCGGTAGTTGTCGCGCCGAATTTAGCCTCGCCGTTTAGAAGCCATTGAACAAGATCATCAGGACGTTCCTTGGGGTCCATTGCTCGTCGTGATGCAACAAGAGGTCGAAGGAAGGCATCGGCATCGTCGAATCGCTTGTCAAGGGCTTTAACGGGAGGGAGGTGGCTGGCAAGGAAAGGTCGCTTCCATTCAGGGAGCATAGAAACAGCTTGTTGAGCCTTCATGAGATCCATAGAGTAGTTGATAGCGGCATCGATGTATCGCTCGTCTCGGCAGAGTTCGGGTCCGATGAAAACACGGCCTGATACCATAACCACCACTCGGATCATCTTTCGGCTGAGGTTGATAGGAGTCCAGTCATCGCAAGGGGGCATCTCAAGCTCAAGGGCCTCTTGAACCTCGCTAGCAATTGATGGATTTAGGCGAACTAGGAGTTGTTAGGTTGTTTCTTATATTTTGCTGACACAATTACTACACACCTAAAGCTGGAGTCAAATGGGTCTTGATCGTGTGGGGAATGATGGCAGCACCAGTTCCTCGGGCCTGGGTGTACTTGGACTGCATTGTCTGCATGTAACCATTAGATGCGTGCGTTTTATCATTCATCGCTTGAGTTTACTCACCTCCTCAATCGCAGCATCGAAGCTCAAAACATTGTCGGGTAATTCGCTGAGCTCCTGCAAGAACTTGGGCGACATAACAATAACCTTGGATTCTGGCGGGGTCGGGTCAGCTATGAGATTACCCCACTAGCGAGAATAGCGAGAAGAGGCGTCATACTTCGAGGCGAGACAATACGGAACATGCCATTTTTGAACTAGGAATAATTAATATCTTGAGAAGTACCTAGTTATTCTATCACAGAATAAACTCACCTTTTGGTATCCGTCCAGATATAATTGTCTTGCGTTGCGGAGATAAGCTTGTCGTCTCTTTTCATCACTTCCCAATTCCGAGCCGATAACAGGGACTTTGGCGATAGGACTACTTCGAAGGAGATGGGCTTGGGTTAAAGATAGAGTAATGAGTAACCCGGCTAGGAGTATCGGCCACTCATTGGCCACTATGGCCATCACGACACTAATAGTTGCCATGTTGGTTGTAGAGAAAGAAAATTGTATAGAATTACCCCGATGATCTGATCTAAAGTGAAGATGTTTGGTAATTGATTTTAGCTAAGGGCTTGGCCAAGCCTCACGTAGATATATTTTCTTCAGAGGATGCACAAAACCAATGCATCAGATCGTCGGCGCATTAAATTGCATAAAGTAGCCGATTTATCGTACGAGATCAATGAAGGAATTATCTTGCATGTTATCTAGGTTTTCGAGATCCTAGATGTTACTATGTAAGGCGTACATGTAAGCAACACCGAGTAATCTTACGTGCGCAGCGTAGGAGTTGGATTGAATGGGAACCCACTAACAGGGGGGAATTTAAGCTTGCTAGAGCTCCTCCAATCAATTTAATGGTATTTGAACTTAGGTAGTTAATCCCACTATCAAAATGTCACATCATATTACAGCTGTTTCCCATATAGAGTCCGCGGTCAATGCTATAGAATATGGGTAGCTAATGTTATAGATTATTAATATCTTCATACTTTGAGTCTCTCGCGCAACCACCTTTTTCTTCGTTAACCGTAAAGTAGAGAATATAATAGAATAATAACCTTGAATTTCTAATAGGCGACTGGGATTTACGGTGGCTTAACCTTAGGTAACTTGAATCTTATAGAATTAGTAACTCTATACCGAATTAGGAAATCATATCACCGAAATTGCCATTCCATTCGTCCATTCACTGCGCCACACACATCCATTACCCTAGACTAATACCTGAGACAGCATGAAGTAATCCTCTTAAGTAATCCTATTAATTACGAAACGTATCGTTATATAATTATGGCTTCCAAGATTTCCAAGAGGTACGCTAGCGATTATTCTCGTGGAGATAGGGTCTTAGCTTTTGCTGCCGAACATAAATCTATTTTTAGGTAAGGTTAAAAAGTGGAATAAGGGACTTCGTACACACGCGCCAGTCGGTCAGTGGGATTATCGGGTCGAAAGTTCCTATAATATGGAGAAATTCCAGCTGAGACTTTAGGTCCCTCTAAAACCCGGCAGACTTTTTTCCGTGGCGAGCTGTTCAAGTATTGCATCATAGTAGCTTACGCGTGCTGATACTTACAGAGCCCTACGACGCCCAGCCCTATCGCCTTACAATGATGATCCTACCGACTCGCTAGTTGGAATAGTCATACTTACTAGATTAAATATAGTAGCTTTAGTGTTAGTGCCAATTAACATTGTTAGTGAGGAAAAAGGAAATCCAAACACGCCAAGTCGAGCCAAGTTTTTGGATAGCAAGGTTGACCGTATTGCTTCGGACTATACGGCCAACAGGGCAAAGAGGTGCCGCGGTCATCATTCGTTAATTAGTTTATTAGGACACTAGAAGACATATTTTGCAACTTCTTCACAGTCCAAGTATCAAAATTTTGGCAGTCGCATCGTGATATCTGTTAGACTTCTCTCGATTGTCCTTCTGTGATTTCTCCACACCTCACAAACACGTCTGATCGGCAAACCATATCTTAGAACCATGTCTCGGGTATCCCAAGATGGTATCGCTCTTGATATCTTCGGCCAGATGCCAGCCACAGTCCACTCATATACGGGGATCACCTTATGTTTTCCCTTATTAGACGGCTCGCAACATCCCGCCGTTGTCAGCACTTTGACTGCTGGTCTCGAGCGTTTATCGGCGAGCTTCCCCTGGGTTGCTGGTCAAGTAACCAATGAGGGATCTGGAGAGGATAACTCGGGTATCTACAAGATTACACCATTCGAGAATATACCCCGTTTAGTCGTCAAGGATCTACGACAAGATGGCTCTATGCCGACAATGGGGGCTCTCAGGGATGCGAATTTCCCTATGAGTATGCTTGACGAACTTGTCATTTCTCCACGAGCTACAATCTCCCTTAGGCCACCAGAAAACGACCCAGTGCTTCTAATTCAAGCCAACTTCATAACCGGGGGTCTCCTGTTGACATTTTCGGCGAATCACAATGCCATGGACATGGCTGGTCAGGCGCAAGTGCTTCATCTGCTCTCAAAAGCTTGCCGAAACGAGCCTTTTACGCAGGAGGAGCTGAAAATTGGCAATTGCGACCGTCGCAATATTGTGCCTCTTTTGCAGGATTATCAACCAGGCCCTGAAGTTTCCCGTCAAATCGCGAAGAAACCAGGTCCACAGGCCCCCGCCAACAGCGGGGCAAATGCAACCAAACCTGCACCACCCAGGCCTCTAAAATGCACATGGGCCAATTTTATCTTCGATGCCGCCTCACTCAGCGCCCTGAAGGCACAGGCAGCAGAAACAGTCACATCCGGATTCATTTCCACTGACGACGCTATAACGGCGCTTATCTGGCAATGCATCACCCGAGCCCGGTCATCGCGTTTGGAGGGTCGCCCCGTAACCGAGGCGACGCTCGGACGCTCTGTCAACGTACGCAGCTATCTCGATATCCCAGAGACGTATCCCGGATTTATTCAGAACATGACATACCGCACCCTCAAGCTGCAAGAAGTCGCCGACGGCCCGCTCGGTGCCGTCGCGTCATATCTACGCGCAGGCTTAGATCGCGAGAGCATCAAATATCAGACCCGATCCGCAGCCACGCTGCTTGATAGCACACCGAATAAACGGACTATCAACCCTGTGGGCTCGCTAGACCTTACGGTGGATATTATTGTCTCTTCGTGGGTTAAAACGGGATGCTATGGACTTGACTTCGGTTTAGGGCTAGGAAAGCCCGAATCAGTTCGACGACCACGGCTCATGCCGCTTGCTCTTGACAGTCTAGTGTATTTGCTTCCAAAGGCACCTAGTGGGGAGATTGTAATTGCGATATGTCTGCGGGACGAAGATATGACCAAGTTGAAGGCAGATGAAACATTTGCCAAGTATGGTCGCTTTGGCGGTTGAGTCTCGAGATAAGGGGTTCTTATGTACTATAGTTAGCATCTAGTCCAAGGCGACTTTCCAGAAAATTAGACCACACATACCAATTCGAGAATTCTACTTATCATTTAATACTTGAATCGTGGCTGATTACTTAAGTGCAGCTGCCAAGAATGAGGCTCGAGTTAGCCCCTGAATGTCTTGGTTCAGGAGGTCGAATAGTCTCACCATCCGGTCATACCATCCAGTCATACCATGAATTATTCCTGTATGTATATCAAAATAGATTGATAGTATTTCCCGCTATCGGCGTAAAGTGGACCATTTTCACATCCAAGTAGTCGATCTAATAGATATCAATTAACTTTGTGTCATAGTTGCACTACAGTATAGAAGTTGTCTAACTCGTTAGGTAACTTCACGCCTCTTAATGGTTGGGACATTGATTCTGTAAAGCCACACACACCTACCTCACTAATTGCAAACTCCTTGATTCGATCAATACCTAGGTATAGTTTTCATATGACTTTTAAAACCATTGTATTTTAAGTTTATGCGAAAAACTCAAAACACAGCTGATCCAACGTGTCTTCGGAATTCTACTGCCCCGAATACTCCTCGAGAAGCATCGATCACGGTCTTGGTGATATTTGCATCCACGATGAACATTACGTCGACACCATCCTGTCCAATAACCGTACTAATAGACATGAGTTCTATGAAGTATGGTTCTCTAGTGGATTAAAACCTCATATTATGGCATATCAGTTGTAGGTAGGGTGTAAGTGGGATGTATATAGCCAGTATCACGAGACCGACGTAAAGAAATATGGCAATTGATTTATTCTGCGAATAATTCGCAGGTAAGTATCATCTAATGACGAAAATCCAATCAAGGCGACGTTTTCGGTTTTATGTCTCGGGTCAGGAAGTGTGCTAAAGGCAGATAAGAACATGTTGTCAACAAACGCTCGCTCGATATAATAAGAATTGCAATGCCGATATAGGTGTTTCTTAAGTATTAGATACCTACGTACTAACTTAACATATGTAAATATACCTAGATGCCAAGAGTATCCCAGCGTTGACATATTCACCTAGGTACGAAATAACTTCGTCCGATGTTGCATATAATACCTAGATAGTCTACTCCGTCCGGAAACCCACGCCCTATTTATTTCCTTTTTTTCACTTTGGGCCATTTCCAATAGTATACCTACCTAGTTATATAAGGAAAGCATTTTACATTGTTATTCTGGCCTCCCTTTAAGATGGCGGAGAAAGGAGGGGGGGGGGGTCGTGGGTGCAGCGTCGGCGTCTTTACCACACAGTTCCCGAACTATACTAGCATACTAACATGAGAACATAGCACACTCTGACCGACTGCGAATAGCCTTACCTTTAGATAATTAGGTACATTTGCAAAATTAAGTAGGTATGTAAATAGCTATTGGTTTGTATATAGTGGAGAGTGGAGAGGGGTCGCCAGCAAGCTTGGCGAATGCTCTGCAAATATTCTATAAATAAGTAATTTTTATACTATGCCCTTAGCTCAACTCCAGATTGTCGCTCGCTTCTACGGCGATAAGAGTTCCGATGAATGATTCCTATACCCTCCATCACGCAATACACTCTAGGCGCTAGACTTCCGACATCCGATAGCTATTGCTAGATTTCGTATGAGCTATCGCTTCTATGAATTGCTCATAATAATCGCCGCTTTTTCTAGTAGACTTCTTAAGGTATTTCATCAAAGGCAGCCTTTTACAGTTTCTTCCCTTCATTTATATGTTTTGCAATTAATTTCTTCTATTACCTATCTACTACTGACCGATGGAAACACAAGGGGAACATTTTATACCCCTAAGTCAGCCAAAACTCTTGCCTTTCAGAGCAGGCCTAAAAAGGAGTTTCGAACTAGCGGTAATATTAGCAGGAGGTAAAGCACGGGAAGACCTCGTAGTACCTACCTGGGTAGGCAGTTAACAAAGCCACTATATCGATATACTTAATTTCTAGGAGACAGAGACGTATTTGGTCTCTATTAGCAGGATGAACATAGTGCCTTGAGCTGAATAGATGTCCGTCGACAGGTAGGTTGAAACGAAATTACTCTAGACTCTGTGTACGATCCAAAAATTCCGAGTCAGTTCTCGATTCCTGCACAGATTATTCTCAAACACAACGCGTTCATACACCATCCTCATGCCATCAGTATTCATTATGCGGCCATTTCTGCCACATGTTGCAACTAAAAATATCATTATTAAGCTAGGCCAAGAGGATGGCCTTCGGGTTTACGGGATTGTTGCATTCTCAGCCGCTCTACGAAACCGAAGATGGAAGATTCCGCGCTAGTTGATACTAACAGTGGACATCGTGGGTACATTTTCTCTTGAACAGCACGATATATCGGAGATTACACAGGAGGCAAAGCTTTGCATGAGCTGGTTCCGCGCGGTTCGATTTAGACGCTGCCTCGCAAACCATAGCCTGTCGTAAAAAAACAAACGCACATTAAGCTTTTCCCCAGAAATCAGATACGGGGACAGCAGGGTTAGGTACAAAAATAACAATGGGAATTGTCTAGGTGTACCTGGGTATACGGTATACTAGACAACCGGATATTACCTAAACTCCAATGTAACAAAATAAATAAGCTTATAATCCACGACCTCCCCCAGAAAGAGTACGGCACAGTCGTAGTTCGGCTATGAAATGCCATTGAGCATATACCGTAAACTGCTAGCCTGCAACGCCGCAATACCGCAATACCCTTAATCTAATATGTGATACCCACTATAGTATGTTTGTAATCCTTACATGGTGACTTCTGATTGGCTCTGCCCTGGCAATAGGATTACCGCCGCAGTTCGGGATATAGGTATTAGCTAAAGATATCCATTTCCCCTACCCATAGAAGCACGTCTCCATACTGAGCCGGATTACGGAACCTGGTTGCGAGCTATGGCTCTCGGCCGATACAGAATCGAGAAGGCGCTGAGGCTGTTTTTATCTTTCGCATCTTGAAAATGACTAACAGCGACTGAGTAAGGAGATTAACTAATCCTTCATAACCCATATAACACAAAAAATAGTATAACCAGGATAACGAACTTGCAAACCACTACCTTTAGCAATTTCCTACTTAGGTAATCACGAGCAGTAAACAAATCCAAAATCCACCAGCATCATTATTTTCGGAATTGACTGAATGGTTAACGCTGCCACTAAATAAACCATTTTTCAGGGCTGATCATTTCTATGTGATCGGCAATTAGCTATTAGCCGTCATTGGTCTCTGCGTATTTTTTTTAGGTAGAACTTACCTATACGGTTAATGCTCTTAGTGCTTAGCGGAGAGCTCCGCAGGCTTTGACTTATTAAGCCACTAAAGTCATGCTCCTAGCTGTGCCGGAACTCTTTTTTCTTACCAACAAACTGCCAGCGAAGAAGACCCTCTCCAGATCCACGTGACCCCAGGTCTTGTGTTTGACATGAAACTTTAGAATATTGGAAAAAAGACGAAACATGGATGGATCCCGAAGAATCCCAAGCTTTCGGGCGGCGTAAACAAAGTAATCTAGAAATAGAATTAAAGTTAAGCTTAGCGTTTAGCGTAGGATCGATCGGCATGAATAAGTACTTTTGTATCTGCAGTACTTAGGTACAAAGCCCTTGATTCCGTAATTATGGGTCACGTGGGTACGGGATTAAGGCCTTGTTAGTCATTTTCCGCGAACGGATTTCGGATTTCGGCTCGTCTCCAAACAATCAACCACATCATTTTGCAGTAAATTTGGTAAATTCGTCCGTTCTTCGAAGGCGGAGAAACTGATCAACCAGCCTAACAATGAAGCTAGCTGGCGCTTCTTACTCGCTAAAAGTGCGATTGCGGATATGATGTCAATCATTCAATCCTTACTGTGGCTAGCATACACGAACGATGTTTACTGATGTTCAATCATTCAATTTGCCGGTCGCTGAGCTACAAGGCGAGGCCATTAGTGTTGAGTCAGCCTTTACGTTTCGAGAAAACGCTCATTCAAGGTCTAATGTCATAAAATTGAAGATGAAGTCCTACATATTAGGACTGAAAGCATTTCCAAATACGACAGCATGGCGCCAGCAAACAATTTCGCAGCCACGTGGTATACTGCCTCTACAGGTTACGTCGAAAGAGTAGTTTCCTTCTAGAAGCCTTCCTGTTAGCGTTTCAAGGGACCTTTGGACAGCTTCAGCTCAGTTCAGCTCATAACCCTGCGGTGTGGGACACGTGGGATTGGTCGCACAGATCTCGCGTCTCTAGCCCTGGCAGTTTCAAATCTCATCGTGATCGACATAATTTAACCCGAATTATACTACCTACCAAATAGAGACCAAGTGGCTGAGCTAATGACCCCCCCGAAGGGCAACGGACGCCAAGGCGATGCGGCTATAGATAGAAAATTGCCGGTACTTTGATGACATAACAGGCATGTGGTAAGGGTGACATAACGGTTCAACACAGTACTGGAAGGAATTAAACGCCTGCTGACGGAACCAAAGCGTGACGTTTACCCATTGACTCCAGTCGCCGTATAGCTTGGTATTATAGGTACCACCCAAAACAGTGCGACGCCTACCAATTTCGAAGTACCTTCGCTCTGCCCGTTGACGGGGTCCCTAGCGCATCCAAATTATTATTCAGAATCATGAACCTTAGCTCTATTGGAACATTACCCTATCCTAAAAGCGGGACCTATGCTCTGAAGTATTATGCTAGAGCGTCAGGTGGAGCACTGGCAATACAGGCCTTCCGCCGCCCAGGGTCGGCGACGTTTAACGGAGAGCTTTGAATAGTCACTGCCATGCTCTATTGCAGCTGCCATCTTATACATATTTATCAGCATCCGCACTCAGCATCCGGAAGAATGTTGAGAACACCACGCCAAACACAATAATCACAGAGACAAGGAACAATCTCAACAACCATAACTATTTACAACTACCTATTACAACATAATGGCTCGCGTTAGACGGAACTGGACGCCTGAGGAGGACGCTCTTCTCCGATCGGTTGTCAATAATGGTAGGTGCTTCATCGGCCTTACCGTAGAGTATTATGTTAACAACATTTAGCTATGGCTCAATCTCGACCACTTCTATGGCGAGAGTTGGCCAAATCCATACCCGGACGTTCTAACAAGGACTGCCGACGAAGATGGTGGAACACACTTGCAGACTGCACGGCTAAGGGTTCGTGGTCTGCCGAGGAGGACGCACGGCTCATCGAGGCCGTTCGCCAATATGGTCCCAACTGGGGCCAAGTCGCACGGGCTGTTAAGTCGAGGAACTCGGATCAGTGCTCTAGCCACTGGAGCCAAGTGCTCGACCCCAGCATAAATCACTGCGACTGGACTGAAAAAGAGGTCATTCCCACCCGCTCTCGCATTTTATTGTTCTATGGTCGCTGACGGTCGACCCCAGGATTCCGATTTGCTTCACGCAGTTCTCACACATGGTACCAACTGGACTACCATCGCAGCTTCTCACACTCCCCGAAGAACCACACTAGCTCTCAAGAACCGATACTCCACGCTACGATTAAGACACGAGAATGGTGGAAAGTCTAAGGACCGAAGTGTCTCAAGGGCGTTTTCGGTTATGTCTAGCAGCTCCGAAGGCACCGCCGCAACCACTCAACGAGACACAAAGACCCCTCAACGAACCGACGATGACGAATATGATGAGGACAAGGAGTACGAAGACAGTGTAGACGAGCGCACAGAGGACGCAAATGCCACCATCATTGGTAGCCACATAAACGGTTTAGGCATGTCGACATTGAACTCCTGGGCCAACCCTGGTCTATTGACGCCTCCTACTTCTATGCACAACGGCACATCTTGCATCTCTACACCGAGCTGGTCGGGCGAGACGATCGACACTCTTCACTACGCCAACCAATACCCTCTCGACTCACACTCTTCCCCATACTTGGGACTTGGAGGAGAGGAATTCTTCGGTGTTGGTCACGACCTAGCGGGAATGGGCACCTGCGCCCCTTACGCAGTATATGGTCAGTAATTTTACGACATACTCTAACGCACGGAATATCGGCTAACATTTACAAAGGCGGAGACTCGATGCACCTCAACTACTCTCGCTCGCCTAGCTGCTCCCCTCCTTCGCAAACTTCGTCGTCGACACCCTCTATCAGCGGTCACCTAATGGACCCCGAGACCGCTCCTTCTACACCACCTTCATGCATGACAACCCCGAGCTTTACCCCTCCTGCTCAGTTCGACGATTTTAACACTTGCTCAGTCACCATCAACGCGAACTGCACGACATTGCAACTCGAAGCGATCATGAAGAGCCTATCCGGCATCAAATCGAACGTTAAGATCGACCCTAGTTCACTATAAATATTCAACACCTATTTCATCTAATATTCACCAATTCATCACCCGTATATATATCTCCGACATCGAATCAACACGATGTATCATGACGAATGATACGAAACCTGCCCGGCGAGCAGATGGGATAGAAAGAGGACTTGAAGTCCCGTATATTTGTTTGCATTTACAACTACATTTGTTTTTTTACACAGCGGGCGTTGAAAGGAAAAATAGAAAACCGGCAACGGTTAAAGGGTGCATCGCATACTTGATCTAGCATTTACATTTTGCATTTTAAACGGGCATATACGCCCTCAAGATACCACTGCAGCATTTCTATTTTTTCTAGTTAGAATTAGAATATATTAGAGGCAGTAGTCCTTGGATCTTTACATCTCACCCCCTTTCCAGTTCATTTTTTGTGACATGCCAAGTGTTTACTGAACTTCACCTGACCTCGGTGATTTGCTGATCATTTCAGTTTCTCGGTACGAGCGCTTACTTCTACATCTAGGCCTTGTCTGCTTACCACAATTTCTGAATGCATCATCGCACTCACTATCGCCATCATCATCAACATCAGCATCGATCTTAATATCGCCATGTTTTCGCAATAAAACTTAACCGAATTATTATGTACAACAAAAGGAAGGTAGTAAAGATTTTTCATCATAGCCTACCCTTGGAAATTAGGTACCAGAGAAACTAGGTACTCTACAAGGAGACTGGTACGTAAGCCAGCGTGTGTCAGCACCCATATTATTATTCTATACTCCTTAGATATAGACCAGTGTGGTTTTAAGAAACTTTGAAGCGGCTCAGCAATGCCGGTCCTGCCTCTCCGAGTTACATCGGCGCGTTTGTTATCCGAAAATCGCCTAACACCGAATTGACACTATAATCCAACCCCCGGAATTTGTTTACTACCACTCCCCAGAATTATTACCAGGGTTCTGGTAGCTCGTAAGAACTATATCGGGGCTTATCCAAATCATACCTGAAATACTGTTTAAAAAATGACAGACAAGGGCCGGTCGGGTCATATTATTCCACCGTATCGTACCGTAATCGCTCGAACGTACCAAGATGGGTATATTCGAGCTGACTTATGTCATATAAGCGGTGTGAATTTGGGCAATGCTACATGGTAATATAACAACATGCTTACCTGCCACTCTTTTTCCTTTAATTGTGAGTTTTCCCCTCTAGGACTGCTTTTCTTTCAATAAAAAGTCCTACGCTAAATATCACAGCTTTTTTATGTGTTGTCATTTATTCGCACAAAAGGCGATAGGCTATCTCGTACGGACAGTAAAAAACTCCAATCTGGTCAGCCGTGATGGGATTTATTGTCTGCAAGTCACGAGGCATCCCCGTACAAATATGAACTAATGGGGAAAATGCTTCCTCTTATCACATCTGTCCATGCCGCAGGGCCTTCGATCAGCTCAACCCTTGACATCGTTGCATTCGCGCACGTTGCGAAAGATGTTGTGTCTTATATCGCATTTCTCCTCAGTAAGCTTAAGTGCTGTAAGAGCGCTATTATCATGTTCGAAATGCTTCGCACTTATGAAGGACTATGAGGGTGCGAGGATGGATTGGCCAAGGGTCATGCAGCAAGGAGGATTGAAGATCGGGATTACCGTACCCAACCCTTCTAGAAATTCATAGGTCCCTTCGTATTTTTGTTCTCATCTAACTCGATTAGATACTCAGCCATAACTATTTACCCATAATCATCGAGGCGCATACAGTCAAATGGGCCTCTTACATAATGCATAGTGTAGGATTGCTATGCCTCGAACGAGCCGCCAATGAGTGTTAGTAATCGTTCATTAATTATGTAAGAGTATTATGAAGAGGCAGCGGACATCAGTAGTTCAAGTCCTCCATGAATAAGAGTCGTTAAATGTTCTGGTTAGGATATCGGAACATATCTTGGCAAAGTCTCTTTACTAGCCCAAGTGGAAAATGCTCACTTCCGAGACAACCGACAAAGGGTTCCTATATTTCCATTACGGATCTCAATACCTGGTTACTACGCATTTCAGGTTCGCCTCGGGTACTCACAATAACATGATCGTAAAATCCTCACCTGGCAAGACGCGCGATGGAAAATGCCTGATAACTCAAGTTCTTCCGCTCACCGCATCGCGTAGTTATCGCATTATCGTCAAATCTTCCCCCAGAGGATCGATAAGAGGGAAGTGGTGACGTATCAGCCTCCAGATCTACCGATACGCGATCCTTCGGAACCAGAACGTTACTCCGAGCTGAAGAAAAAAGTTAACCCGGCCCTCTCAGTCTTCAATCTCTCCGTATCAGGATTCTACATGGGATTTATAGTTATATTCGAAACAACCGCTGAGACGGTGTTCGAGAATCCTCAAGAATTCGGAGGTACATACCTGCAATGTCCCTTTTGGGATAGAGGATCGAGTCTGCAGCAGCGATTTCGGACTAAACCGATCATGAAGGAGTTGACTCCATAATATGGAATATTCCATAGGATTTAAGGTGATTCTGAAGCGAATTATCCCCAGACGCAGCATATCTGTAACGGCCAATATCCTACAGGATGGTTTTATCGCGTTATGATGTCATTGAAGAACTCATGATGCGACGCGTCGGTACCGACGAGAATCTTCCTCTGGAAAGTCGACCGAGGGTTTCGGGATTATTGGAATTAGAATGCAAAGAATTCCTGGAGTAGCGAATTCGTGACCTCGTAGCTCGTGGATCACGCCGAGAGCGTCTGAGAGCTAAGTCACGGAGATATTACTAAATCATGTTTAAGTTCGAAAATATCATGACCCAATCTTGAGCGTCCGTATCATCCGAAGCCCGATTCACCCGAAATCAATCACAGCAATTTTATCTCGCGACGAAACATCCTACGACTCTCGCAACCGCTATAATCATCCCAGTAGACTCAATAGTTGATTAATTAATAAATTCATTAATTATGAAAAGCATCATCAATCGTAGACGAAATAAATCGTAACCATATCCTTCCTAGGGCATTCAACACCCTACACCAATTGCTCAACGCTCACCGCCCACCACGCATTCATTCATGAACAAAATAAATAAGAAAAATCTAATACTCAAGCCGTATAAGAATCGTCAAAATGAGAATATAAATAAGAGAAAATCGTTCATTGATCATGACCCATGATATCATCCATTTCGCTTCGCTGTCGTGTAACAAAAACAACGAAAAAGTGTCGTGCCACCGAGAATTAATTATCGTGATCCCACATCCGTCAATGCGCGTCCCAAAACCCCCATTAGTCCACCAGCAGGTCTTAATAGCCCACCAAAGGTCTGCGCGAGCTCACTGACAAGAGCGGGGTCCGGCTCGCCGATAGTCCTCCAGGCCCCACGTACGTGCCAGTCGTTCTCGTCGCGCGGGTTGTATTCGAAGTTACCCTGTCTTGGAATGCTATTAAGTGCGCTGCTGTACTCGTCGTCATTGATGGGTCGCCCAGAAGCGTCGAAACGATCGGGCAGATATTCAATGTCGTCTTCATCGGAGTTAGGAGATTCGTCGCGCCGCCTCCTCCTCCGTTGGACACGAGGGCGGTTAAATGAAGTATCTGAGTCCGAGCGTCTACGCGAGTTCCGAGGGCGGTTCATACGGGCTACCTCCTCGTCCTCGTTGTCATTTTTAGTAGCGACCGCTAGTGACCGTTCATCATTTTGTCGGCGATGTCTTCGGAGGGTCTGGGAGGACTTAGGAGAGAGGGGACCGAATTTAACTCTGGAATTGGGAGAAGGACCTGAGGATATGCCTCTTGTCGAGGATCTTGAGCGCGACCGTGACCGACTACGAGATCTTACACCATCTAGAAAATTTGTCAGAAATTGTTGAATTTTAGTATATGCTAGAACAAAGGCATATCACGACAATAAGCAAATCAAACTCAAGGAGACGCACCCTGCTCAGTAGCCGCGCTCCGAGAGGCATCGGGAGGGGATTCAATGTCACCAGAGCGTGGACGACTCACATGTTCTGGCCCAGGCCGGTCTGCCGGTCCTGAAGGCGGGGGTCCGGTTGGTGGTCCGGGTGGCGGGGGAAAGTTCATCGGAGGTGAGCCCGCATAGTCCTGAGGGTTATATGGTGGGTAAGGGGTGTATGCATTGACGTTTGGCGTAGAGAGGTTGGAATGCTGCGTAAATCCGCCTGGCCCAGCAGGTGGCGGTTCAGTAGGTTGAGTAGGCGGAGGTGGATAGTATGCACCGCCAGACGCGTGGGGCGGCGATGGTGGTGCATCATAATCACCGTAGTATGGATCATCCGCTGCTTCCTCTTCATAACCTGTATCGCGATTAACTAAGTGGCTTCAAATTGGGAAAGATTTTCACATACGTCTCCGTTGACGGTCACGAGATCGCCTGGCCCTACGCTTTTCTCGGTCTCGGTCTCGGTCTTCCCTTTCTAGGGATCTATTTTGACTTCTTTCTCTAGATCTTTCGTCTCGTTCTTTACTCTTCTGGCGGTCCCTATACTTCTTGATACCTATCGCTGCCGCTGCAGTACCAAGCCCCGCAGCCGCAAGTTCACGAGCTCTGCTGCGGCTCCTCTTCTTCTGGACGTCTCGGTCGGATCCGGAAGCCGATCGTCGGCGGCGGTGGCGGCGCCTTGGCTCGTCGCCGGCAGAATCGTATTCCTTAAGAGGTTCACTCCCGTACTCCACTCCTGGAATGACGGGAACCAGGCCTAATTCTCTATCAGCCGTAGAGTCTCGAGAATGCGAATGACGACTGCGAGACCTGGAGCGGGATCGACTTCTTGATAAGCTTCGATCTCTGTCAGAATATTCCTCATCTTTCAATTCCCTATCGTGTTCTCGCTCTTTCTTCTCTTTATGGCGTTCCCAGAGCTTGCTCGCTGCAGCACCAGTCAATCCAGCGGCAGCAATCTCAGCACCTAATAACAGTGAGAATCAATTCCCACCATAAAGTTATATTTAATGCTCACCTGTTCTCAAGCGGGACTTGGACCGAGACTTTCCTCGGGATTTAGACCTATAATGTTCCAGTATACCAGCGACAGCACTAATACACCGAGTCGTTAGCAATGTGACTTGGGGCAATTACCTTTTGAAAAATACGTATAATCAAGAAGATTGCACTAGACAAAATACTATTCGACCGTGTAAGATACTCACCTAGTTGCTAAGGCTGCCTTAGCCGCATTGGATTTGCTATGGGGGCGGCTACGCTCAGATCGACTTCGGGATCTTGAATAATCGTCAACAGAATGGCGGCGTCGCGCACGTCCACGGTTGGCCTCTTCTTTTTCAACCTTATTGTTTTGCATGTACTTGAGGCCGCCAGCGACGGCTAGAGCAGCAGCACCCTATTATCGCATCAGCATATGTCTTCTATGATTCCCAAAACGGTGGCAATGACTTACAATAGCTAACCCAGTCGCCAATCTGCTCCGTGACTTGCTGCGGTGTCGGTGTCGGTGGTAATCGTCGTCGTAGTCATCTTCATATCGGTCTTCATATCTATCCTCATATGCACTCTTAGCACGGCGCACGGCTTCGGTACCTAATGCGCCTAAAGCGGCACCGGCAAGGACTTTTCGTCCTCTATGTTCTTGGTGATCGCCGTTGCCGCGACCTCCGAGCAGAGCGGTGATACCAGCACCAGCGAGAGCGCCTTCAGCAAGATGACGTCTTTTGTGGTGGTCAGAGCTTGAGCTACGTTCACGCTTGATGACAGTTCGCTTGACATAATAGTCTTCTTCGTAGCCATCGCTCTCATATTTTCGATCATCACGGCGACGTCTGTATTGATAATCATCTTCTTCCCGGCGTTCAGGACGGCGTTCAACTTCGTGGCGTTGATCTCTAAGGACAATGTATGTGGGTTCCTGGCGTGGCATAATTACAGGGGGGGGAGCGGGAGCCTCATGAATGACAACCTTTTGTTCGGGAGCTTTTTGACGAATTACGACAGGTGCTGGTGGGGGAGACGGAGCTGCATAATATTCGGTTTCCCGTCGGTATCGCTCAATATCTTCATGAGGTTCTCTTTCCCTAATTATTCGGCGTTCGAACTCGATATCTCGCTCCTTGTAATCGCGGGGATCATCCCTACGCTCTTCCACGGTCTTCTCCTTGACCTGAACATCGCCATCAGGATCCTTTCGGACAACCCGTTTATCAAGGCGAACATCCGTTTCTCGAATATCGCCCCATGGGTCTGCCGAGCGACGGTCCCAATAGTGATCGCGAGGCGATGTAGAGGTTTGTCTTATTTCTTCGATGACTGTAGTTCGGCGTTCGGGATAATAATCCCTGTCGATATCGCGGTCTCGCTCGTACTCGACAGTTCTGTATCGGTCGTGTTCTGATTTCGGTCGCTCGGGGTAGTGTCTATCCACGCGGCGATCAATCTCTAACAGATCGGCGGATGAACGGCCGGCATGGGAATGCGAATATCTTGACCGGCGATCATCGTCCTCTTCGAGGCGCTCGACGCGATCCCGTTCGACGACCCTATTGCCGCCTTGTCCGCCGCTAACTTTGTATCGTCTTATAGTTGTAGTTTTATATTTCTCGTCATCGGACGAAGGACTTTGATCTCTTGTATAGCGCACATCGCGCTCGCGATAAACTTGAGACATGTTGTCGCAAGTCCCCGACAGTCCGGGTAGGTTACAGTGACGTCACGATGTGTGGGTATATATAATTGATTTCGAGAACAGCGAAAAGGAAATAGAATCCGTACTTCGCAAAAATAGTAGGTGATATGTTCGACTATGTAAATCAATATCAAATGGCAGATACGTATATACGTATTATATATATCGCACGGAAAAGAAGGCTGGTGATGATGTGGGATGATGAATGGTGTCACGCAGGACCTCCGGGCATTATCTAAAAAGCTGGGCTGGTTCAGGGAATGGCCGGGAAGGGCGATGAGCGAAGAACGAACGAACAACTGGGAAAATTGGGCAAATGAGCGCGATGTTTCCCGAGGGGGCGCCGACTGTGACTCTACCAACTCTTAGGTGCATGTAGCTAGTAGGCCATAGCCATAGCCCAGTCCAAGTTCAGCGCAGATATTTGGATTTTACTTGGCATTCGGAGCTTTTGTGGAGGGGGATGAGTGAGACTTGACGTGACTAAGTGACTAAGTGACCAACGGACCCAACCGACTTCTTGTTAGCAGGTTAGCCGCTTGTCAACCCTGCCCTGCCTCGTGGCTATTTAGTCTGCCGACTTGCCCACTTCATAGACAAGTAAGAACAAGTAGGTTCTCGAGGCCTCTTCTTTACTTTCTTTAGATTATTACGACGATTGCTTATTCCCAATTAATCGGGAACGGTGGATAGTGTACGATGAGTTGTTCGCCCAATGCTGTACTTTGGTTTATGTTGTGTAAAGGTGCATTGGTGAGGTCTCGTATGGGAGTTGGAAGAGTGACGCGACCGATTCCTTCTTCCTCTCTCAGCTTTCAATATTTCTAGTGCGGGGTCCCCGATCTGGCCGATCTTATTCGATATTTCCTGATATCCAACAGAGCCCCGCCTTCTATACGATTCTCTGTTATATGTTGGTCAATCAAGACGTTGGAATAAAAAAAAAATTGAAACACTACCATAGCCTCAAAATACCTAATTGAAAAACTTCCTATATTCGGGAAAATACCAAACACCGATACGTAGGACTTAATTCTCGCCGCATCGCATTAGGCAGACAAACAGGTGATGATGATAGTGATTTTAAAAAGGTGAGACTTTTTTTTCAGCGTCTTGTGATCACTGCCCAGATGTTTTAGTTGGGGCTGTGGTGGCACCTTGTCTCGTTTGGTAGGGTTTTATTGGTGGCTGAGTACACATTTTGCGCAGCTGCAGCCTATACCCTTGTATGTAAATTATACGTAGAGGGGTCCCGTGTTTGGCTCTTACCTTAGAAATGCATTTCTCTAGTTCATTCCGAAATATTCTTTTTCTTCTTGAGAAATTCTAAGACTCCGACGGAATACGTGATTTCTACCTGTATTCATGTTATTTCCTTCAAATTCTCGTGTTTCATTAAGTATGTGCAAGGAGTATACCAAGATCTAAACACAATTAGTAAGTGCCACTTGTGTTAGATCAAGGCACCTAAGGGATGCAATGTCGTCATTGCTGTTCTTCACGAATGAGCTTAGCCTAAATGGTTCTAGAACTCCAGCCAAAGAAACGGCTTCCCAGGTTAGATTATTTGACTGCCGTGGCAGCCGTGGGATCTAGCCACTAGGTCAGGGAACTGTTTTGGAGAAAGTGGGTTCAGTTCGTTCATCGTTCATCGCTCTTTTCCTCTGAGATGCCATCATCTCATGTTTAATATTTTAGTAAGTGGTCTGTGCGCTGTCTATTTGACAGGTGGGTTCTCCAACTTAAGCACCTTAGCTAAAGTTTAGAACAAACATAGAACTTACACTATCATACCTCATTCATTATCAATTCAGTAGAATCTTAGATTCTACATGTCAATTATATACAACTCAACTACTTCCCTTACATCGGCATTCATCGCTTGATAATCCCGCGATCGTCAAGAGTTGACCGTCATTTCTTATGGCCACGTTCTCAAGTCGTAATCCATTCCCTGGTTGACGACAACAAAGTACGCGAAAGCTGGTTCCACAGACCATCCTTCAAACGAACAGGCCCCGAATATTCTTTACCACATTCGCCGATTAATCTTATAAGATCGGACGAGGCTGAAATGCTTGTCGAATTTATCAGAATGCCTAGGCTATGCTGGAATAAGCTTACCTATTTATCATAGAGGCGCATCGCCTGTGCCACACACGTAGTGACAATCCAATCCACAGCACGCGCGTTGGGTTGCGTGAGTTTACATGAGGCTTGGTTTCTGCTTACATACCCCATATTCTAGCCAACGGTCGACCTATCGACCTAAATGAACTGAACCGCATTGTCATCATCGAAGGCCTAGATATTAAATTAATCAATCTGAGAGCCCGACTCGGTGGGCGCATAGATACCCTTGAACGGTTTAAGCTCTTCTCACTCCACTATAATCCAAGATATAGCCAACTAATTAGATGATTGTCCTCGTCTAATAGATTGCTCCGGTGGACTCACCGGTGAACTCACCAAAATAACATCATCTCATCCATTTCGTCAACAACGCCACCGGTTCTTACGTCCATGAATATTTTATTCAAACGGGATAGAGGATAGGATGTTTCTTAAGTTGGAATTGCACGAATGCATCCCGCGTTAAAGTCCGGCTATGTGAGGAACGGATCATATTTCTAGGATATACCGCTTTAATGAGAGTTAGCCGGCTCGGCTGTTTCAACATGATGAGCATGCATGTCCTATTCAACTGGTGTCCATCCATCTCGGCTAGAGGATGTGGTGGTCGATCCCTAACATAATCCCTTTTCTCGAGCAGCACGCCTCAGAGCTCTCTTAGCCCATTCGACCCCCCTCAGCCTAATCTGCGTGCGTAATGGGTTGTTCATCTCTTCGTACGATGGTGGTTATCCGGTTCCATAGGTGACTAGACGATTCTCGCTGTTTTCATACCTCCGCCTTGGCTTGATTGTCATGAGGCTATGATGCATTTTGCTTTTTCTATTCGCAACTCCACAAATCCACCCCGCAACTCCAGATTCAGTACGGGGTAACATTCCATTTTATTCAAGGTCACAGTCTAGACTGTATCCGTCAACACGGTCGAAAGTCGGGATAAATGGGTAAATAGAGGCGCCTTACCTAAACATATATCCTAACAAGACAGTCTTCAGATTCTACAAGCATAACATGATCTTAGTGATTCCTTTACGTTAAAATAATTGCGATCGAGACAGGGACAGATGGCATCACATTCGCTTATACACCTCTTCCAACAGTATAGATGACGCGTCAAATGTAGTATCAGGTACGGAGCGGACATCGGTTAATTTGGGAAGTAAATTACCTACGTCGATCTACGTCGTTTCAAGCTATCGACACTAACCAGAGTAGGCGTGCGTCGAGCCCGGTAGACTGTGAACGACGCGGGTGTCTACATTGAACGGAGTAACGAGCGATCTAAAAACTCCTTGCGATGCCACATGGCTTTGCTACTTTGAGCCTTGGCAAAGCTTGTTCCGATGTGCCTGCATGTCTTGGTCCGGGCTTCTAATATGCCACCAGTCTCCGTCTAGAATTAGGTAACGTGTCGACGCCGAGTTGAGCTTTCGTGGTTGCAGTCGTAATGGGCTTGCGTCGGGGAAGAGCTTCATCTGCAATTTGTAAGTAATTTGCCGAAAAGCCTCATCCCTGAGCTCACCCTTGGGCAAAGATCTACGCACTGCGGTGTGTTAGAGGAAGGACTTCTCCGTCAAGTCAACTCAGAATGTGTATATAAGTCGGCTTCAAGGACCTCTTCATCTTGTTCAAATCAGACAACCAGGCAATCATCGGGTCGAGTCACTACTGGGAACTTCTTGCTCATCTCAAAAAACATCCATCAAAATGAAGGGAATCGTCGCTCTCCTCCTTGTCGGCCTTGCCGCTGCCGTCCCCGTCAACAACGCTGAGCCCAGCGAGGACGCTCGCAGTATGTTCTTAAACTCTACGATCGTGAATAATCTATTGACACCAACAACTTAGCTTCGCGTCCCCACCCCACTGGTCTCCCCAGCGGTCTTCCCACTGGAGGCTGGAGCATTCCTCCTCTACCTTCCCTCTCGTGGCCCTCTGGATCTGACTGTAAGAGACCCCACCACTTGTCTTTCTTTAGGGTATAAGCTAACATGATAACTAGTCCCTGGCTGTACGTAAAAAACAGGTTTCGTGTTCCGGACTCTGAATACTGACAAACTCCGAATAGTCCCTGAGCCAACTGGCCGCCCGACTGGTCGTCCTGGTCGCCCTACTGGCGGTCCTCGTCCTACCAGCCGCCCTCACCCCAGTGGTGGCCCGCGTCCCACTAGCCGTCCTCACCCAACTGGTCGTCCCACCGGTCGTCCCACTCCCCCCGGCAGTGACCGTAAGTTCTCTCAAATTCTTTAGCTCGCTACCTTATTCCATGATTCTAACTACTATACAGTCCCCGAGCCCACTGAAGCCCCCCAAATCTAAGTGATATCCCAAGCTCGAAGACCCTGTAGATAGGAACAGTAGTCCGAAAAGCGAAATATTATAGCTACTGTCCCACACATACAAGACGAAGAGAAAATAAATAGGATGGATATGGGGTATTCTATTATTCTTCATTAGCAAGAAAAGGCAAACGACCGGGGCTTTTCTAGTCCCGGCAATGTTCTTGCACTTAGTTCTTACATCCTCTAGCTTTGACTAGTTGTATTATGAGAGCATACAAAGGTTGTTACGGTGTTACCTAAGTGTTACTTGTTGAGTTGTGATGCCTCTAATTGAAATTGCCTTACTATAAAGCATCTAAACTTGTAAGTACCTGGATACCTGCCCAGGTGGTGTATTTTTCACTTTCACACATGTAATGTATTATGACGCCTTAGAGTTTATTCAAAAACTGCCAGGGGTCTTATTTCCCTGTCCAATTGACACGCGTACTTTAATTCGGCCCGTCGCTGCCAGTAAACTTTCAAGAGCTTCTAATTTAACTTGAGGCAAGTAGCATCCACAATCGAATGTGCCTGCATACACATGGGAAGGGAAAGAAGAAAGGGGTAATTATTTAATTCCCTGTTTTAATGCTAATGCAATTTGATCTACCATTTTCATCACCAAACAATCACATCTCTAGTAAACATCCGCCTCTTACTCCGCCCTCCCCTTGTTCCTATATACTATCACTATTGTGAAAATAGTCGTATCTAGTAGTAATTACTTACCTACTTCTCCATCTTCTCTTGAGACATCACTAAGTACCTACCTTCCATGGTATTTGCCTCACCCTCGCATTGCAATTCCATGGTTCCCTAGTTCGCCTTGATTCTCCCCGCCACTGAGTGATACAGTGGTGGCAGCAATACCGGCGGCAGACAGAGAACGGGCCGAACACCTAGCTAGAATAGATAATCCCGGTTCCACTACGGAATTCCTACCCCTACTACCGTCATCGGGGCGATATCACCATGGAGTTTAATCCGATGGCGAGGTTGCATCCTAGCAACTCGACTCCGACATTGAAAGTTGCCAACGACCGTCCGCCCTCCATCCATACCACAGGGTCAAGGGGTAGACTACATCGTCATGAACTATTGAAGCCGGGCGCTTCCACGGATTAGTTACCCAAGGAATCACCAGTACCTCCGGTCTTGACATCTGGTCCATCGGAGCAGACGGGGAGGAATATTTCCATTAAGCACAGATTTTCAGGTGTTTCAGTTCCTACAAGGAAGTCTTCCAAGGCCAATCTCGCAAGTCAAAGCCCAGATGGCCCCGTTCTCGACAATCCCAGGCGACCAGGGATAGTGTGCATTGATCCCACGATACACCCTCCAGGCGCTCATGCAGAAATTCATCACCCTGGATTGGTTGTCGGCGCCGACTTTTGTGATGCTGGGTTTGTTACCGATCGTGATTCTCCGATCAGGACACCGCCAACCAAACTTTCTCCGGTTAATCCGTCTAAACCCATACTCACGGGGCGAGTCCGTCGCCTTCTTTCGGGAGGAGACACCTGTGAAGAAATAGTGGACGTTTCCGAGCATGTCCACAAGAATCATACCTCCGCTGTCAAAGTTCGTCCAGCCACCGGACTACTTCCCAGAGTTGATGCGACTTATAGAGGCCACGCTGGCATATCAAAGGTTCAGCCTGCTGATTACGGAAACACCAAAGTAGATAAGGAGATCATTCACCAAAGAAGACCTTCGGTTAAGATTGCCACACCAGAAAAGCCCGATGTGGTGGAGCACCCCCATCATGGCCATCATCTCACGCCAAAAGTGCGCCCACATGTAGACCGTGCTTCTCTCCGGAGTTCCGGACAAGATATGTATCCTAATGACATTCACGGTGGGCATATATGGGTTCCGAAAGTACAGCCTTATCATGAGTCGTCACCTCTACTACTCAGGACAGAAGAAAATTCAATTCCTGGGGTAGCTGTAAAAGTGCACCCTAAGAAAGACGATGATCCACCAACAGCTGCTTCATACTGGGGATTCCTCCCGGGATTCGGCGTGAAGAAAGACGAGAAGACCACAAGACATTCGTCTGCTGGAGACGACTTTGGCGGGCCGCCTATGCCTCTATCTGAATCAAGAAGCAGATCGGTCACTACATCTCGTCCTAAAAATCGGCCTTCGTTAAGTGCCAGTCAATATTCGAATTCTCAAAAGAGCTCTGATATTGTTCCCAAGGCTGTTACTAAGACCACGGATCCAGCCATAAACCAAGAAAATGCGCACCAGGATGATGGAAATATGGCGTCTCTACGGAATCTATTCGGTAATCTTCTTCCACAAGAGGACACCGCACCGGAAAAGAAAAGGGTATTGTCAACGGCTTCTGCCTCGCCAACTACGCGTCCGCATCCCGTAGACGATGAGTCGGAGGAGCTGGAGCAAAACACGTCGTCTGAACAGGTTGACCCATGGCGTGCTGCGAACTGGCTTCGCCAATTGCTTGGGTACCCGGAATCTAGCGCTCCAAATCTTACCCAATTACCAGAAAAGTCCCATCCTCGCCATGAGAAGCATAATGACTATCCTGGCGATGAAGCCGGTGCAATACCATCTAGGGTAACGACGTTCTCGGGAGAAAATGCTGCAGACATGGGAACAATGCATTCGGCCGTGCATAACCTTGAACGGCTGCTAAACGAAGCATTATTTCTTGCAAATGAAGTGACCGGACAAGACCATTGCGAACACGCAGGCGACGAACCATCCAAGGTGTCGCCAAATACTTTTCTCGGCGCTATTGAAAGCCCAGGCCATGGGTGCGGAGACTTGCCCTCGGCGTCAGCGAGAAATGACGAGCTGCTGAAACCTGACATGTACAGCGGAAACGTGATACGGTCATCAAATAAAGAGCCAAACGTTCGTGGCCTCCGAAAGTCTGAGCGCAGGCAAATGGAAGTTCATGAAATACACCACCACGTATTAGATGAAGAAGGCACCTTACCCAATAGCCGCGAGGTTAAAGAGTATATCCGTGTTTACCACGAACCACCAATCACTCCCAGGGACAGTTCCATGAATCTTCGGGAGGGCCTGAAAGGAGGGTATATGCATCTCCATCAAAACGGTATATACCCCAAAATTTGCCACAAGGATGTGGATGTTTGTAGCTTGGATGGATCTGACGATATGGTAGGCCCCGTCACCCAGTCCGACAACAATAAAAGACACGGTCGGCACTTAGAAGTACCTGCACCCAACCAGAACGCAAATCAATCGAATGCAGAAGCTTCGGTGCCTCAAGGAAGAGCACCACCCAAGCGAACCCACGAAGTTCGCAACATCAGCCTCCGAAGGAGATCCCATGTCAGTCTCAGAGACGGGCAACGATTTAGTCTTACCAGATCGGTGAGACGACATCCAACTATAGCCCGCGACTGGTCCCCCTTGCGCAAGCGGTTTGTTGCTTCGGTTGCATGTATCAGCACTGCTCTAGTTGGTGTCTTAATTGGGATCTACGCAGGCCTAGTCCCATCGATTCAATACGTCATTGCAGATTTCCACCACTACTCAATCATCGGCAATGTCGGACTGTACCTTGGAATGGCGCTTTCGACATTCTTTTGCTGGCCTCTGCCATTGCTCCATGGCCGTAAACCGTACATCTTGTGCAGCCTATGCGTAGCGATGCCGCTACTCTTTCCTCAAGCCATTGCTGTCAGCACCCCGAGATCCCCATACACCAGCGTTTGGAGATGGGCCTTGCTGCTCCCCAGAGGGATCATGGGTTTTGCTTTGGGGTTCGCCAATATGAACTTCCATTCTATTTTAACCGACCTCTTTGGGGCATCTCTAATGAGTAGCAACCCACATCAGGAAGTTGTGGATCAATCTGATGTAAGAAGGCACGGCGGTGGCCTTGGAGTTTGGCTTGGGATCTGGACGTGGTGCTTTATCGGCTCATTAGGCATCGGCTTTTTGGTTGGTGCTCTGGTCATCGACACTTTACGGCCGTCTTGGGGGTTATACATTAGCATCATGTCAATTGCGGTCGTCCTTTTCCTCAACGTCATCTGTCCAGAGGTCCGACGATCAGCTTGGAGACGCTCAGTAGCCGAAGTGAGAACCGAGACAGGATGGTCCCGAAGAGTAGCTCGCGGCGAGATCATGATGCACCGGGTCGGGGATGGACCAACATGGTGGGGCCAAGAGATGTATCATGGTATGGCACTTTCACTTGAGATGCTCCGCCAGCCTGGATTCGTCGTCATGGCTTTCTACTCGGCATGGATATATGCTCAAGTCGTTCTGATCATAGTGGTGAGTTGACCCGCTCGATGAAAACTTGTACGTTTCGCTAACACTCATAGCTTCTGGGTTCCTTATCTTCCAGACACTATCATTTTCGATCTCCATTTGTAGGCGCCGCGGTATCATCCGTTGCCGTTGGTGCGCTTGCGGCGGTGCCGTTCCAAAAGGCGAATATCTTCTCTCGGTCGCGCTCAACGGGACCAATAACCAACAGCATGACGTTTGACAGAATGATGACTTGGACCTCTCACCTAGTCCGTCGGGCTGTATTCGTCATTGTGCTCCCCATCGCTGGCATCCTATATACTATTGTCTCGTCAGGACCACCCGTTCATCTAGTTTTCCCTTGCATTTTCGCGGCCCTGATCGGATTTTTATCATGTCTTGCTATCGCTGAATGCAACGGCATGTTAATGGAGGCGTGGGATACCTCTGACCTTCAGCCAGGAATGACCGGTCGCTCTAGGTCTGGGAAGGACAACAACATCAAAAGAACCAATTACTCGTCTTTTCCTCGGGTTACGGCTGGTTGGAACACCATCCACAGCATCGGTTTCATTCTCGCCGCGGGGGCTACCGGTATTGGTGGAATAGCTACGCGAAGTTTAGGGCAAAGGGCCGCAACAGGTGTTGTAGCATCCATTTTGTTCTTATTCTCTCTTCTAATTCTTGGTGTATTCGCTCGGTTTCGAAGACTGCAAATCATCCCCAACTCGAAAAGCGTCGAGATGGAAAGGTGGACGGAAGAGAGACGGGATAGTCTTCGCCGTCGTGCCTCTGCGATAGCTGCCGCCAAGGCCAATGGTCTTCATGATGTCACCGAAATCCCTGAAGACGATGTGGGTTAGAGGCCCGTTATCCTCGGTAACCCTTCGGAAAAATTCCGTCGCATGAACATCCTCGAACTAGGTTCTTTAACGCGATGGAGTGAAATTCGGAAGAAAAATCGCTTGATTGACGAAGGTGTTCATCTCAATCGACAAGCTGTCGGTTTAGCTCGCGACGAGATTGGGCGGCGAGGGGAGATGCTCGGGGAAATTGTCCGTAAGGTAAGTAAGAGAAGCGCGAGAAGCAAACGAAGCCACAATGGCGAACACGAAGAGATACCGCGAATCGAGCTCGAAGATTTGGGTCCATTAGGGCCACCGCATCAGCATGATAACAATACCTTGCACCCTGAGGTTTACTCCGAGCGTGAATGTGTCATGGGCCAGACAGTACGAGAGGAAATGGAAGATCTTTCCTCCATAGACGGCGAATTGGATGAAGACCATGAATGGAATTATCCACAGGAACACTCGTCTCACATGATATCAAAGGTTCAACCATACGCTGGCCAGGAGCAGTCAGCTTCGCATGGTCAGGGCGATTATGTGATCAATATGAACGCCTCAACGGGAGAGCATGCTTCTCACGGAACACCAAAAGTCAAGCCAGCAGACCCAAACGGATCAGAACACCGAGAACAACACGGTGCGCATATGAGAAACAAGGTTAAGCCGGCTCAGACAGAAATCGAAAGCGTCGGAAAGGAGCATGGCGGCCATATGGGTCAAAGCAAGGTCAAACAAGCAGACGCAAATTTTGAGGAGGTTGATTTGGGCGGGAAATCCGATCGCAGGGACTCTAAGACCTTGAAGCAAGATTAAAAGAGGGGAAGTACAAAGCTCGCCAGTAAGCCACAAATTGTTTCGGAGAAATAGAGGTTGACGGTACCTGTATTTGTGTAATCAGAATGGATAACAAATCTCAAATAGACTGCAGCTTAGAAATTGTTGAACGAGTGAAGATGTTCATGTAAACGGACGCCTTTAATTTCAAAGAAAAGTCCGGTGCCCGGCGTAACACAACGCCCCCTTAATTATAAAATTAATGGAACAATCACTGATATACAGGTAGTTTATGCTGTTACACGAAGCATTTCTAAGCCAAAATGTCAGAACTATGCACCTAAATCGTGATAAGTAATCAATAGGGGTGTTGGATGACCTGCTACTTCAAACAATTCCAAGATCTTCAAAGGACTTCTCTATCTACGGCGATTGCCATGCATGACTGCAAACAAATACAAATATAATTGGCTCCTCCTCAAATATAATTGAAATAAAATAATAATGCGCCTAGCGCGCTTGCTGAATTAGGTCTAGTCACCAAATAACCCTCAGTTCCGGTCTCTCAATCCCTCATTCCGTCATCCCCATTCCGACCCAACTGATAGGTTAGGTTCTATACTAGTAGAAACACTCATAATAAGACGGCGGCCAACATGAAGCTCTACGCTATCGGAGATCTCCATCTCAGCTACGAGTATAACCGCAAAGCGCTTGCTGAGCTAAAGCCGCACCCGGAGGATGGATTGATCCTATGCGGCGATGTAGGCGAGACGGATGAGCACCTTGAGCTCGCTTTCTCCCTCGGCAAACGCCACTTCAAACAAGTCTTCTGGTGCCCGGGAAATCACGAGCTGTATAGCGTGCCAGCCGCCCAACCTGATGCGATTAAGGGCGAGGAGAAATACCAGCATTGCGTTGAAGTCGCGCGCGAACACGGCGTGCATACCCCCGAAGACGACTTCGTCCGGTGGGACGGCGAGGGTGGACCGGTGCTTATCGCGCCCATTTTCACGCTTTACGATTATAGCTTTCGCCCTGACCATGTCACCCGCGCCGAGGCTGTCAGCTGGGCTGAGGAAACGGATACCGTGGCCACGGATGAGTTTATGCTGCACCCGGATCCGTACCCTTCGCGCGACGCTTGGTGTCATGCGCTGGTAGGTCGGTTCGAGAAGAAACTCGAGCAGGCGAGGAAGGATTTCACGAATGATGATGGAGAGCCATTGCCGATTGTTCTGATTAACCATTGGCCGCTGCGCGAGGATCTCGTGTATATTCCTAGAGTACCGAGATTTAGTCTCTGGTGCGGGACTAAGAAGACGGAGGATTGGGGGAAGAGGTTCGGGGCTAAGGTTGTGGTTTCTGGGCATTTGCATGTGCCGCGCACGGACTGGAAGGGAGGAGTCCGCTATGAGGAGTGTAGTTTGGGGTATCCCCGACAGTGGCAGGATATTCGCGCTGCTGGGAAGGATATTAATGATTTGCTCCGTGAGGTTCTGCCCGGTCCGTCGCCGCCGCCTGGTGGGGAGGCCGATATGGAGTGGCGACGGTGGGGTTGATTGCCTGACCATATGCATTGATCGACCGGGAGACGGACGGATGGACCCGTGGAATTGCGGCGCAGTGCAGCTTTGATGAACTGGCCGCTGGGTATTGTACCTTTTTCAACGAAATGGTATATGATGTCGAATGGACTTGCATGAAGTTATGAGGATACAATTGCGATGCCGTGGGGATAGGCAGGCAGGATTACGGTCGTGGATGCATGGGGCGGTTTGCACGATGCTTTTAAACCGGATACATTGCATTTAGGGGGTCAGTTCAATTCATTCTAGCTTATAGACAGTCGATATACTCTCATTCAATTTCTTTTAAATGATCTCGCCGTCGAAAATATCGCAAGGTTTTGAGGCATGGTATGCCCTAGACTTTCGACCCGAGTTCTGCCTCTCGAAGGCAGGCGAGAGCCTCATCTTGATTCATCCTCTTGGAAAGCCACCCGAAACCCCCTCGAGATAATTGAAATATTACCTAGGTCCTACCAAGTAGGTAATCCGGTAGCCTTAGGTGGGTGGGTATCTAAAAAATGCGAGGCTTTTCCCAGACGAAGTTCAAGTTTATGAGCTGAGTTCACTTGGCGATGGGTGCAGAAAACCAGACCTCCGCGGCACAATCAAGAGTCATCCAATCAAGGGATCGTCTATCACATTTACTATCAATAAGTATTAGTAACGAGTACCTAGGTAGCTAGGAGGTTAGAGGCTTAGCCCTTCCTAAGGAGGTTGATTCTTTTTTTACTTTGGTCTCCTCGTCTTAACCCCATTGCGCGCCCAGATACCTAGGTAGGTAGCTAACTAGTTGTAACATTACAACCATCAACTATAATACCGATTCGTCAAAATAAAAGATCAATTTTCTATTGGTAGGTTCAAATGACAGTGACTGTGGTTGTCATGTGTTGATTTGTGTTAATCCTATGGTTCATCAGAATTGAGTACACCCAACAACACAGAAAAGTCTACACTAAGCTACCTAGGTACTTATGACATACAAGACGGCGCACTAGTCAACCCACGGCGATTAGAAATGGGATAGAATTAGATCAAGTTAAATCGTTAGCTGTCTCATGTACATGAGGATCGCTAGTTCGTGGATCGTGAGCCGCAGGCCAGGCTATTAGGGAGAGTGAAACGGTACACCACCAACTCTAACTCAAGCAAAGCAACCTCAACAAGCCTATATTTGGTGATCTAATATATGAGGAGTCACTTTGAGACGATCTAAATGGGGACCACTAGCGTCAGTTCTTGTCTCAAAAGGGAGGGTTACAATCCGTCGATGGGGCCTTTAGGCCACGTTTTACCTAGAGCCGCTAACGCTAAACGATAGAATATTCTTATGAGTAGGATCGTGGAGATGTGGATTATCCAGAATAAAAGTAAATTGGGTGTATAGCTTGTCTGAATGTAGGTTTAGCCGCTGATATCAGGCTGCGAGACTGTGAGATGAAAGAACCCCTTAGCTTTGCTTGATCACGATAATTACTCATTGCAGAATCCTTCTAGAAAGCCCAATAATTTTCTCTCTGGTGCCTATATGCGATGCATCTAAGGCCTAATCTGTATTCTTGCGTCAATAAAAGGCATGGATCTTCCGCTCGACATCCATCCTAAAGACACGACCATGTGGCTGTATCACATTGACAGAATATCCACTCAGAGGCACAAACGACGAGACAATCGATTTCTGAAATGCATGTCTAACTTATACGCCTATAAGTAGGTACCTAGGTACCTAGTTATACTTCCTAACACTGTACCATAATACTACATGACTGTAGATACTTGTATCGGAGGTGTTATTCCTTCGTTAGTGACCTTCCAAATCTGCTCGGCGAAGGAACCTTAGTAGCAGCAACGAGAGTATTTTATTGACTGAGGAATCTACCTGGTCAAGCTGAAGAAGTATAGCGGTGAAGAAGATCTGGGCATATCATATCAATTGGCATTATTACCCCTTTCAGTTCGATATCATCAACTATGAGCTGGAAATCCCCCCACCGGCCGCCAGGGTATAGCGACCCCCATTCACCAACAAAGGAACAGAGAAATAAGCTTATTATCTCAATAGCTCTACGTTTTAGGTAATTATGTCTGAAAAACTTGGTTATTTCTTGGCTACGCGGGACGAGAACAGGACGAAATAGTGAAGGGTCCGATCCGACAAGATTTATGCAGCCACCATCGCCACGGCGCCACAGGAGAGGTTGCAGCTCCGCAATCAATCTGAAGCGCCGCGATCAGCTGGACATATGACTCCTGGTAAGGTTCCAACAAGGCAACACTGAAGTGCCGAATCTAAGATGTGCCAAGGGAGCCCATATCTTGCTTGCATGATGTCACCTATTAGCACCGCGCGACGGGAAGTCGTGGTAACTGGGTAGTAACTCGTGAATTGCACATGAAGCCAGCACGCTCGCATGGAATACCTAGGCGCATTTGCTACTACGTCATCTATTGGTGTGGTCTCGTACCTTGTATCCACTAAACCTATTCCTCTTCGTGGTAAATGAGGCCCAACGCCTGTTTTGGCGACCAGCCAAAGCAAACCAAAAGACTTGTCACATATCAGCTAGTGGCGTCTTTCGAATTGAGACCGGTCAAAAAGGGTCCTTGACCTCCTGGAGTAGATCACCAACCACACGGAGGCGGTCTCGGCACATGCAAAGGGCTGCGTATGGAAAGGTGCGAAGAAATATCTGGGTAAGTCCAGAACAATCTCGTACGAGATTACGGCGCCTTTTCTCGCCACATCTATACCGCGGGATGGATGGATCATCATAAGAGCAGCAGCCATAGTCAGCGTAAGAATATGCGAAGGAATGGAAATACCGCGTCATTGTATTTTATATCTACATAGTAAAGCCGGTTCCTTCAGCCAGGACGAAAATGAATGGATGATTCGAGATCTAGTGCCTACCATGCGACCGTCCGAAAAGACGCATTACCCGCTTATGATGGTGCATGTGGATAGCTAGGATTGGCCTGCGAGACTCGGCGAAAATAATGACCAAGATGGGGGGAAGGAAAGGGAATAAGATCAAAGAGAGGCGCCCCCTCTCCTGCAAGATTGCATGGAGAAATCGAGAGATCGGGTCGAGTTGCTCAGGCCAGAAAAGTTAAATGAAACGACAGGTCCCTTTTTCTTTTTGGCAGAGCTAGGCTAGGTACCTATTCTTCCGGAGAATCGAGACCTCATGGGCCACGATAACCCCTAATCAGCCAGCTTGCCTCTTTCGACGCCACGGCGTTTTGTTGGTGGTGAGATTGCCTACTTTCGAATATTAACAAGCACATCAATCACGTAGATAGTTTGTGATAACGGCCATGTACAGAGATTACGGGAAATAGATACTTGTGCCTCCTTGTCATTGTAATAAGTGGCTCGGAGTTCGTTGGTTGATTGCCTCGGGGCTTTCGGTTGGCTGCACCTTGCCGTGTCTCCCTTGCGTGCCTAGTTTCTCTCGCTTGCTTCGAAGCCAAAATTGGAACTTGGGGATCTAGCAATTTCTAAATTAGCAACGAAATCACTGCTAAAAGCAATTGTAAACTTATTGTAGTTTCATTACACTTGAGGACTAGATGTGAGACCTCAGAGGCGTAGATTTTCATCTAAGTGGTGGAGAGCCTATAAATGCCACACTCTTACGTACGCTATTACGTGGATTACCCAGCCTTCAGGGCGGGATGGGCCGTGGTGAGGCGTCGCTTAAAGAACTACTCTACTTCGCGATGCTTTTTATTCCCTAATGAATACAAACCATAACGTAAGGGATTGGTTCTAGTAGACGGCGACGAAAAGAATAAGGCTGAAACGGCTGTGCTCAAAACAAAGTTGTTGGTATATTACATAAGTCTTTATCTTGGAAGGTTGCACTGGTCGGAACGTACTGGGGACCCAGAGCCGAGTATAGATATCACGATGCATAAGATCGTGATCTGGGCTGATCTAAGGGGCTAGGAGCATAAATTATATTGGCTTGGAAGGTAGGTAGATTTGGTCGTACGTATACCTACCTAGGTATTTTTCTACACCGCGGAAACCGGTGTATCAGTAAGGGGAGAACTGTATTTACCAACAAATGCATGTGTTCGCTAGGAGGGTCAATCGTACTTTACCTAGGACTGAATACCTACCCAGGTAGAATAAGGCTGCCCATCTAAACAAAGTAGAGTGCAAGCAAGCTGACAATCTCTTCACGGGTTAGGGGAAGAGTAGGTACTTAATATGTAGGTATCATCGGCGACCACGCCCCCCAGGACATACAGTATGTACCTTTGACTAAATAGAACTGTGTGACCCGATATGCGGAATCATGATAGCGTGTGGTAACACTCATCTCTAATAAGTAGCTTTGTACCACGTATAGTTCCTCAAGATAATAGAAGTGATTTGCAGACCTCCCGGACCAGTTTGACGACGCAACGCCGTTCGCTCCTAAACCTCTCATTTTGCAAAAAGTGACAGGTAAGAAATCTCTGCCGTGACGACAGGTTCTTCGGCTAGAAAAAAGACCACAACGTCAGAGGCAAACTCCAACCCTGGACGCATTGTATGTATATATACAGGTATATATATATATACATGTGCAAAGTGAGAGGGGTTATGCCATGGAAACAGCATTCCGCTGGAGAAGATTATCGAGCTGACGGCCCTATGAGATACGAGGAGAGTGATGCTGATCGGTTTTGCTAGCACCTAACCCTAGGCAAAGGAGGGCGATGATGTATGGAGAATGTACATACTAGGTTAGAGAAGTCAGATCCTGCAATGCATCCATCTAACAGGAGGAGGAAAAAGGTCCCGATCTTATTCAGCATTTGATTCATGGGACCAGCCCTGGAAATTATCTGGCAATGTGGTGGGCAAGGTGGGTTGTTCAACCACCACCAATCCTTTCACCGGAGTTTGCTGCGCCAATAGGAGTTCGTCAATTCATTTTGTAACCCTGTCACCCCCTCGCCCGTGATAAGCATGCAGTGGATAGGTGTGGGTCTCTCAGTGATCGCCGGGACCAAGCCACAGAGTAGCATTCTCAGTTTCCCGAACGTCGCATTGGGGGAGTTCCATCGCGTTAGGTAAGGGAAGCTCATGTGACATTCCCAGATTCATTGAGGAGCTTGGCAGGCTACGAAAGATTGGATTCCCACCCCCTATCGAACAAAAGGACGAGGAG